CATCAATGCCTTAGAACGCACAAGTTACAGTGAAACTTAAAAAAATGGGAAAGTTTGTAAATACAAGTAAACTTAAATCTTCTAATCTTCTTTTGTAATGGTAAATCAAAATACTAAAAAAATATTAAACAAAATTTCGTAAACAATATACATATTTTATTGAATGTTTCTGTAAGCTCACGCTAGCTGATGTCAGACGTGACCAGACACTAGCGGCCGCGCTTCAGCACTGTAACCGGTCCAATTCCTAACAGATTTTAACACCCAATATTAAACTCGTCAAGGATTATTATCTATACACTATTAGCTATTTTTAGTAAAACAATTAAAAGGGTTTAGCTTTGTGAAATTCGTTTCAAAATTTATATATTTTTTTTTGACAAAAAAAAATACTTTCTTAGCTTTACGCGAATATTTGACATTTTAAATACATGCTTATTAATATGTTTCCTCGCTGTAGTGACGCCGTTTCATTATAATCAATTGATTATTGGTTATTATCATTCAGTAGGTACGCCTCGTTCCTTGACGTTGAGTTTCACACCTGAGTAGAGCACACCCTGAGTAGACACCCTGAGTAGAGCAAAACTCTTCACTTAGTACTATATGTTTAATACTAGCAACTCACCCTCGCTTTGCTCGGGTTCGTCCCTAGTGAAGAACAAAAACAAATGTATTCCACGGGAAACATACATTTTTCCGGCATAAAAAGTAACCTATTTTCTATTCCAGACTATAATCTATCTCTGTGTCATGCAGATTCGTTCAGCTGTTCTAGCGTTATTGAGTAACAAACATCCATACATCCAATCTTACATTTACTTCTACTTTACATTATTACACCTTTTTACTAAACATCATGTCTTCCATCACTTTCGTAAAAAAGTCCTAAGCCCTGAGAACTCACAAGAAAAACGAAAAGAAATAATTATAAATGACAATAATTCTGAATAACAACAATAACCGCAGGGTTGCAATAGCTAGCAGCTGCCACTTCCTAATGTGAAATCCCATCTAGAAATATGTAGACTAACTATTGCGAACTTACTTAAAATGTAAAAAAAAGGTCTAAGTGAAAACCTCTGCATTAAACGAAAACTGAAATATATGCCAACATCTGTTATTATTTAAAAGAAAATGATTATATATTTTAGTTTCATAAGATTGTACTAGTTTACTTAACTTTCAATGCTTGACGCCATACCGAGATGATAATAGAATATTATTATGGAGATTGAATCAGGAAACCGGCCCTATAAGGCCGACCAACCAAAAAATATACATACTATATACGTATTATGTCAACGTAGTCGACCATTTTGGGTCCACTTTTAATCGTGATGAGACCCATGTTACACGAAATCTCTGTAGATGTAGTTAATTCTATTCAAAACTAATGAGCATAAGTGATATTTCAGAATGAAAATTTCTGAAATATATTACACATTATATTATACAAGTATTTTAATATATATTTGGAATGTTGAAATAATTATTAAACTCAGTCAGTAGCTTCTTTTTAATAAATTACAAACAAACAAATCCTTCCAATTCATAATATTAGTACAGATTAAAAATAAATAAATATTTAAATATAATCGCGACAGTACTTTTGGCTTAACTCAATCTCTGAACACTATTTTCCACCACTACTTACATTTGCATTAACACTTCACTGCATTTTAATTCACTTTCTCATTTTTTCGTAATTTTTCCTAAAACTTCTCGTAGATTCAAAATTCGACTGAATTCTCGATACATGGCAGTGTATCAAAAAGATTTGCAGCAGTTCTCCCTTTACCGAAAATAGGTTTTTCTGGTCAGTCAACTCGTAGGTACCGACTCGGCAGATCAATGGACTCTGTCAACAATCTTGGTAAGCAGAAACTCCTGCAACCTTATGGGATATGTTTTCGAGATGAAGGTTGTAGAATATCAACAAATTATCGTAATTTATTTGCTCATAATAAAATAAATATATTCATAAAATTTGTGCTTGGTATGTTTGAAATGTAATAGAAGGGCATACAATGTTTTTTAATCACTGTATTTCAAAAATATCTGGCCAAATTTTACTTATTGTAGGTATAGATAATATAAAACAATAATTATTATCCATAGCTATTTTTCGTAAGTTTAGTTTCAATTGCACTACCTTCCCGTTTTTGCACGTTCTTATACTTCTAAGGAGTGTTAAATTGCCAACTAAATACTTAATACACGTGGCTGAGTTGAATGAAATATTTTATTTATTTATTACATAATAAGCACATAGACATTTTTATTGGCGTTAATATCGAGATGTTAATGGCATACACACAGCAAAACTGTAGGTGGATCTATTCCTATAAAGCATCTCTTCAATTTTTCTGATCAGAATGGATAATAGGATAAACTTGACTTAATAGGATTTATTTTTTAACAAAATTGAATATGTTTTAAATCAACTATTTATAATAATAGTTAATATCTAAAATGTCATAAACTTGTACGGAAACTAAAAATTAGTCATGAAAAGAATAAGCTAGATAGCGCAGAAAATTCAAAAACCTTATGGAGAACCATCAAATCCATGTGTTATATTAGTAAGGACAAATCTGAAAATGCACGTAAGCTTATCACCCTCTCGACATCCCCTGTACAGTCTGCTAACCTTGTTAACGAACACTTTTCTAACATAGGCAAAAATTTGGCTGAAAAGCTTAAAGATTCTGCCCCCATTATAGTGGATAATAGCAGTTCACATAAAATATCACCACCTGTAAATTCTTTTGCTCTTCTCCATACCGATCCATCTGAAGTAAACATGATTATTAATAGTCTATCGAATGACTCTGCTTCTGGGTGGGATAACATTCCAACTTCATTTATTAAAATGGCCAAGCATGCCCTCATACCAATATTGTGTCATATCTACAATCTTTGCTTCACAAATGGTTGTTTTCCAAAAACATTTAAACGAGCTATTGTAACACCTATATACAAGAGTGGGAATGGGGACGATGTCGATAACTACAGGCCGATTTCTGTACTTACCGTACTAAGCAAAATTCTGGAAAAACTCATAAATAATCGCTTAAAACAGTATCTTATTGATAACAATCTTTTATCAAAGAACCAATTCGGATTTAGAAACGGCATTTCCACTGAAGACGCAGTATTGGCTTTGACTGATGAAATAAGCAATCATTTAGATTCAGGTAACAAGTGTGTTGGAGTGTTCCTTGATTTGGCCAAAGCTTTCGACACCGTATCCATTCCCATCCTTCTCGACAAGTTATACAATTATGGTATAAGAGGTATGCCCCATGCATTGCTGGCAGATTACCTTACCGATCGTCAGCAACTATTAAAACTCGGTGAACATGTTAGCCAACCTTCAAGTATCTCTTATGGAGTTCCACAAGGTAGTGTTTTAGGACCTACCTTATTCCTAATTTATGTGAACGATCTCTGTAACCAAAGTATTCAAAATTGTAAAATATATACGTATGCCGATGATACCGCCCTCATCTTCAATGCAAAATCTTGGGAAGAGCTAAAACTTATTGCTGAATCTGGGATGCGTCAGGTTTCTTGCTGGTTAAGATCGAATCTATTGACGCTAAATATAAACAAAACCAATTATGTAACATTTTCAATTCGTAATACTACACAACCTGACCACCATTTCAGTTTAAAAGTACATACATGTAATTATCCGGACTCAAGTAGTTGCCTTTGCGACAAAATCTCTAAAACCGAAAAGATAAAATATCTTGGAATTATTATTGACCAGCACCTTACCTGGCGACATCATATAGAGAGCATAGTTGAAAAGATGAGGAAACTTATTTGGATATTTAAAAAACTTAGACATGTAGCGAATGAATCCACTCTTATTACCACCTATAAAGCTTTAGCGCAATCTATACTAAGCTACTGCATTACTGTCTGGGGCGGTGCAGCCAAAACGCATTTAATGACTTTAGAAAGGGCGCAAAGATCTCTGTTAAAAGTGATGTTTTTCAAACCTTATATTTTTCCAACTTTCGACTTACATAATAACTACAAATTGTTATCCACTCGCCAAATCTACATATTAAATTGCGTACTTAAAGTTCACCGTCACTTACCGTTTATTCCTAGTCTGATCCAAAAACGTAGGGGTAAGGCCGTTTGTCCTATCCCTACCAGTAAAACCAAATTTAAGAAAATGCAATTTAACTGTCAATCGGCATATCTTTACAATAAGCTTAACAGCAGACTTGACATTTACAGTCTTTCAAAAACCGAATTAAAACGTGTACTAACTAAAACTCTACTGTCATTGAACTATGATGAGACTGAAAAATTGATGATCAATCAAAACGTCGTATAAAACATGTTCGAACATCCCATATTTACGCACTTTTATGCACACATGGGTAACTCGTGCACACATACTCACACACACACACACACACATACACATGCACACACGCACATGCACACACGCACATGCACACACACACACACATGCACACACACGCACATGCACACACACACACATGCACACACACACACATGCACACACACACACAAACGCAAACTTATATATGTATTTTATTTTGTTTTCACTCTGTTTGTTGACTTTCTAGTCTTGGTGGATGAGCGGGGCACCCAGTAATACGGGTCTCCACCTAGTACAGGGGCCCTTGCGACTATCTTGAAATGTAATCTTTTAAGTCAATAAAAGTATTTTTATTTTTATTTTTATTTTTTATTTATTTATATCATTATGAAATAAAATGTTTTAATCTGAAATACAACGGACTAATCACACGGTATAAAATATTTAATAAATATAACAATAATTCCAATTAAATAGTTAACCTTGACAATACAGCCAAGCACTTGCCGAGTATCGCAATCATTGCCTCATGTTGGTACTGAGAAAATTGATTGGTAGTGTTTATAAAACGTTGTTGACGATAAAAATATCCATAGATAAACAGGTGGCAGTCAATATAAGAGCAAATATGAAAGTGGCTTTCCAGCTAGGGTGTCTCGTAGCACTTTTAGTATTGACAAGTGCACGAGACATCAGACAGAAGCGCGAAGCAGATCTTGAACCTGCAGCATCTCATCATGAAAAAGGAGGAGGTCACGAACATCACGGACACCATCACCACGAACACGGTGGAAAGGGCTTCAAAAATTACAAAGGACACCACCACCACGAACATGGCAAAAAAGGGCACCATGACCACGAAGGACACAAAGGACATCATAACCAACACGGAGGACAAAAAAAACACCACCATCATGATGATGGCCACTACCATGAACATCATCACGGTGAAAAAGGAGAAAAAGGACACGGGTTCGAAGAAAAGGGGCATTATCATAAAGGTCATTCTACCAAGGGGCACCATGGAGTTCATAAAATAGACGAATTTAAGAAAAACAAACATTTCCACGATAAACATGGGGAGCATAGTTTTGAAGAAGGCTATGGTGGACACCATGACGAACATGGCCATAAGAAAGGTGGGCACTTCCATAAGGGCCATGAGCATCATGGACACCATGAACATCATCATGGCAAAAAGGGCCATCATGAGAAGGGAGGTCACCACCATGAACATAAAGGACACCATGATGAAGGCGATCACCACGAACACCATCACCACCACAGCGGCCATGGAAAGAAGGGTGGCCACGAAGATCACAAACACTGGGGCTTCAAAAAGGGTCATTAAGCTGTTATGGAACTGTTGTTTTCCAAATATTTTATTATGGATTAATTTTTTTTGTTATTACATTATTTCTAAAGAGATACATGTAAATAAACACGTATTTTATAAAATCGCAATTTTTCCTTACAACGTAAAATTCTTTTAATAACATAACGATTTTCGTTCTATCTTTATACGCTTTTCCCTTGTAGTACCATTCAATTCTAATTCATAACACCTTGCCAACAGTTGAAGATTGAAGTCATTAGTTTAAGATTTAATTTTAAGATACGTTAGATAATACTACTGAGACTGAGTGCTTACTACCCTGAACTAACTGATTATGCTAGCTTGATCTTTTTATACTTTCATCGTTTATGTACCACTAGCGACTTACACTTGCTTCGCTCGGGTGCGTCCCTAGGTACGTTTTAAATAGATATAAATAGTTATAACCAGCGTAAGCCATGTAAATTTAATAAAAAAATCGTTAATTTTTACGATGTTTTAATCAATACAATTATAAAGAGTTTGTGGGGTAATCTCTGGATCTACTGAACCGATTTGTGGGGTAATCTCTGGATCTACTGAACCGATTTAGATGAAATTTGGCAAGAAGATAGTGTGAGACCCTGGGATGGACGTAGGATTTTTATCCCGGAAATCATTCCTTAAGGGGGTTAAAATGAGGATGAATGTTTGTATGGGGAATCAAAGTCTGTATAGGGACGAACCCGAGCGAAGCGAGGGTGAGTTGCTAATAGTTCTTATATTGCAGGCGGAGACAAATCCAACAAATCGGAGATCATAAAAATCTGTACAAACTTCTATATATAATATAGAATATTATTTATTTAATTTGAGCTGTTATTATTATAATTATTAAAATTTTAAAAAATATTAATTATTAATCTACATTTTTAGTGTTGCCATTATTATATTTATAACCATAAAGAAAAAATCATAATATATTAATTATTTAAGCCACAATTGATCTATGTGTAATTTGAAAAAGTTAAGATTAATTAAAAATAATAATTTTAATTTAAATTTGCTATTATTTAAAAACGAATTATTAAGCAACACATTACTACATACATTTACAAATGAAAAAGTGAAAAATATTATTAATCAGAAATGCTATCATTTTGATCCACACAGTAAGAACTTACTACTTAGAAGTATATATTACTACTTAGTACTATATTCAATTATAAAGCTAATTAAAATTATATAAAAAATGTTAAAGTTAAAAGTTAAAATATTGTAAGGTACTTTAGTGCCATTTTTCAATTTTTTGAATTCATTTTGTTAATTGTGGGTAGGCTGTCTGTAACAACTATATAATACCTTTGAGACATCAAACACCTCAGTCTCTCCCGTGACCATGATTGCTGTAAAGCATTCGAAACGTCGGGAACCAAAAATCAAAATAAATTCGCGAAAAAATCCGAAAAGATAGTTTTATTTAAAACTATAGTTCGGCCTCTGTATCAATAATAATGTTTATTTCAATAAGATTTTCCAAAAAATATTTAATGAACAGTTCGGCTTAATTAAAAATTTTTATATACATATAGATTAATATATACAATATTTTTGTGTGATTTAATTAAAGCACATTTATTGTTATTTTCCTAACTTGTGCTGTAAGATTGCTTCTTCTTACTCTAATTATAGACCAAAGGAGCGTACCATGTTGCTTATGATAAGTAGGTAAGTATGCGAGAAATGAAATAACATATTTTGCCTTTTAATTGATTGTGTTGACTGAAGCTTATTATATTTTTAGATCTCCAAGGAATCTAAGACCTTAATATTTCTACTAATGGGTACTTGATATCTGTACGTTTGCTGCTCTTGGTTGCTGTTGTCTGCGAATAAACAGAGAGTCAGAACAAAAAGAAAATAAGATAATTCAGTAATAAGTCTATTCCTTTGCTCATTATTATAATATCTACTTCCAGGAGAGATAAATAATCATATAAAAATTTATAAATTACAATCAAACAAGAAATACTAAAACTTCTGTATGTTATCTAAAGCAAATATGAATACAAAAACTCCACAAAACATATTAGAAAAGAAGTAAGAAGTGCTACGTAGTGTTGTGTTAAATCGTATGTATATTTTAAACACCCATCTAAGTTATCGCTCTATCGCGGGGATTACTATAGAGCAAATACTTCGAGATACTACAATGCTTTGGCGCTACTAGTTTTTAAGATGACAATAACTTTAATATAAAGCTGATAGTTCAAACCATAAGTACCTTTTACTATCGGATGAGGTAATTAGTGAAAATATCCCTCAGCTTAATATCACATTAGCTTCAGTAGGTGAAGGATTTAACGTGACATTAGATGAAGCCATAAATCTAGTGTGAGGTGTGACATCGCTAAGCCCTCACTCGCTCATTAATTAGTGTAAAAGCATTATCACCGGATTGTATCTTATCTATACGTGAATGTGTCCGAAAAATCACCCTAAATCACCCTAAGCCGGAAATGAGATATTTTGACGAAGTAGATGTTTTTGTATATTGGGCACATTACCTCCGCGCCATAAAAAATCAGTCAAATAATAGTAGGACTTGCTCATTAAGAATTCAGTACCATAAAATTAATAAGGTACAATATTGTGATATGTAGGTATTATTAATTAATTAATTGCGATTTCATGTCGTACAGTGAAGAGCAGCTTTTATTGTATTCAGCCCTTTTTAATGTCCCACTACTGGGCACGGGCCTCCCTTCAGTATGAGGGCAACCACGTTTGCCAAGTGCGAGTTGACGGACTTCACGTCACGTCAGAAATGTCGGTGTCCTCACGATGTTTTCCTTCACCGTAAGACAAGTGGTAATCATGTTGAAAAATCAGCTTTAATTACAAGTTTTTTTTTTTTACTTTAGCATTTGCGTTACTATTTTATAACGGTAAGATTAAGACCTGAATATTAGATTTAAAATAAACCCCGAATACTGCCTTTCGTTCGTAATACAGGCGGACGGACGTGTAGACAGCATGGGAATACATGTTAATAGGGTCCGATCCAGCCTTTTAAATTCAAAAAGTTTAAAAAGTGCTTGTTATATCTTAGCCTTAAGTAGATATCATTTTCATATAGAAAAACAAAAAAATATAGCTCTTTATAATACAAAGACGAAAATATTTAGGCCTACCTGTTAAATTTTTTAAAACAATCGAAGACGCCGCAGATTATATATGTAAATCAGTCTGTCTACCTTGAAATTTTGCAAATACAATTTTAATCATCATTTTATTTCACAACATACACTTAAAAAACAATTTTAAAAGTTTGCTGTCCTAAAGGTACTTTAAGAATACGAGCAATACAGATATTTACTGTGGGTTGGTACTCACGAATTACTACTATAGACGAAATTGAATAAAACAATGATGCTTTATTGCCTGCTGCAGCCCGCTTTATGGAACTAGGAAGTTGGCTCGGTTTCTGAGAGCACGTAAAGCCATCGGATATACACCTGAACTTAATAACTGCTTTTGTTTAATATGAGAACGAAAGAAATACAGAGTATCTGCATCTACATTTGTAGACTATAACATTTCTTCAGTGGTGATACTATTACGTGGATCATAAATTCGCTAGGTAACTGTTAAGACGCTAATTTTATTATTCGTTTTTTCTATTGTTTTAATGGAGAGCTTGAATCACTTAACAATTTCATTATAAAAATACCTTTAGCCTTATAACTTAAGTTATAAGCATATCTACACTTTCTGAAATTACTTTATCATATAAGACAATAATTTGTTGGCCTCCAAAAGTTCTAGCAAAGTCTGCGATGATCGATATCATTTTACGTATCTAGTATGTACAAAAGTTAGGTTAGAAGAGATCAATTTAGCTACTAAATATAAATCCTCATAAAAATAAATGGGCTGAACACTCAAACCATAAGTGTACTTAGATAACTTTTATAAATTAAAATCTAAGTTGATTAACTGGGTAAAAGTTTTTGTGAAAAGCATGAGATTCGCTTGGCTCAAAAACAACAAAGTGTAAGTCAGAATACGAAAAAATCATTTTAGTTTAATAAATTATTATTTATTATTTGATGATTAAATTTTACATTATTTAAAATACTTATTATTTAAATAACGTTATTCTCTATTTAATCTGTCTCAGTTTCAATATTAATGTTCTAACTATAAATAAATAAATGACCAGACATTCTGCATAATACGTTATAGCGCGCCATGTACATGTACTCGTAAACTGTTGAAAGTCTAAAATAAGATTATTTTGATAGCCCTCAATTGCCTTTTTTATATCCATACTTCTTATGATGTTCATGTTCTCCTTTTTTAGCGTGGTCGTGGTGATGATGATGATGTTCGTCATGACCTGCAGATTCCTTGTGACCTTTATGCTCGTGGTGATGACCTCCCTTTTCGTGATGACCTTTTTCTCCGTGTTCATGTTCGTGATGTCCACCATTGTGATGACCTTTCTTAAAGTGCCCGCCTTTTTTATGTCCATGTTCTTCATGGAAACCACCATGCTTCTCTTCATGTCCAGAATCTCCTTCTTCATCAAAGAAATGTTTATCTTTTTTAAACTCGTCGAGCTTGTGTATTTCATGATGTCCTTTAGTGGAGTGTCCTTTATTGTAATGGCCCTTTTCTTCATATTTATGGCCCTTTTCTCCTTTTTCACCCTTATGGTGTTCGTCATAGTGACCATCTTCATGATGATGCTCCTTTTTGTGACCGCCATGATCATCATATTCACCTTTGTGATGTTCCTTATCATGGTGACCTTTCTTTCCCTCTTCATGATGATGATGACCCTTGTAACCTTTATGGCCTTTCTCTCCATGTTCGTCATGATGATGAGCATGATGTTCCTTGCCACCCCCTTTTTTGAATTCGTGATTCTTACTTTGTTCTTTTTTATGCTCAGTGGCTGCGTCATCTAGATCAATTAATTTTTCTGAAGATTGCTCATTCTTCTTTGATGGAAGCCGTCGACTATGAGTTACAGCTATTAATGTCACTAAGCCTAATACTAATATTAACCTCATGATTGAAATTTATTCAGACGCCCCGATACTGATCACTTTTATTTAAAATTGGCGATTGGCGATATTACTGCGACGCAGTAGTTTTATATAAGGAGTTGAGTAAGCGATGTCAAGTGACGCGTCGCGAGACAATCTCGCAGTTCATTGTCGCAAGAATGCTTAACTATTTCTGGTTTGAAATCCATATATTTTCATATATTTAAAAATTAAAATCGATCTTTCAAATATATACAAACTAGGCTCTACTCACAGTTTCAGTTTTAAGACAGGAATTTAATATTTCCTTTGACTTGTTCATTATATCTTTTTTCTTACAAAATACATCTTTTACAGAGTTTTATTACTTATAAGTAAATAGATATTTTTTTGCTAAAATTATTTCAGGGGTGATATTATAACCTTTTACCTATATTATTAAACAGATTTACCTTTCAGCATTAGCAACTAGTATATCACGTTTTGATTGTTGTGTTAAATTATGTATTGTGGTTTACCTGTATAGAAATTAGTTAGTTACTGATGTACCTATATTCTGCACATTCTGCAATAATTCATATAATTATCCATCCCTAAAGGTTCCTTATTACTTGTAATTATGAAATTTTTAAAATTTTAATTCTAAACATACTTACTTTTATTCACGTATCGGGAAAAATTGACAATAACTCGTATAATTCAATGATCAATTTTATCATAATATTAACCCTGACCCGTACTTACTTACTTATTGATAAATGATTGAAGGTTTTTGATTTCATAATACCTATTAGGTACTTATTGTCTAATAAAAATATTACTATTGAAAAAGAACAGAAATTTTAATCTACATAAATAAAATAATAAACATGTATAATGTTTATTTAAGAATTGGTGCCCCTGGTATTTAATAAGCATATATAAAAAATGAGTTTTTTTTATTTGTACATACGAAAGTATTAAATTAAAAGTATATCTTTATTTATTATATATGTTACCATAACTCTATTTTTACTCGTATACACTACTCATTATGATATTAACAACTACGCTGTACATGTTGATCGAACGAAATAATATCTAACTTTTAATCTATTCTTCGGACTACTATGAAGTTTAAAAAAACAATTGCCACATCGGTTCAGCCGTTCTCAAGTAATGCGCTGACAAACGAAAAGCATTTAATATATACAATCAATTTTCTTTGCTTTTATAAATATATTGTATGCAATGTAATTCTTATAAAATTCAAACGCAGTTGGCTTCTGACTCGAACTGTGCAAGGTGAGAATAAGGTAACTCCCGTGTTAGCCTTCTCATTAGGTAATTTTATTTGAGATCGCAAACTAAGAAATCCTTAGTATCCCCAACGTTATATATAAAATTCAATTTTAATAGTATATTATTCTTGTGATAAACAGATCGTCAAACGTCGAAATTTAGAGATAGACCAGCGATAGTAGAATACATATCATAAAACGTCATCATTTTATGAAATGTTCAACTACTTCATACATAATATCAATTTTACTGGTTATACATAACATATTATATTCTTTACTTGACTGTTTTTTCTATGAACATTCTTAAAATTATTGGTTTAATGCAACAATTTTAATAATGAAAATTGTTAACATATGTAAATATTCCATATTTATCTGCTAAAAAAGAAATAAATAACAAATAATATTTAAAAATAATTTAATTTTTTCATCATCTCATTAATGTATATTAATATTATTTGACTAACATAATATAATATATAAACCTTGTGGTTCTCAATAATTGATACACTAGTTTTTTACCTACAAAACGTCATATTATAATAATAGGTAAGCGCAATGATTAACTAATAATTTTTCTTTATAACCAGAAAAGCACAAACAGATCTATCCCATGGGAACCGTTTATTTTTTCGGGATAAAAAGTAACATGTTGTTTGACCGGCAATATCAGCATGCCAAATTTTACTAAATTTGGTGCATAAGTGGTTGTGTACTAAGCTGTATACGTTACTATATTTTTTTAACTATCCCACGGGAACTTTAATTTTCCAGGATAAAAGGTATCTAAAATGTTGACCAGGGATATAAGGTATCAACATGCCATAATTTCATTTATATCGGTCCAACAGTTTCGGAGATTAGCCCGTACACACAGACAAACAGACAGAGAAACAAAAAAATAAAAAAATCTGAATTATTTTTATTTCTCTTCTTACATCCCTCTGACTCGGTATTTAGCATATTTTTTCTATCTACAGACATTCGACCTCTACAGTTTTATTATACCTATGTAGGTATACATTATATTGAAAACTAAAAATTTTGCAGCAAGAGAAACAGCTACGAAATTGTGTGAAGCTAACGAATTTCTACATGGTGAATACATCTTTCAACCCTTGCTAGCTTTAAACCTGTGATTTATCCCCGCTATTGCTAAAACACCTATTTGAAACATTTTTAACTGTAGATAGTTCTAGGTGCCATGAGATTACAATAACTCAATATGTAATTAAGCTCATAGTCCAGTCAAAATAGACGTAAAAATAGAGGTACGTTTACATTATTATGTATCAACTACCGTACTTATGCTAGTAAGACTAGCGACTCACCCTCGCTTCGCTCGGGCTAGACCCTAGCTTGCTTCGCAATACAAACTTTCATCCTCATTTTCACCCCCTTAATGATTTCCGGGATAAAAAGTATGATATGTCCTTCCCAGGGTTTCAGACTATCTTCCTACCAAATTTCATCTAAATCGGTTCAGTAGATCCAAAGATTAACCCCTACAACATCACAAACTCACAAACTTTACTTCTTTATAATATTAGTATAGATAAAATATATATTATTTTGTTGATTAGTGTGTACCAATTGCCAAGACCAGTCTTGCTCCATTGTTAAAGCAAATGCGACAGATAAGGATTTTCATGATAGGTACATATCAATAAAAAGACAAGTGATGCATCTTTCCTAGATCAGTTTACGGATATCCAGCAAGAAGAAGAAGAGGTACCGAAAGTAGCATTTAAAGGTTATCGACTGACTAAAATGTTCACCTAAAATAGCACAATTTTTTAGTTAATAGAATTTGGCCTTGAATAGATTTTTAGCAGATGAAGTATCTGTGGGGTTTTGATATTTTATTTTTAATAGTCTTCCTATATCAACCCCTACAGGTCTGTACTAATTTTCAGCTATGCGAAAAATTGTAAATTGAAATGTCTGTTTTGAGCGGACTATAAGTAAAAAGAACGCATAATTTTAACTGGAAATTCGGCCGAGCCAAAATTGTTCAAAAAAAGATCATTACACATCTGTGATAGGTAAATCATGAGATATATAATGAACAAGATCCTTCCGAAAAATAGATACCTGTAGTGTTTGCTTAAATTCTTTAAATGTTTGTTGAACTCCTAACATTGAACCCTATTCAAATCACGATCTAGCAAACTTATTTAATATATACTAGGGGCTCACCCTCCCTCCCTAGTGTCCCTAGGTACGTTATATAGATATAAAAAGTTATTAGCTAGCGTTAGCCCTATAATTTTTTTTTTGTGAATTTTTCTGCTTAGATACTATGCTATTCGGGACGCAGACAAATCCAACAAATCAAAAATCATGAAAATCGGTCCAGCAGTTCTTGTAGCAGTGTTGTAACAATACCGACTTTGTTTAATATATACATAGATATTAATAAATATACGTAATGTCTATATGTGTGTTTGTTTTAATCATTTTTAATGATCTCTACTAAATCATTCATTCGATTATTATTGATTTTAGGTTATTGACATAGTGAAACTTTTAATTTACGATAGGTGGCACGCGATTTATACGGGATAATTTGAAATTTATTAGCATAGAGTGGCACTGCGTAAAGCCGTAAGGTGCTGCGAGTTGTGTATAAAAATTTAAATCTTTTTTAAAGGATTACAAACTTCATTTCAATCAATCAATAAACGATTAAAAACTGGGTCCAACAATAATTTATTACCCTCATTTATAAAATCTCACTAGTCATATAATATGTTGTGTGGGTAACTAAAACTATTCAGAAATAATGTCTTCAATTCATGTTCCTAAATATATATACCTAGGTATGATATGAAATACCACAAAATATTCCTAACGTGTTTTTAAAGAATCCTATTTCATAAACAAAACCTGATAGTACATCCATACTTTAATATTATAAATGTGAAAGTGTGTTTGTTTGTTAATTTGTTTGTTTGTCCTTCTTTCACGTCGAAACGGATTGGCGTGATTTTTTGTGTGGAGATAGTTGGAGGGCTGGACATTTTTTACCGCGGGAGATTTCCGTAATTCCCACGGGAAAATACTTTATAATACAATCCAAAGAATTATTATGATCAGAATTATTTGAAACTTAGTATTAATTAATGCTCTTCAATAAAATTCAATAAATACGTGTTAAAACACGTATTTATTTAATTTTATTGAAGAGCATTAATACCAAGCATATGCTAAAGCATTTTTCGAAATTCATTCCATACGGGGGTAAAATAGGGATGAAAGTTTGTATAAAACTACCTTTTTAGAGATTTTTTGGAGTTTCAGCGCGAGCGAAGCCGAGGATTCTGCTAATAATATATAAACTTCACTACATAGTATAAACCAAAGTCGCTTCCCGCTGTCTGTCTGTCCCTATGTATGCTTAGATCTTTAAAACTACGCAACGGATTTTGATGTGGTTTTTTTAATAGATAAAGTGATTCAAGAGGAAGGTTTTAGTATATAATTTGTTGAGTTTTTGTATACATTAGCTAAAATATAACGATATTTATTGGAGGTGTCGGAAAAAAATAAGCCGTCTGAACCCTTTGAGCTATAACAAAATAATCTATGGTGGAATTGTGTATCTTATACAGAAAATGCGATGGCATATGTCTATCGCGTAAGGATAATATACTATATCCATTTTTATATAAAACGTACCTAAGGACGAACCCGAGCGAAGCGAGGGTGAGTCGCTAGTATACGATAATATAGAGGCCCATTAACTAAAAGTTTGACGAAGTTAAGGGGAATAGAAACAACACTTGTTTGTAACTACGTAGTATATAATTATACGTAGCAACTTAACCCAAAGTGCTATTGTTTAGATACTGCCAGAATTATTTTGTCTTAACAAAAACAGTCTAAAATATTTGCTTATCTCATTTTTTATTCTACACGTAAGCAAATGATTTATTTTAATTTAGTAGGAACTACACATTATAAACATTATAAAAAATATTATCATCACAGATCATATAATACTATACCTATAATAAAGATATATGTAGCTTTACACTCAACCCTTTATCATATATGGAAGTTGTCAAGTGATTAGTGAACATATTGATTCATGCCTCTGGTAGATGTCATCAATCTTTTAGTTCTCGTACCTATTTCATATTATGTACACACATCATCTTTACCTTTTCTTTATTAAAGTATAATATATCATTTGATTTATTAAATACAAAGGATATTTGATATTGATTTTATTGTGTTTCTAATAAATCAAAATCATTATTTAACATAAAAATATTTTGTTATGTTTAAAAACAGAAATAATAAAATATTTTTATGGAATAATCGTAATACACAAATACTCGTGATACCAGGTTCGAGTTCTTTTTCACTTATCTCTTCTCTGTCAATACTTCAATACCAAGTAGCGATCCCACATTAGCGTCTTAACCGCAAGGATTGGACGAGATTTATCTACGCTTTTCTCAGCCCAGTAGCTGTAACTTATTGACTTAGAAGTACCGACTTATTGAGAAATGCTATCAATTTCAGTTTGAATGCAAGTCTTTTCTATAGCAAACGGTCGATTGCAGTTGCAGCCAAGGTTTATTTATTGTTTATGTCAAAGTAGGTCGATATTGGACACTGATCTACTTTCTCAATATTTATTTAAACTACCGATGTAGTCAGTAAATAACTTACTAATAAACCATAACCAAGGAATTTACGTAACTTTGTTGTCGAAACAAATGTACTGTGAAATTGTTTGATATAGACATCTCATTGCAAAAACTGTTTTTTAGCAACTATAGTACCTGTAACTGACAATAAACATGGGTTTAACTAAACAAAAAATACAGTAACATATTTTTATTATTAACAAAACATGACAGTCAACATAAATTGTAATAAAAACTTAACAAAAGGTGAGCTTACTTAAACAAACCTAGTTAATGGCTTAACTGACTTTGGACATGTCATTGACTTATTTGTGCCCCTTCTTGTAGCCCCAATGCTTGTGGTCCTCGTGTCCACCTTTCTTTCCATGATCATGATGATGATGATGATGCTCATGATGACCACCCTCATCATGATGATCTTTATGGTCATGATGATGTCCTCCTTTTTCGTGGTGACCCTTTTTGCCGTGTTCATGGTGATGGTGTCCTCCGTGTTTATGTCCCTTATGGAATTCACCGCCCTTTTTGTGTCCATGTTCTTCATGGTGTCCACCGTGATGTTCGTGATGGCCGCCATCATGATGATGGTCATGGAAGTGCTTTTCTTTCTTAAATTCGTCATGTTTATGCACACCGTGGTGTCCTTTAGTCGAATGCCCTTTATGATAATGTCCCTCTTCGTGATGACCATGCCCTTTGTGGCCCTTTTCGCCATGATGATGTTCGTGATGATGACCATCATCGTGATGGTGATGCTTCTTATGACCACCATGCTCATCGTGATGCCCTTTGTGCCCTTCATGGTGATGATGACCCTTTTTGCCATGCTCATGGTGATGGTGACCCTTATAACCTTTATGTCCTTTTTCGCCGTGGTCATGATGATGATGTTCATGGTGTTCCTTACCGCCTCCCTTATCCCATTTTCCGCCGTGGTCGCTCGCAGCTTCTGCTAAATCAGCTTCTCTTTTTTCTTTGGGCACCTCCCGACAACTGACGTATGCCAGCGCCGCTACAGTAATACAACAAAGTAATATTATTTTCATGATTCCACTATATCACCTAAATGGAAGCAGGTGACTGATAATTTTGCCAATCACGAGTAACGTTTTATACTAGTTAATTTCTTTAGTAAATACTTGTGTAACTTAAAGTACCAAGGTTGCAACTCTATCGATGATGGTTGCGTCGCAGAAATTGCTCTCTTATAGAAACTATTGGCTAATGTAAGCTTTCATAGAAAAATGATTGAACCCCTGAAGGTAATTCAACTTGGTTTTTCCACATTTAGAAACTTATGATGATTATTTCTACTATGCGACTTTTTAATTAAATATATACGTCTCTGTGTGTATAAATGTATATATTAATGTAGGATCAGAGAATGCAACTAAAATTATGCACATGATAGCTCACCAACTATTTATTATATTAACATCGTGTCGCCATTATGAGTATATGGGTACTCGCTAGCGTGGCTAGGCGGCCCGTTTACAGGTAGCAAGCAGGTAGAAAGGTAGGCAAAAATATCACTTTTCTTAAATTCGAAACGCTGACTTTTATTATATGTTTCATAAAATATTATGAAAAATAAATATACTTATATTTGAAGTCTTTATAAAATACTTAGGCGACTATTTTAATGCCTTTTCTAGACTTGTTTTGTTGTTTTTATTTAAAAGTTCTTTTGATCATTGGCTTCTGTGATTTTATTTTTTTATTCATTTTAAGTTTTAACTGGCATTACCTAACTCACTAATGACAGATATGTTACTCTTGTATTTATCGGAATATTTCTCCTTTAAATTTTTATTGGTATAAGTTTTTTTTGTAAATGCATTTCGATTTTCCAATTTTTTGTTCAGACTCGGACTGTCTGATACTGTAATTGCGCCTCTTTCATAAGCTCCGAACATGACATATTTTGACGTTCTGTTGACGAAGTTACTCGAAGATATGCAATTGTATGCGTTGGCTGCAGATCGATATTTGTTTCTATTGGCCGATTTCACCAACGTCACCTAAGTTTAAGGGATCCTCTAAGCATGGTTAGGGGACAGTTTCTGTTTCACCGACAGTTAGGGGTCACCTAAATATTAAAAGGCACCCTAAATTTAGGTGCTCGAAATATGGACTTAAAGACGATCGTAAAACGAAATTTAATTTAGGGGCTGGTTTAGGGGACTTTTAAGCTAGGAATACCATACGTAGGTGGTAGCTTATGGGTTGTTGGTGAAATCGGGCATATGACCTGTTGAACTTATGTGACTAAACGCATTGCATTTAAAACATTTAACCCCTTTGTCTTTATCTGGGCAATCCATCGAAGACCTGTAGAATTTTTGTTTCTTTTCAATTCTTTCATTTATTTTACTAACTACTAATGTATCATATATTTTAAACTTCTCCTTTAATTTTTTATAAGTACTTACTCCGTAACATATCATTTTATTAACTTCTTTATCTAAAATTCTATCAAAATATATTGATTAGATTCTTAATCTTCCATTTTCCGTCGTTGACCTATCTCCTTCATTATCTATACTATAATAATATTATAGAGGTAAAGTTTGTGAGTTTGTGCGTGGTAATCTCTGGATCTACAGGACCGATTTAGATGAAATTTAGTAAGAAGATAGTTTGAGACCCTGGGAAGGACACAGGATCTTTTACTACTTTTTATCCCGAGAATCAGTTAAGTTATGAAAATTTTCTCTTAAGGGGATGAAAATGGGGATGAAAGTTTGTATGGGGAATCAACCCAGCTAGTAGACATATAGTTTACGAAACTTATCCTGCCGTTTCTTTCTCGCGTTCATCAATTCATGTATCGCTTTTGCATATAAATTGTCCGGAAATTTTTCGATTAATACGGCTTTATGATTATCCCAACTGGTGTATGGTCGCTCAGTCTTCAACCATAGTGCAGCTGTACCTGTAAGGGATCATCATATGACAAGAAGTTTTTGAGCGGAGACCACTCGAAAATTTCCACATTTGAATCTACGAAATACGTCTTACGAAATATCAAGCAAATTCGATAATTTCGTCGCGTTTTGTCACTATAGTTTTCAATAAAATGGGTGACTTTTTGATCCCGGACGAGCCAAATTTGTAGGGTAGGAATACACTTGATAGCTCACCAACTATTTACCTATTATATTAAAAATTACAGATAAGAATGTTCACGCGTTATATTATAAAGAAGTAAAGTTTGTGAGTTTGTGACATTGCAGGGGCCACGGGGTAATCTCTGGATCTACTGCACCGATTTAATTAAGTCTTTAAAAGTTAAAAGAAGGTTGTAAAAGGATATCGTAATCTTCATTAGTGGTAACTGGTACTGGAACTAGTTAATAAAAAATATTTTTGAAGTGAAACTTCTTTAGAATTTTTGGAGATTTGAAACTCGATGAAACGAAAATGCAACACTAAAAAGAGACAAACACATAAATTTATACGATTAAGCCGGCTAGAGAATGAGATAGAATATATTGCCATGTTGCCATGGTAACTGTTGTTATTGACTGACCAATATAATATAATATTCTTTCCCTTTAAATATATGATTGTAATATGGCTAATATGCTTTATTTAATTAATGATTTAATTTAATTGCGATATTTGCCAAAAAAGTTTTACTTCAACCGCGCGTAAAGATTAGACGCGCCCATCTTTTGTATATACAAATTTTCAAATTATGTAATGTGAAAGAAAAAACAATGTTACTTTCCTTATTTTATTCATACAATCTTCAACAAAATAATGGATTACAGACTACATTAACTATACTAAGCCCTATTCAATTCAAACTAAATATATTTCATCCATATATATTTATATCATAAATCACAATACCAACTTTTAGTTGAGGAAAATATTTAAATAAGGAACATACAACTAATCATTTACACACGTTAAACAAGTGTTACACACCTTAGAAAAAAATACCAATAAATGTTTCAGTCCTACATTGGCTACAACATAGCATGGTTTACACATCTGATCGCATAGATATGCCCTCACTGTAAGTATAGTGCCTTAAATTAAAGAAATATTATGAATTTTATTATTCAATATAAACAATTTGTTAAGATTTACGTCAAGGCATATTCATGAGTCGACGGTTGACTTTATATGGTTAATATATTCAGAAGATTATTGTTGGTATTGGAAATGAGATTATTTTAACTGAAACACATAATACAATAAAAGTCTACAGTAAAACAAGTCAGGCTATTTAAATAAACGGACACTTCGCTGTTATTAACTACAAACAATGGGAGTGAAGTTTATATGTTATAAAAGACGTAAACACTTTGATATATTATATTTACTAAAAAGTTCATTGTTTATATTGTTTAGACTAAATGAAGCCAGAAATTTAATTTTTTTTATAAAACCACAAAGCTTACCTTAACTATAAACTTTAAAATTTAAATTGTAGATTTCAAATTTATGATAAAGTAAACCATATTATGTATAGTAACAAATCCTTAACTACATTTATTTTTCTATAAACCACGAATATATATTATAAATTAAAAATTTCTCAATATATTTTATTTCAGATCACATATGGTATATTGCGTAATAAACACATGTTAAATAACAAAAATGACTTAACGAAAAGAGTATAATATAGCTCTGATAACCAGAAGTATTTGATAAACTTATAAACTAATTAAATTATTACACTTTTAAATTGATGGTATTATAAATATGGAAAATATTTTCATATTATCTACTTTTGTATCACTCTTCCTGTTTCGCTTATATCGATTGTATCCAAATTCATAAATAAAGAAATATTGTCCAGCGTACCTGTTTAGATTCAACAGAGAGATCGCAAGAAATACGTGAAACATTAGAAAGCCTCTTTTCGGTTATAATGTATAAATAATATAAAATACATCCATATTAAGTAATTAAGCATGCTTTCACAACTAAACCCAGTCAGTACAGAAAAGGTAAAAAGGTAAGTCTTGATTTAATTTAACAGATTTCAAAATTTAAGTGTAACTGCTTTATTTTAAATATTTTAGAATATCAATAACAGTATAAAATCATAATAAATTCGATACACAATCCCGGAATCTTAAAATTTCAGATTTTTTAAACTTATGGTGTACAAATATTTAAGCAGAAGTTTATATATTTCTTTATAAATTTTATAGAACAGTTCTTGAATAACTACAGATAAAGCATAATTTCCTTAAACAATACGCGCACATTGGCAAAATTATTTTATGCAAGCCATAGCTTGATTATAAAAAATGTGTATATTACAAAAATGATTATGGATTAAATGATATAAGGTGTAGTATAAAATTTATATTAATATATCGTTTTTAATGAAACATGTATTTGCTATGAATGTAATTCATACAAACATTACATAAATAATTACCATAACGCATCTCACGTCGGTAGACTGTAAACAAATATAAGCCTGCGCGCGCCAGTCTAAGGTCTAGTTCACACAGCACTGCAACGCACGTTTCTTTTGCAAGCACAATGAAGGGGTCATGGCATATTAACAATGGTCTAGTGTATATAATGAAAGACTTGGATATAAAACGTGCGGCACACTCAAGTATGAAAATATTTTAAAAACGTGTATTCTATTTATAAAGATTTGAAATATGTCTCAATTAAGATGGAAGCCCCGCTCGTTGGTGGCGGCCAGTAATCTTTCACGGAGTACTTCTTTGCATGAATATTCCGGAAGTTTTAGGTAGTGAACGCAAGTGTTGACTGAGGGATATGAACCATCTCCTGCGTCCACCTGTAAAAGAGATTAAAATAAATTAAGTTTATACCTTAATAACATATAAATTATAATGATAATTTGTTTTATTGACGTTGGACTCAATCTTAAAACTTTTTTCCAGTTTTAATGTTAGTTACTTTTATAGCAAAAGGACAACATTTTAACAGCACTAATAATTGTAAAGAAAGAAATCTAAAATCGTCATTTACGCAAGTCATACTAGTAGAGATAGCCCATCTCATACGAAGACATTTGTCATTTAATTAATGTACTAATATTATATAATAATAAATTTAAAATTTTAAAAAATGCCGACATGTAATTCGCCATTTTGTGATGGCGGCCATCTTGGATTTGAAATTTATCGTAGTGTATAGTACTCTACTAGTCAAGCCCTTTAATTTGATACCCGCATTCAGAGTTGTGAAAAAATATGTAATCCGCCATTTTGTGGCGGCGGCCATAATGGACCGATTTTCACCAAACATAGCCAAGAACACTCTAAATAAAGCAAAATCAAAATTGTTTCATCGGTTCGGGAGCCACGATGTAACACACAGGCACATCAAACTTATAACACCTCGTCATTTTTGCGTCGGGGGTTAAAAATAAATTTTCTTCCCGAAACACCGCACCAAGGGCTCCAGGTTCGATTCCCGAGTCATCACTGTAGGACGTTTATATAAAACAGAACATGCCTTCCTAACAACTGTGAGTCTCGGGTGCAGGTTGGCGAGGCCGCCGGGCGGCAGACTGCTGCAACCCGTCGCAAACTGCAGGAACGCCTTGCGCTCGCGCCACGACATCTCCACCAACACGTCCACGAGGCGCAGGAATCCAGGGCTGAGGAGGAAATGTACTCATTATATGTATGTCCAATTAATTTAACAGCAAACAGCTAAAATCAATAATCTTGAAGATATTACTAAGTTGTGTGAACAACAATATCCGAATTTAAGATTCGTTCAGTCTTTTAGTTTACAATATGATATTTTTTTGTAAAAATTTATTTCTTTTAAATAATACTGTGGGTTGGCACAATAATTCAATTATTACGAGTTCGATTTCGGGCTTGACATTTCTTAACATATCATCATGATAAAAATGATTTTAATTTAAGATAAAATGCAGTAGTAAATCTAGCCAGTACTTGCTCCCACGGAGAAAGCCCGTGGTTATAGTGGTCTGCTTTCAAGCCAGGCCGGCCGTCGCGGCGTCATGGTTGAGTGCATAAGCAATACTGTGACGTCGCATATGAAGGGGAAGATTCTATTAAGTTTCAGTGGGTAGCACTAGCTTTTCATGACAGTGAGTTTCCATATGTTTAAATGATGATGATGTCCTCCTAACTGATTTTGGCGGCTAATCTCACTGAGACAAGCCAACCGCGCAGAAGATATTATAGTACATAATCGTACGCGCAAACACAACGATCACTCTCTATTTCTGTCACTCTCATACTTCCTTGGGACAACAATTCGACACTACCGGATAGAAATCAAGGCACGGAGATGAAACACCGCCAACTTCATAACTTCGGGTTGTTACTGAGAATTTCTAGACAGAAAAAAAACAATAACTAAACTTGTACCTAACCGGTACTGAAACACAAGACTTAATCAGCAGCCGTCCACGCTAGCCGCAAGTCCACCGAGGCGGTTTAGATATAGTGTACCTATCCCTCGTGTAGCCCAGCTTGGGTTCGGTGTACTGCAGCAGGTGTTCGCGCGTCCAGGCGGGCCCGCGCTCGCCGCACAGCAGCAGCCGCAGCTCGGCCGGCGAGAAGGCGCGCAGGCGACGCGGCGGGAACACTGCCGCGAACCCGCGCCGGAACGCGGCCGCCTGCCGCGCCACGCCCGCCGACACCATCCACCGCGCGCTGCTCTCCGCGTACGTGCGCGCGTTCGTTGCGTTCACCTGTATTGCGCATAGGTATATGGTTAATACGTGAACGTTGGCCTTCTTTACTATAAACGGAGGTGATGGGTATCTGTTCGAATAGTTAAAGTAAAAGGAAACATACGCATGAATTCGCTTTAAAAAAGACTTCAATTAAATGAAAGTATTTTCACTTACTATATTTCTGTAACTTCCAGCATGGCGGATACAGTACAGCTCAACATTTATTGTTTAAAAAAAAAGCTATAAAAAAGTCAATATTTTACCTATTTGGTTATTATAGATTAACTATTTATTTATATGAGCTGATGACGCGTGAACTATTATTATTATTTATGGCTCTGCCGCACTAACAAATACTTTTTTAACAACAGCGATAGGACCTTACTCGCCAGTGGCGCCAACTGTTGTTCACGAAGAAACAATAACCTTTAACGTCCGTTCTATAGAAGTAAAGACAGACGATTGTGACTTTATTACCTACACATTTTAATATCAATGAATAACCTTAAAAATAAGTTGAAACAAAAACATAAAAGTAAAATAAACATATTATATGAGTAATAAGTAAAGACCTCGATATGTTCTCCGCCGTCGCACAGTGGGTACACGGCGAGTTCGGGCGCGGTGTTAGAGGCCACGTGCGTCATAGTGAGAGCCAGCTGGTCGAAGGTAGCGCCGTCTACAGTCAAATCAGCAATACGCTTGTCACGTTCCGCCTCCGATATAGACGAATCGCGCTGCAAAGCTTCATATTCTTCCGCGGCCTCTAGGACACTCGCCAAGAATCTAAAATACAAAGTGAAATATTAATTATGTATAAAAGATACATACCAAAAATAAAACTAACATGTCTAAGCCACTGTATACAAGATTAGTGCAAGAGCACTAATCTGCCTTCATCACTAATCTCTGTAAAAGCAAAGTTACCTGTGCCTAATTGGATCGATATCCTGCAAGTCTTCACTCGTTAATTCATCACCACACATTATCCGCAAGAATGGATCAGATAAAGGTAAATCGACTAGCCGCCCATCTTGAAGAACCTATAAATTGTAAAAGTAATTAAATAAAGATCAAAACATCCAAAGTACACATAATATTTTAATACTTATTAAATAGATCTTACCTTAGCTAAAAATACTCCTAGGAACCAGAAATATTTGCATACTTTATCACAGATAAGAGAGTCTTGTGGTAGCGGTGCTGGGAACAGACCTCCTGCACGCGTTACATAGTAACCTGGCGGCTTTTCTGAAGAAATAAAAAATAATCGTGTTATAATTTCAAGTTAAAGTTTTAATTGAGGCATTAAATAATTACTAATACCCGTGTATAATAAAGGTAATCTTTACAGTATAAATTTTAGTAGTTTTTATATATAAAATGAGCTTGAATTCCATTATTTGATAACGTCCAAAGAACGTCCAAAGAAAAAAATATTTTTCGTTAGGTATCAGCGAGGCGCAGAGCCCATCCCTCCATTAAGTTTGCATCGAACTGTAATTCGCTAGTATATATTAAAGATAAACATGTAATATAAAGGTGTCTGTCCACTACACAATCTCATACCATGACCGTGCTAGAACCGTGTCAGGCAAAAACAAATTCTTTGTATTGAAAAGACCGTTCTGTCACCGGACCGGCACCGTCGCTTGCCGTGCACGGAGCGGTAACAATTGTCGGCGCAAATATTTTGCCGGTGTCGGTTCACTCGCGGCGCAATGGTGAGCATACGCAGCACTAAAATTGTTATGTACGGGTATGATACGCTTGATACGTATTAGTGAGAATAGTGGTCCGTGTTATGCTCGTTTCCGTGCCTGATACGTTCATAGCACGGTCATGGTAAGAGACGGTGCAGTAGGCCAGACAGCTTAAAGTGTAGCTCACTCACCATCGGGCAGCGTAAGCGGCAGCGGGGCCAGGTCGTCGTGCGCGTGCGCGGGCGCGTCGCCGAGCCACATGGCGAGGTCGGTGCGCTGCAGCTCGGCCGCCACCAGCGCGTAGAACTCCAGCGTGGGGCCGAGCCCCGTGCCCTCCTCGCCCGCGAACTCCACCTCCAGCACGGACTTGCGGCCCGCGTGCACTTGCATCACCTGTACGTGCACGGCATTCGTTTGTACTCACCATTTCGGTTTTTATTATATTCCAAAAAACTTTTATCAACTTACACATTTGAAGATTAAATATTGTCTCAGTTTGCCACTACTAATATCGTACTGTAGCTAGCAACGATTTAAATATTATTAATTTATTGGTTAAATAAAATTTGTATGTTAATAGCAACATGTGATGTCAATTGTTTGCACATTCAATTGACCATTTATTAATCTCAGAGCAACTAAAAGAATAATTTTACTGATAATTGAAAATTAATGGGTTTTAAGGCCTACAACAAGTGCTTTTAGAGAAATTATCTTGAAATTATTGATTAATGGTTTGAATCAAATTTTTGTTATCTATTTTATTACAAATATTGTTAATACTTGTAAAAAACACAATTATTGTTAATTATGGTGTAATATGAACAAAGTATTAATAAAAATATCTCAATAACCTGCATAGCAGATCTTAATAAATTGGGGTGGCGCGGTATCCGCACTCGCTCGTGTCTTAAGCGACCCATTCGGAATTCTGTTGCCTCCAACTCGGCCCGCCTTGGTGACACAGTATTTCCAGTCCTAAAACAAAATAAACATTACTTACTGAGAATAATTTTTTCCATCAACTAAAGCTTTTTTCATAGGAAAAATATATATTTTTTTCTAATAAAAATAATAATAATATAAGGAAATAGTATTAACATTCAATATTCTATAGCCATTTTTTTTCCAAAATGCATCTCTAAATATATACATATTTAACCACGTACGTATGTATTGCTTACCTTTGTCTGTCGAGCGCGCGGTCGCGCTGCGCCTGCAACCATACAATAGTCCGGGAAGTGCCAAAAGCTGTACATGCAAAGAACATTTGCCTCGTCTCCAACGGGAACAGGAATGGACACCAGTCGTTTAGTTGCTGGCACCTATCGAAAAGTAAATAGAACTCATTTTTTTAACTAACCAATCTATCTTCTATCTATATAAATAAAAATGAATCACCGAAATATATGTACGCGCATAACTTCCGATTGACGTTGCCCGTGTCATAAACACGACAGTACCGCGCGTCGACAGCAAGTAAAATCCCTTATTTTATTACAGATAATGGTTATATAATGATACATTATTTAAAAGAAAAAAATATTTTAACTCCAGGAAAAAGGGCTGAATACAATGCGAAACACCACTTATTCAATCAATGATAATCTATGACCTCTGGAAATCTACTTCATGAAATTGGCATTTTAAATTGGCAGACAGGTACTTTATTATTAGATAGAAGATGTCAGCGAAATTCGGCGAGTGGACAGAATAAAAGGTGGTATTAGGTCGGTCAGAAGGGTTAGTTTATATGAAAGTCCTGTTTATGGCGATATGAGAGACGTAAATGTGAGATATTCCGATTGCAAATAAATCAAATAGCGGGCGAAGTCGCCGGTAACGTAGTACATATGATCTCCAAGCAAAAAAAATTACCCGAGAAGCGGGTAATTTTAAGCGATTTTTGGTGGCGGGTAATTTTGACGGGTATTTGCATTGAGCGGGATTAAAGTATTTTAGTTTAGCTGATTAATTTGATATTTTAAGTTTTTTTATGTCTGAATCAATAATTTAGAGCTGTTTAATTGAAAACTTATTACAATGACTTTTTTTCTAACATTAGTACTTACTTTTATTCTATAGAAAACATGAATAAATTACTTAAACAAACTATTTTCGGGTATTCTGCTCGTGGTTGGCGCCGGCGGGATAAACCGGGTATTTTGAGGTTTATCGGTGGGGTAAACTAACGAGTGTTATCTGGCAGCCGTTGCCACGACATACCAGTGCGGCGTGGCGGCGGCGGCGAGCGTGAGCGGGTCCTGCAGCTGGTGGTGCAGCTTGTTGGTGAGCTTGGTGGAGAGGAAGGCGGCGGCGGGCAGGCCGGGCGCGGCCGCGCGCAGACGCCGCAGCGCGCGCACGCAGCAGCTCACCATGGCGCCCGTCGGCCCCTCCGCGCCCCACACGCCGCGCTCTGTCGTGTGGAATTTATAGTAATCGTAACTTTTAACGTACGAGATAAAAAATAATTATAACTAAATGATGTCAAGGCAGTGATAGCCCAATGGTAACGCATTCGATTGGGAAACAGAGTGAAGCGAGTTCAAATCCCGGATCTCGCAACTCTGACATTTTCATGTGCGAATCATTTTCAACATGATAATTATTTGTTAACGGTAAAGGAAAACATCGTAGGAAACCTGCGTGTCTAAGAGAACCTAGCCAGTTTTCAAAAGACATGTGAAGTCCGTCAACCCGCACTTGTAAAGCGCGATGGACTATGGTCCGATTGCCCTCGTACTGAAGGGAAGCCCGTGCCCAGCAGTGGGATGTTAAAATGGGCTGCATACATACATATTAAACGATGTCAATTTTAATTTTAATTAATTATAATAATAATGTGTGACCACACTTTCGAGACTTCTAAAATCTTAAGTCTCTCATGTGATCATGATTGCTGTAAAGCATTCGAAATGTCGAAAACCAAAAATCAAAATAAATCCATTTGTTTTATTTAAAATGCCAAACATTCGCGTAAATCTAAGAAAGTATACTGTATAAGCAGTCAAAACTTTACAAGTGAGCAAAAAAATATACTTAAGTTAAAAATATGTATATGTACAACAATATATTTATTTCAGTAAGTTACAAGTATTATATGTATAGTAGTATATATTGTTGCAAATATACCAAACAAAAAATATCACATAAATAAATTGTCACATATAAACGTAACTCAGATTGTAGGTACAAGAGTCCTAAGATTTTATCACTCACCCGGATCGCCTGGCTCATCGTCTTCACTATCACTAGAAGAAGCGAATGTGTCAGCACCCTCAATTTCTTTATACGTCAACCTGCAAAGAAATAATTTATTGACTGCTTTTATTTAACACTTAAAAACAAAATTATCCAAAAGTAAACTAAATTAAACATAACTTACGTATACGTCATATCTCTGTGAGTATCATGGGAAGGCAATCGAGAATTCAGCGCTAGAACAGCTCTATAGATGGTCCAAGAAGGTCTCTCTAGCGGGAAAGACACTCCTCCCGCACTCAGGACCAAACGTAATGCCGGTAGTTTAGTACTTGCTGGTGGCGTATTGCCATTGGCTTCGGAAACCGTGGCACTTGTTGTCGCTTCCATGGTGTCTTCAACGTCAGAATCGTCGTTTAGGGGGATATCGAGATCTAAAATTTAACAAAAATATCATATTATTATACTATGGTTTACGTTTGGCCTTTGCTCTACTACTTAACAAGCTCTGAAAAACAGTAGACAATCAGGCAGTACATTATAAGTTTTTAAATGAAAATTTGTTTTTAAGGACATTCATATTGAGCAAAATTTATGAAATAGTTTTTCAATCGTTCAAACTAAAAATGATGTATGAACAATATTGTTTTTTTAATAATTGAAAAAAACTTCCTTTTATACTCCCTGAGTATAAAAGGAAGTAAAGAACAGTAAAAAATTTAAAAAATTAATAAACTTTAAGCATAACTTAAAATAGGAAGGAAGGATAGCCCAAATTAGGTTTGTATACTTTCCTTTACATTCAATGTGATATCTGTACTATACCATTTGTGCTATTAAACACTATTTCGTTTTCTAAATGATATTAATGAACTGCCAACATATCACTCACCAACAGTTTGATTAAGATTGGTTCGTCCAGGACGCGGGTCGAACGCTGGTATGAGCGCGGAGAACTGTCGCTTGAGCACAAAGTCGTCCTCCCAGGGCTTGCGCGAGCGCGCGCTGCCGCCCGCGCCCGCGCCGCCTCGCACCGCCTCTAACGCCTCCTCCTCCATTAGCGACAGGAGATTTCGTGATACCTGTTAAAATTGCACTTGTGTACTCAGAGGAGGATCTATATATAGGCTTTTTGGGCTGCAGCCCAAGGCCCCTAAGATATAACGAATTTATAAAGTAAAATAATATCTAAAATAAAAAAATTAAGACCCTAAGATCAATTAAGACAACAAAACAATAGCATTATTTTAATTTCATCTATAGTCTGATTTTTAATTCGACGGAATTCTGACATTTCAGAAGTGTTGTCAACTTTGAAACATTGTCACTAAAAACGGAAAGCATTTTAGCAAAATAAAAAAATAAACCTTTCTTTAAGTTAGGGTTTCAATTAGAAAACTAAGACTTAAAAAATTATTGGTAACTCTAAAATGGTAATTATTTTTTTTATTATCATATTATGGAAGTTACCATAATTATTAAGGAAATTATTTTTCTATTACAGGAATCCCTGTCCAACAATCCATAGGTTGCAAACCTTTTTTAGGAAAACCCCTTTGTTTGTAAAATATTTTGTTTTACTCTGTTTTATTCATTTAACCATTAAACATCTACAATACAGTTAGCGTGCATTGATTGCACAAAATAAAAACTTTGTACAATGTCATACATATAGTTTACTTGATCTAATTCTGTTTCATATTTTTTGTTATTTTATATTAAAAAAATACAAAGCAGAAAAGGTTTATGATATCTGAATTGTCAAAGAATGATAGCTGTCATATTTCCATGGAATTAAAAATCTGACTTTAGTACCATCTATCTTATAGATTTGATAAAGACAAAATGACAATTATTTAAGGCCCCCAAGAAGTGATAGCCCAGGGCCACCCCAAATACACAATCCGCCCTTGTGTGTACTATTGAAGTGAGAATTTCTATAGAATTTACTTAAATTAAATAAATTCATGTAAGTCGTCATCGACAGGGTCACGTGACGTGTTGACGCTAACACTCAAGAGTGCCGATAGATGTCAAAACCGGATAAATGTAAAGAGTTTTAATTTACAAATCTTAATTTATGATCAAAAAATTAATTTAAATATTCAAAAATAACAACTGTCTGTTTATGTGTAGTTTTAAATTTTCACTTACGTCGGCAGTCCTCATGACTGCTTTTTTTATGATATTGTTATTTGGCCCTTATTAACGTCCCTCTGCTGGGCTTCAATTGGAGAGAGATCAGGCCATAGTCCACCACGATGGCCAAGTGCAGATTGGCGTACTTCTCATGTCTTTCTAAGTATAAAAACTTGCTAGGTTCTCTTACAGATGAAGGATTCCTTATAATGTTCTCTTTCGCCGTTAGACAAGTGGTAATCATGTTGAAAACACTTCACTTATAAAATATCATAGGTGCGACACCCGGGATTTGAACCCGCTTCACTTGTTTTTGCAAGCAAGCGCGTTACCACTGGGCTACCACTGCCTCGATTTTATGACCCTTTCTTTGTATTTCTTGTGATTTTCGACCAAGATATTGATATATGAGTTGTTGGGATAAAAAGTAGCCAATATCCTCCACCGACCCATTTTTAATAATTTCGTTAGGGAAAACCCTCATGAGATCGTTGCCGACTATCAACGGTCAGAGGACTGTGAGACTCTTACTCACTAATAACCACAACGGAACCTTATCGCCACAGTGCTATGGGGCGTTTCGGGATTACTTGCGCACACACTACAAAACCCCTATTATTCTCCGAACCATATACTATCTTAAAATAAAAAAAAACTATGTTGACACGTTAACAATGTAAGTATTAGTAAGAATATAATTCCAATTCACAAAAAGATTATACCCATTTTTGTTAGCAATCAATATTCTTACTGAATAGTGAGAATATTTATATGTCGATTTCTTGTAACAAAATTCAAATATTACTTACCACTTCTTGATATGAAGGTTCGTTTTCTTTGTCACTGTCGAGAGCGTCGTCACCTTCATCATCGTCTTCCAGTTCCGTAAGAAGAGCCGGAGCTCGGCACGATTCAAGAAAATCTTCTAATGATACCTGCAAAACAATAATTTTATAATATGAACAAAAACTCTATAAAAAAACAAAATATTAAAAATATATTTTAATAGGAAAAGACTGTCGTAACAACAAGAGTGCGTAGTAACTTATCAATAAAGAAAATTAAAACACATTATAGTAAATAGAAATTTAATAAAAATACAAGTTCATTAACATCAGTGAAAAAATGAAATAAAATGTACATTTTAACACATTATTGTAATATACAACTAGTCTGACATCTAACTAAATATAACAATTACCTGTTCACTTTCGCTAGTAGTAGAAGATAGAGATAATGTCAATGCGTTTTGCGCATTGGGCGCTAGAGATGGGTAGCTCTGTGCTGCAGACAGCAGGCCGCCGGGGAAATTACTGGACAACGCTAAACGCACCAAACTAAAAAACAAACACGAATCGGGTATAAGTATAATATGAAAACAATTGTTTAGGGTCATTTTTAATTTACTGAAAACCTTTTGGGAATATACTATTTAAATCATAACAACAACATCTGTAACAAGAAAAAAATAATATTTCTCAAATTTTTATTTTCATACAAAAATAAAAATATTTTTTTTGCACCTTTTAAACTTTAAAGTTCTAGCATCTGGCTAAGTTTGAATGAGTAAGCGCGGCTTCCTACACCCCTCCACCCCTCCCCCTCCACAGGACACGCACTTTCTTTTGCTAATGCTGGACTATTACCGTTTAGAAGGTGCAATAAAAATATATTTTTTTTTGTTAAATTTAAGATATATTATTTATTTTTTCTTACAAATGTTGTTGTTATGTTGTAAATAGTGTATTCCCAAAAGGTTTTCAGTAAATTAAAAATGACCCTGTATACTCGTACTAGACATTATTATTGCCTATATTTTACTGCAGGTCATAGATACATAGGTCTGTATATCAAATATCATCCGTCCAGCCATTTCAGCGCGAAAGAGTAACAAAAATACACACATACACATACAACACAAAATATATACAAACTTTCACAATTATAATGTCAGGTTATATTAAAATAGGTTTGTACGTACCTGGGAAATAGTCCCGTTGAATGATTAGACCGTGCGACGCGTTGCGTTGCGGACCCGCGGCCGACGCCCGCGCCGCGGCCCACGCCCAACGACTCGAGCAACCTGGCCGCACCCTGCACAACAGAAATGTACATAATTCTGTCCCAAAAAAATCCAAAACATGCAATAAATCTAATTGTAAGAGAACAACTTCCCTATTAGCCGGATATACAAATACCCGAATGCAATGCTAACGTATTCATGACGGTTTAGTATTATAGGAAAAACTTACGGCACAGTGTAAGCGTGCCTGTTTCAAAGTGAAAAAATGTTAAAACTAAGGACCTCTTACAAAAAATGGGTACATGTTTTCATGTATTAGTCCCGTTCACATTATACCTACTAAATGAATATAATTTTAAATGGAATTTTATGAGAATTATTCGCGTATAATTTATTTAAATCTATAAAAGACTAACCTGTTGCGTGAGATCAGGCTCACTGGCACTCATCGCGCCTCCTGAAGCTTGAGCGTCCTTCTTGTGCTCGCCAAACTGACCTTCGCCGCCTTCATTTTCCTCGCACTATAACAAAAATAATATAAGGAATTTAAATATTATAATAACGATATATTGTAAAGCATATAACATTAAAATAGAATTTTATAGCTTAATTATTTAAATTTTAGTACACAACAAACGATGCTGTTATATCAACAAATCAGTTATGCAATAATACTCTTACAGCTTTTATTTTACATTTATTAAATTTTATTAAGATACATAAGGTTACGATAACATTTGTAAATATATTAAAGTTATGTGTTCATTCAGCAAATAGTTAGTCAATAATAAACCTATTACTTATTATTTTAGATATCGTAACGTTACATGCTTCGAGCGACAATACAGCAACGCTATGACCATCGCATTTTAACCTATATGATAAAAATCAAAGCTGTTAGTTAGTAAGCCGTACATAAGAACGTCTAGCCGATTTGGTTATTTATTAAAACATATACATAATAGTCTATGTAAGGCTTTTAGATGAAAAAAATAAGGCAAGTTACGAAATAATTAGGAAATTCGGAACAAACTGAAAGTGTTTTAATCTATGCATTTTGTATGACCTACAACATAAATAAAACAGAAATTGACACAGGATGTCTGTCGGGTGAGCTGTCGGTGTGAGTGGTGGGTGTTGAACGCGATGGTGATACGCGTGTGCTGTATGTACCTGTATATGCAGCCTGTTTGCGTTATTGCGCAGCGTGTGCAGCAGCGAGGCGGGCAGCGCGGGCAGCGCGAGCAGCTCGCTGGACAGCAGCGCGTTGGCGCTGTTGCGCATCGCGTCGCCCGCGCGGCGGCGGGCCCGCTCCTTGCGCACACGACACATGCTGGCGTCACCGTCGCACCCGTCACGCACTCGTCACGGGTGCGGTGGTGACGCCGGACAATAACACAAACGTAACTAGCATATCCGGTTAGTGAATTGTCACTACGTCGTTACATTTATATTTGTTAGTTGAAAGGTTTTTATTTAAAATTTTATTAACACACTTATCAAAAACACATCAAGCGATATAATATAATAAGTCAGATTATAAAAAAATTAGATAGAGGGTAGCAATTGGAGTCTGAAATGATATGTCATTTATAACGCAATGTTCACCCGCAGTATATCCAAAGTAACAGAAAGAAGCTAAATTAACAAAGTGTTATACAGATATGCATTTGTAAAACAATTAAAATCTTGTATTAGAATCGATTTCTTATATAGTATTAAAAATGAATCGATTTTTCCTCTTTCTATTTCGTTTCACTTTATTTATAAACTTACCTCTTGCGAGGTAGAGTCCGGTAAAGGTTCTTTGGCAGGATACGGTTTTGTTATATCCGTTATACTTGTAGGTCCCATTTCCATATTAGTGAATGATGTGTTTCCTAAATCTGTCATACAGTTGTTGCCTTCTGCGCCCAATGTAAGTGATTCTACTATTGTAGCTAAATCTAAAAATAAAATTTAATAAAAATTTCTATTTGTGTGAACATACATATATGCATACATATGGGAATTTTTACGTATTTCAAATATCATATCGTTTAAGATCTATAATATAAAGTATTACCAATATTACCAGTATTGATATGATGTGTCGATGTGTTAATGGCGGATAAGTCAGTAGCATGACCGCGCGGCCGCGCCATGTTGCCGCCTACTTCTTCCGATATATTGTCAGCTGACGACGCCTGTTCTGTTGACGCGACTGATACCTATATGAATATAAGTAAATTAATAAACATCACCTTCATTTCTATCTTGCATTTATTATTTATTTTGCGCACTTTTATATAAAACTAGCAAACAGACTTCTCCATCCTCGCTGGGTTTTAAATCTATATTATATTCTAAATAAAACTTTGCCACTTCTTTTAACCTCTTTACTGTTTATGTTCAGAAGCAATTATCATAATTTTTATTTATAATATAATAAGGTATTATACCTGTTGATCGGCCGTGGCATCGGGTAGGCTTGGTGTGGAGTGACTCTTACGCGAGGAGCGCGCCCCCTCCCCCGCACCGCCCGCGCCGGCGCCACCGCCGCCGCCTGCACCGCCGCTAACCACCTTCAAATCGAATTTACCCTCGGCGCCCATACGGTAAGAATTTCGTCCACCGTGGTCCCACCTAGTATTAATTAATGTAGGTAAGATAACAAGTGATAAATTAAAAATTTAAAAAAAACCCCAACCATCTTGGACCGTTTTGCATAAAACATAGCTAAGAACAGTCCTCCCGACTAATTCACCTTTCAAACAAAAAAAACAATCAAAATCAGTTCATCCGTTCGGAAGCTACGATGCCACTCACACATTTACACACATCAGACTTATAACAACCCGTTTTTGCGACAGGGGATAAAATCGATAAATTTATTAATTATTTTTAAGCTTCTGTTCACTGTTTGCAGGAACATTCATTTAATTTAATTTAAACTTGGTCTTTATTTCTTACTAGCGGCTCAAACTCGCTTCGCTCGGATTCGCCTTTAGAAAAACAAAAACAAATCTATCTCACGGGAAACATACATTTTTTTGAGATAAAAAGTAGCCGATGTGTTATTCTAATGTATAAGCTACGTTATTAAAGTTTTATTAAAATGCATTCAATACTATGTGAGTGAAAGAGTGAACAAACACTCGCATTAATAATATTAGTATAAATTATATTATGAGATTAAATAGCTGAAGTTGATCGTTAGACGAAGTAATCTTATACTGTATATAAAAACTAAGTGAACAATAAAAAAATAAACAATAAAAAAGTCCTACCTAACATCGACCCATCCGTTATGCAAATCGGAGGTGACAGTGCCCATGGCGGGGTGTGGCCCATCCTGGTCGCGCCACTTCCAGTCGGGGCCGCGCAGCACGCGCGCGCCGGCGCCCACGCCGCGCGCGCCGCGCGACCAGCGCCGCGCGCGCGCGCCGCCCGCCCCCGTGCTCGCTGTTGCGCTCGCGCCGCCCACTTGCCGCGGGGGCGTTTCTACAACGCTTACCACCTTGGATACAATTTTCAACTTTATTAATATACATTTTTTACATGCGATTCTGATCGCATAATTAAAAAAAAACAAATTCCATTTAAATCTGTTGAGCCGTAAAAAGAAGTGGTAGCCAGTGGGGCTCATTAGCGTCCGGAACCCAACTAAGCGCGAAGCCAAGAGACACACAAGAAGGTGGCCCACTTCGGTGGGCAGTGTACCATGTGGGTAGCACCTAGTACTTCTCTGACAGCAGGGGGGACCGTGGGAACCCCTTGTTTATGTAGTCTGTTTCAGCAGTCAGGGCGTCGTGGTCAAGTGCGTAAGCAATCCTGCGACGCCCTATTAAGACGGGGGAGGTTCTATTGGATTTTAGTGGGTAAGTACTGGCTTTTCTAGCCGGTGAGTCCCACATAATTAATTACCTGTATGTATACAGGTGGTATGCGTAAATGCATTTCCCAACATTAAAAAAAGGGGTAACGCGCTCGTTTGGGAAATCGATTCGCACCTCTAATATTTTCATGTGCGAATCATTTCCAATATGATTACCACTTGTCTTACGGTAAAGGAAAACATCATAAAGAGACCTAGAGACTCTCAAACACACACGAAAAAATCTAATAAAATATTTTAAAGTGTATATCTTTATGTGAAAATGTGTTTTATGAAACCATAATGGTGAAACCATTTTCAATATCTAAGTACACTTACAACTCACATTTTATAAGTAACTGGGACTCGCATTAAACTATATTATTTCTTGTATTAATTCAAAACGTGTTAAAGTCCCCATCACATCAATCATATACTGGAGCAAGTCAATAGGTTGATTGTTGAGCAGCACCAACCTTGCCATATATCTCGAGGCCAGAGAGCGACAGGTAGCAGCTCTGCCCGCTGGCGTTCTTCCCGTTCTGCTGCACGCGCAGGTAGCGGTAGAGCGCGTCGCAGCGCACGCGCCACGTGGCCGTGCTGCCCGGCTCCTGCAGCGCCTGCTCGTCGCTGTGCGCCACCAGCGTGTTCCAGCTCACTCCGTCCATTGACATCTGGTGGGTGTCATGGTTAAATGAAGTAAAACCTTATTTATTCACTTACTAGCGACTCGGTTTCATCCCTAGGTACGTTTTAATTTTTTTGAACGGAAGGCTAATTCTTTTTCTAAAATAAAAGTAGCCTATGTTACTCCCTATAACATCAGCTATCTTCCAGTGAATGTCCCGTCAAAATCAGTCCAGCCGTTTCGGAGGTTATCCGGAACAAACAGACAAATATTTAAAAAGTTGCGTTTTTCTTATAAGTACCGTATATAATTTCAATGCATTAAGTAAAACGCTGTTATTTTGACATTACAAACAGACACTTTTATTTATATAGATTAGCGACTAACCCTCGCTTTGCTCCGTCGTCTGAGTACTTTCTTAGATGTCTAACAATAGCCTGTGTTACTCTAGGTTTTTTCTAATTCCGTCTAAACGTTTCAGCATGAAGAAACAAAGATAAGCTTTCGCATTTATAATGGACCGACTATATATACTATTCTTTATTGCACTTATATGTAAAATACAGAGAGTAACAAACAATAAAATTAGTTAGCAAAGACTATTATAAATTAGAACGTGTGAAATTTCACTCGTGCTGTGGTGGGAAGGATTATGGGAAGGACTATTTAAATCAATTAAATAAAGTGGTTTTCATAACATGTCAGCTATTGTAATTGTTACTATACTCAATATAAAAGGGATATTTAAAAACATTTTAGCAAACATACCTACGTTTTAGTATAGCACGTTTTCAGTTAATATTAGTTTAAATTGTATAATATGTGAACTTAAAAATTGACTTAAATTAAAAAAAAAACAACATATTAATAAAATCATGTACATTGAACCAATTTATGTTGTTGTTCTGATTATCACTCTTAATTGGTGAAAGTATAGAATACATTCACCAATTGAAATAATCACACAAATTGAACGCCAAGCTTTGTCTTAACGTAAGAAACAAATATTTACATTATTGGTCACTAATCACTTGGGCACAAACTATTAATAAAGTATATTTAATTTAGAATTTTTGAAATTAGTAGCAAATAAAAAATGAAAAGGGTCACTAACTTGGAACAACCAATTTCTGAGAGCAGATCGTCCATATCCTCTAGCATGTCTTAGTGTATAAGCTGATGGTATAATGTGTACTCCTAAATCCACAGCTATAAAGGCTCGTCTGTCGTCATTGGTGTGAACATTTAGAGGTTCTGGTGACCTGGAGAGAGCATCCTCTGCACGTCCATATGGCAACTGACGACCGTCCGAAGACCATACGCTGACTAATCCATGTGCCCCAGGATTCACCCATTCACAGGTTCCACCATTGCTTCCGATAAAGTATAAAACACCATTTTCGTCAAAATCATGCTGAAAAAGAAGATCAATGTTCTATGAAAATAGGAATTGACACTATATGTAAAAACTAGAACTATTAATAACTATAAAATAAAACCTTTATGTGTAATGCAGGCAGTATTCTATTCATATAATACTAACGACTCGACCTTCACTCGGGTTCCTCCCTAATTAATCATATACAAGCAACGATTTGGCTTAGTGCAGGCAGGTATAGCGGCTATTTAGCGCATTTTACTCAGATTTTATTTGCAAATATTAAGATTTAAAACAGCCTAAATCAGTCAGGGATAGTGTTACTTTCTACTAGTGAAACAATTTTTGGAATCGGTTCAGTAGTTGCAGAGATTACCCCATGCATACAAACAAAGTTTACCTTTATTATATACTACTATTGCCCGCGGCTCCGCCCGCGGTCAGATAACAAAAAACCAAACTCTTAGGTTTTACATATTAGTATATTCTCACATTGCAGTTTTTCTATTTTTCTCAAAAATAAGATATTTTACTGCGGTAAAAAGTATCCTATATGTTGACCCGGATAACCAGCTATCACCATACAAAATTACATCAATATTCCTCCAGTGGTTTTTCTGTGATGCGGTAACAGACAGACAGACAAACAGTAATTCTAAAAACAATAAATTCGGCCTCTTTATCGATAATAATGTTTATTTCAATAATATTTTTCAAAAAATATCTAATGTACAGATTCGGCTTGGTTACAATTTTATTATATGTAAATAGTAGTATAGATTAAAATAAACTATTTTATTATTGAGTATTAGTTTTGTACCTTTCTTATACTTACATCATATGTAAAATTAAGTGGTGCTTCAGCCTTTATCTTCTGTACAAAATGGAAGGTAGATCGCTCCATGTCATACCACTGGCGAGCGACAGATTTCGCCAGGAATCTCTCGAGCTGACGTACTGTCGTTAAAGCTTCGACTTTTAGGTTTCGTCCCGCATTGTTATTGACGACGGATTCCTCTGATATATCGTCGCTTGCACGCTCGACGCGAAGTCTGCATGTTACAAAATGTTTTAATTATAATAACTTTGAAAAACAAAACGTTACATTGAATTTAATTGTAATAAATAATAATAATGTCTTCCGAACTAATTTCAGACACGGCGACCAAACTTATTCAGACTGGCTAGCTGTACGGAAGATATTATAGTGCACAAGTATAGAAAATCAAATATATGACACTTATTATTATCTCCTTCGCGATGAGTATTTAATGCACAAGAGCAAACAATTTAAATGTCCGAACTAGGCCAAAGATAATAGTTATTCTCACGGGGAGACTACGAGGACTGCTCGAGAGTGAGCGCCGCGTGAAATATAATGCTCTAAATACATGAAAGCCGAACCACATAAATGCAATATACAACGAAGTCTTAACTAGTAAGTTTCCATAATATTTTGTTCGACTTACGTGAATATTTGACATTTATAATAAAATATTTTTGGTTTTTAGCAAGCGAACGGTTCTATGCGAGCAGAGCCGCGGGTGTACAGTAGATATATTAACATACCTAGTCCGTAAATAAAACTATCTTTTTGGTTTATTTCGCGGATTTATTTTGATTTTTGGTTCCCGGCGTTTCGAATACTTTACAGCAGTCATGATCACGGGAGAGACTAAGTTTTAGACGTCTCAAAGGTCATTTATATACTTATATATATAATGATAACTTGTATATAAATCCATGAAAAAATCCGAAAAGATAGTTTTATTTAAAATGTCAAAAATATTAGCGTAAACCTAATCCGCTTGGTGAGGTGATGCAGCGCGGCGGGCTGGTGCGCAGGCGCGTCGGGCGCCGGCGTCAGCACGGGCAGGCGCTCCACGCTCTCCAGCACGCCCACCAGCCGCGCCGCCAGCGCCGCGCCCGCCGCCTCCGGCCGCGCCCACGTGCGGACGATACGCTCTCGCTCCGCCAGTTGGCCCGGTGCGTCTAAACACATGGGGAGACGAAGTGGTTTTTTTTATTATAATCGATCGAGATCCCACTGCAAGATTACTACGTTCATTGCGTATTTAATCAAAATCATTTTTATATACAATAATAAAAGGGACAATATGTTTTGACCGGGGTGCCTATTCAAATGTGCTCGCTAGTATGTTTAATTAACTAAATAATAGTTGACTTTTTGGAATAATAACGATGCATTTGTTATTACAATGAATTATACTCCACTTCACAGAGCTATACGTAGAGATCTTGAAAAATGATAGCTGCCGTTGCGCATTTGGCCGCAACCTCTTTGCAGCCAGGTATAGCGGGTCATATTTTGGTATGTTTATGCGTTCATAGCGTACATGCATCATTTATATATCAAATTAAAGCTAATTTTTTTCTGTGCATGATAAAATACCTCTCACCTAAAAAAGTATTAAAAGTGGCACATTAGACTTTAGCTTTTAGATGATCGGATATTTACCAAGTTAGGACAATTAAAATAAATTACGAAGAACTATGATGATTAAAACAATAATTTATAAACAAAGCTAATACTTGATAAATCACATTTTTATTCTACCTTAGCTTCTTCTATCTTACCATTCGGCTGTGGTGACAACACTTGCAGTAGAGCTGGCGCAAGGCCCGAAGACTGAAGTTCATAGGCTGACAATAATTCCTCGCCACATAATAACTCCGTTAACTGATCTAATGACTCCCTCAATTCTTGACGCCAATCTCCTGAAACAGGAAAGATATACATTAAACTAAAATTTTGCTAAAATAATAAATACAAAAGTTAAGAGTGTATATGTAAACTTCTTCGTCCTGAAACGACTTAACGGCTTTGAATGATATTTCAAATAGCGATCCATGCCCAACTACGCAAGTGAAGCCGCGGAACTAAAAGACTCGTGGTATATAAGCTCAACCTTATTAGTGTTAGGAAAAACTTTTGAAGAATGAAACCACTTGCTACATTTACTTTCATTGCCTTTAAAATAAAACTACCTTTCTTACTTGCTTCCGAAAACTTAACTGTAAAGATAGAATGTTGACGTCTCAACAATTAGGTTTCCACTTACAAATAGGTACAAATAGGTATTCCGACTAAAGAATTATATAAACGGGGTCCGCCCAAAATAGTCTCAGTAGCGTGATTTTTCTGTTTTTACTATTAATCCCGATTTCCTGATGTTATAGAAGTCGATACATTCTTCAATGAAAAATGGTTTTTTTATTAAATTTTATAGTTAAAAAACATGTTCAATATTTTTATAATGTTTTTTTTTAAGTTAACGATTATAAATTGAATACCACCAAACCAAAACCAATAAAAACAATTATTTATATTTTTTTCAAGAGATTTTTTTCAGGAGACTACATGAACACCGGTACTCTACTAACACATTGACATTATTGCCTAAATTCATATTTAATTCTATGACAATCTATAATAAGATTATTTTATTCTACTTATTACAGACAATAAGTATTACATTTTATAGCATTAAATGAGTAATTCTTCTATAAATTACATATATATTTATTTTGTGTATTACAATAACAATTCGGATCAAATATTTACGAAGGTTTTACTTTTTAAATTTGTCTATAGTATGTATAGGTGTATTTTCTGTAAAACTCATTTTTTATCTTTTCCATAAACCACCGAGCGAAGTTCTGTCGTCCAGTTGCTATAATGTATTTGCCGAATGAACTAAGCACTGAGATTTTGCGCTTCCACGTGATTAGTTGCAGATAAGACTCTTAGGCCGCGATCACAATGCAAGTCATAATAATTATTAGTCCCTCATTGCATTCCGTACCGTTCAGACGTCTCTCGTGTAATTACTTGATTTATTATCAATGTATGAGATGACAGTGAAACGTCGGAAAGTGAAAATTAATAAATAATGTATAAAAATATTTAAAAATAATTAATTACTAAAGCATTACCAACATGTACGAGCCCTACGATTTCAAACCAGTTGCAAGCGTTAGTGGGCGGAGCTAGATAGCTTTCTGTCCTTATCAGTTTGTATGCTAATGTGGGACAGAGAAAGCGCTTTGCATGGTTGACTCCGTGAATAGAGTGAAATCAAATACAGTGTAAGCATGTTTGTTACCAGTGGGCTGCACGGCGAGGCACTGCAGCCGCGCCAGCAGCGCGCGCAGCCGCGCCACGGGCGCGCGCGGCTGCCGGCCCGCCGCCGACGCCAGGTGGCGCGTGTACAGGGCGCGTGCGCGTTCACCTACCTGCGCCGGTTATGCACGTGTTTATAAATATACCGATGCTAAATCGTCATTTGGTAATACATTAACTATAGCATTGTAATACTCTTCAGATATTGTGAAATAGTACATGTAGTCTATGAGTAAATAATTAGTCAGGAACTCTAATTCAGAAAAAAATTCACACGAAAAATGGGATTTAAAGCACTAATCACTTTTGAGGTTACAAACACATGTTTGGTGATTAGTTTTAATTCAGGACGAAATCAGGGATTGGTTTGCACGTATACTGCAATGTCTGCTATGACAGCTGAGTTATAGAGGCGTGGACAATGTTATACAATAAGTGGACTGGACCAAGTCAATAATAAAACATGCATTATGTATTAGAACATATTATTTTAATATATTTTTATTTATATATATTTTTCTTTTGTGTTACTTTTTACAATTCAATGAACTCTATGTGCCGCAAAATATAATGAAATTATGAAGTTTTTGTCTAGAACACATAAAAAGAGAATTTTTCTTCGCAATGTAGTGAAGACGGATTCTGAAGTTAAACTAAAAGAAAACAAATTTATTTTTCTTTTTTTTTAGATTTACATTTCAATATTTTATCAAGAAGAAAAAAACCGTCTAAATTAGGTCAAAAATTGACTGACATTATTTTGTATAGTATTGGCAATCTCAGTTTGACAACATATTTATCATTTGAACATCTTTGAATATAATTATTATAATTTTGCTACAACTTACTAGTGAAATATGATTCCTGGACATTTTAATATTGTATCGCTCCTGCACCACTTCACAACACATACTGGCACTATGATTCCCAGCTGTAGTTCACAATGATAAAAATTTAAACGTACGCGAATATTTGACATGTGCTCGCTTGAAAGAACAATATTTGACTGAAGACGACTTTTAAGCCCCGCCTACTTGAACACGACTTTCGTTGGGTAATTTTTTAACGCAGTTACATTTCTTATTATTTTTTCGTAGCATGTAGAAGTCTATTTTTAGTGAAAATTTAAAAGCAAAGTAGTCATTCAAGTAAACTAGTCGATTTATTAGCCCAAACTCAAATACAATATAAAGATGATGATGATGTTCTCCTGACCGGTTTCGGCCACGGCGGCCAATCTCATTGAGACTAGCCAACTGCGCAGGAGATATTATAGTGCACAAGTGTACGCGCAGACACAACGTGCACTCTCTATTCCTGTCACTCTCATACTCCGGTGGGACGACCACTCGACACGACCGGTGAGAGTTAAGGCGCAGGACCAACGGCTTTACGTGCTCTCCGAGGCACGGGGATGAAACGCCACCAACTTCCCAACTTCGGGCTGTTACTGAGGCTTACTATACAGAAAGACTCAATAACTAAACTTGGCCCAACCCGGGACTCGAACCCAGAACCTCCGGGTGTGCAGCCGTACATGATAGCCACTAACACCACCGAGGTATTTAATTACAATATAAAACATAGAACTAAAAAGTAAACAAAAACAGAAGAATAATGTATGATTAATTTTTAAAAAAGGTGACTAAGTTCAATTAAGCCACTTTACTTGAGGCGTCTGAAGTAAAAACAGTCTTGGATATTGGGATTTACTATGATATCAAAATGATGACCAACCTGTGCCTTTTGCGCTTCAGTTTTAGCTGAAAGTCGACTACGAGTTGACGAAATATTTCCATTATTAGGCGCTGTTACTCTACGATCAGCCCAACCACTGGCTAATTCTGGGCCTGGATTAAATATGTTACAATAAATAGATAATTATTTTAATTCATATACAAGTTATATTAACTGCTCATAATATATACATATGTATGTATAATGTATATACATACCCAAAAATGTTTCTGCAGTAAATGAATGTTTAGTGCCTCTATTTGATTCGAAGATAAAACCTGGTAAATCTTCTCTTAGTATTGTAGTCTGCTGCTGCCCATCGGTATTATGAATATGAAGTTCTTTTTCTCTGAAACACATGACCCGTCAGTATCATTTAAATTATTAATATGCACATAATATTTTGCACATAACAGTCACTGTACTCACTTTTTGCATGACAAAACCCAGTTGCCAAGTATCAATTTGGTTGGGCCTGGTTTAGATAATATGCTTTGAGGTACACAATTTTTTACGGATCCTCTAGCTCTTTGGAGTTTGTCAATAAATTCACCTCGGTTTTCTGCAATAAGATAATGATAACGATAAAAACAATTTTCGTTCATAATAAAGTCATTTACGCAACGCAGTGGTAGCCCAGTGGTGACTCGCTCGCTTGGGTAACCGGGTGAAGCGGGTTCAAATCCCGGGTCTCGCACCTCTGATATTTTCATGTGCGAATCATTTTCAACATGATTACCACTTGCCTTACGGTGAAGGAAAAACATCGTGAGGAAACCTGCATGTCTGAGAGAACCTAGCAAGTTTTCGAAAGACATGTGGAGTCTGCCAACCTGCACTTGGCCAGCGTGGTGGACTATGGCCTGATCCCCCTCATATTGAAGGGAGGCCCGTGCTCAGCAGTGGGACGTTAAGAAGGGCTGAATACAAAGTCATTTACATCCCCTTTTTTCTAATTAATATGTACCAATTTGTACCAACAGTATCAATCTAAACAAATCTACACTTCTAGACTACTATTATAAAGAGGAAAGGTTTGTATTTTTGTATGTTTAAACTCAAAAACTACTAGACCGATTTAGATGAAATTTGGTAAGAAAATAGTTTGGGATCGTGGGAAAGACTGGACGGTTTGTAACGGCTTATATGAAGAAACTATCGAAATCTTTTAACCTACTGAATGAGATATTTGACTGTTAGATAGCTTCTGTCAATCTCCTATTACTAATAGATAAAACATGTTATTTAATACCTGTATTATCAGTCTGGTGTTCAGGCGAGCCGCTCGAGTACATGGTGGCGAGCTTGCCGTCGAGCAGAAAGCGGAACCAGCCGTTGGAGCCGGTGCTGAGCTCGAGCGCGGCCGCGTCGCTCCACACGTACAGCGCGTCGCGGCCGCGGCACAGCGACCACTCGCCCCAGCAGTACGCGCAGCCGCTGGACAGACTCGTCGCGTCTTCGCCCGGACCTGTCACAATATATGTATCAAATAAAATTGAAGTGTCTGTTCGTAATGTCAAAATTTAACAACTTTTTACTAAATGTATATGGTACTTATAAGACAAACAAAATTATTTATTTTTTTGTCTGTCTGTTTGTTCCGGCTAATCTCCGAAAGGATTGGACTGATTTTGACGGGACTATCACTGGCAGCTTCTGTTATAAGGAGTAACTTAGGTCACTTTTATTTTTGATAAATAATCAGGGTTCCGCGAAAAAAATAAAACGTTCCTAGGGACGCAAGCGAGGGTAAGTCGCTTGTATAATATTATATAGCCAGATTTATTACCTTTCAATATTGGATAGATGTATTAAATGTCTATAAGAAACAAGTAGGTTTTATACACATGCTGGATATATAGAACAAATAGAAGATTTTTATTATATGCAATGTGGTATTTTTCAGTGATGAAAAGTAGCTTCTAATAATTTCTTATTCAGACTTTATTGCTGTAAAATTATATAAACGGAAAAGAAACAAAAGAACAAATAAACTATCACATTTATGACATAAAGCATGAAAAATAAATAAGTTAATATATTTTCTTGTTCTCCTTCTTGACATCAAACAAGAGCTATATGAAAAACCTTAAATTGAAGAACCAAAAATTTAATTTAAGTTAAATACACGTATCTTGCAATTAAATATGTTTAACAACTTTAATATTTGGTAGTAGGTTTTGCATTATATTTTTTATTGTTGCGCTTAAGTTAGATTATACTATATTATTAGCCAAAAAACGCACAGGGAGGTGGCCCAGCTCGGTGGGCGGTGTGCCGTGCGGGTTGCTCTTAATACTTCTCAAATAGCAGAGAGGACTATTGGAGCAACCCCAAGACTATTGTGGTCTGATTCGGCAGACATGCCGTCGGGGCGTCGTGGTTGAGTGCATAAGTGATCTTGCGACGCCCCATTAAGACGGGGGAGATTCCGTTGGTTTTTAGTGGGTAGTACTGGCTTTGCCGGTGAGACTCACACATCGTGCGCAAATGCATTTGCCAACGTTAAAAAAAAGATAGAAAATTTTATAGAACTAGCGACCTCAAAAATATCTTGAAAAAACTCACCAGCAGCTATAACAGTTTCCCCATCAGCAGAGAGCTGCGCGGCGGGCACGGCGGCCAACGCCTCCACCTTGCTGAACACGCCGAGCCGAGCGAACTGCTCTAAGTAAATGTCAGCGGCTTTCACCATCAACTCCTCGGCGATGCCTATCACGGTCAAGTGACCATCGTCATCGTCCTGCGTTAAACATTTTGTAAATTATTAAATGCAAGCAAGTATACAATATAGTCTAAGCAGGAATAGAATGTGTTATCATTAATATAAAATAATATTACAAAATTTAGTAACCTAAAAATTAGTACCGTTGTTCAATGGTCAACGTTTTAAGCATCACAAAGGAACAGACGCAAACTTTACACTTGATACAAAAACAACACAAATGCTATATCTAGAGCAGAAAAAACACAAATAGGACGGGCAGTTTAATTCGGGTAAAGTTCGATGGTGTGATTTTTTTGTATAAAACTATGCTGCAATTAATTATTTTAATGTGAACAATAAGAGCAACATCACAATGCCATTATGTGAAATTATTTGATTAGTCATTTTAAAGGAACATGGCATATTTTTAATTAGTAGCAACATAAGATGATTTGAAACTGCAGGAATAGTTTGTTCGAAAGAAAATCTTATTATTAATTACATATAATATGAATCAATTGAGTAAGGGTCAAATTTAAAGGTGGTGGTGTCCGATCAAACCATGTATTATATACAAAAATGTTAAATATACTAAAGACTAACTTATTAAATAATTCTCACCATGACACTGTTAAAGGAACTTGGGAGTTATTTTTACAAAAAATCAACATAAACGGCTCTAATGTGGATACTATGCAACTATTGACAATTTTTTTTGAAATATGGAGCCCTGGTTATTAAAAAAGAGGGCGCTGTGATCATATAATCAAACATTTCATATTCTAGAGAGGGAATAACAATGTCTGCAGGGCTAGCTAGTATTTTATGATCTTTCTTACATTCCATCAATGTTTTCGAGGTTAATATTGAAAACAAATTTCTATTATGATTTACATCATTAATTTTCGTTTCTCATCGAGTTGCGCGTCCAGCGATTAGAAGCCGCGTGAGGGATAACAAAAGACAATAGGGTACATGACTAACATTGAATATTAAAAACACAGTAAGCGTTATTACAAAAAAAAACATTTCTTTCTACCATAAGATAGGTAAGTAGATTAAAAATTAAAACCAAAATTGAATGGGATAAAAAAAGAATAATAGTCATGTGCCCTACATCGAGATCGATCACACCATCGGAACATTACCGCGGGCGGTCGGATATAGCGGCTGCGCAGGTGGCGCGGCGGCGGCCGCCGGCCCCAGCACTCGCCCTGGCCGCACAAAGCCTCACCTCAATAACATCCTACCATCGTGTTCTATATAACTCTTTCTTACAAAAACGTCATTATCATATTATTTTCTTTGATTTCTAAGTAGAAATGAACATTTTCAAATCATTTGTTGTTCCTCTACTTATATGTCTCACATAATATCTCAGATGTTCATGCGCAAATCTTATTTTCAACATGATTAGCACTTGATAATTAAAAAAAAATAAACGAAAATATTGGGACGAAAGTTGTGTTTCTAGCACTTAATTTCATAAGCAGTTAAAAGCGCGTAAACTACATTTAGTCATCGTGGTGGACTACGGCTTTTTCACCTTACGACCCAGAAGTGGGATATTAAAAAGACAACTCTATAGATACATTTAGAGTTTCTAAATGTCCATTGTAGTTTTTATATGTATTTATGTTTGTTACTTCTTTACGCTGAAATTGTTGAACGAATTTGGATGAAATTTAATATACAGATAGATGAGCACGGTCTGGACCTGGGCTAATACTTGGCTACCGTTAGGCACACTGAGGGGTAGGTACCTGCGTGTCGAGCACCTGCGCGACGAGGCGCGTGAGCAGCGCGGCGGCGCGCGGCGCGGACAGCGCGCGCAGCAGCGGCGCGGGCGCGTAGTGCACCATCTTGCGCACCAGCGACAGGCACGCGCGCCGCACGCCCGCGCCGCCCGCGCCCACGTAGCGCGCGCAGAACACCGGCACCAACCGTCTGACAGGCGACATCACAAATATATCATATTGTTTTATTTGACAACACGTTTGGCTCAGCTTGTTGTGATCCTACTTGCTGGGCCAGCGGTCGCGGGTTCGAGCCCCGCTGGGGGCATTCATTTGTGTGATTAGCACGAATTAAATCTAATGAAACACAAGAATAAAGAAGAGAATAGGAAAGTAAAATTTTATGGAGCACTGATGATATATTTGAGATCCGTTGTTGAAATAATAAAAAAAGATATGCTCACTCTAAATATATAGCAGCCATTTCCTTGTCACCAGTTTCGGGAAAATCTTCATCATTGGATGATGCAGGCGAGTCTTGATTACTCACTACTAACCACTCCCCAGGACATTGTAATATTGCAGCCACTTCTCTGTGACCTAAAAAATATTAAACAGTAGTAAATATTACTAGCTATTTTGAAATAATACAATATGAATGAATAGAAAACCGTTTGCCTTTGTATTTTTACTGGATACTATTTTACAAGATTGACTACAAGTACAGGGTTTTATTAATTAAATTTAATGTTTTATTTTGGGAATCTTATTAACTACACTAAAAAAAATAACTACTTCTAATATTTAAGCCAATATGTTCTTTATTGGAATATTATCAGTAGAAATTCTGTTTCGTTCCTTCATTAGGAGGACCAAATTTTACTACATATTTATTTTGTATGAAATCCATTATACCTAATATATTCTGAACAATTATTAATAATTATTAATGAAATTATATGCTCACATAAAATGTATTATATTTGTACCTTGGTCATGTCTTTCCCTAGCTTTGTCTAATGGGGTCTTGCCATCTTCATCCCGAAGATCAGCGTTAGCGCCGTACCGAAGAAGCACCTTAGCAATAGCCGGCCTGCCGAAGCAAGCGGCATAGTGAAGAGAGGAACTCCGTTGACCACGATTTACGTCAGCCCCTGTTTGTAAATAAAATTATCATTTAAAAGTTATCATTCTAAATTAGTATTAAATATAACAAATTCTTAAGAACAAATTTGTACAAGCTATATTATTTTATCGAAACATTTAATAAAAGAACTATGATATTTTTTACCTTCAGGCAATTTAGCAAAATCTCTTTTCGACCTATACTTTCAAAATACGATTTACATTACTTCACTCGCTTTCACATCACATAATTAATTTCAATCGACCATTACCGCTTAACAATAGCACAATTTCTTATCCTTACCTTTTTCACACAAAAACTCGACCATTTCGCGTGTTCCGAACGCAGCGGCCCAATTGAGTAGTGTCTGTCCGACGTCGTCCGTGAAGTTGACGTCGACGGTGCCGGCGGTGACGGCCGCCACGAGCGCGTCCGTGTCCTTGCCGCGGATGCAGTCGATGAGCTGGCGGTGCGACTTGTCGCGCGGCGGCGGCGTGCACGCCGCGCTTGAGTTCTCGCCGCTCGCGCCGCTCCCGCCGCTCGAGCTGGATGCTCCGTTGCGATTGGCACCACTGTACGTTGAATGTTTTTTATACAGTAAAAATAATTATATTATAGCTCATAAATATTTTTGTTGGAATTATATATGAATATAAAACATATTGGTTAAAATGAGAATTAAAAAATAAGATTTGGCGTATAGTTTGCATAAGTATACAAGAAAGATACACCCCACAATAGAAGACCTTCTCTTTATCGTCGGTTTATAATAACATTTATGCTGTAAATGACAATACACACATCCTACCTTTAATATATATTAAAATAGTTTTATAGTATATTAAAATTGAACACGTAATTTGTTGGTTATTCCTTCTTTTTCACCCGACTTCAAAAAGGAGAGGTTCTTAATTCGGCTGTATTTTTTTTAATGTTTATTACCTCAGAACTCCGTCATTTATTAGCCGATTTTGTCAATTTTTGTGTTGTTTGAATGTGTATACTTCCACTTTGTTCTCACTTAAATTTGAAAATAATACGACCCCTAAGAATGGAAAAATAGCTAATGAAAATTTAACCTCCTTCTAATTGTCATATTGACTTGAAACTTTGCAAGTGTTTCTATTGCCGTTTATGATGCAGTGATTCGGTATCGTCGACTTGTATGACGGTAAGGCCAGAAGGTGGATAGGTGGAACTTTTCAACTTTTTTTTTGTTTGATTTGACAAGCCCAGTACGTTAGAATTGGATTTTAGAGCCTGATTTCTAGTGTTACTAATACTAATAATATTAGTAATAATAAAAGCGACTTTTAATTTGTCAGTATGCATATAAAAATTGGCATCAAATTAACTTAAACGACTTAAACGAATATTTTATTAAAATACTTTCTTTTTCTTTGCTTTACTACTATGCCTACACTAAAAGTGGTAAAATAAAAACTTAAAAAAATAAATTAAATAATACCAACTTCAAAAAAAATCACAAAAAAAACTTAAAAGTTAAAAATAACTGACTAGTAGTTTTCATTTACTATAGACCTAATCAGATTTTCTTGAAGTTGATGCCAGCCTATACAAATTAAATCATGATGTAATTTGGATAATTAAAAAATCTGACTTAAAAAAACTAAAAAGTAATAAATGATTGGCATTTTCATTTACTATAGATATGTATCTAATCAGATATTTTAGAAGTCGGTATGCTTTGATTTATATCGGCTGGCACCAACTTAAATATCTTATTTGGTCTATAGTAAATCAAAACTACCGATCCGTTATAATATATTACATTTTAATGTTTTTTCTAAGTCGGTTTTTCGCTTTTTTTTTATTATCCGTTTACATCAATTGCATCATATGGGTTTTAGTATAGATTGAAAAGTGAATGATGATGTTCTCCCGACCGATTCCGGCCACCGCGGCCAATCTCATTGAGACTAGCCAACTGCGCAGGAGATATTATAGTGCACAAGTGTACGCGCAGACACAACGTGCACTCTCTATTCCTGTCACTCTCATACTCCGGTGGGACGACCACTCGACACGACCGGTGAGAGTTAAGGCGCAGGACCGACGGCTTTACGTGCTCTCCGAGGCACGGGGGTGAAACACCGCCAATTTCCCAATTTTTCCGGGCTGTTACTGAGGCTTGCTATACAGAAGATTCAATAACTAAACTTGGCCTGACCCGGGAGACTCGAACCCAGGACCCCCGGGTGTGCAGCCGTACATGCTAGCCACTACACCACCGAGGCAGAAAAGTGAATATCATATTAGATACATTTTATTGCTCTTAGTTATTATATTTAACTCATTTTCATTGTCCGCCTTCGATAAAGAAATTTAATTTAAAGTAGGAATATACATTTTTATTACATTATCCTCTTTTGTTAATTTCACATACACATTAATCAAATAATTTTATATTTTAAGTTTTCCCCGGTCCCAATCTTTTTCGGTACATGATAATATAAACAAATGCACGTCTCACGTCTGTATAGCGTGCCGCCCCTCGCACAGCAGCACCAGCAGCAGGTCGACGAGGCGCATGCACTCCAGGCACCAGCGCTCGTCCGCCTGCACCGCCGCCTCGATAGCCGAGCACAGGTCCAGGCGCACCAGGTCCTACCCATTTGTTTGTACATAAATAAATATATACAATAATAATACTATATTATAATGTATATAATTAAGTATTGACACAAGTAAATATATCTACCTCGATTTAATAATCATATTGACGGAGTCTGCCAAAAAAATTACACAGTCACTAGTAGTCATTTTACTGTTTATTATGTTACTATTCTAGATTTCTTCATGTTGCCGTCATACAACAAATCCATTTCAATAAATAATTTACAATTTTCGATAAGAAAATATTTGTAAACTAGCGACTCACACTCGCCTCGCTCGGGTTCATCATCCCTAGATGACTCTTTAAATTGACATAACTTTTTTATTTATGAACCGATTGAAATAATACAAATACTAAATGTTAAGTGAAGCTTACCACAAAACATTAGTGAAAACCGCATGCAAATCAGTTAAGCAGTTTGTGAGATTAGCGCGCACAAACGGACAGACAAAAATTCTAAAAATCAAAGAAGTTTTGGGTTCTATTGCGTTTATAAAGACCCCCAATAATAGTTTTTCTCAAATATCTTACAATAAAGACAGCTATCAGTTACAATTTAATTATATTTATAGATTATAGAAAATAAAAATAATAATTGTAATACTTTATTGTTTTGTGTATTTTATAACATAATATTACCATTTTTTTTTTCATTGCGAAAAAACGTTAGCAGATATTTTTATTTATTGTAAAAATAATGACTATCATATAATATAAAGCATATGATGTGCTTTTTAAAAATATTGTAGGGTTAATTATGATCATGTTAATTAATTTTTATATTTTTGAAATTACAAAACAAATTTATAAACACTTCATGTTTAGTTGTAAGAGACACTCCATCTATATTATTTTACTTGGAGATTGGAGTTCGAGATCCCTACATAGACATAATTTAATTAGGAATGAGATATTATTTACTTTAAACAAATGTGTGCAATAAAATGTAAAAACACTGAATAAATGGAAAAAATAATTCATTATAACTAGTATTAAAAAAACCAAATACCAACAGCATCATCTATTAATAAATAGTATCTTGTCGAGTGTGATCTATATTTTGATATAAAATTATAAAAACAATGTATGTGATGCATAATAATACCACAGATTACATAATACTATACTAGTACAGATGCCTCATCCCAAGTAAAGAAATTGGACAGCGCCAATTCGGGCTATTCTTATGGTTATTTTTGTTTGCTTAAATAGAAAATAGATGTCATTGATTCACAAATACACAATACATTTATGCATTTATATATTTATGCATTTGAATTAAAAAAATCTGTGATTTTAACGATTTTTAACCGTGATAAACACTATGTGGTAATACACTACAAACCCATCATTTGATCGCTAATATTTTATATATAATTGGTAAAATTACGCAAATTTGATTTATAGGCGCTTTATTTCTTTTCCCTTCACTTACAATATTTTTCAAAACCATAATATACCTTTTGAGATTTTTTTTATTTTTTGTTAATTTAACAACACTTTAATAACAAATCGACACATATAACGTCATCTATTGACATTTTTTTGATCTGATTTTTCTTGTTTGTGATGAGACCCCATGATAATACTAACGTGTGTAATTTGCGCGGAGCCTCTGCAGAGAGTTGATAGTAGGCTAACAGTGGTGGATACTGACGGCATGAGACATTTGTCGTCAGAACTCTCTGTTGCCCCCAGTCGTCGAACCAGCTCTTCAATCAAACCTGCCAAAACCCAACACATAAGATAAATATAATGAATAAAATATTCAATTCCGACTATTAATACAACGATGACAATGTGTGATAGTCTCGTATGGCAAGAAGGGGCGCTGAAACCCCAGAATGTGGCCCAGAACCATTTTGTGGTATTGCAAAACAACATGCCTATTCAATTCTCAAAATTCACTGCAATCGCCAAGCACTTCAAGAGTGGCAATCCACTTCTGGACAAATACACTCTAAAAAAGCGCTAATTAAGGGATATCGCAAAACATTTACAAAAGAGTTGCTTCAACTCAACAAGTATAAAACCAGTGCAGTAATCAGAATACTTACTGGTCACTGCAAACTCAATAAACATATGTTTACCCTCGGCCTCAGTCAGAGACCGCAATGTGCAGACTATGCCATGAGACAGAGAAAACTGCTATGCACATCCTCTGCTCGTGCGGTCCACTCATGCACCGCAGAAGTATCTATCTAGGGCAGCATATTATGCAACCGGAAGAGATACAGATGCTCCCCGCTCAGAAAATCTGGAAGTTCCTGGAGTCAACAGGACTAAGCGGAGAACTTTGAACTCATTATAAAGGGAGCTACAATGGACCAAAACTGGTCGACGTAGCTAGGGCCGACCTCGGCACCACACCCAACATAAATAATAATAAATAATAATAGTCTCGTATAGACTATTCAATCGCACATGAAATATAGGGCATCTCAAACACGGGAGATGTAAAACCTCCCAATTTCAGGCTTAAAGAGGCTACTGAAAATTTCTTCTAAGAAAAATCTAATCACTATTTTTGACCCGAACTGGGTCTCGAACATACATTCTAGTAACTCAACCAACAAGGCATATATAGAATTTATTAAAAATTAGATCAATTAAAAATAGCTTAATTTTACAAAAATGGCTGTACCATGTTCAGCAAGCGGAGCAGGGTCAGCGTGTGCCCGAGCGAAGCGATCAGCAAGCGAAGCGAAGCAGCGCAGCGCGGCGTCAGCGACACGTGCGTCGCTGTGCCGCAGCAGCGCTGACAGCGACGACACCGCGTCGCCTACACGAGCGTCCCCTGGCTCCATCTTACCACATACCCTATAATAACAAAATATGTATAACTTAAATCAATATGTATCAATAAGTCTCTATTCCAATTGATATTATGTAGAAATGTGCAATAATTGAGCAATGTTATTTTATTTTTCATAGTGCTTTGGTATTTCAATTCTTATTAAACCAGTTATTTTGTTTATGTAAAAATCAAATAGAACTTTGCTCGTTATAAATGTACATTGAGTACATACTATTCATATATACATAATATATTATATGTACATTAAGGGTTCTTTAAATGTTAGTAAGGGAATTAGGGGCCATTCTAAAATAAATTCGCCATATGAATTAACTAGTTTTTATGAAGTTAGAGAGGCCCTTGCCTACAATTGACATTTAAAATGTGACATGTTTTGAAAAAAAAGTGGTGTTGATATCCTTACCTAGATACAACCGCCATGGCAGAGTGAAGTGTGTCCTTATGAACTGATGTTCCATGGTGTGTGATGAAGTGTAATACTGAAGGCAGGCCACCTCCTTCCCAAACTGCCCCAGCTTCACGAGTGCATACAAGTTCTAACACCTAAAGTATACAAAAATAAAAAAATTGTACTGACACTCAAAATACAAAATGTGCCTTCTAATATAATATTACAACTAAAATAACTATAGGAAAATAAGATTTATCTACTGTGACAGAGATCATAAATTCCATAATCCTTACCAATCAATACTTATGTGTATTTGTTAAGAACAAGAGCAATTAAAAATTACCATCTGGCATGCTATTGATATATTTATTCATAATCCACATCCATGTCCATCATAGTCTCTATACCAATCTACATAGCAAAATTTTAACATTTTTTGACCAAACATTTAAAAAAATAAAGTGTAACAGACAGACAGGAATATATAATCCTGAAAGTGGTATCCATATTTTTCTTTTAAAATAGTATTCACCCCTTTCTAACATCCCACTACTGGGCATAGGCCTCCCTTCAATACAAGGGGATCAGGCCCTAGCCTACCACACTGAACGAGTCTGAGTTGATGGATTTCACATATCTTACAAAAACTTTATAGATTCTTACAGGGTTTCTTCACGATGTTTTCCTTCATCGTTGGACAAGTGGTAATCATGTTGAAAATGGCTTGCACATAAAAATATTAGAGGTCACACCTCTGATATTTTGATCCAGGATTTATACCACTGCAATTGGCTTTCCAAACTAGTGTGTTACATTGAATATTGAGAAACTTGCCATTGGGAAAATTTCGATGGGGCATTTTTAAAGAACAGTAATATTTCAACATAAAGATATAGATAGAAGATGTATGAGATAGCATCAAGTAAAATTAGTTTCATTTCAATTAATCAAGTAGATCTCAAGTCACTGGTTTTTTATTCCATCCACTAAAAGTGAGGGTCATTTTTAGATTATAATAGCCTGCAAACATGCATCAAGAAGTCTTTCCAAATATAATAATAACAGAGGAATAATATTAGATTTTTAAGGGAAATTTATATAAAAGCTGTGTAACTAAATAAAAACTAAACCCAATCTTTACTAATGCTCCCTCTGATTGTATAATTTTTGTCAAGGGTTGGACATAAATACTATATAACATTACATTAAAATCTCAGAAGATGTGTGTTTTGTTATGCACACCTGTCATATTTCTATGCTCTAGACAACCTAACACATACTATATGGACAAATTAATATTCCATGTCAAACACACATTATTTAAGACCATATGTGATATAATAAACTTAACCTATACTATATAGACAACTTAATATTCCATGTCAAACAAGTATTCTTTAAGACCATAGAATCAACATAACCAATATTAACTGCCTTTTCCTTCTTAGAATGTGTATCCAAAACAGGTTGTCTATACTCACTTTTATGCATTGTTCAGCTAAATCTTTACTTGTTCTATTATTAGGATCAACTGTCAGCAATCTACTACAAATTGCTTTTACAGCCCCCTCAATTGCTACAATTCTTCTAGTACATTCAGCTGAAATAAGGAACAAAAGATAAGAGAATTAATAAATATAATAAAATAAGGTATTAATATATTTTTTTATATATTCATGGAAAAACGAAATTGAAAAAACTGATTTCTAAATCAATACATACCTGAGACATCTAAGTAATATGTTATAGCTCTAGCTGTAACTTCTAACACATTGTCTGGAGCACATTCATCGAGAAATATTTTACACAAGGCTGGTAAAAAAGTCCTTGGTGGACAACTGAAACATAAATGCATCACAATAAAAATTTTAGCATAAAAAGTCTGCATTGATTTCATATATATAGTTTTTTCTATTTTATTACATTACAGAAAAATACAATGTAGTTTTGTGAAGTTAATTGCACATTAAGCATAACCATTGTAAAAGTAAATTTTAAACCTTTTGAATTATAACTATTAGAAAAAAAGTTAAGAAATATTAACTAAATGAAGTCTAACTTCACTATCCATAGGTATTAAAAGCATAATCAATATATAAATTAAAAAATATATATTGGAAAATAAAATTTATTTAAAATCAATAACTGGTTACCTTTCAAAGCATCTGTCCACATTGTCTGACATGAGCAACAGCATGCACAGCTGCTCAAGAGCAATGAGCTGCATATCCCGCTCATCTCCTTGACCTGTCAGCAACCACTCCAACAATGTTTCAGGATCCACTTCAGCCATCTTGTAAATTGATAAAATAAAACTTTAAATTCAACAGTGCAGTAAAATAAAAATAAAAAGTGTTTTTGATTAAATAATGAATGTACGAATTAAAGACCTTCTTACCTTTAGGCCTAAGTGAATGAAACCAAACCTGAAACAAGCATATATTGGTAATTTATCTTATATGCATTTCGTATTCACATTTTTAAAGACAATTCATATCTATATAATGTTTATGAGTAATGAGTATATTATGACAGATTAAAATAAATTATTTATAACTACCTTATTATTCTCATAAATAGATAATAATTATTATTCCATAAATAATAAAATGAACATGTTAAGTGATTATTTTTTAATCTCTACTAAATGTTTACATATTATAGTAAAAAATAATATAATTTGTTATCAATAATACCTATTTGTTTATATATGTGACTTTATCAATTATCATTTTAAATAGAAGACAAGCTTAACAAATGCAGATAATGTTCTATTGTTTTAAATTATCATGCTTATAACATAATTTTACCCAAAACTAAGACGAGCGAAAGTTATTTAATCATACATTTAGATAATTTATTTTTTATTACATACTAAGTATAATCCAAATTATTCAAGCTGTACGAAATCAATCTTAATTATTATGTAGGTTACTGTTCCATTATATTACGAAGAATGATGCACCTTTCTCTTTTCTAACCCGTATAGATAACGTACGTTTTCTATTGCTTTATAAATGATTAAATTAAATATTTTAGTTTAAAACAACGAAACATACTTTTACAGTAAACGCAAACAAATAATAAATAGGTAGAATAGAATAATGAGCTTTGTAATGTCTCCCACTTACACTCAATGAGCCATGACGCTAAGGCGCTCTCCAATATTAATTTCACTAATTATGAGACTAAAACATGTAAATCTAAATAACAGTGTCTTAAGATTCTAATACAATTCGTTTACTCGTAAATCAATTTTATAATCTTTTAACTAATTTCACGTATCACTCGTTTTCATCAACCATATAAAATGAACCACAGATTATAGATTTTATACAACAAATAAATGACAGTAACATAATAATGTTACCAGAAGTAACATTTTTTCTTCTAATATAAATATAGATAAATAAGTAAACGAATAAAAATTGTTCAAGTGTGAGTCGCGCTCGTATAAAACAATAAAATATTATTATTTGATGTTTTATTTAAAAGTCAGCGAAATAACCAAGCTAAAGTTAAGACCCACAATTATTAATTTTTTTTTTTTTATTGTACGATAGGCTTGCGCTTGACTACAATCAGCGTTTGGAAGCACTGATGAGGTCTAGGTTGGAGCGCGCTTGCCTAGAAAATGCCTATTCACTCTTGCCTTGAAAGTACTTAGATTATAAGTGGCAGGAAACACGTATGCTGGAAGGGTGTTCCACTCCTTAGCGGTTCGTTTCAGAAACGTAGAACTAAAGCGTTTCGTGCGAGTTAGTTGGATTTCTACCACATAAGGATGCCAGCGCTCACGACTTCTCGCAGTTCTGTGGTAAAACGGTGAAGGGGGCACAAGGTTGTGAAGTTCCTGCGCGCACTCCCCAAAGTATATCCGATAGAAGATCGATAGACAGGCGACATTGCGTCGATGCTGTAGACTAAGCAGTTTCGTCTGCGTTAGTGATTGATCACCTATAATACGGCGAGCTCGGCGATCTATCGAGTCTAATGCATCGAGTTGATACTTGGCAGAGCCATCCCAGTGGTGGCAGCAGTACTCCATAGCCGAGCGCACTTGAGCCTGATAGAGAGTCAGGCGTTGCTCGGGTGTGAAGTACCGCTTCACCTTGTTCAGGATACCAAGTTTTCTGGCTGCTGTTTTCGCCTTTGACATATTTTTATTATATTTGGATACATTTTGGAAAGTGGGAGCCAAGGTAAAGGGGCTCCTTTTTGCGGTAAATAAACACGCTTGCGTTTTGGTGGCATTAAACTTAACTAAATTGGCGTCACCCCATTCGGACACCTCCTTCAGAGTTAAGTCGATGCGATTCACCAAGGCCTCTCTTTGCTTAAGGATCTCAGAAGCACTGGCTTTAGAACTGGACAAGTATCTATCCGTAACAGTGCTGTCATCAGCGTACCCAAAGATACCGGGTTTTAGAAGATCGTTGATGTGCAGCAGGAAGAGTGTTGCGGACAGAACAGATCCCTGAGGAACACCGGCATTGACAGCCATTAGGTCAGATGAGCAGCCGTCAACGACCACCCTAAATGACCTCTCGCTCAGGAAATAAGATATCCAGCTACAAAAGCCAGTGGGGATCCCATTTGCCGGAAGCTTACTGAGAAGACTGTCATGCCAGACCCGATCAAAAGCCTTCGAAATATCGAGAGACACGGCGAGTGCCTCAACGTGTTTTTCAATGGCTTCACCCCAAGTATGTGTGGCATACACTAGAAGATCCCCAGTAGACCGGTTTTTCCGAAAGCCGTACTGGTGGTCGGACAGGAGATCATTTTCTTCCAGGTATGCTAGGAGCTTGTTATTGACCACACGTTCCATACTTTTACAAAGGATGGACGTGATCGCAATTGGTCTATAATTGGCCGGGTCAGCACGACACCCCTTTTTTGGTACTGGTTGCACGTTTGCAACTTTCCACGATTTGGGGACTTGAGCAGTTGCAAGAGAGAGACGAAACAAACGCTTTAGTACAGGAGACAACTCAGGGGCACAATTCCGCAAGACAACTGCAGGTATACCGTCAGGGCCACTGGCTTTGTTCACGTCGAGGTTTCGAAGAGTTTTTAGGACCTCTTGCTGGTGTATGCGTATCCCTGGCATAAAGGAGTCGCATGTTGAAAGAGTGGGTGGTAATTTGTTTCCAGCATTGAGACGTGAGTTTTCTGCAAATAGAGACGCTAGAAGATTAGCCTTGTCAGTTGCAGAGACAGCCAGTGATCCATCAGATTTCTGCAGAGGCGGCAGCGAAGAACGGCAGAAGTTCGCTTCAACCGACTTTGCGAGGGACCAGAAAGCTTTATTACCACTAGGGTGTGTGGCTAACTTACGCCCGATGCGGTTAGTTCGGTTGAAACGAGCTTTTCCCAGGACCCTCTTGTAGGACTTGGTGGCAATATTGAATTCTCTTTTTTTCGTCTTTACGTCCGGTGCATTGAGAGCACGTGCGTCCGCCCATGCTACAAACGCCGATTGCTTACGGGCTTCTGCAGCAGTGCACTCAGCGTTGTACCACGGAGGTGTCTTACCATCGGGCGAAACGTCAGAAAATGGTATAAAATATTCCATTGCCTGGCGTATCACATCCGATATAGCACTCTCACTGCTCGACGGATCGTTAGTAGAGAAACAAACGTGCCGCCAAGGGTAAGATGCAAAGAAGTGCCGCATCTCGTCCCAATCTGCTGAACTGTATCGCCACACCCGCCTTTTTACTGAGGAGTCTCGAGCAGGAGGGTAAAAGTTGGATACAGATTTCACTAGACAGTGGTCTGAGGTTCCCAAGGGAGATGAAACTGAGACCGAGAACCTATCAGGATCAGTTGTTAACAGAAGGTCCAAGCAGTTGGGTATGTGTCCATCAACATCCGGTATCCGAGTGGCTTCCTGAACTAACTGAGAGAGATCTAGCGATAGTGCGAAATTGCGCGCCTCTCTCCCAGCATGATCAGTTTTTAAGAATGGGAACAGCCACTCCTGGTGGTGGGCATTAAAGTCTCCCAGAAATACCAGTTGAGCTGTTGGATATCGATGTTGGACGATGTCAGCTTTTTCGCTTAGGTAATTAAACAACAGGGTCGTCTCCCGGTCACCGCTATGTGAACGATAAACGCATGCATAAACTGTTCGCTCGAAACCTGTGTCAACCAAGCACCACAGAACCGAGAAGTTTGGTACCTCCAAATTACGAAGACGTTGGTAGCAGATGTTACTACAAGCGTACAAGCAGACCCCTGCCCGAGCTTTAAAATTATGCTCAAGCGAATACCCGGGGTACTCAAGATATGCTGCATCCGCTGGGCTGTGAATTTGCGTCTCCGTGAGAAAGAGTAAATGCGGCTTAGCGGTCTCGAGGTGGTGGTGGACCGCATAGAGATTAGAGTGCAATCCTCGAATGTTAGAGAGGTGGACTGAAAAAGAGAGGAGGTGCAGCCGCTGTTTAAAACTATTTCTCTTTTTACTTTTTTTCATTTGGGCTTAGGGAGTGAATAATTATGGGGAAATGACAGTTGTACGAGATGCTGCATTCATGACGCCATGACCCTAATCATAGCAGTGCTGATGGTAGACTCAACTGGAGACCGCGGGGACGCCCGAACCCCCCTGGAAATTGCCATCGGGTATAAAATAAAAACCTTTTCTTAATGTTCTAGTTGTAAATTTTGTATTATGTGATCACACACAATACAACCTAATGTCTGTTTAAGTCATAGAATATAAATCTAATGGGGAAGAATTTTGCCTTTTCGTTCCACCAAATGTTTTTGAAATTTATTTGAAATTTAATTAAAATGACAAATTGTGCAGTGCCAGGATGTAAATAAATTTCATTGATGTTCATGATTTTTTGTTTCCCAAAAGACAAAAACTATAGAAATTGTGGGCTAAAGCAATATTTCGACCTAAATTGAGAAATCACAATCTTTATATTTAAGGCTATGTGGACGTTACTTTACAAAAAATGAATTCTGTGCCTCCTGTGACGAGTGATATAAGTCGAATTGTACCCTTTTTGTGATTTTTACATAGAAATAATCAGAAAAAAAATTAGGATTTTTTTGGTCTAACTCACGTTCTTCTATTTACTATAGTTTCGGAGATAATTTTGTGCAAAGTGATATAAGTGGCAGGATTTTTGCAAAAATATCGTGAATATAGATATATTTCAAGTTGTAACCTCTATAAGTAATTGCTGTACACACTATTTTTCGTGCTTCATGGTATAAGTGCGATTGTATTAATTTTCACATTTTTTTTAGTAAATTTGTCGTGAATATTGATATTATGTCCTTCCGCCGTTATTCGAGGCCTAATAAACAATATTGAGATGACATCTTCCGTTTCCGGCCGCTTTTAGTCGTTGTAGTTCCCTTAAATTTAAGAAAATATGACAACTTCCGGGCGCCATGTTCACCAGGTGATTGCAATCGGCCATTGGAGTTTCTCTTCATTAGCGTCTTGATTTTCGTGCCGTAAAGTGTTTATTTAACGCTGTTAGCGTTCGAGGGATATAATTTTTCTAGAATTTTTCAAATTATGTTACGTTGTAGTTTAGTTATTATGAATTATCCTGTAATTATGTGATTTAGTGTAAAAATCGTTAAAAAGGTTTTGTTAAACTACCTACAGTTGATCGTAATTGTTTTCAAAGTGCGTATTTCTTAATAAAAAACGAAACAATGTCGGAAAGTGATGAAAATTTGCGTGATAAAAGTGTACACGAGGGCGAGCTGACGTCGTCCTCGTCCACCAACGGCGAAGAGGATCCGCCGCAACGTCGCAAACGAAAGTTGCCTAGGAGGGAGGTAGGATGTCAGAAAAAGAGTAAGGTTTTCGAACACCTTGCTGAACAAGTAAGTCAAATTTAGAATTATTTGGCTTCCAATGCATATCCTCCGCCGGGTTGGTACCCCGCTGACCCCGGGTATCATCACCCATTAGAAACACATGTAGAAAATCTGTTGCCAACCCAACAGGATGCACATTCAGTTGTGGTACCCGCCGAGTCGGCCATTAAATTTGATTTGAATTTAAAAACGAGTTTAAAAGAACCTACAGTATTGAGTACGTCTTCCGATCATTTACAATTATTAAATTCATTTCAATATTTTAATTCTGAAAATTGGATTAACGTACGTTACTCCGAAATTCAAAAGTTATATAATGCCAGGCCAGGTTTTGTTGAACTTGAGGTGAACAATGAAATTAAACAGTTTGATAAAATAAATAATTTAGTTACAACAGATAGGTCTTTAGGCGCAATTACGCATGGCATAATTATGCAAAGCGATGCTTTAAAATCAGGAGTGTTTGATTTACTGCAGTGGGTACAAGATACCGATAATTTTGTTAAAGACGATCTGGTAAAGAAAATTAAAGATATTTTTTCGGGTGAATTTCAAAAGATATCTCTTGATTGTTTACAATTGCTTTGTGGGCGTCGAGCCGATATTATTGAACAAAGACGAGAAGCATTCTTGAATTTAGTAAAAGATAATTTTTAAAAGCTACCTTAAAAAGATACCTCCATCCTGTGATTTTTTATTTAGTAAAGAGCAATTTTCAAACTTTTTAAATAATAATGGGGGCATTAATAAAATATTTTCAAGACCTTCCTTCTCTGCGCAAGAGAAGAGAAGTACTGGTACATCTCAGGCTGCGCAACCTGGATCCAGTAGTTACAATCAAACCGGTCGCCCCACAGCACCGTTTGCATTACAATATAGAGCCCCTCAATATCCGTATAGGTCGTATGCTCCTATGCAACCCTATGCGTTTAATTACAATTTTCCAGCTTATGCTGGAAATCAGCGGCTTTTTCGACCCCAATACAAGCCACAATCATTTACCGCGGGTCCACAAGCCCCGAGTAACCCTAGGAAATCATTTAATCAACACGGCGCATCAAACGAACACATTAGCGTCAAAAGAAGAGGGAAAGGTGGTAAGAACTTTTGACAAAGAACAGACGTTTCGGGGGGGCAGATTAGGGATTTTCCAGGAGATATGGAAAAGGTTAGGCGCACCGACCCCCTTGTTGCGCATTATAACAGGTTACAAAATTCCTTTCAAAGCACAGCCCCCGCTTGTTTTACCGCACCTCACCAACAATCGGTATCAGACTGTACCAACTTGCAGGATGGATCAAACAATAAACAATCTAATTACAGAAAGAATTTTAGAGTATGCACCCGTAACTCCCAGTTTTTTATCCGCCCTCTTTTTAACACCGAAAAAAGATGGTACTTTGCGCCTCATTTTCAATCTGAAGAGACTAAATCATTTTGTAAAAGTGACAAAGTTCAGACTTATCTCGGTTCATCGCATTCCGGACTTTTTACAGCCGAACGACTGGATGATAAAAATCGATCTGACGCAGGCCTACTATCATGTGCCGATAGCTCCGTCTCATCGGTGTTTCCTAAGACTGCTTTACAGAGGTCAACTTTTACAGATGACCTGTTTGCCATTTGGTCTAGCAACGGCTCCCAAAGTATTCGCATGCCTCTCAAATTGGACAGCAGAAATCCTAAGAGAACAGGGGATTCGAATTGTAGTTTTTCTCGACGATTTTTTAGTTGTATGTCAGAACAGGTCAAAGTTGGTAGAGCAAACCCAGGTTGTTCTCAAAACTCTAAAAGAGTTAGGATGGATCGTCAACACATCCAAGTGCAATCCTAGTCCCCCAGAGGTCGTTGGAGTATTTAGGTCTAGTATGGGATACCTGGAACAACAAGAAAAGCCTGCCACAGAAGAAAATTCTGGGTTTACAAACTACTATAGCGAGATTTCTCACACAACAACAAGCGACGCTTCGGGAAGTTCAAGGTCTAGTAGGGACCATGAATTTTGCCTGTCTAGCTGTCCCACAGGGTCGATTAAACTTCCGCTATCTCCTGAAACATTGCATATCTATGCTTCAAAACAATGTCAAGGAGAGAACTCCGCTACCAATACAAGTAATGAAAAAACTCAAGTGGTGGAGGCAGAACTGCGACAGGTCGTCTCTCCTTCACCTTCCACTTTTGACCCACTTCTTAACGACAGACGCTGCCGAGACCGGCTGGGGAGCAGAATTAAACGGGTTACAGATACGGGGCGAATGGTCGAGAGAGGAATCCAGAATTCACTCGAATCAAAAAGAGATGTTGAGCATATTGAAGTGTCTTCACCAATTCGGTCCTCTTCTAAGCCATTCATCGTTGCTACTTTAGTGCGACAACAAGTCGGTCGTGGCGTATCTACGGAAAGAAGGAGGAAGTCGATCGGTGCCACTAATGAGCCTGACTTACCAAATTTTCAAAATTCTAGATCGATTCGACATTCGTCTAGTTGCACATCACATTCCCGGAAAGCTCAACGGTGTTGCCGATCGCCTATCCCGGAAGTCGATAATTCCAGAGTGGCACCTTCTTCCTGCGTTGACACAGGTAGTATTTCAAAAATGGGGTGTCCCGGATGTGGATTTATTTGCGTCCAGTTGTTCCAAATTACGTCAGTCTGGATCAAACGGATCGAGCAGCGTGGAGACACAATGCGTTCGCTTGGGAATGGAAGTTCAGACTAGCGTGGATATTTCCGTCTCCGAACTTAATTCAAAGAGTTCTTATGCATCTCAATCGAGCGGTCGGTACATATCTAATAGTAGCACCGAGGTGGCCGCAGGCGTTTTGGAGAGCGGATTTAAAAGCTCGAGCTATAGCACCCCCATTCAAAATCTACCAACTAGAGTCGAAATAGATAGATCTGTCGACGGGCCGTCTTCCGCTAAAAGTAGAAGAGCTGACTCTCGAAGTTTGGAAATGTGGGGGTGGTCTGAAGCAGTAGAATCATGGTCTACTCAACAGAAGGCTTTATTGATGGCAGGATGGCGAAAATCCACTCTTAATACATACAAACCTGCTTGGGAGAGATGGGTAAAATGGTGTCAATCCTCAGATATAAGCCCTATTAATCCAGTAGGTGCCGATTTAGCACAATACTTGGCTGATCTTCATTTTAAACATAGGTTATCTTATAAAACTATATATATATATTCATAAATCTGTGGTCGCTACCTTATGTACTACCGAAAATAATGCTAAACTAAGCTCTAATATATTAGTGAAACAAATATTAAAAGCTATCGCGGCTAATTATGCTAAGAACCGTGTCGAAACCAATATTTGGGATACAAATATTGTCATATCTTGGTTGTCGAGTAGAAACCCGCCTATTCTAAATATGTGGGAAATATCACGACGTTGTGCTATTCTACTTTTACTTTGTTCTGGGCGTAGAGTGTATGATCTAACACTGCTTAGTATATCGGACTCTAACTTTATAGACGACACTGAAGCTAACTGTTTAACATTTTGGCCTATGTTCGGTTCTAAGACTGATTCTGTGTCTTATACTCAATCAGGTTGGAAATTGTACTCGAATAATGAGAACGCTAATATAGATCCTGTACTATGGGTAAGAAAGCTAATACAATTCGGAAAGGATATAGGTAGGGAAGGAAAAGTAAGTAACCTCTTTGTAACAGCCCGTGGACCCGCTAAAGCTGCTTCTCGTACTGTAATCGCAGGCTGGGTAAAATCTGTTTTGTCTGACGCGGGCGTTAATGCAACACCAGGTAGCGTGAGATCAGCTGTGGCATCCAGGAGTTGGTTGGATAGTGAACCATTGGACAAAATCCTATCTAGAGCTAATTGGAAGTCTATAAAAACTTTCTCAAAGTTCTACAAAAAAGAAATAAGACCATTGCCTAATGTAATTTCAGATAGCGTCTCGTTGTTTAAACCTGTAAGATAGTAATCTACTTTTTTGCGTAAAGTGATTTGTGATTATTTATCTAATGATTAACTGAAATGTTATTTGACAAAGTAATAATGAAGGAAATATTAATATAAAAAAAAACATATATATATATATATATATATATATATATATATATATATATATATATATATATATATATATATTATATATTTTTATCTATGCACTAACTTTATTATAAAAAAAATTATACACGATGAAATTAAAGATATTACTTTTTATTATTTTTAACGAATAATTAACAATATTAACAATACTAAAATAAATAAGAGAAGCGATGATGTGAACGTCCGTCCGTTCCGGCAGCCACGACAAAAGTAAAATTAGCCGCTCCAGTGTCGGCGACTCGTGCGTTGTCAAGCGAGCCACCACGCCACCATCACGCCACAAATTACGTCACTCAAGCCACGCCCCTATTCTTGAGCATTCTCCGCTAACACGGCCTCTCCTGACAGCGGAGCGCCCTCGCCCGCTCTTTCAGCTATGGTGACGTCACGTAGGTGCGACGGGCCAGCGATGATGCTCTCGTCAGAGCAGCTCTCATTCTCATCACCTGGAAATATAATGTTTACGATGGAATTATGCCAACAAAATAAACCATACCAGCAATAAAATACTGAAAAATTGTAATTCAACAACAGAGGCCGCAGCATGTTCTTAAATACATGAATTTTAACATGTGTCAGAGCCCTCAGGATGACCGAGACAGTGACCGCGGTTTATCTCAAAATAAAACAATTATACATAACATGTTATGTGTCAGAGCCCACAGGATGACCAACATGTAATAAAGTACTATTTTTATTATATCGCTTATGTGATACAATGCAAATAGTCCCTATTACAGTTACAAATATACTCACACTCGAAGAATACGGCGCACACATCTGGTGTCCATTCTCCGTGCCAAGCACTTATATGCTCAGCAGCAGCTTCTGTGGTCTTCCCGAGTGAGCCAGAAATAAGCTTCAGCTCGTATCGACCATGAGGCAATGCGCGCACAACTTTGTACGGACCGCGCATGCCAGAGTCAAGTTTGCCCACAGATTGACTGTTCTTATGTACGAAGACCATGTCATTTTCATGAAAAACATGTGGGGGCTTGCGCCGTTCATTTACTCGAGTGTCTTGCTGTTTTCTGTTTTGATCCAGCAATTGAGATGCTCTTTGTCTGGCCAGTTCACGTAAGGCCTCGCGATTGCCACTTGTTCCCTCAAGGGCCACATCACGCACAACTGAACGGATAACGGGCGTCACACCATCGCTGCCAATTAACAAAAATAAGGGTGAATATTGAGTGGACTTTTGTTTCGTAATGTTCAGAGTGAGCTGCAGTTTCCATAAGACTTCTGACCAACTTTCATTTCTAAAATTAACCTCCACACGAATCATATTCAGAATTGTCCTGCAATATCGCTCAGCCTGACCATTACTCTGATGCATCTCAGGTGTTATAAAGAATAAACTACTGCCCACGTCTGACACCCATTGTTTAAATAATCTACTCTCGTACATTCTACCTCTATCGACTACAATCTGCCTAGGTGTGCTAAATAAGGATATAGCATTCTGAAAGACACGCTTCAGTTCATTAGCATCTTGTTTATATATTGGATACAACAAACAGAACTTACTATATGCATCAACTATTAATACAACGAATTTGTAGCCGTTCGACTCGGGGAGAGGACCTAACACATCACTATGTACCGTATCAAAAGGTACGTCAGGTTTTCTCCACGACTGGATCGGCTGCAAAGGTTGACGTGGTACCTTTTTATGTGAAAGACATACTATGCAATGACGTATATATTTGCGGACAAATTGTCTTAAATTAGGGAACCAAAAATGATTTAGAATTAAATCAATTGTTTTATCTGCACCAATATGATGATGCTCATCGTGAAACACACGCAATAGACTAAGGCGGTGACCTTTAGGGATAAAACAGAGAAGTTTAGTAGGCTGACCAGCAGAATCAAACTTATAATACAGAATATTATTTTTTAATACATAACGTGTCCCATCTAGTACACCGTCCTCCAATTTTTGTATTAAGTTTTTGGTTTCCTCGTCCGCATTTTGCGCTACCTGTGCCCAATTACAAGGTCTTCTAATCTCACAAATATTTATCGGATTACGACTTAAATAATCGGCATGAGGTAACGCAGCGCCTTTGCGATACTCTAATACAAAATCATAGTCTTGCAAATAGATCCACCACCGAGCAACCCTCGGTAATAAATCTTTCTTTCGCTGTGTGAGCTTCAAGGCGTTGCAGTCCGTAACTACTTTGAAATGTATACCTATGAGGTAATGTCTGAAATATTGCAACGCCTTGACCACTGCCAGCGTTTCAAGCTCATAAGAGTGGTAACGCGGTTCAGCACCCTGAGTAACTTTACTAAAGTACCCAATCACCCGCTTACTACCACTCTCATGAGTCTGGATTAAGACAGCCCCATAGCCTAGTGACGAAGCGTCAGTGTGCACTTCCGTAGGTAATAAGGGGTTAAAAATGTCAAGAACTGGTTCGCCAGTCAAACGTGTAATAATGTACTGGCGAACTTGCTCTTGTTCGTCACCCCATCGAAACTCAACACCCTTTCGAAATAAATTGGATATGCACATTGTCTTTAATGAATACTCAGGAATATAACGTCTAAAATAACCCGCCAAGCCTAGAAATTGACGTGCTTGTTTTACATTACTGGGCCTCGGTGCCCTTTTCAAGGCTTCTACTTTATGAGCGCTTGGCCTAACCTGACCATTGCTGATTGTTCTCCCCAGATATTCTATTTCGTTAGTAAGGAATTTACATTTCTTTAAATTTATTGAAAATCCGGCTTTAGTTAAAACTTCTAAAACTTCACGCAAAATGAGGAGTCCTTCATCAATAGTCTGGCTAGGCAAAAGCACATCGTCAATATACACTAAGGCCCTTCCTGTTTCAATGAATGTCTTTAGGGTATTTGTGATAATGCGTTGGTAAACAACCGGGGCATTCGCCAACCCATAGGGCATCTTGAGATATTCAAAATGCCCCTCAGGTGTTACAAAACCAGTTTTGTGAATGGAGTCGCTAGCCATCGGTATCTGGTGAAAGCCAGTAGCCATATCAAGACTCGTGAAATATTTGGCATTACCTAATCGATCCACGTGATCATCTATCAATGGCAATGGGTAGCGATCCTTCACAGTATTTGAATTAAGTGCCCGGAAGTCCACGCACATTCTGTCGCTACCGTCTTTCTTCTTGACTAGTAATATTGGACTCGAGAATTCTGATTCTGACTCCCTTATGACCCCTTTATCTGTTAGAATGTGTGTATCCCACATAATATTATAATGTTCTATTGTCTATGATTCTCTTTGGTCTCTTCCTTGTCATGCAGCCATAATGTTAACAGTGTAACTATAAATAAATATATAAACTTCAATATTAATAAATATTAATAAATAAGTTAAAGTGTTTTTATGCTCATTTTCTTCATAATAAATTACGCTCACACTCCACAGCGAACTCTTAAAAATCTCAACAGGTTATGGGCCCAGCATATCAAGAAGCCATTTTGAGCATAATAATTAAGCAATATTGAAGTGAGCTAATCTGTCAAGAATAAACCGTTTGTTCGTTAAAATACATTCAAGAAAATTAAGATCACATCAATACAAAACATTCTGTGTTCGGAAGGCTAAATAACTTAAGAGCATCACTCTTATTAAAATGGATTCATCGCCATTGATTTCGAGTCACGCGACATCGTACACGGCGAACTTTGAAAAATTGGAAGGTTCATCCAATTTTCATACTTGGAAATTTTCCATCAAGAATATTTTAATACTTGAAGGATTGTGGGACGTCATAGAGGGAAGCGATGACGACGTGGTACGCCAACAGCGCGCGCTTGCGCGTATCTGTTTATCAGTGAAGAAAGAATTATATCAATATGTACGAAACGCGACATCGGCTGCTGCAGCTTGGAAAAATCTCGCCGAGGTATTTGAAGACAGGGGCTTATATAGACGTGTTTTGCTGTTAAGGAAGTTGCATCGTGTTGAGTTCACCGCTTACAGTTCTATGAATGCATATATTGAAAATGTCACCACACTAGTTCAGCAACTCCATGACATTGGAAGAACAATAGAAGATGCAGAGATTGCTGAAATTCTTCTTAGTGGATTACCATCAGAATATGACACTCTTGTATCAGGACTCTCAACAGCAACAGTGACAAATCAAATAACAAGTGAACTTGTCAAAGCTCGCCTGCTTCAGGAATATTCGAGGAAGACTTCATTGGGAGACACTGCTGCTTACATAACGAGGAAAAAAGCACCTTTATTCTGTGAATTTTGCAAGAAGAGGAATCACAGAAAATCTCAGTGTTTCAAATTGAAGAAAATGAAGAGTTCAAGGCCTGCTAGCATAGAGACAATTAGTCTAGCCTCAGCGTTCGTTGCCCGTTTGTCTTCACAAGTGTTTGTGCTTGACAGTGGCGCTAGTAGCCATATGGTAAATAATAAAAGACTTTTATGCAATTTTGTGCCAGATGATCAGGCTATTACTATTGCAAATAATGAACAAATAAAAAGTGAAGGGCAAGGGCAAGTTGATTTAAGATTTAAACAGCGGGTAAGACCATTATCGTTATCAAATGTTTTGTTTGTTCCTCAGTTGTCTAGTAATTTAATTTCCATTTCAAAGTTAATTAAGAGTGGCCATAAAGTTATTTTTGACAGTAATGGCTGTAAAATTTATGACAGGAAGAGTAAAACCACTGGTTTTGATAACCCAATTGCATATGCTGTGTGTTATAATGGTTTGTATATACTAAATGCATGTTTATATGTGAATACTAACAAATTCTCGCCAATGGAACACTCCTTGTTCCTGGAAGGTAGCCAGGAATCACTGAGGGCCACAATAGCAACAGGCTTGTCAGCGGAACTATGGCATAGACGTCTAGGTCACCTTAATCTCCAAGGTATGAAGTGTTTACGGGATGGTGTTGGTGCATGTGGTATAATGTTTCAGGATGAAGACCTTAAAAGCTGTACGGCATGTCTTGAAGGGAAGATGACGGCCGCATCTTATCCCAAAGGCCAGGCCACGCGAGCTAATCAACCACTGGAACTTATACACAGCGACGTCTGTGGGCCGATGCAGGAGCCAAGTTGGGGAGGGGCGAGATACCTAGTTACATTCACAGATGACTACACAAGAAAGACATTTGGTTATTTAATGAAGCAAAAATCAGAGGTAATGTCTCATTTTATTACCTTTAAAGCACATACTGAGAAACAGTTGGGGTTATCAATTAAAGTTTTAAGGTCCGACAACGGTGGTGAATACATTAATAAAAATTTCTCTGATTATTTAAGAAGGGAAGGAATTGTACATCAAAGTACTGTCCCTTACTGTCCACAGCAGAACGGGGTCAGCGAACGCCTTAACAGGGTTTTGTTTGACAAGGTCAGATGTATGCTAGTTGAGTCAGGTCTCTGTTGGCGTTATTGGGGAGAGGCAGTTATGACTGCTATATATTTGAAAATAGGTCCCCTACTACTGCTTTAGCAGGACGTATGCCTGAGGAGGTATGGACGGGGTCTAAGGTAGACCTCAGTCATCTCCGGGTATTTGGCTGTATTGCATACTGTCTGAATCCATCACAGAAACGCCGCAAGTTAGATGCTAAAGGAAAATTAGCAATCTTTGTTGGCTATAGTGAGGTAACTAAAGGCTATCGTTTAAGCGAGCCATCTAGTCCTAATACTGTGATATTGTCCCGTAGTGTGGCTTTTATAGAGAATAAGTTTTATTATAATAATGGACCTAATAATTGTAATAATTTGAATAATAATAATCATTATTTTATCTTAAATGACAATTCTTCTAATGATAATATAATGTCAATTGATAATTGCAATGCTAATGTGGAATGTTCTGATAATAGTAAAAATGACAATGTTTCAACCAATGTTTCAGATGGAGTCGATGGCGATGACAACCAGACACTGAGTGAGAGTGAACCCGTCTCTGGGGGCGACGGTGCCGATGGTGAACGTGATGAGCGTCTCTCACCACCTAGCTACGCGCCACATGGAGGGGAAGCTGTTCAACCAGGCAGTGATGCTGCAATGGGTTTGTCTGGTCGCTCTGTTCGTGAGCGACGTCCACCACAAAGGTACGGAGATTATGATTATTCAATGTTAACTCAGCATACCATATTTGAGGAACCAAAGTCATATGAAGATGCCATTGTATCGCCATATCGTGATGATTGGATGACCGCAATGCAAATTGAACATGACTCCCTAGTTTCAAATCAGGTATGGAGATTGGTAGATAGACCTACTAACAGAAATGTCATTAAATGTAAGTGGGTGTATAAGATAAAGCATGATGCAAATGGAAAATTTGATAGGTTTAAGGCGAGGCTAGTAGCCAAAGGTTTTACTCAAAAGCAGGGAATAGATTATAATGAAACTTTTTCCCCTGTTGTTCGCCATTCATCTATGAGAATTTTATTTTCTTTTGCAAATGAATATGATTTGAATATAGATCATATTGATGTGAATACAGCATTTTTAAATAGCGACCTTAATGAGACTATTTATATGGAGCAACCTGAAGGGTTTTCTGATAATAAAAATAAGGATAAGGTTTGTCTCTTGCAAAAGTGTATTTATGGCTTGAAACAAGCGAGTAAAATGTGGAATAAAAAGGTAAATGATGTACTAGTTAATAATGGTTTCAAACAGTCTCTATGTGAACCATGTATTTATACAAAAAGATCACAAAATGAATCTGTAATAATTGCCTTATATGTGGACGATTTTTATGTTTTTTATTCTAAAAATAGTATTATAAAGAAACAATTAGTCACTATTTTAGAGAAAGAGTTTAATGTTAAAAACTTAGGTCCATTGAAAAATTGTTTAGGCATGAGAGTCACTAGAGACATGTCTAAAGGAACTTTATGTTTAGATCAGACTGAGTATATTAAAAAATTGTTAACACGTTTTAATATGCAAAATTGTAAACCTATTGCTACACCTATGGCTTTAAATTCAAAACTAACTGTACCAAAAGATAAAAGTGCTTGTATACAGGATGAAACCTATGACTATAGGCAACTGTTAGGCGGACTTATGTATCTATCTGTATGTACTAGACCAGATATAACGTTTGCTTGTAGTCAGTTGAGCCAGTTCAATAACAGTTTCGACAGATCCCATTGGATTGCGGCGAAACGTATACTAAGGTATTTAGCTGGTACAATTAACTACTCTTTATGTTATATAAAAAGTGTTAATTGGGATTTAATGGCATATACCGATGCCGATTGGGGTAATGATGTAAATGACCGAAAGTCTTATACTGGGTATGTCGTAAAGCTGGGAAGTAATACCATAAACTGGGAATCTCGAAAACAACGCTGTGTCGCACTGTCGAGTACAGAAGCAGAATACCTAGCTATAGGTGATGTTTGTAAAGACATTTGCTTTATAAAGAATTTGCTTTCTGAAATAGTAAATAGAAATATTCATTGCATTGTATTTAATGACAATCAAAGTGCTCAAAAACTATTGGAATGTAAGGAATATTGTCACAAAAGGACGAAGCACATTGATATCAGATATCATTTTGTAAAAGATCTAATTAAGAATGACTCTATTTCAGTAAAGTACCTACCTACAGACAAGATGATAGCTGATGTATTGACAAAACCTTTGTGTGTACAGAAACATTGTAGCTTCATTGAGAATATGAATGTAAGAGTGTTACCTACTATTTCTATATAGTATTTTTTTTTGTATTCTTTATATGAATAATGACTTGCATTGTGTTAATGTGAAGCGACACTTACGATCTCTACATAGTAGAGTATTTAGTATTGATGTATTTGACATATTATTCTTGTATGCATTTTGTTTTTTTTTTTTGCACAATTATTATGTTAGATATAATATTATATGGCATAAGGGGAAGTGTTAGAATGTGTGTATCCCACATAATATTATAATGTTCTATTGTCTATGATTCTCTTTGGTCTCTTCCTTGTCATGCAGCCATAATGTTAACAGTGTAACTATAAATAAATATATAAACTTCAATATTAATAAATATTAATAAATAAGTTAAAGTGTTTTTATGCTCATTTTCTTCATAATAAATTACGCTCACACTCCACAGCGAACTCTTAAAAATCTCAACATTATCAAGAAGGTCCTTAATTATATCCCGAACGCGGAGTTTTTCACTATGCGATAGTTTATAAGGCCTATATACAATAGGAGTTTCATTGCTGAGACGAATTTGCATAGATCCGGTAGTAACAGTACTGATCGCGGTACCAGTAATGAAATATTTTGAATATTGTTCAACTAAATTCAACAACTTGTCCTTGTTTTCACCTATCAAAGGAGTATTAATAACGGAGATCAAATTTGACTCAGTCGTCTCAGCAATAAATACCCTTTCCATACGAGTTAATCGTTGAATACCCTTCTTCCTTATATAGGTAACCCCTTCTCGGTTCAAAACATCGGTTCCAATTATTATCGGGGTATTCAAAAATTTGTCATGTACTATTTGAAAATCAATTTCTAATGTGATTTCCGGAAACTCTACTGTTAAAGTACTAAAATAACGGGATTCAATATCACGATCACTAATACCGCGTAAAACACAAAAAGAGGGTACTTGCTTGCATTTAAAATACTTCGATACAGAGTCTGACATAAGCGAGATCGTGGACCCACTGTCTATGAGGATATCGACCGGTATACCCTGTATGACCGCCGTAGTTATATCATTCTTTCTATAGTTATCTACAGTGTCACGGCAAAAATTAACATTAGATTTTCCATTAGCCTCGACACGTTGCTTGGCAAAGCAGTCCTCTGTTTTGTGACCTATTTTTTTACAAAACGAGCAAATAACAGACTTTGACTGAGAGGAACTGCTACTTGTTTTTGATGTTGTAGGTTTATCATTTCTAGTAGGTGAATTATGTAATCTTGTACGCTTCGAACAATTTATCTGCTTATGACCAAAGGATCCACACGAAAAACAACCCGTTCTACTAGAACTATGTTCCCTTTTACGCGATAAAGTCGGTGTATTATGAAAACGACTAGAAATGTTGCGGGTATTATGATTTACTTTCGTCTGAGAGGGTTTTACATATATAGACAAGAACTCGACCAGATCATTGGGCATTAATTTTGCATTGGTAGCAGCCGCACGGATCTGTGGATCAACTATACCACGGATTACGATCGCCGATATTAATTCGTCACTAAGTCCGTTTACTATACGAAGACGTAACAAAGATCGCCTAGCATACTCCGCATATGTAGGGTAGTTATTAGAATCAGTTTTCATAGTGTCAAAAAGTATATTCGCTACGTCTACCTTCCGCGGACACAAAGGTTTGAACTCACGTTTAAAATTAGTCCAGCTACGATCGCTAGTAATCCAGTCATTTAACCACACACGAGCGTCCCCCTTTAAGCAGTTACCAATACGCGCCAAACACTCCCTATCGTCCCATTGATGAATGATTCGTAAATGGTCGACCTCGTCACACCAAGTATTAATATCATTTATATTAGGATCAAAATTCGATATATAAACATTATGATTAGACCTTACCGGAATTAGTCCATTGATTGCACTTACAATCTTGTCGGCTACCTCAATAGCAGCGCTATCATTGGCGGAGACCTGCGAAGCGTGCACAGACGGCAGTGGAGGCGTCACACACGTCGTTCGCGATGTAGATGGTGCACGCGACACTATGGTGCCAACCGCCGGACCCGGCGACTCCACACGGGCTGCCCGCCAATGGTAGCCACACTAGTTGAACCTAACCTGGAATTGTCTTCCAACACATTCAGACGAGAAACAATCGCCTGGAGTTGTTGGAGCAGCCCAGGGCTCGGAGAACGTTCACATGTCCTACTTTTATTTTTTCGTTGACTTGTACTTGATTTCGGCATTATAAAAAGCTGACGAACTTTCACTCAAAACTAAAAAGATTTACAAAAACAGTTACATCAGAATGCCACAGCAGGCTTAGGGACACACACCAAGCTATAGAAACTTAATGCGTATCCCACTTCTGATTTTATCTATGCACTAACTTTATTATAAAAAAAATATACACGATGAAATTAAAGATATTACTTTTTATTATTTTTAACGAATAATTAACAATATTAACAATACTAAAATAAATAAGAGAAGCGATGATGTGAACGTCCGTCCGTTCCGGCAGCCACGACAAAAGTAAAATTAGCCGCTCCAGTGTCGGCGACTCGTGCGTTGTCAAGCGAGCCACCACGCCACCATCACGCCACAAATTACGTCACTCAAGCCACGCCCCTATTCTTGAGCATTCTCCGCTAACAATATATATATATATATATATAAGTAAATAAAAAAAAATATAATAATGTATAATCAATGTAAAAAAAAGAAACAGAAAGAAAGTATATAATTAAAATTGATGTATAAACTAAATGTAATTATAGCAGTAGGTATTATCTTATAATCACATTGGCGTCTTGTTCACCAGGCGATAACAAACACTGTCTCAATATTGTTTATTAGGCCTCAAATAACGGCGGAAGGACATAATAGTAGAGTTTTACCTACCATTAAAACTCATATTATGTCCGGAGCCTTATTCGAGGCCTAACAGTAAATTCTGCCTGGTGTTATTTAAGTTAGATATAAGTAGCTCATTGAGACCACAATGAAGAGAAACTCCAATGGCCGAATGCAATCACCTGGTGAACATGGCGCCCGGAAGTTGTCATATTTTCTTAAATTTAAGGGAACTACAACGACTAAAAGCGGCCGGAAACGGAAGATGTCATCTCAATATTGTTTATTAGGCCTCGAATAACGGCGGAAGGACATAATATGAGTTTTAATGGTAGGTAAAACTCTGCTATTATTAGAGTTATATCACTTTGAACAGATTTTTCTCATTAATGATTAGGGTACAATTCAACATGTACCTACTAATCCTAATTCTATACAAATAAACTTTTATGTGTAAACGAATATAATTTGAATTGTATCTAAAACTCAAACCAAATCTAAATCAAAAAGGTATGAAGAACAAGACGTCCTAAATGATACAAGTGCTGGGATACACCTATAAACTTTTAACTTTTGTGGTTTTGGGATTTGGTTTGGTTTGGTTTTGGGTTTTATGATGGTATGCAATTTTTTTCGCGATTTTAGTGCAGTGATTTTACATGATCCTACATGACTTGATCCTTCAAAAACAATTAAGATGAGCGCGTGGACTGTCAAGTGGTTAGTCCACTTTTACGACACCCTCGGAATGTAGAGTTGGTGACTTTCAGTATTCTCAATCCGTCACCACACGGACAGTTGCAATTCATAGTTGCCGAACTGAATCAGATAGGTGTACCTTCTTACAGACATTTTTATTATCATTTCCGAAATCTCGAATTGCTAAAATTATGGATTTAGCCACTAGTCACATGGCGAACATGAGCTCACAAGACCATATTGAAGCTTAAATTGAACGAACAGAACAAAATAATAATACCAATGAAGACGGCTATGGATATCATGTAAGAGAACTTATTGAAGGATCGCGGCCAGTAGTAGAGAACCTATAGAAAGTCCAGTCCCTTCTATCCACGAACACAAAAATTCTGAAAAATCTGCAGAGAATTTAACAGAAATGGTTATTAACAATTATAATAAGACAAACGAAATAAATGACAAAGATTCCAAAAACCCTATGATGATTTGAACCTTACGGATTCATCCAGCTATGGTGATTTTGTGATGCGCAACATGGACACACCACCTCAGAAGATGCTCTTCAACTGAACTTGACTGTGACGTGAAGCTCCGGAGTGTGTTGAGATAGCGCTGCCCAGCACTCGCCTCCGTATAAAAGGACTGGTCGGATGATGGTCTTATTTATCTGTTCCTTGAGCTTGGCGGTATTCTGCGATCACAAACCACACCTGTGACTTCCAGCTTCCCATATACACGCTTAAACGTCGTGATCGATGCTTTCTACATTTCTTCGATTTACCGACTGGTTCAAGCCAAATGGGGATGGTGCTGAAGTCCAGACTCCCACAAGCCATATACTCGGTCTTTGTGACATTTAGTTTGACACCGCCGTTCTCAAGCGTACCCTTCCAAAGGTTCACTCTACGCTCCAGCTCTACACGGCTCTTATCAACGAGCTATATCATCGGCATACATCATCAGCCATGGAGGCTGGTCCTGGATGCGTGCCGAGACAACATCTAGTACTACGTTGAATAAGAAAGAACAGTTCTGACCACGGAACCACCGCCTTTTTATCTAACTTTTGTGAAACTATATTAGTTCCCATTGAGAATAGTTAAGTTACATTCGTATTCTAAAATGATAGTGATAAGATCTCAATTTACCGCTCTTAAGAGTTTTGATAAAACTGTGCCTGATTTGTAAGTAAATTATTGATTTTCAAGAAGTTTAATAAACCATGATTGTTTTTCTAAAACTTGTATTTATTTACACAATAAATATGCATTTTAGTGAGGGGTATAACTTGAGTTGTATTATTTAACACATATTTCAAAAAGCCAAGATTTTAGCAAAGTGATACAATTCAGCTAAAATATGAATTTTTTTGAAATGAATGAATGAATGAATGAAAAAACGAATTTGTTTGAGCAACATTGCGCTAGGAACATATTCCAATGAGTTATTAGATATTTTTACTTCATGTACAGTGCTACAAGGATCTTTTGGCACTTACATGACAGTGACATGAGGGCGTTGGTGTGAAATTAGGGTTACAAGCTAATAAAATCTACTTAGTTTTAGGGAATTCTTTTAAAAACTCTATCTTTATATTCCGTAATTCAATTTAACTTAGGAAATGAAAAAAATAAAATTAAAAGTGAATGAAATTTAATTACTTAATATACAAATTATTTAATTAATGTAATTAATTAAAAATTGTGTTATTCATGTCTCCATGGTAATCACCACTCTTTGTTTGTGATTTAAAAACCAAACAAGCATTGTTCACAAAGCCTTGATTACCTCCGGCATGAACAATAATAAATCTTTGTCCTTTAGAGATGGGCTCTAATACTCCATCTGAAATTGAATTTTTGAACTATAAAACAACTATAATACAAGCAGAGTAGAGTCTTAGAATAAATATTAATAATAGATAAATACATATGAAATTAGTCAAAAAAGATTTAAAAATATATTACTCATTAATATTTCAAGATATTTAATTAATTAGCCAATACCTTCATCATCATTCTGCCAACATTTTCCAGCTGTATGATCCGCCATTTTGTCTGTTAGTTCCGATTTCGGCCACGCGCCAAAAGATCCTTGTAGCACTGTATATCAATTTATACAACGACAACTTATAGGTGCAACATAATTTAACTGTACTTGTACCATTTATCACGTAATTTTAGCATGTACTAGAAATAAAAAAAGGTACAACTCACAGGTTTTTCAATAATTACTTTAAAACTATAATATTTACCAGAAAAATTTAAATGTACAGTAAAAGTGAATGTTTTTATCTACACAATAAGGTACTCAAGTTTAATCTAGCCCACTTAGAACGCGAACTAGAATTTTTTAAATTTTGTTTTTGCTCTCCTGTAAAATGTAGATTTTTGACTTGTATCACTTGTCACAGGAAGCACAGAATTGAAAACTCTAAAATCGTCTACAGGTAAATATTTTTTTATTTTTCTTTTTGTACTTTTTTACATATTAATTACAGAGTTTCATACAAATTTTGATGCCCAATTTTACCTCCTTATGGGGTCGAATTTCAAAAAATGCTAAAACACATATTTATTTAATTGTATTGAAAAGCATCAATAACAAGTTTCAAGTAATTCCAATTATAATAATTCTTTGTCTATATAAACTTTATTACCCCTTTCACCCCTTTAAGAGATGAATTTCGAAAGAAATCAAATAAATATATTTTTTATCTTGAAGTTAAACACCACTTTCTCTATATATCACATTAAGAATGACGGAGTTTCATACAATCTTTAATCCACTAGTTTACCCGCTTAGGGGATGAATTTCGAGAAATCCTTTCTTAACTGATGCCTACATCATATAAGGAATATGTCCTCCAAATTTCACGTTTCTGCGACCAGCGTCTTAGGCTGTGTGTTGATCCATCAGTCAGTCAGGACCACCGCAGGATGCACCTGTCCTCCTCAATTCTTCCTTCAGCTGGTCTAGCTTCCACGTACAATGTGTGAACACAATAGAAGCAAAGACCAACAGACACAAAAGAGATATCATAATAAGTTGCTTACTTCAAACTGAATGTAAATAGACCATACGTGTAGCTCCCTCCTTTCACGAAATCTTCCCCATTAGCACAATGTAAACTCCAGAAGGCATCCTCTAAAAATAGTTAAACTGAGATGTAAGTGTTATTATCAGTTTTCGAGATTGAGATACATATGTATCTCAATCTCGATTTGCTTTGTATGGGCTGGCACCGATTTCGAAAATATTTGATTAGGTAGGCTTTAATTACTTAGCCAAAGCACACCGACTTCGAAAATATTTGATTAGGTATGTATAGTAAATGAAAACTACCAATCAGTTATTTTTTACTTTTTAGTGTTTTTGTTTAAGTTGGTTTTTATTTTTTTGTTAAAAAGTTTTTATTTTTCCCTTTTTAGTGTAGACAGTAGTAGCAAAGTAAGAATTCTATCGTGTTAGGCTTGTCAAATCAAACAAAATAAGCCCAAACTCAAAGTATCTACTATTAGAGTTCCACCTATCCACCTTCTGGCCTTACCATCAGATCAGGTCAACAATACCGAACTACTGTACTATCAACGGAAATAGAAACACTTGCAAAGTTTCAAGTCAATATGACAATCAGAAGTAGGTTAAATTCATCATTAGCTATTTTTCCACCCTTAGGGGTGGTATTTTTTTTTTGAAATTTAAATGGGACCAATCTGGAAGTATACACTTTCAAACAACACAAAACTTGTCCAAATCGGTTAATAAATGACGGAGTCCTGAGGTAACAAACATAAAAAAAAACAGTCGAATTGAGAACCTCCTCCTTTTTGAAGTCGGTTGAAAATAGAAACAGAAAGAAAAATACTTGCTCGCGCGATATGTTTTATTTGTTGTTTCTTCATATAGTAGCTATACTTATGATAAATTGCAAGTTACATTCTGTTTGACAAACTACATTTATTTAAAACTTATGCATCCAGTAATCAAAACAACAAAAAAATATTATTCTATTAATTGTAAGTATGTATATCCAATGGTGATTACGAGTAAGTCATTGCTACATTCACTCTTTTTGACAATGATAGCATGCACAAGATACAGCAGACTTAAATATTAAATTTCTTTCTCCGTCCAAGCATAAAACTTTTACAGGAATCTGAAAAAACAATATTCAATTATAATATACTTAACAGAGTTACTTACAATAATCAATAACATAATTAAATACCAATTTATTATTGTAAAAGACAAGGACTTCAGACTAAAAAGAAAGACGAACCTAGATTTAGGTACGTTAAATATTTTTAATAGTTATATATTTAGCCATACCAATTTTTACCCTTATAACCTACATACCCTAAGTCTATCTATACATATAATAAAGTTGTAACAAAGCTGAATTTGTACATTAAATATTTTTTGGAAAATCTTATTGAAATAAACATTATTATCGATACAGAGGCCGAATCTATATTTTATGAATTTTTGTCTGTCTACCTGTCTGTCTGTCTATCTGTCAGAAAAACCACTGAAGGAATTTTGATGAAATTCGGTATGGTGATAGCTGGTTATCGGGGTCAACTTATAGGATACTTTTTACCGCGGGAAAATATCTCATTTCTGAGAAAAAATACAAAAACTGCAATGTAAGAGTATACTAATATGTAAAACCTAAGAATTTGCTTTTTTGTCATCTGAACGCGGGCGGAGCCGCGGGCAATGCTAGTATAATTTTCTATATATATATATATATATATATATATATATATATATATATATATATATATTTGTATAGGTACTAACTTAAAAGCCTAAAAGATTGTGATTGTACTCTCAAATTTTTAGTCGTGTACATTAAAACTATAAGCAGGACCTTGCAAATCTGTTACAGTCACAGAACTTAGGTCTTATAAAAATATATTTCTATTGTAAAAAAAATAAAAAAGACGTACATCTTCAGACTCCATGATGTTACAACACTGTCCCAAAGAGGTCACGGGATGCCGCTTGAATCCTAACATTATACTGGGTAGAGACCATGATTCACAGTATCCACGGCAAGCATTTGTAGTTATCTCAAATTTAAGACAATCCGGTATTGTTATGTTTTTCTTGTAACCTATATAAAATTAATTAAAGAGATTAAGATTACATCAATGAAGACTGTATTGGCACATTTATGTTTTCAGTCGACACTGCCAGGCCAGCTGTGTGTTGACCGCAGTGTGAGGTTTAAAATTTCATATTATTTTTTATTTTAGATTACTTTTCATTTTACGGTATCGACAACGTCTGAGTTAATAAATGGTCCATTAACTCTTGTATTTTTAACTTTGTATTTTTACCTTAATTAAATTTAATTTACTACAGTAATTAGGTTAGAGGAATATTTGTTTCTTGCAGCCGAGAGCAGAGTTTTAGATACTTACCTCTAACGTGGCAACCTGGTTTCTTCCATAGTTCAATAGCAAATAGGTTACTAATAGACAAGAAAAATATTAAAATTCTTAAAAACATTGTGTTTATCTCAAGCTTAGATTCTGTAACTGTAAATCCTGCCCTTTTTCGTCTATTTTTATTTGTTTCTTACAGCATTTTATCAGTGTCTCTAAACCATTGGACATTTTTAATACTATTGAGCGTTAATATTTTTTGAAAAACAGGATACATCCAATTTTTTTTATTACAATTAGAATAGAAACTTTGCCATATGTTGTCATCTTGACTTTTAATAAAAATAACTTTAATAACTAGGTAGTAGGTACCTGAGTTATAGGTACATTCTAGCACATTCTAGCACTATGTTAAGGTTGTTTTATTATGCTCCTAGCTTTAATAATGTAAACTTAAGTAAAATATGTATATCGTGAAACTCTGTTCCATTAATGCGAACTTCTATTGAAAAAAATTTGTACTACACTTAAATTCCAGCTTCCTCCTGCGTGGTAGGTTAGGTTAGCCTTGAGTTCCCCCCAAAGTGCGTTCACCTTGTCGTTTGGGCCGTCATTAGCGGCCAGCAGTTCAGCCGGGCGCGAAGCCAAGTAACGCAAAGGGTCCCACTTCGGTGGGCGGTGTATCATGCAGGTTGCTAGTGGTACTTCTCTGGTAGTAGAGTGGACTGTGGAGCAACCCCATGGTTCTTGTGGTTTGCTTCAGCAGACCTGCCCTCAGAGTGTCGTAATTAAGTGCGTAAGCGATCCTGTGACGCCCCATTAAGACAGGGGAAGGTTTTGTTGAGTTTTAGTGAGTAGTACTGGCTTTTCTAGATACTGAGCCTGAGTCCCACATAACCACCTGTATGCCTACTGGTGGTATGAGTAAATGCATTTCCTAACATAAAAAAAAAATTAGCCATGGCCAACTATAGAAACCTTTTCAACGCTTTAAGCGTGAACATGTAGGTAGGTAATAGACAGACAAAGTTACTTTCCGGTAAAAATACTATTAGAATAAATTATAAGCTTGAGTAATCTATACATATAATAAAATTCTAACTAAGTCAAATCTGTACATTAAATATTTTTTAGAAAATCTTATTGCAATAGACATTATTATCGATACAGAGGCCGAATCTATAGTTTTTAGAATTTTTGTCTGTCTGTCTGTCACCGCATCACAGAAAAACTACTGGACGGATTTTGATGAAATTTGGTATGGTCATAGCTGATTATCCGGGTCAACATATAGGATACTTTTTACCGCAGATAAATATCTCATTTCTGAGAAAAAATACAAAAACTGGTTAGAATAAAAAACGATAGTACTATATAGATTTTAGCAAGTTAACTTACTAAATATGTCGGTAACTATTAAAAATAGATAATCTTGAAAAAGTATATCAATAGCACTATTTTATTCATTAAAAAATTATTTTAATGAAATTAATTTTTATATTATTTAGATATTTGTCAATAGATGTCGCCATGTGTCTTTAAAATACGTCGTTTTAATTCCAAAAAATTGAATGTACAAATTCGACCTTTCTATGATTTTACTAGAATTACTACTAAATTACCCGCGGCCCTGCCCGCGTTTAAATTATCAAAAGAAAAACTTTTTGGCGTTATAAATTAATTACAATTTTCTTTTTAATTTGGTTTAAAAACAAAAGAAATTAAAAACTTGAATAAATAAAAAATACAAATAAAACAAAAGTAAAAACTTTGTATCCGACAGAGATGCAAACCCAGACACCTATTATTGTCAATCTTGCGCCTTGGGCGCTTAACCACGATGCGTATAATGGAGTAATGAGAAAGAAAATCGCATCAAAATTTTGAAAACACGTATTTTACCAGATATAAGACTAATCTAGATCAATTTTTCGCCCCCAAAACCCTCACATACCAAATTTCAGCCAAATCGTTGGAGCCGTTTCAGAGATCACCGGTATATATAAATAAATATGTAAATAAATAAACATACAAAAATTGCTCGTTTAAAGGTGTTAGATATGCTTCGACAAAAAAAAATATTTATCAAGATAATCAGCAAAAATGTTTAGACTTACTGAAAAATTACCATTAAGAGGCTATAATTTTTATAAGCTTCAGGACACTTCATTAAACGAAAGTGTTATGACCCGAAAGATTTATATTGTCTGTAAGTGATGACCTATACTTAAATTGAATATTCTAATACTTAGTAAATTATCTGACGTAATAAGATAGTGACTTTTTTGTCAAGGGATACATTCTACATATTGTGTTGACAATTATTTAATGTAAAATTTTCATGATTACGAGGATTTTTACAAAGCTTTCAATTTCCAATTCATGTACTAGGTGTAATTTTATTTTTTATGAAATCTCTCTCACTTTATTCTCATTCTCATATCAAGTTTCTTAAGTTTACCAGAGTATAAAAATTCCGATAAAATTAATATAGAAATAAATGAATGCGTGTAAACTTTACGTGCTGTTGAAGTAAAACTTCTTTGGTACTGCGGTAGATACCGCAATTAAATTAAAAGAAATCAAAATATAATATTTTTTATAAAATTATCTATACATATAATAAAACTGTAACTAAGCTGAATCTGTACATTATATATTTTTTGGAAAATCTTATTGAAACAAACATTATTATCGATATAGAGGCCAAATATATAGTTTTTAGAATTTTTGTCTGTCTGTCTGTTACCGCATCACAGAAAAACCACTAGAGGAATTTTGATGGGTACGGTGATAGCTGGTCATCCGGGTCTACATATAGGATACTTTTTACCGCTGGAAAATATCTCATTTATGAGAAAAAATACAAAAACTGCATTGTAAGAATATACTAATATGTAAAACTTAAGAATTTGGTTTTTGGTCATCTGAACGCGGGCGGAGCCGCGGGCAATGCTAGTTAGTAATAAATATTCATATTTATAAGTAAAAACGTGTGTGTGTACCTATGAAATGCACGTAAGCAGTTATACTTCTTTGGCGTAACAGAACAAAAATAGCTAAAGATTTCATCCCGTATGTCACAACTCTCTGTTTGTAAAAGGAATGATAAATTTTAATAAAAATAATTAAATAACGCATATTACAATCATATATTAATACAATATCATTGAAGGAAAGAATATAATATTATATATCAGTTGTCAGACAACATAAATGGTTACGATGGCAACAAACGTTTGCCTCTCCCGATCACACTTTTCGTAACGCTCTCGTCACGCATTCACCAGCTCCCCAAGTCAAGCGTGCGAATAAAGTTTTACTTCAAAAAATAAAATTATGGTTCTGCTAGTGTGCAAAACATTTACAAAAGATATTTTCGCAATAAAGTATTGAAGTTATTAAAACAAACCATAGCACCAGAAACCGGAACCATAGAACCCGAAACCGGATTTTCTAATAGTCATTAAATAAATCGATTATCACACTTTTGGCTTCTCAAGTCAATAAGTTGAAATTGACTAAAATGATATACTAACATAAATAAAATTTAGCTAATTTTATAGTTTTGAGGGTTCCATAGCCGGATGGCAAAAACGGAACCCTTATAATTTCGTCATGTCCGCCTGACTGTCATAGTCATTTTACTAGAAACTATTGGTTAACAAGTATTCTCTAGTCATATTTCGTAAAAGCGCCTAGATATCTCTTTAAAATGCAAGTTTTATTTTAAAAAAGTAGAAATTTACGCAACAAGTAAGAGGGCCTTGGGCCCCCATCAGCTGCTGGCATACCTCGATAAGCTATCTTTCTCGCACCTTTGGCTACGCATAGGACTTTTTTTCGTACTCATTTGTAAACTGGCGATTTGCAGGTGTTATTGAAATTACTCAATACGTGATAAATACCTACGTGATTGGTGAATATGAAAAATGGGGATCAATTCATTTTTATTGAAATTAACATAATGATTTTCTACCACAGGCTCTATATTCTGATGATGTTGCATCGATCAAAAAAGTATTTTCTTGATCAATGTTGTTATGTGTATATACTACAAGTAGAGATTAAAAAATAATTGCAATTTCAATTTTTATTTATATTAACTTGTTGAAATCGAACGGACACCACGCGTTCTCGTCTCGAAAAAACCCAGCTTTTAGGCGTCTACTGCCGACTTCTCGTTTAACGCTCGGCAGTCCACATTCGATTTCATAATAGGCAAAGGCGGGCATTTCTATTTTTTTTTTTGCATTGAAGCCCAAGAAAATTAGTTACGCCACTGTCTTCGTCATATCTAAACACACCTAGTAGGTATGAAACAAAGTCGCTGTTTGCCTCTGTCTATTTCTCCGCATACCTTCTAAACCACACCAAGAATTTTGATACAGTTTTTACTAATAGAATAAGCGATAAACGAGGAAGGTCTATTATATGGATATCATTTGTAAATAATTTGTAGAAGATGGCTGAACTATGACAGTATTGTGTCAAAAAAACTGGTTTCGTACGCTTTTATGGCTAACGCTGGCTTAATCTTAAGAGATAAATAAAACAATGTACTAAAATAGTTTATTCGAATCTCGGGTCTCGCACCTCTGATATTTTTATATGCGAATAATTTCTAACATGATGACCAGTTATCTTACGGTGAAGGAAAACATCGTGAGGAAACCTGCAATCTGCATGTCTAAGAAAACCTAGCAAGTCTTCCAAAGACATGTGAAATCCGCCAACCCGCACTTGGCCAGCGTAGTGGACTATGGCCTGATCCCCCTCGTATTGAAGGAATGCCCATGCCCAGCAGTGGGACGTTAAAAGGGGTTGCATACAATACAATACAATACGAAGGGAAGCGAGGGTAAGTCACTAGTTAATTATAAATGCGACAATATATTTAAGTATCTCTCTGTTTTTTACAAATCTTTACTAAAATTTCGCATTATATACATAACTTTTTTTGATGATCATCACTCTCACACCTGACGATTAAATACTTGTCATACTATTATTAAATATGAGCCTTATTTCGAATTTATATTTTAGATTTTTATATTCCTTGCACGTAGCCGCATATCCATTGCCTGCAACGCCCGGCGAGCGGGTCCATGTTCATAGATTGCTACACTCGCTAGAAGACACCTTCGAGCCAGTGTCATGTCGCCTGTCGACTGTAAATTCATAAAAGTTGTTTAAAAAATATTTTAATACTACCAGTTTCAACTCTTCAGCTTAATTACAAACCAAAAGAAGTCAAAATCATATTGAAATAATTAATTTTGTAAAAAATAATAAGTCGGTCATTACCAGTGCAACATGTGCTAAGTTAAACCAGATGTCTGAACGAGTGTCTGGACTAGAGGCAAAATACAGAGCTTGTCTAAAACAAGGCAGCGTAAGATCCCATTGGTTACAGTAGAGACAACAAAGCCCCATGTTATTGTATATTTCAGCACCAGGGGGACTCATTGCTAACAGCCTCCTAAAAATAAGAAGTATTTAAAAGTATCCAATAAAATAAAATTAATATGTATGAAAAAATAATATAAATTAATCTATCGATAAAAATAGAATAATCAAAATAACAGGTCGTGGAATTACAACGGCTAGACCAATTTCGATATATCTATTTTATATAACTTTAAGCTTATAAACATAAAGCTTAATAACATTAGGTTTAGCAGCCGATAATAGGACGAATTGTTTTAATCGATAAAATTCTAAACGATGTAAGCTCCTCTCGGCTCCCGTAAGCCAGTAGATAATCTCACCCAGTTTTCCAATTACAGAGCATAATGCCGCACTATGGCGCACAATGCCGAAGTGTGCTAATGCTTAATTAGAACGTAAATTAGTTTTCAAGTGCACCAGCAGAGGGCACTAGGTTCAGTGTTGAAAGAAAAAATATAACTAACTAATAAATATAATATAAATAAAGTATAAACAAATATTACTAACGATAATGTAAATAAAATTTTGTTCAATGCCACCTTGAAGAAAAAACACTTTTTATATTTTCTGCTACTGAGTTGGTGTCCTTGCACACATCACACCAAAGCAATAATTTTCATAATGCTCGATTGAGCGGAGCGTTGCTGTAGTTGAAGCATTCGTAGTTAGCATTATGCCGCATAATACGCTTTAGTGCTCTAATTGGAAAACTGGGAATGTAACGTAAGAATAATAAGTACCTGCCTACTATTTTGTAATGCAGCGTATTGAAACCTACCTGTAATATCTTAAAGCTATTTCTGGTTGATCATTATAAAAATTATACATAGCAATATTAGATATTGCTTCCATATTTGTAGGGTCTTTAGTAGCAACCATTCGATAATAGTTTACTGCGACAGCAAAGTTGCCTAATTGCTCGTGTATGCGAGCTTGTTCTAACAATAACGGAGTACATTCATGAAATACTACAAGACCTTGCTTGCAAATTTCAACAGCTGATAGTGGCTGATTTAGGCTAACGTACATAGCAATTAGTCTTAAATATATAGAAATGTGTTTATTCATTTTGAGCGCTTGTCGCAAACTTTCTTCTACATTTCTGAACATGCCAAGAGTCTCGTAACAACGTGCAAGAGAAAAATTCCACCACCAATCTACATTATCATCTGCTTTTTGAGCTTGGAAAGCGACCTCCATAGCCTGTGGAAACAGCAAGGGCAAAGTGAAGGTTTTGAGTACATTTTATAACATAACGACACATATTTATACTTACTAATCATAACAAGAATTTTAACGAACCTTTCGCACGTTGCCTTCGCAGTAGTAGATATATTCGAATAAAGTTTTCGCAGCTGGTGCAAAAAGTTTATCGTCTTTGTTTAAGAACCTCAGAGTAACTGGTGCATCTAAAGCAAATGCAGTGCCGCCAGCGAGGGCCGTGGCAGCGCGGGAAGCTCGTGATGCGGTACGTAAGGCAGATCGTGCAGTGCTAGCACGTGCTCTACTTGTACCGGCTCTAGATTTGATTCTAGCTGTTACGGGTATACCATCCTAAAAATAGATGTACTTTGCGAAAAAAGTAAAATTAAAACAAATTTATTACCTATACAATCGCATTTAATTTTACTCTACATAAAATTAAGTTTAAGAACAATTCCTATATCAATAAAATCTTTATAAGAACACATATATGAACGTATTATTAACAATTTAATCATATTGATGAAGCTACCTAATGTATGCCTACATTTTTCTGCGAATATTGGTAACACGACCCTTCCAGTACTAACGACGATGGAAGATATTTCAGTCAATAACGTACATCATGTATATTTTATAATCCTCGCCAAAATGTTGACCGTCCTGAATATGCGTGTGATTTAAATAAAGATGTAATATATTTTTTATAATCTTTATTGGTTTTGAATTAAGCCTATATGATAATACTTGGACGTCATATTCGGTCTGACCAATGGAGTGCGTTTCACCTACTTTGAATTTCCCACCTATATTTGCACTTCTTAATAATTATTTTCTTAATCCCTCAACGACCACGGCCACGCCGGTGTTACAGTTAACAATAGATTTCTTAGAAATTTACCTGTAGAAATTACATTAAAAAATATTGATAACAGAGGGATTATCGATTTTGTCGCTACAAACTAAAATCGTCGTCATGGATGACAAATAAAACGTCGTTTTTCTATGAATGACACTTTAACGTCACACGCAAAACGGCGAAAGTTTATGTATCCATTTCAGTATGTTTTTTTTATACTAAATTTTAGTTTTTTTGGAGCTGAATATTTTTTTTACAATTATGACACGTTTGCAGTCTGTATATAAACTACATGCACGCAAAACACTCGAGTAAAAAACTACTTTTTTTTGTAATATTCATATGTTACTTTTTGTTGTGTTTAACTTTTTTTATTTAATTATGTCTTACAATATATGAAAAGTAACCTCGAAAAGGACTTCAATTTGACATTTAAAATGTCTTTGATGATGAAATATATTTAATTTCCAAATCCTATTCATTGACTTTATTTATCAATATTATAATTAATAATTATATTTATTAAAACCAAATAAAATAAATCGTTGCATATGAAAAAGTAGTAAATAACAATATTATGTTACTTTATTAACGTATATTTAATATTTATGATTGCACTAACTTTTGTTTACTTGAATTAAGAGTGCACGATGTATATCGATATTTCATAAAATATCTATTATGTACGCGATATATCGTTTCAACCCGATATTATCGAATCATCTAGTATCGATATTATATATCGATATATTTCATCCGATATATCAAATATCGTGAGAAATTAAAAGCACATTTCCATTTCTATTTTTTTATATTGATTACTTTATGGATGGCAACTTGAGTAAAAATAAAACGTAAAACCCCGAAGTATTGAAAAACTAGCCTTCGCAATAACGAAATGCAAAGACACGAAAATCGAAAACTATTCTCCTACTCTCCGTGAAGGTAGACTAGTAGTAGTAAAAATTTTATAATCTGTGACTGTAGTCGTAACTCGTAGTGTATCTGTGCCTCGAGAGTCTCACTCACTTCCGAAATCCGAGTTCCCACTTCCGTTTCGTTTATCGTTCTCAGTTCTCACTTCTCAGTACAAATTACAAAATTTTGTGTAATACAATTTACGAAATTTAAATACAGTTAGTTTGCGTAACGATATATAAAAACGGTTATTTTAACTCGGCAGAGAAACAGATTGCAAGCCGCAAGCAAAAGAGTTAATAAAATTTTGTTCTTGCAAGGTCTAGAGAAAAAGTATTGGGATTAATGAATAAATAAAATGTTTTGTTTTTTCACTAACTGTTTTTACTCATATTAATCTGATCCCTATCTTATATTTAATATTATAGACTAGTTAAATACAAACAAATAACTTACGACTTACGATATTTCGAAAATATTGATATATTTATACGATATATCGCAAAGTATCGATATAACAATACGATATATTATATCGAAAAAAATATCGATATTTTTTTACATGAACATCCCTAACTTGAATGTATCTGCGCGAGGTCAGACAGACAGACGGATAGGCGAACGGACGGACGGGCTGACGAGCGGACGGGCGGACGGATGGACGGACAGACAGACAGACAAAAATTCTTTAATGTACCCACAGATTCGACACAGAATTTTATTATATGTATAGAATATTGCTCTAACTAGAAATCTGGTTTCTTCCAATTTCTTTACCTGTACATTTTGTGACGTTTTGGTGACTCTTTGAAATGATGTACCGGGACGAGGTGTTTTAGCTACTGATGTTGAACTAAGATCGTCTTCTTGCGGGTAATAACACATTTCTTCATACCCGTTACCAGCTATCTTAGCTTGAATAGTCATTGCGCGCATACGAATATATTCGATCATTCGGTCACTTTTCTCTTGTAATACCAAATCACACAATTTTAAGCATTTATCAAACTGTCTAGTTTTATATAAGTTTAAAATATTATATTCTACGTCCACGTCCATTCTTGGAAAAAAGTTTTAATATTTTGTTTGTATTACAATGTTGCTAAGAAACGGGCCTATATGTACCTATTACCTAGTATTTATAGAAATTTTACTTACACTTATACTTAACTTTATAAGGAAAGTATGCCTTCGATCAACAATACTACTGTTGATCGAAGAAGTGTGCACAATAATTAATACTACACACTTACACTAACTTCGTCCGGGAGCGCCTATAGAAGAGACGTAATACTTAACTTTAATTTATAATAATACTAGCGGCTCACCCTCGCTTCGCTCGGGTTCGTCGCTAGGTATGTTTTAAATAGATATAAATAGTTATTAGCCAGTGTTATTAGACATTTAAAAATTTTATTTTCGGTAATTTTTCTGACGTTTTATTACTTAGGTATTAACCTATTCCGGAATGAGAGAAATCCAAAAATTCTAATATCATAAAAATTGGTCCAGCCGTTCTAACGGGCTAAAAAGTATCCTATGTCTGTCTCCTGGTTCTAAGCTACCGCCCCACCAAGTATCAGCCAAATCGGTTCAGCCGTTCTTGAATTATAAATAGTGTAACTAACACGACTTTCTTTTATATATATATAAAAGATGTAGTTATACTAATTTAAACTCGCTGCTCCTTTCGATTGTACACTAAAATATACAATATGGCTGTTTTTCTTTTTAGTAAAATTATTGGTCTCATCAGGAACAAAGGAAAATTAATTCAAATAAACATCAATAGATGGCATTACATGTATTGATTTGTTATTAAAGCTTGTGTAAAATTAATTAAACAATAAAGTAGTAAAGTGAAGGATTTTTTTACTGATTGTTGAAAATCAGCAATCAGGTATAAATAAAATAGCAGGTATTTATATATTTTAGCTTTCACATACATATCGTCATTTACATACATATCAGAAACTGGTTCGATAATGAAAAAGAAGTTTGCCTTTTTCTCCCGCCAGATGTCGCAATCACTATGGCCCTCAGTATACTATAAAGTTTCCTGATCAAAATTTTATATTGCGCAAAATTAAAGATTTTAGATTAATCACAGAATATCCCAAGTGCATATTGTGCCCTTTCTTAAGCCATATGAATATATTTTACCAGTTCAACACTAACACCTGGCAGCTGTGGAGCAGACTCTCGTAAATGACATGGAGGGTAGAAGAAAGGAGGACCATCTCAGTGTATTAGAAAGTGTCCGTTGAAAGGGAGCAAATTAAGTTGGCGCTAAATTATTAGAGTAGGACACTAAATTAAAAAAGGAAAGAAAAATTTCCGCTTTGTTACAGCGCTTTTTCTTTAAATTATTATAAATAATATACAGACATGAATATGGAATAAAATTATACAGTATTTTTAAGTACCCCAATTATTTGTAAATTAATTTATTATTATTTGTAAATTATATTAAACTTTTAAAATAATAATTTATAAAATAATATTATTTGTAAATTATATTAAATTTTTCAATCCAGCACACTGCACTGTTCATAACTGTTAAGTTCATATCATTTCCATTTCCTACATTAGCGCTATTTCGGTGAGTGTTCGAACAATAATTTGCTGTTTGCAAGAAACTTTTTTAACTAATCCCCCATACAAAACGGTCCTCCTTACATCCACCCTCCATAGTAAAGGAAAACTGTTTCTAATGAAGTAGATTGTGTACTTAAGTGAAAGTCCTCCTAAAGTGATTTATTCACTTTACATTAGTTTAAAATTAACAATATTATACACTAATATATTGAGGAAAGAGTTCTCAAATGCAACTAGAGATATTACCTATACATGATAAAAAAATGATTGAAAAAATACAACAGTCAGTAAATATAAAAAGATGATTTATTAATACATAGTAATAGTAATAAAGTAGTGGTCCTTTTTAATCCCTGACGCCAAAAGAGGGATGTTATAAGTTTGACGTCGATGTCTGCGTGTGTGTGTCTGTGTGTCTGTGGCATCGTAGTTCTCAAACGGATGGACCGATTTCGATACGGTTTTTTTTTTCATTTGAAAGCCAGTTTCCTTGCGGTGGCTCTTAGCTATGATTGGTTAATATCGGTCCAGCAGTGTAAAAGTATCAGCTCAAGTAAAAGTGTAAATGTGCAAGTCAGTAAAAGTGCCAGTGTAATCGTTAAATGACAATTAATTTGCGTAGGCGGTTTTTTAAATTTTTAATTTATAATTGATAATGTGTATTGTGATTTGTATAGTAATATTTTTCATAATTATTGTAGCAAACTTAAATAATTGTCGATACACGGATCATATAAGTCCATATTTCGAAGATCTTCGTATTTCAGAGCCGCTAGTGAATCCAATATTGGTTCAGGATGACTACGCGGAAGGAGTTTAATATCTTCTTTAATTTTAGCTTCAGGCGCTATACGCGAAAAGTGACGCTCTCTTATCTGAAATGTTTAAATGTTCATAATTGTTGTACCCTGGTAGGGTTATGTATGAAAATATAGTAGTAGTAAGGTACCTTTAGTTATGTGGCGATTCCAAAAGATTTGTGAACATAAGAATATGGTCTATCAAATTATTATTACCTAATTTTATTATCAATAATAATGTTAGAATTATCTCTTATTTTACAAATAATATTAAATGTAAAAATTATCAAACCTGTTCTATGGTAGATGCTGGGCATCCAATATTGTCCCATGTATCAAATCCCTTTGGTATAAGGAGAGGCTTATTAAAGTTTGTATTTTTTTCTTTAAGAGTAACGCCATTACCAAAACCAATATTATTAAACATGTCTTTAGCTTTTTTTACTAGTTGTGTCTCCTTAGACGAATAAAATATTATATTTGCATCATGTAGTAAAGCGAAACTTCTTATAGTTGTACATATACATTTCTTAATTTCACTATCTGGAAGAGCATATATTTAATTCATTTTATTAGTTGAATTTCTTTAGATATTTTAAACGATTTCAAATAAGAGATTAAAGTGTTTTATGCTTTATTTTTGTATATACTTAGATACTCCATCTTAGCCTACTTTCCTATTGTTATGTAAGTTTTTAAATTCTCGCGTCTCATAAAATCACACAAAAAATACCTGGTTCCCGACGTTTCGACTGGTTCTTATATAAAAACTTTTAATTCATTTTAAAGTCAGTGTAATTTTTTTGTTAAAAATTAATATAGGTATTTTACAGTTTAAGGACATCAGTCCTGACTGATTTTAGCCACAGCGGTAAATCTCTATGAGACTAGCTGTCCCCCTGGAGATATGAAGTACATTGCAAAAATATACGCTCATTCATAAGTGCGCTCTCTGTTCATATATTTATGTTAGTCCCAAACTTCGGTGTGACAATTCGAATTATTAGGTGAGTTATGTGTTCTCCGAAGCACGGGGATAAATGAAACACCGTTTACTTCTCAACTCCGGGCTGTTACTGAGAAATGAGAATTTCTTAACAGAAATACTCAATAACTAGACTTAGTCCAATCTGGGACTCCAACCCAAGACCTCCAGATATGCAACCAAATGCTGGCCACTTGACCACCGAGAGTAGTAGGTATATAGTCCAAGTATTGAATCAATAAAGGTACTTATACCTACTCCATTTTGGTAAAAATACATTTACGTTTGCTATAAATTAGTAATTATATGTAGGTACTAGGTATGTTTTAGGTATAAAACGAACCTACCAATCGCATAATACCTGATAATAAATGCATTAGTTTGAAATGCAAAACGGTACAGTCGTTCTTTGTTAGTTCCGTGTTCAAAAAATATTTTTTCTAGTTCAAAGTGACTAAAATCAAATAAACGAATTCCTTAAGTAATATTTATGATCCAATTTAGTGTTTGCAATTAAAATTTTGAAGACTTGTAGTCGAAAAAGTGTTTTAAATCTATTGCAAAGTTTTAAAGTGCAAGTGGTTGATATGGAATTACCCACATATTTTATTTAATACAATAACAGCTGCTGATACAAAATATTGATCTTCATAAAATATAACTCAAATATTCACACAGTAACTTAAGCATTTCGTTAGCTCAGTGTAGCGAGAGAGAACTTTGTGTTGGAATCTGACCGAGTGGTCGTGGTTCAAATCTACGAACGAGATCCAATTATCATTTTTAAAATATTTTAAAATATATTTCTTTAAAATGTCAAGTGGTTGTAACGTCTGCAAATTGAATGTATTAATTACACAAAAAAGAATTAATTGTGTAAAGTGTCAAGCCAAATACCACTTTGAATGTATTGTTCCACCGGGGTCTTCTAAATCACCTATTATACGAGGGCAGTGGGTTTGCCCGATCTGTAAGAACAAATCTCCGCCTACATTATTGGAAAGTAGTATCGCAGGTACAACTAAAACTACGGAAGAAACGGTTGCTCCTGAGGGTAATTGGCTTACGGCGATAAGAAACGAAGTGCAGAAAATCATATCTCAAACTGTGAGTGTCGAATTGACAAAAATTCGTGAAGAGTTGACCGGTTTGCATGACATACAATCATCCATAGAATATTTATCGAGTATCTTTGACACAGTGAAGCAAGAGCTGGAAGACGCAAAAAAAGAAATATTATCACTGAAGAAGGATAATAGTGATCTTAGAGACATCGTAAATAGTCACGCAAATATAATAAATATACTTGATAGGGAGGCTAGAGCAAACAATATTGAAGTGCATTGTATTCCAGAACATAAAGGCGAAAATCTGCTCAAAACAGTAGAACAAATTGGAAGAGTGATAAACACTCCTATAACTGAAGGAAGTGTAGTTAAGTGCACCCGAGTAGCAAAATTAAACAAGATTTCTACGCGTCCAAGATCTGTTATTGTTAAATTTAGCTCTTCCCTGCTAAGAGACAAATTTTTGGCAGGAGTGATTAATTTTAATAAAGCGAATAAAGACGACAAGTTAAGTACGGCACATCTGGGCATATCGGGAGAGAAGAAGCCGGTGTACATTTCAGAGCACTTGACTTCTACAGCTAAAGATATCTACGCCGCAGCACGTATTTTTGCTAAAGAGAAAAATTATCGTTTTGTCTGGTCACGTAACGGCAACGTATTTTTGCGGAAAACAATATCAAGTGACGTAATATTGGTGAAATCTAAGGATCACTTACTTACTTTAACATAAAGACGGTCATATTTTATCATTCTCTTAATTGCATAACTCTGATATTCTAATATTTTAATTTAAACAAGAAACTATTACAATTTAATGGTCAATCACTTAAATCTATTCTATCAGAATGTTAGGGGAATAAGAACCAAAACAAAAGATGTATACCTGGCTATTCTTAATTCCAATTTTGACGTAATAGTTTTTACTGAGACGTGGCTTAACAGTGGAGTATCGAATAATGAGTTAATTGATGATAGATATAATGTATTTCGTCGGGATCGCGAATCCAGTCAATCTAATAAATTGGACGGTGGAGGAGTAATGATAGCGGTGTTAAAAAAGTATAAATGTTACAGGGTTAATTCGTGGGAAACAAACTGTGAAGATGTTTGGGTTAATGTAGTATTAAATTCAGGAACTATCTCTATATGTGCCGTATACATACCATCTCCGCTTAATTACAACACTCTTGAACAGTTCACGCAGAACGTTGAACAAATAATAATTAACGAACAGTCACCCACTGTGATTGTTGGTGACTTTAATATTCCGTCACTGAAATGGAGCTTTGATGATCATAACACTTGTAAAATGATTCCATGCAATAGTGGCGCGGCAGTATCTATTATTAATGATTTTATGGCACTAACAAATCTATCTCAATTTAATTGCGTAAATAATGTATACGGTAAAATATTGGATCTCGTTTTCAGTACGTCCAAAAATGTAAAAGTAAAACGAAGTGACTTTTCCGTGTGTTTAGTGGATAATTTTCATCCACCTTTAGACATTGACCTTAGAATAGAACATAATGAATCATTTTTAGTTACGAATAAAATAATAAAATACAACTTTAGAAACGCTGACTACGAAGTAATAAATAAATGTCTTGCTGCCCTGAAATGGGAGTATCTATTTAGTAAGTGCGATAACGTAAATGAAATGACCGTTATCTTTTACACAGAATTACGTAACGTAATAGAAAAATGTATAACAAAAAAAGAAGTAAAAAATAATACACATTATCCAGTCTGGTATTCAAAAAACTTAAAAAAAAGGCTAGCGGAGAAGAATAAATATAGAATACTGTTTAAAAAATATAATAATCCAATGGATGAAATAGAATTTAAGCTATTGAGAGACAGATGTGAGATTCTTATTAACTCGGACTACAAAAAATATTTAGATAGGGTAGAGCATAATATTAAAATAAATCCAAAATTTTTTTATTCATATTTAAAAAAAATGCGTTCCAACAAATGTGACTTTCCTGCATTAATGACTCTAAACGGCGTTTCATCTACTAATGGAGCTGATATCTGCAATCAATTCGCTACGCATTTCTCAAATGTATACACTTCACCAAATTTAACAACGCATCAATCTTCTAAAACTACAATATCATATCACAATTCAGAATTGACTAGTATAAAAATCCTGGAGAAGGATATCATTGTAAAGTTAAAATGTCTTGATGTAGATAAAGGGTGTGGTCCTGATGATATACCTCCTATATTTGTTAAAAATTGTGCTGCTTTTCTGGCAAAGCCTTTGTATATAATATTTAATAAATCACTGAGTGACGGAGAATTCCCATGTTTATGGAAAAAGGCCAGAGTAGTTCCTATATTTAAAAGCGGCGATAGGAAGGATATAACAAAATACAGGCCGATTTGTATATTGTCAGTCTTTTCTAAAATATTTGAGTCGTTGATTTGTCCGGTGCTTACTTGGCATATGAAATCGGCAATGATAGAGAATTAACATGGCTTTGTCAAAAAAAGATCCACTATGTCGAATTTGGCGATAGTAGTCGATGATTTATCGATAGCATTGGATAAATCTGAACAAATAGACTGCGTCTATACTGACTTGGCCAAAGCATTTGACGTAGTCGATCACCATATTTTATTGAAGAAACTTAGTGGCTACGGTTTCAATGGTAATCTTATTAAGTGGTTTGAAAGTTACTTGGCAAACCGTAAAATGAATGTAGTTGTCGGGGGTTATCAGTCACGAACGTTTATTGCGACTTCAGGAGTACCACAGGGCTCCACTCTTGGTCCAATATTGTTTGGGTTTTTTATAAATGACATAGTTCAGTGTTTCAAATACTGTCAATTTCAACTATATGCTGATGATCTTAAAATATATAAAAAAATAGAAGACATAAATGATTGTATATATATACAACAAGATTTAGATAGACTTTCGGTATGGTGTGATCATAATAATTTAAAGTTAAATCATTTAAAATGTTACATTATAACGTTCAGTAGAAAAGTAAAAAATGTCAATTTTGATTACTGTATTAACGGGAATGTTCTAGAGAAAGTCAGCCAAATCAGTGACCTCGGGATCATTTTAGATAGTAAATTAAGTTTTATACCACATTTGGATGACATAATACAAAAATCATTGAAATTGTTAGGTTTTATTATGAGAACTTCAAAAGAATTTAAAAGATCCTCAACCAAAATAGCGGTGTTTAATTCGATGATACGTAGTAGACTTGAATATTGCTCTGTTGCATGGAATCCTCAGTATCAATTTCATAAAGATAGGATAGAAAGAGTGCAAAAGAAATTTTTACGGCAATTGGCGTACAGAGATAATGTACTGAAACAAAGTAAAAGCTATTACGATCATCTAAAATTATATAAATCTCTGTCTCTATTTAATCGTAGAGACTTAGCAGATCTTTGTTTTTTACATAAAATTATAAATGGAGGTATCGATAGTCCAAATTTGTTAAATAGAGTAAGGTTAGCAGTACCAAGGCATAATGCTAGAGGTCACATTAAAAAGAAGCAAACTTTTAAACAACGATTTGCTAGGAGTAACCTTGGCAAGGCCGCCCCTGTAAATAGAGTAATCATTACATATAACAACGTATTTTTAAAAGCAGGTTTGGATATTTTCCAACAATCAGCTTCATCTTTTAAGCGACAATTTAAAAAATTTGTCAACACATAGAATTGCCTTTAATAGTTTTTTAATGTTTTATGCGTAATTTGTTTTAATTTTTTGTTTTGTTTTTTTTTTTTAAACTCACAATGAAATATTTTATATTTTATAGTTCGTATTGTTTATTTACATTTTAGTAGTTTTTAATTTTTAGCGGTCTTTATTGTTATGTGTTTTTTTTTGTATAATTTTTTAGTTATGTAAGTTTTTAAAATTACTAATTTCAAAGGATGTTTTGTATTGTTTTCCGTTTTTCTTTATATTATGCATGTTGAGTTAGCCTGTAAGTGAGGTATACAATTTCTACCACAGATATATAAGAGTGTGCTCTAGAATAAGAAATATTATTGTATACAACGTTGGCTTCCTATTTAAATAAATAAATAAATAAATAAAAAAATAAAAATAATTCAAGACGCCATTGGTTTAGAGAGTGGCTTTTGAAGCTCTACATATCTAAGTTTATTATACTTATAAAGAGTTGTTTTTGAGCTGTTAGGTAGAGACATGAAAATGCGATTTGAAATAATTCGCTTTATAGAAAATGACAAAACAGAACTAACAAATAAAGATGAACACAAATTTGATAAAGATTTGGTTATATTTCAGGCTAAAACCTATTCTATTTCAGGCTTCATATTAAATACTTATATGAATTTTTGAATGTAGGTATATTTCAGCCGTCTAATATTGGAAGGGTTAGTAAAATCGGTTCAGCGTTTCAGAATTAATAAAGAATAGATAAATTAAAGTATGTCAAACACTTCATCCCTTCGCAGAAGAATCTAAGTTGCTAATTTTATAAAATATGTAACAAGTACCATAATTTTTAAACAAATCATATTTCCCTCCAACAATAATTAATTCAGGAAGAGATGCTGCATCTTTATAATTATCTATCATTACTTGAACACATATTTCCAATGTATTCCAAAGACCTTTAATCTTACTCAAATCAAGTACAACGCAAAAATAACATGCTCCTTGCACGGGAATTGAAGATAAGACATTTTTTAACATTTCCAATCTTCCTCCATACTCCCAGACGTGACAAATTGTTTTTTCTATACTTTGTTTTTGGGAAGACTTCCTACCAAATGAGTATTCTAAAACTAATGTTTCTTTAGGTACATCAGTTTTTTCCAGAAAAATGTGTAATAACGTTGATTTTCCCTGTAAAACAGTAAAAGAAATTTAGCCATTTTAATATAGCTATGGCCAATGAGGTCTTATCAAGAGAAAAGAATAATTTCAAATAATTATTATTATATATTAACTATATCTTTTGATAGATAGTTATAGGTATATAGGTATAAGTTACCATTAGTTATTCATTAATCAAATACCTAAATTTCAAATACCTAAATTTTTTTATATCTGTAACACTCAATGAAAATATAATTAAATGTATACTTAATAGCCGTTTATGAACTATTTTTTACACAAAGAGTTTTTATTTTATAACTTTACTAGCATTGCCCGCGGCTCCGCTCGCGTTCAGATGACCAAAAACCAAATTCTTAGGTTTTACATATTAGTATACTCTTACATTGCAGTTTTTGTATTTTTTCTCAGAAATGAGATATTTTCCCGTGGTAAAAATATCCTATATGTTGACCCGGATAACCAGCTATCACCATACCAAATTTCATCAAAATCCCTCCAGTGGTTTTTCCGTCATGCGGTAACAGACAGATATAGACAGGCAGACAAAAATTCTAAAAACTATAGATTTAGCCTCTCTATCGATAATTATGTCTATTTCAATTAGATTTTCCAAAAAATATTTAATTAATGTGCAGATTCGGCTTAGAATTTTATTATACGTACAGATTATAGGTTTCATCAATACCCAAAGAGGACAGGCGGCCGCTAATACCTACAACTTTTGCCAAAACCGATCAGCAGTATGGAAGACGTACTGCGCCAACCCCAAGTATACCTAATTTATGAAATGGGGAGAAGAATCATGATGACTATCTATTTATTATCAGGTGGCGATACCTAATTATTCCGTACAAGTAAAATATTCTAATTTGGTGGTGTGGTATTAAACTATTTTCTACTGTCCATTCACAATCTTCACATTACATACCGCAGATTTACTTCCGACTATAATAATAGTACGAGCATTCTCGTCGCTTGAATCAGTTGTAGTTTTAACTATTTCAACAGCTAAATCAGGTATGGACATTTTCACAGTAAAATAAATGAAACCAAGTGTTTTTTTTTCTCTAATTGCAGCAAATTATGTTGTTTTATTACTTAAACTAACAAATATTAAATGTTTTTGTTTTCTGTTGCTAGGAAACAGGACAGGCCTAAGGTAAGGTGTACTTATAGCTAAAGAGTAAAGACCTCTATTGGATCGAGATCCCACTGCAAGATTACTACGTTCATAGCGTATTTAATCGAAATCATTTTTTTATATACAATAATTAAAGGGTCAATATGTTTTGACCGGGGTGCCTATTCAAATGTGTGTTCTAGTATGTTTAATGAACTAAATAATAGTTGACTTTTTGGAATAAAAACGATGCATTTGTTATTACAATGAATTATACTCCACTTCACAGAACTATACGTAGAGATCTTGGAAAATGATAGCTGCCGTTGCGCATTTGGCCGCACAACCTCTTCGCAGCCAGGTGTAAGCAGGTCATATTTTGGTATGTTTATGCGTTCATAGCGTACATGCATCATTTATATATCAAATTAAAGCTAATTTTTTTCTGTACCTGATAAACTATGCCTGCCTATGTAAAAGTGGCCGCAAAAGTGGTTGCGAGTCATTAAAAGTGTTTTTGTTACATTTATACGTTCATGGCGTAATATCATCATTTACATATCAAATTAAAGCTAATTTTTTTCTGTGCATGATAAAATACCTCTCACCTATGTAAAAGTGGCCGCAATTGAAAGAAAAGAAGGAAGAATTTAATATTATGTGTCATTTGTCAGACAATAACAACGGTTTAGGGTTCAAAAAATTAAAATCCATGAAATTGTGAACAAAAACCGCGTACCTAGCGCGGACACACGCGAGCGGAGCTAGGGTAAGTCGCTAGTCGCAAATACAAACATTAAAGTCGTCTATGTAAAAATTATCCCATAGCACTGCTGTTTTTCAAGAGCTATCCATCTGCTGGAAAGTAAAGTACACGGATTGGTCAATGGTTAAATGACGATCTAAACGTGACTTACGGCTTTCCGCAATGTAGTGTTCTTGGCCTTACTTTGTTCTTACTATAATAATATATAAACGACCTTTACAATATAGACCTGTATGATCGACATGTCTTCTGTCATGCCGATGATACTACCTTTATTAGTTTTTTAACACCTCCAGGTTTTCTAAGACATTAATTAAATTTCTAAGAAATCTATTGTTAACTGACACGCCGGCGTGTCCACGGTCGTGGGGGGTTTAAGGCTCATGATAGGAAGATGTTTGTAAAATATGCAGAAATTGGACTTGCTCTAGTTTCTGATTGGCTTGAAAAAAATCCTAACATAAACGCGACTAGGAATAAATATGTTATAGTTTTTTTTTTCTACAACTCCACAGAAACGCCAAAAAGCTTCATTATTATAATTCATAGATGCAAAACCAAAAATACACTTGTGATATGATCGATAAGATTAGTTCCATTAAAAATCTTGGTGTTATCTATGATCTCTCCCGGCGATCCCATAGTGAACTGGTTTCAAGTAGAAAGTAGCGATGGTCGTTGAATGAACGGACTATAGTTCAATCAACCGGTCGACGATGCGTCGACGGTTCACGTATTTCAAATGAACTAGTTCAATTCATAGACTAAGAAAGTCCGTCTCGCAACGTAACTAGTAACTATACTGTCTAGCGTTTACAACTACATTGAAGCGTACGTGTACCACAGTCCACGATTTGAACTAGTCGTAAGTCGACGAAGGAAAATGAACGATCTAGTTTCGTTCACGCTAAATACGTCGACGACCAATCGCTAGTAGAAAGCTATTGTGGATCTTTAGGTCCCTAAGGTGTATTACTACGAAAGTGGAAAGTACTTATCAACAGAATACATGACAGTAGTTCTGGCGTAATTTATTATAACCTACTTACTGTATTTCCCTTTGAGGTTGCGTTCCCAAAAGTAAATTACTAAGAGTCGAGCGCGCTCAATGATACTTATTAAAGGTTGTGTTCTATCGTTTGATAATAATTCAGAGTCTCCTAATAAAATTGTATAAGCTGTCTTAAGATATTGATTTACATTTTAAAGCTCCAAAATGAAAATGCATCCATTAAAATCAAAATATTTAAGCATAGTATTACCCTGTTCAATGGTTTCTTGTAGATCTCTGGTATTTTAACTGAAATAGGTACACCGATTGCATTATCAATAAAAAGTAAAGTCATTCCAGTCTCAGGGGTTCTATTAATATATTTTTTATTTATATGGGACCGCCCATGTGCAAGCGATCCTATAACGTTCAACTTTCCGCCGAGGCTTGTAGTCTTAGCTCGTAGATTAGTATGACATAGCTAAAATGTGAAAGGTATAATTCTTGCACATCAATTAATTTACATTTAATCACAAATTAGATTTATACATAACAAAGAAAATGTTAATACTGAATAAACATTTGTTTAACTTATTTTAACTGTGATTTCAGATTTTGATATTCCATTTCCTTTATCACTATATCTTTATTGAGTGATTTTAATATATCTTGAAATCTTTGTTTTAAAGTCATATTTTCTATTCCAAATATTTCAACTTGAGTCCTTTGTTTACGTTGTTTTAACTCCTCTAATTCAGTTACAAGTTCCTGTAATCTTGATGAATCATTAAAACCACTGAAGCTTTGATGCTTAATCATATCAACTTGATAACTACTGCCAGTACCTTTTTCATTTAAAGCACTACTTTTATGAGTTACTGATTTCTTTAAAGAACAGTCAAACATTTCAGATTTAAATTCTGTTACTAAATGAGTTGCTTTCATACTTTCTCCCACATGTAAGGAATTAGTGTCAGATAATGGCTCATCATATGCAGATAATCTACTATCATCTATATCAATGTTTACGTTGTCATCTTCTATGTCACTGTCGCTGAGAGCACCTCCAAATATGTCTTCTACTTTAGAAGATTGATTTGGTACACTTGGAATTGCTTTTGTAGATTCTTTTTTAATTTTTACTTTCTGGGATGGTCCACTTGCTTCATTTTTAGAAGTATTTCCCTCGTCCTCTTTAACAACCTCCCATGTAACGCTAACTGCTTCATTATCAGCTCTTAACAACCTCTTTACTTCCTTTTCTATTTCAGGTGCCTCAGTACATTTTTTCCTTAATGTCTTTCTGAATCTTCGTTTTCTAACATTTTTTGTTGGAGGAGTTATGCCATGAGGCCACAAATATTTTTTATCTACTTTTAGAGGATCCTTTTTTTTATTTTTTGTGGGTAATTCATCTTCTGTAATAGGGTCTAATTCCTCTTTACACAGCATCATTTGACAGATATCAGCACATTTATATAGGCTTTTTCTATCTATACTTTTCCATGATTCAACTATTGTAGGTAAATCTACTATTTTAGCATATAACAACCAATGATCAAGTCTAACCTCTCCATGTCGCATATCATCATGGATATGAATTGAAAGCCTATTTTTAAAATTTTCTCCTGATTTTATTAACTCGCCTAAAACTTTTCCAGGTTCTTCAGGCATCCTCATAATAAACTGTGATTCTAATTCTACTGGATAATCCGCTTCCCGTTTTTCTCGGCTCATCTTATAACCTTACAGTGATTAGAGGTTTAAATGTTTTTTTTTTTGTATTTTGTTTTCGTTACAATCCTTGTATTTTAATAATATTCCTTCCTTCCTTGTATTTTAATCCTTGTATTTTATTCAGAATGAGAAACACAACGCTCACAATACACAAACTTTAAAGAGATGTGTAAATAGTAAATACTGATCGATACTATGAACTAGGTAAGATAGGAATTATAGTTACTTTTGTTCCTGGTCTATGCTAGGTAGTTGGTACCATTATTTGTCATCCATGGTAGGTACTAAGTAGGTCGTAGTTAACAACTGTCGTCTATTGATCCATCCACATTCCACACATTGAGTATGTAATCACTACGATCCTCAGATGAGACCAGGAACAAGAGATCCATCCATCTTCACATATGCCATTTGACAAATGACAATTGACCTTTCTATTTTCTATATAGTTTGTGATTTATGCCTACAAACTTTATAGAAATTCTATATAAGCTATTGATTCCAAACCATAGATAAATAAGTATTCAAATTAATCAAAACAAATATGGATACGATCTTAAGAAATAAAATCCAACAGGTAAGCTACAACGTAGCATTTCTATATAGTTTGTGACTACAACCTATGGAGGGTAGAAGTAAGGAGAACCGACTTATATGGGAAACAAGTTGAAATAAGAAATTTGAAAGGTATCCACTTCTAGTAGTGAGCAGCAAATTGTAATTCAGAATGTCACCAATATAGCGCTAGCGTAGCAAGTAGAAGTGATATGAATTTAGCAGTTTTAAACAGAGTAAAGTCTGCTGAATTATTATTACTTGAAAATAATATGTAATTATATTCTTTATCGGTGTTTGCCATATGTTAGAACTATTTTGAAAAGTGCGCCACAACAAGAAAAAAGCGAAAATATTTCTTTGTTTAATTCACCATCTTACTTTTATGGCTTTTGGCGCTATGTTTTATATTCATCTACTTGTTTTCTGTGGCGCCACCAATTTGATGCTTGTTAGCGGTCACCTTTTTAACATAGAGATAATTCTCCCTAAGAGATTAAAGTGCTATTAATAAACGTAGAGTTCTAGTGTCAACTGTCATTTGTCAAATCAAATGGATGGAATGTCATTTTGACGGCCTATGTACTTTCATCATTATAATGAATTCTTTAATATATTCTGATAATTTAATATTTAGATGATATTAAAAATATAACTAGAATTTTTACTCTACATTAATACAAAGATGTTATGGAGGACAAGACCATCTCAATTAAGACGCCAATATGGCAAAACTGTGTCCATTGCCCGAACCTGCTGTTTAACACTGCCACGGAATTCGAAAGGTTAATATTAGATTTATAAGTCGACCATCTATTTAATATTAAGTCAATCCTTCAAAATTACAATCCTGGTTATATTTCTTACCCTCATTTCTATCATGAAATAACTTCAGAATAAATTAACTAAAATTTCATAACTTAACTTCATGTTTATATTTTAGGCACATTCAAGAAAAACATAGCATTAAAGAAGGCAGTATTATACTTTGTCAATATGGACAAAACGGTATATGTTCGGCATTACAATTTGGAGATTTACGAAAGGCTGGATTTAAATATCATGTAAGACAATATCATCTATACAAAAATAATGTTACAGACGATTGGACTTTTTACTCTTCATCACAAAATCTTCCTGCTGTACTAAATGATCCAAACAGAGGAAAGCAGAGCAATTTTTTTACTAAGACATGGGGTGATGGTTTTGTAGATAAAGTAGAAATTTATCCTAGTCCATATTTACCAGAAATAACATTATTACATTTTGAATCTTACTGTAAAAAAATATCTAAAAGATATAGAAGGCACTGTCAGTTAAAAGTTAATGTACCAAGTAAAGCTAAAGCACCAGTTGTAGAAACTGTTTGTGAAGTACCACATATTTTTTATGAACAATCTTTAGCTTTAAATAATCCTGAAATATTTTGCCAAGTTTTTCCTGGTCTTTCAAACAGTAATGACATAAATAATACAATAAGATCTTTACAAGAAACATTGAGCACATATCTTGATGTAATAGAAATGAAAATATCAAAGCAGGTTGCTCAAAAATCTGATGCTTTCTTTCATGCAATGCTTTCTCATGATACAATAATGGATCAAATGGCTAGAGCTCTTAGAACTGTCCAAAGTACAAGAAAAGATATAAAAGATGTTAAAGAAAATTTAACTGAAAATCCATTGAAACTGGTAAGCCTAACAAGAATTAATCAAAATCTTAATAATGTGCATGATCTTCTAAAACTAATGGGTACAGTACAACAAACTCAACCAATGATTCAACTGCTTCTCAGTACATCAGACTATGTTGCTGCATTGGATTTAATAAGTTCTACTCAAAAAGTATTGTCTACTCGATTGTCAGGAATTCAAGCTTTTCGTCATTTGTCACCACAATTAACAGAAATGAAAAGATTAATTCACAAGATGTTAAGTAATGAATTTTCAAGATTTATTGTGTCTGATCTTAATAGGCCTCTTAAAGATCAATCCGAGCTACCAGATAGGGACAAAATAGTTTCTATTGTATCAGGAATACTTCGTTTAAAAGAATTTGATTTTCTTGATATTTTTAAAAATGAAGCAATGACATCAATTCAGGCTACAATTAAACAATGTGTCATTGAAATAATTTCTCAGAGAGATGGAAGTAATGAAATTGTTTTAAGAGGTTCTCACGCTGATACATGGTTACTCTGCAATGAGGGTATTATATTTCTTCAGAAAGTAACACCAAACTTGGTAAATTTATTTAAAAGAATTTTATCCATAAGCAATTTGGTTTTAGACATAAGCCAAATGAGTGACATAACTGGTAATGATAGTGAAGTTTGGACACAGGAGGAATGGTTACATGTAGAGGAAAAAGTTAAAAAATTAACTATTGCCCTCTCCGACTACAGCAATGAAAGGTGTGCTAATCTTATAGTGACTAAGACTGAAAAGGAATTTGCATTAACAGACTTATCTCAACTGTCTAAACTATCTGATTTAATAGAGAAATTCTCTAGAGAATGTGAAAATATAACAGGTCACCACAGTAATGCCATGAAACTGGCATTAAGAAGTTTTGCTATGAAATATATTCAAAATTTGCACTCTGAAAGGAGATCACAACTTACTGTTGCACTTAATGCTGAAAGATGGAAAATAGCAGATGTCCCATTTGAGTTACAAAGCGTAATAAATAAAATATGTGAAGCTGGTGAAATACCTCTAATAGTACAATATGAAAGCGGAAAACCAGATGGAAAATATTTAATTATTAATAAAGAAAATTATGCTGTTGTTGCTACAGTACAACTATTAATAAAAATTTTGTTAGAGTACTGTGATGCAACCAAACAGTCTCCAGATATAGTTCAATACTTAGTACATTGCATGTTGGAACTTATTAGATTGTTTAACTCTCGGTGCTGTCAGTTAGTTTTAGGTGCAGGTGCTATTCAGAGTGCTGGCTTAAAGACAATATCCACATCAAATTTGGCTCTAGTATCAAGGTCTTTGCAAGTTATTTTATGGTTGTTACCTTTAATGATAAAATTACTAGAAAGAGTGCATTCTAAGGACCTTTCTTTAAGTGGTTTTAACAGCTTAGAAAGTGATATAGCTGGTCATAAAAAAGAAATTGAAAGTAAAATTTGTTTAATAGTTAGTAATATGTTAAGCTCCCAGCTAGGAGGATGGGAAGCCAAACCTCCAGTCCCTTCACAAACATTCCGTAATATATCTAAACATTTAGTAAAATTACATGAAGCTCTAATTGATATTTTACCAATAGAACAAATACGTAACATATATATGAAAGTTCATAATAACTTCAAAGATAAATTAAGAGAACAGCTGAATAAAATGAATATAATCGCAAATGGCAGTCCTCAACATGGTGTTGTTACTTCTGAATTGACATTTTACTTACAAACCCTTAAAACACTAAGAGTAATTAATGAGAATGATTCTGAGGACAACATATTATATGATATATGGTTAAATTAGCATATATGAGAAAAGGCACAGGCATTTCATGTAACAAAAATAATATACATAAAATAGCAAAGTTATATTTTATTTGAACTTTAAACAAAAATAATTGGGTTTGAATATATTCATTTATTTTAAAGAATAAACAACAATATTATTAAATAAACATATTATTCATATATTGTTAGTGTTGGTCATATAATAAACAATGACTAACTGGAATTATGACACTGCTTTAAACTCATATAATGCACTTATTTGGTTTTTTATTTTTTTGACTGACTTGACTTGTATAAATACCATTTCTATATCATAAGTCAAAAAATGTGTATTAGTATTATCTCAAACATGTATAAAAGTCTGTGTGATATATTAAATTATTGTTTGTAAATAATATTTCTATAATACCTAAGCTCCAAAAAAATAATAAATATTATAGGATAGTGATATACTTATACTTTTAAACCAAGTGTTCCTATTTAATTGCCCAAAAACTTAAAAGTAAATAATATTTATCATAGTTTAGTTTACACATTTATAAAATCGAAAAATTCAAAAATTTACATATGAACGGAAAAATTAATTAGTAAACCATGTTATACCTTTTCGGAATCTTATACTTTAATCGATCACTTACAAAACACACGTTCAATAACAGATCGATATATCATATAATGCCATCTATCGACTTTTATTTGATGAGACCCTATGATTGAACGTGACCTAGGTATATCTGTTTTATGAATAAAAAATAACGCAAGTGTAGACATACATTACTAACATTTTTGGTTTATAAAAATTAAGTTTTAAATATATTTTTTGTTATTTATCACAAACAGCCACATTATACATATGCATAACATTTTTGGCTTATCACATAAATATTTTTTATACACTAAAACTAAAAGAATAATATAGCATGCAAAGTACAATGTTGTCTTGCTTTATCAGTCAAATGCAATACAAAACCGGCTGTTTTATCCTCTTTTGACGTTGTTAAATAAATAATAATACTTATGAAATACGAAACCAATTACACTTTTTTATATTATAAACCTACTTATATTTTTTGTAAAGTCAATGGAAAGGATTTCTTGAAAGGAGGGCGCTACACGTATGGTCTATTTACATTCAGTATGAGGTTAATGCAATTTTTATGATATCTCTTTTGCACCTAATTTTTTTTGCATCTTACCTGTACAATGTATTGTACTTGGAAGTTAGACCACCTGAAGGAAGAATTGAGGAGAGGTGCGTCCTGCGGTGGTCCCGACTGATAGATCAACACCTTAACTGCTGGTCGTAAAAACGTGAAATTTGGAGGACGTCTTCCTTATATGATGTAGGTATCCGATAAGGAATTTTCGAAATTCATCCCATTAAGGGATAAAAAAAAGGAGATAAAAAGTTTATCTAGACAAAGAATTATTTATGATCAGAATTACTTGGAACCTGGTATTAATTCTCTTTAATACAATCAAATAAATACATGTTTGAGCATTTTTCGAAACTGAATCCTATAAGGAAGTAAAATGGGAGGAGAAATTTTGTTTAACACTCTGTAATTAAGAAAGTACAAAAAATAAAATATTCATCTGAAGACAATTTAAGAGTTTTAAAATCACTTTCTGTAAAATGATATCTACATAGCCATAAATATTGTGATTTCACCAATTTCGGTCGTCTTGTTACTTTAGCTCACAATTTTTGTCTTTTGGGAACAAATGACATCGATTTTCTTTGCATCCTTGCACTGCACAATTAGTAATTTTAATTAAAATGAAAAAAAAAAGTTTACGCTATAGAGCTCTAGAATATACAGAGGGCTATAGTGGCCGCGACATCTGGCGGGAGACATTGGCAAAATTCTTCCCCATTTGAGACACCAGAAAAATATTATTTTCTATACAAACACACACAGTTCTAAAGAGACACATGAAAGTCTAATTTAGTTTTATATTTATTAGTATTTCTTCAGCTTATCTTATTCTTTTAGGTCTTTTATTACTTAGAATACAATATGCAACACATTCTGTTAATTTATAACAAGTAAATTATATAATTATATCTATTTAACATCATAAAAATAAGAAGCCATAGGATATCTAATTAGAAAAGCTATACATGTACAAACTACTTGAAATAACAGCAAACATTTAGTTAGTTCAACTTCTCTAATTGGTCCTAATTTTATTAAAAATAAATTTATTAATGTCATATTATTCAGTACTATACAATCACCTTCCTCAACTTTGTCAAGCAGTCTAAGCCATGATAAGACAAGTATGATGGATTTACTTAAAAAAGTTAAATCACTTTTTGAAATGACCGTCTTACTGGGATAAAGTAAATTAGTTTCAGCACTGTATTTTGGCAGCCTGTGTCTAGGGCAAGGTATGATATGGAAGAGTTGGGGTATGGAATATATAAAATTAATTATTTGAGGTAGGAAAAATAACAATACAGTTTTACTGAAATGGCTGAGGATAGCAACAACAGCAAATGTCATACCCGATACATAGCAAAAAGTATCTCCAACAAAGACTTTAGATGGATACCTGCAAATATTTACAAAATTATTTTTTTCATTAATTATTATTATACGGAAATAGCTATAACTTATGAAGTAATAAATATTTAAATTCTATATAACCACGGAAGATCAAAAACAAGGAAAGTGCGATGTGACTATATTTGTATCGGAACCTTATGTCGCCAAACTCACACAAATTGACGCTGTATGTTTTATTTTAGTCTAAATTAGCATAATTATCAAGTACCTGGGCGACAGCAGAGTTTTTTGTAAAATCGTGTTTTTTCCGAAAATATATGTATAAAAATAGCGTTTTTTTTCACGCAGCGAAAATCAATGGACTATTATTAGATTTCAAAATATGACTTCATGGAAATTGCAGGTGAAGAGACTTTATTTTTTTTTAAAGAAAAGTGTTGAAGATCATACTATTCATATAGTTTCCATGGAAATATAATGTTTTACAGGCACAAGTGTAGTATATGGGACTCGACCCCTGGAAGAGAGGGTGGTATTTACGTGATACGGAGTCTTGTTAGAGTGCTTTATAAACATTAAAAAGGTGTTAAGATTTTCATGTTTATAAATTATAAGTAGACTTTTTCTGAACTTGAAGAGGATTATTAACTTGTAAGTTTTAGTTTTTGATTATTTGATAGGCCAGACTTGGATAAAATAGGTTGAGAAGGCGGGGACGAAGCGTAGCGTAGTATCCGCTCCCGCCTTCGCCTCTCGTTAGGTCTTTGTTTTTTATTTCAAACCCAGAACCCCTAATATCATAAATGCGGTTCTTTTAAACTTGGTAACAGTTTCGATCGAAAAATCATGCTAACCGATGGATGATTTCCTTTGCTAAGATTTTTTCTGCTACTACCATATTTGCAATTCAAAATGGAACAAGTTGCGGAGAACTAAGAATCTTCCTATGCATGTAATCTGATGCGATGTTAGGACATTACTGGCATCTAATAAGGAGGCATCAATTAATTACGTGAGGTATTTAGGTGGGGGAGGGGATCGTGCAAAACCTCACTCAATCTCACGTGGGGGAGGGGGTGGTCTCGGCAAATATCACGTTATTTATTTTCCACAAGAAACAATGTAAAATTGCGAGAAGACTGGATTAATTTAAGTAAAACATGTTTCTCCACTAAAATATGGCTAAATCATATATAATAATATTCGTTGTTGTCGAAAAATCGCCAAAATTGTCTCACGTAATTAATGGATGCCCTAAGCGTTGTTCCGTATACCTATGCCTTACGCACCACACCTACTTAGTACTTCCCTTGTATTTATCTTCTGTGTATTTAACCATACAAATGCATTAAATATTACTTACCAATTGTGTTTTAATAATGCCAATGTAGTTGTTAAATAAGGGATCATAATATGTAATGAAAAACTATGTGCTTTAAATTGATCACCTCTCAACTCAATTATATCAAAAATAATTATAGATATAGCTATAATAACAGATTGACCAACTTCAAGACCATTAATACCAGCCAAAATGTTTATGGCATTGGTACAGAAAACTGCCAACATTCCCATATAAATATAATATAGGAATCCTGTAACAAATGAAATTATAAATTTTTGTAACTTTACTAGTGGATCGAGATCCGGCTGCAAGATTGCTACGTTCATAGCGTATTTAATCAAAATCATTTTTTTATATACAATAATAAAAGAGACAATATGTTTGGACTGGGATGCCTATTAAAATGTGCCTACTAGTTTAATTAAATAATGATTGACTTTTTGGTTATTCCAAAACGATGCATTTGTTACTAAGATGAATTATACTCCACTGTCTCCACTTCACAGAAATATACATAGAGATCTTGAAAAGTGATAGCCGCCGTTGCGCACTTGACCGCAACCTCTTCACAGCCAGGCCACTTTTACATAGGCAGATGTAGTTTATCAGGTACAGAAAAAGAATAGCTTTAATTTGATATACAAATGATGAATATTCGCGATGAACGTATAAAGGTAACAAAATATGGCCTGCTTACACCTGGCTGCGAAGAGGTTGCGGCCAGGTGCGCAACGGCAGGCATCACTTTTCAAGATCTCTACATATATTTCTGTGAAGTGGAGTATACTCCACTTCACAGAAATATATGTAGATGAATTATAATTCATTTTAATAACAAACGCATCGTTTTTGTTCTAAAAAGTCAATTATTTTTTATTTGAGATAAACATACTAGCGGGCACAATTTAATATGCACCCCGGTCAAAACGTATTGTCCTTTTTATTATTGTATATAAAATAATGATTTTGATTAAAGAGTCCATAACTCAATGTTCCCGAAAATATACAATACTAACCAATATTAATAGAAGCTCCAAAAAACTGTCTTAATGGTATTGGTACAATAAATGTAGTTGAATTGAAATTTACATAATAAACAACAAGTAAAGGTAGTGATGCTATGGTTGGAAGCAATAACTTGTATCTCCATTTTAGATTTAATACATCATCTGCAAATCCCAGAAGTAACATGCAACATATTGACAGTAAAGCTGCCAGCAACTCTGCAAACTTAAAAAATATTGAATATTAGATATATTAAAAATTAAAAGGTCACACTCTTGACAAGTTATGTTTTTTATTACTGTAATTCTATTTTCTTATCAATAAGTTGTCTAACAAAAAATGAGCTATTAAAAACATAATGGTTTTTTTATTAGGTAAAAATTCATTTTAAAACATATGTAAATAAAATAACTGTAACTTAAACAGATATCTGGCAGCCATTGTAATCCTGTTTAATGGATGTTAGATAAATTACAAAATTGTATAAAAATTAAATTCTTTAGATAAGTCAAGTTACATGGTGTTATATGTACAAGTTTTAACTATAAAGTTATAGCCTAAGAGGCACATGCAAATTTTACTCGTGAACATGTATGTGGATTTCCTGTTGTTGCAAAAAAAGTTTCACGATTGTTCAAACAAATGGCGGAACATCAGCAAGGCAACCGGGGCCATTAGGTCTGGGTGGAAAGACAAACATACAAAAAGAAATCTTTTTGCCACGGCCAGATATGTGGCTGATATTTAGACAGAACATTAAAAATAGTAGTAGAAAAACTTTGTTGAAACATTCACCAGAAATCAGAGGACACCAGCAATCCAAACCCACTCCCAAGTGGAAGGGTTGATCGTATAAAGTAAATGTTAAAAATAGTAGTAGAAAAAGTTTGTTGAAACATTCGCCAGAAATCCGAGGACACCAGCGATCCAAGCCCACTTCCAAGTGGAAGGGTTGATCGGATAAAATAAATGGTCTAATACGTCACTGATGTTTTTACAGTACATTCAGAACAGCATTTTAAATATAAAATTTTAACATCAGCCAGCAATCCTGGGACAATAGCCTAGGAAAATATATCAAAATGTATTGATTTTGTACACAGTTAACAGTTAAAATTTTTGCCTGAATGGTTTATTGAATAAATTAAATTTGCATGTTAAAAAATTTCATTAACTGAAATATTTTAAATCAAAGATTTACGCCAAAATATTGATATTACTTATCAAATAAATTTCATGTTTATATTACTTATTATATTACTTATTTACCTCGTTATGAGGAAATTTTCCCCTGTCCATAAGTCCATTTCCAAACACAATTGGAATAAATAAAAATATAGTCACTAAAAAAACACATCCTGACAATACTCCAATTGCCTCTGGTCTGAAACATAACCAATTAATATTTATTGAATATAGTGTATAAACACAGTATTAGTGTTGAACATTCTTTAAAATTTTTATTTATAACTTACATCTTTTCTTTTGATACTTTACACAGGTCAACTCCAAACAAACCTGCATTTATGAAAAGGTTTTTCATTTTAGGTATTAATTCATCAGTAATACAGTAAGCTATCAGTGATAACATTGATAAAATTATTATAGACCACATTTTTAAAAGGTTTTTAAAAAAAATCGCAACTGCAAATTACATTATTAAGTACTATTATTAAATATTTTCGTTTTTATTAAATATTAAATACTTTTAAAGTTTAAAACAATCGCCTAACAGCGCCGCGCGACCGCGGATTGACAAAATATAAAAGTGAATTGTGAAATGAGTTTTGAATTTTTAATTTTGATTAATGAGAGATGACATTAGATAATTGACATTTGTGATTTGACAAATAAGATCATAACACAGAGTATAATATTCTATTAACTATAAATACTATTTACGGATGATAACATCCTGTTTTCCAATTAGAGCACTAAAGCGCTCTATGCGCCATAACGTTAACTTTGAATGATTCAACTACAGCAACGCTCTGCACAATCGAGTATTTTGACAAGTACTGATGTGGCTTGATGCGCAAAAGGATAACAATTTATTAGCAGAAAATATAAGACGTTTTTTTTCTTCAATGTGCCATTGATCAACATTTTATTAACAATTATCGTTAAAAATATTATTTATTGTTGAACTTATTTGTAAAGCTTTCGACGTAGCCCGTTAAAATACAAAAAAAGTTAATTTATGCTGCGTTCAAAAATAAATATTAGTATATATGAAGCTTCAAGGAGACATTGATCAAAATGTTGTTTACATTATTGTTAAAGTAATATTTGTTTATATTTTATTTATATTATAATATATTTATGAGTTAGTTATATTTTTCTCTTTCAACGCTGAACCTAGTGCTGGTGCACTTGAAAACTAATTCACGTTCCAATTAAGCATTAGCACACTCAGGCATTATGCGCCAAAGTGCGGCAATATGCTCTGTATTTGGAAAACTGGGACCATATGGTGGGTAGGAATAAGGAGAACCATCTTATCTGGGAGACAAGTTACAAAAGTGTCCACCTGCAAGCGGTATAAACTTGGAGTATAGGTTCATATGCTATAGAGCGCGCGTATCGCTCAATGTCCATTATGCGAAACGTAAACAGATGATCCATCCACACCTATTCATACATACTTGTAGATGAAGCGGTTGAATAGTGTTTTTTTTATGGGACTAACACCTGATGGAAAGTGATCACCACCGCCCCTGGACATCTGCAACACCGCAGGGCTTGCAGATGCGTTGCCAGCCTGCCTGGTTGCCTGATGCGCATAGTAAAACTTTTAGAATTTAATTAAAAAAGAAGTATATTAACATAAACTATTTAACAGAACCATTTATTCACGCTCATATAGACTTTATTATCTAAAATAACAGTATTTCTAATCTTAATAACTAATATCTTTCATTTGTAAATCTATGTAGTGTTGCTTAATATATTTTTTAATAATAGTAAACTAAATTAATATTATATATTATTCCCTTTAACTTTTCACATTGATGCAACATGACTCATTAATAAAGTTTTCTAAAAAAAATTTAATAATTATAATAATAACAGCAAAAATGAAATAAATAATATTCCATGCAATTATAAAACTTATTAAAATTATAACAATGTTTAAAATTAAAATTACGTGATATTATAAGGCACTTTGGTGCTATTAAAATTTAAAGGTTTTATTTTTGACAAATACGAAGAATCTTAATTTATAATACTATGGTTATATAAAATATTCGAGTAGTACAACGTGGTACAACACAAGCTCTTAATGAGGGAAACTAAGAAGCGGGGGGCACAGAAGCACATGTTGTGTCAGCCCGCCCGCGCGCCTCCCGCAACAATCGCTCACGCCTGTGTAATTTTGTTAAAATCAGCGTTTTCTGATTAAAATATTATTTACCGATGCAAAGAAATATCTTTTTTCGTTTTAGTTTGCTTTCCTGAATCATTTTTACAGCTTGGAACTGCACATTTCACCATGATTACATAATACTTGCTTAGATTTACGCGAATATTTGACATTTTAAATAAAACTATCTTTTCGGATTATTTCGCGGTTTTATTTTGATTTTTGGTTCCCGCCGTTTCTAATGCTTTACAGCATCCATGGTCACGGGAGAGACTGAGGTGTTACATGTCTTGAAGGTATAGTTGTTACAGACAGCCTACCCACAATTAACAAACTAAAAATTGCATCAATTACCTTACAATATTTTTTTAACTTTAAACATTTTTATAATTTTCATTAGTTGTATAATAGAATATGGAATATTATTTATTTAATTTTGCTGTTATTCTTATAATTATTACAATTTTAAAAATATTAATTAGTAATCTATATTTACATAAATTCAAATAAATACCGACGAGAGAAACAGTCAGCGCTATTGACTTTTCGTGACTAATAGCTTTATATATGTAGCAATATACTCTATGCTAATAGCGTCGCCCTTGACATTTCGAGACTGTTCATACCCGTGCTTACAGTTCATACTTGCTAGCACGCGCTTTATAGCTTAAGTATACTCTAAGGGTACAAAACAACAAAACAATATCCCGCTAGAATGACGCTAGTGTAGCAAGAGCGTAAGATATTAATAGGGACGAATTTTGCCTTTTTCTCCCGCCAGATGTCACGATAACTATAGCTCTCAGTATATTGTAAAGCACGTGGATGGATTTTCTTTTTTAATTTTATTTAAAATTTAATTAAAATGACAAATTGTGTATTGCCAGGCTGCAAAGAAAATGGTTCCCGGGGGAGAAGCCAACTCCTACCGGGCGCGTCCCCAGGTGGCGGATAGGGGCATGCCACCCGCTTAGAGGGGCGGGTGGTACCGGAGAAATCCGGCGCGGACCAAATGGCTTGGATGGGGCCGCTCGTCTAGGCCTCGAGCCGAAGACGTTGCGGCCACCGGTGGTGGGACCGCTTGGTCCCACAACCGGATGATGGGTGCCGGTTGCGGGACTGTCGTCGCAGGCCCGCATTCGGCGGAGGGGTAGGCCGCGGCGGGAGAGGAGTGCCGGTATTTCGGTGCGCCGTTCTCCCTACCTTCCGCGGCCTAGACGGGGCCGCCACCGTTTGATGGCGGACGCGGTGGGGCTGCAGGGGAAGAGGAGTGTCGGTGTTTCGTTGCCGCTCTCCCTGTCCTCTGCAGCCGATTGGAGGTGGCCCACTTCGGTGGGCGGTGTTTTGGTTTTATGGGGCTGCTCCGGGTACCTCTCTGACGTAGCAGAGTTGACTGTGGAGCAGCCCCATTGGTTTGGTGGCCTGCCTAGTATTTAGGCAGACCTGCCGCCGGGACGCCGTAGTAGTTATGCGCAAGCGATCCTGCGGCGTCCCACTGAGGCGGGGGGAAGGGATGTCGGGTTTAAAAAAAAAAAAGGCTGCAAAGAAAATGGATAGCATTTGTTCCCAAGAAACAAAAACTGAAGAAATTGTGAGCTAAAGCAATAGGACGACTAAAAATTGGCGAAATTACAATCAATATATTTTAGGCTATATGGACATCATTTTACAGGAAGTGATTTTAAACTCTTCAATCGTCTACAGGTGTATACATAGGTGTATTTTTTTTGAACTTTTTTACATATTAATTCCAGACTTTCATACAAACTTTCACCCTCTATTTTACCTCCTTATGGGATTGAATTTCGAAAAATGCTGAAACGTGTATTTATTTAATTGTATAAAGAGCATAAATACCAAGTTTCAAGTTATTCTTGTTATAAATAATTCTTTGTCTTCTGCTGGTCTAACTTCCAGGTACAATACATTGCACAGGTAAGGACCGAACACAATAGAAGCAAAAACCAAGTTCCAGAGAGATATCATAATAAATTGCTTAACCTCAAACTGAATGTAAATAGATCATACGTGTAGCGCCCTCCTTTAAAGAAATCTTCCCCATTAGCAGATGTAAACGAAGTGAACGATTGTGATTTGAAAAATTTAATATTTGAGATGCCTTGAATAATTACTAAAACTATTTACGTAGTTGAAAATAACCTATTACATATAATAAAGTTCTAACTGAGTCGAATCTGTACATTAAATATTTTTCAGAAAAATCTTATTGAAATAGTTATTATCGATACACACAGACAGATCATTCATACAGAGGCTTTAACACGAGAAAACCATATAGGATACTTTTAATTGCGAGAAAATATCTCATCCCTGAGAAATCTATACTATACCTTAAAACATAACTAGGGACGAACCCGAGCGGAGCCAGGGTAATTCGCTAGTATTAGTATAAATTTCGACTATTAGTAAAGAATTCTTAATCCCTCCACGACCGCGGACACGTCATTCAGCCTTACAGTTAACAATAGATTTCTTAGAAATTTAATTAATTTCTTGGAAATTTACCTAGAGGTGTTAAACGATTTGGTTTTTGACATTATCATGTATACATGATGATGATGATATAGGCAGCCGCAGCATATGAGTCTTTTAGGGTTGACACAGGACTCAGGAGCATAAAATTAATAAACAAAACGTTTATCAGCTTTTTATTAAGCAACTATGATAGAATTTAGTTTTACAAATTATTTACTCTAAATATTTTTTTCTTGTTTTTCAATAATCTTTGTTTAATTGCACAGTGAATTGTAAATCTAAGCATTTTTTTAAAATAATCTAATGGAAAGCACTCGCATGGCATAAAGGAGCGTATCTATCAAAGCGTGGTTGTATAAAGCTTTGTCACTGTTCCTTTTCTTTACTCATGTGGCCGCATTCCTAAAACTGCCAAACTCAAACTCATAGAGAACTATTACTAACTGTAGTATCATATTATGTAGTACCTGAGCTACCGAGCCTTGCTCGGAGGTTTTGGCCTAAAGCACAATTTTCTTTAAAAAAAAAAAACAAAAACTAGAATAAATATTTAAAAAAAAACAAAAGGAAAAACTTTGTATATGACCGAGATTCGAACCTAGACACCTTGATTGTTGAACTTGCACCTTAGCCGTTTGACCACGACGCTTATGCCCGAGTGTGCAAATTACCGAACATATTTTGCGTGGAATAATGTAAAAGAAAACTGCATGAAAACTCGAAAACACGCGTTTTCTCTAGACAAGAATAATCTAGATCGATTTATCGCCCCCGAAACTACCTGTGTAGCCGTTGTGTAGATTATATATATATATATATATATATATATATATATATATATATATATATATATATATATATATATATATATATATATATATATATATATATATATATATAAGAATAAGTATTAAGCACCATGGATGACAAATAAAACTCAAATTCACAGATTGTGGAGACTTGTCAAACTTGACATATTGCTATATATAAAACAAAATGACATTGTCATAACCACCTATTTAAAATTTATATTTTTGTTGATAAAATTGATTTAGTAATTCTTAATTAAGAACTTGATGTATTAATTTAAATCAACCATAAACTATTTAATCTAATATCTTTCTTTACAATTGCATTTCTTATAGAAAATAAGAAAATTAGGGTGGTAACTGGTGCCTAAGGCTTATTATTTTTGTTAGTGTGAAAAAATATTTGGCATATTTAACGTTTAAGATGAGTACGATGGATGAAATTGAAGAAGAATCGAAAGCAGCAGCGGAAAAAATGGTCATGAATATGATGCAACGACCAGGACAACTTGAGAAAGTAACTAATAACTTATATACATTTGTTATTTGGCGTTATAGTAGGTTTTCTTAAACGCAGTCTTAAATATCATTTATTAACTTTAGTAGAGTCAAATCTCTATCTTATTTGTTTGACGTTAAAACATTATTTTATTGCCAATATTTATTACATACTTGTTATCTTTCGAAATAAATATTTCAAGTCTTCATTAACCTATTGCAGCTATTTCTATTTGCGATATATACAAATACTGGTTTTTGTACTGATGATAGTTGAATTTATTTTAGGTTGAACAGTATAAAAAAAGAATAACACACAAGAAAGCTTCAATTGAAGCCCAATTAAAATCTGCAGTGCAAGGGAAACTTGATGGTGTTAGTGTTGGATTAAGGCAATTACAAGAATGTCTAGATGATGTACAACAAATTAGTGTGAAGTAAACTGTTATATTTTTTTTGAAAAATATATTAATGATAGCACTTATTGCACATTTTAAATTCTTTTTTGATTTTGAATAACAAGCAACTACACATTACCAATTTATAAATTATACAGAATATATATGAAATAACAGCTAAAAATGTATTCAGTGACTTTCATGTGGATAGCCACTTATCAAACCACACTAATATTATAAAGACAAACAAACATACACACTTTCACATTTATAAAAGTGAAAGTGTGTTTGTTTGTTTGTCTTTTTTTTCTCTTCTTTTCTTTTATTTTTGGTGTGGAGATAGTTGGAGGGCTGGAGAGTGACATAGGCTACTTTTTACCATGGGAGATTATCTCTTTCCCACAGAAAAATATGTTATATTACAGTGCAAAAAGTCGGGGATAAAAATTTGGATGAAACTGGTGATGAAATAAGCTGGTCAAAAAAAAATGTTCAACCATTACTCATGTGTATGGAGAGCCACCCCTGTTGTTTATTTTGACTACGGAATTATCTAGCACTTTAGATAAGACACCGACCTACCAAACTTCAATAATATTTCATCAACAGTCTGAGTGTCTAAAATGCTAACGACATATGGGCATATGCATAGCAAATATAATTCCATAGTTTTTAAGAGTAAAACATCAACCAAACATCTATCAATTGAAATTTACTATAAAAACAGTACAAAAATTCTATACATTTTTAACTCGGCCACAATATACAAATAGAAATTAAAATTCAAGATTTGATATTTTTCCAGAATGGATGAGCTAGAAGAGTTATTAAAAGGTGTTCCACCTCTAGTTGCATCTTTACAAGCTGTAAGAGAGGAAGACTCCAGACATTCTCAATATGTTACTGCTATGGACAGTTTGAAGCATATATTTACTGTACCAGAAAGTGTTGCCAAAACCAAACAGTGGATTGGTGAAGGGAAATTATTGCATGCTCATCAGGTATTACTCATTTCTGTTGAATTATTATAATAGCAAAACTTTGTAAAGAAAAGTGCTTAAACCAGTAACAGTATTGTCAGGGCCGGATTTAGGGGTGTGGAGGCCCCAGGGCAAAAAAAGAGTGGAGGCCCCTAATTATTTTCTGAATAAAATAAACAATTTTTTCGTCAAGTGTTTTAAGTATTTAATACAAAACAAATGAAATTATTTTCAATAAACATATGTAGATATAGTCAAAAGCAAGAATTATTCGAAATTAAATGACAGTGTTAATGAATGGAACCTTGCGAGCTTTTATCGATTAAAAATCGTTGATGATTTCGCTGAACATTAATGCTTTTTTATTATCTATAATATAAAAATGAATCGCTGAATGTGTTGCTAAGCGCAAATCTCGAGAGTAGCTGAACCGATTTCGCTAATTCTTTTTTTAGAATATTTCTTGAAGTACGAGGATGGTTCTTACGGAGAGAAAAATTTTAAAAAATGCGTGAAAAAGTCTAAAATCAACACTTTTCTATACTCCCATACAAAAGATTCGTAATAATACTTAAAAGTCAATTTGAACTTTAATACCATAAAGTTTAAGTGTTCGTGGAGAGGTTCCGGCAAGGCAAAAAAATTGAGTGACGTTAGTATCGTATAAATATTAATGTCAATATTTGTCAATATTGTTCACAAAAAAAAATATATGGATAACGCTGACTAATAACTATTTATATCTATTTAAAACGTACCTAGCGACTAACCCGAGCGAAGTGAGGGTGAGCCGCTAGTTATGGGTAAAATCTTAAATTACCCTTTATAATGACCATATAAGTTATAGACTTAATGCAAGCGTAAATAATCTATGATAAAGTTACTTTTCAATTAAGCAAAAAAAGCAAACATCTATATTACATATATAATATCAGCATTCAGCAACAGCATATTATCCAAAGTTATTCACTTGTTTTAACATGATATACTATATGGAATTTTTTAAATTTAAATGTGGTGGACTGTATTTAAGGGTTTCAAAATGAAACTCCAATCAACGAGAGTTTTTCCTTCCTTAGCTTTTCTTGCTAGTTGCCTCTTCTATGGCTATCCGACGAATGGTGGACAATGAGCAAAACCACGTTTTTTCATATTTAGTTAACAATCTTATTAGAGTGAGTCTAAATTCTTATCGTATTGTAGATTAAAGGGACGTGACTTAAGCTAGATACTGCCATCGTGTAAACTCGTCGTCCGTAACATACATCATCAATTTAAATATTATATTGTATATAAATTTGTATGACTCTACATCAATTATTTTATCTATAACTACAGGTTCATAAAATTGAAATGTGCTGTTTGTAATGTAAAAACAACAGTTTTTACTTAATGCAATGAAATGCATAATATACGGAATACATTTTGGAATAAATATTCTTTCTGTTTGTTCCGGCTAATCTCCGAAACGATTGGACTGATTTTGACGGAACTTTCACTGGAAGATAGCTGATGTTATAAGGAGTAACTCAGGCTACTTTTATTTTAGAAAAAAAATCAGGATTCCGAACAAAAAATTAAAACCCAAGAAATTGTGAACAAAATCCGCGTACCTAGGGACGCACCCGAGCGAAGCGACAGTAATTCGCTAGTTGACAATTTGTGTTCAATTTTTTGTAATAAAAGGTTAAGTGCCAATGAGTTCTTTGTTTACCTTTAGTTAAGTACCTAAGCCTATGGAGTAGATATAGGAAAATATTACTTTTGAGTGCATGCACATTTGATGATAATATTACAGAACTTAAAATTATAAAATAAATAAACTCACGAAGAACCAAAAAAACGCATGATTATAATTAATTAATCATAATCCCTCTGTAACCTCTTCGTACATGACTGCTATGAACTGCGGTGAACGAATATTTAAGAATAATATAATCATATTTGTACAAGTATTATAGGTTAATGTGAAAAAAAAATTGAAAAAAAAAACGAAAAGTTGTCGCCAGTCAGAATTTGATTTATTTTAATTTCTTTTGTGGGGGCCCCTCTCTTGTGGAGGCCCCGGGGCTCTAGCCCCGGTTACCCTCCTCTAAATCCGGCCCTGAGTATTGTTAAATTGCTTATTATATGCGTTTATAAATTAAAAATTAAAACAAATATTGTTGTCTGTCTATTTTTTTATATCTTGTCAATACATATTTTCATAAACAAACTTTATTTTTAATTTCAATTTTTAGTGTCTGAGTGATTTGGAAAATTCAAGAGATGATTTACTGTATGAACTGCATAGATTGCCTAATCAATCATCTCATGACAAAATTATGTTAAAAGCATATTTTGAAGATGTTGAGATGGTTTCAAACTTGCTAGAGAAGCAAATAAAGCTAATTTTAGCAAGAACATTAAATACTGTCCGTAAGGAGCCTACAGTTATTGTGACTGCTTTAAGAATAATTGAAAGAGAAGAAAAACGAGACCAAATGGCAATTCAGGTAATCATTTTTGGTTTAATTCGATTTTACTTTAGACTGCAGCAATGCAGAAAAATAAGGTTCTCACTTGTTCTTCAATCCTTCCTCAATTTAAACTACTCTTATTTTGCTCTAATTTTAAATGAAAGAAAATCTTAATTAATTTGTTTTACATAAATTAACTATTTCTAGCAACAGGACCAGTCTGGGTTTATGCCTCCAGGGCGGCCTAAAAATTGGCGGACAAAAGCCTTTGAAGTATTAGAATGTGCCGTCGCTCAAAGAGTCGAAGGGACTCGTGTTGATGAGCGAGAAGATAATAAGCTGTGGCTAATCAGATATCTTGAGTTAACAAGAATGCTCATATTAGAAGACTTGAGAGTCGTCAAAACACTATGTGTACCATGTTTCCCACCTCACTATGATATTGTCAACAAATATGTTAACATGTACCATACATGTTTGTCAACTAGTGTAAGTAATTCGTTTTATTAATCAAGGTAATGCTTTGTTAATCGACCGGCTCCCAAAAAATAGGGTACATGTTATTTTGTCCATATAGCGCGATATCTTCGCAAATAATACTATTATAAACTGGGTGGACTAAGCAAATCAATTTATCCCATTAGTGCAGTATATTTTTCCGGGATAAAAAGTAACCTATGTGCTATTACAGACTATGATTTATCTCTGTGCCAAATTTCATCCAGATCCATCCAGCCTTTCTAACGTGATTGAGTAACAAACATCCATCCATCCAAACTTTCACATTTATAATATTAATGGGATTACTAAATTACAAGAAAAATACCACAATTTAGTGTAGATTATTAGGTAACTTTTCAGTTAAAGGTACTTACTGATGCAGTTAAAAAGCTTCATTCAAAAGTAAACTTTGAAATTAAGTAATTTTAATTCTTAAAATAATTAAATCCATTTTTAAATTGTAGATATTTAAAAACTTTGGTTTCTTAAACATAAAATTTTAGTTACAAGATATAGTCCAAAATGGCTTGGAAGGAAATGAGTATGTGACATTATTGTCCTGGATTCTAAATACCTACTCGGGTGTGGAACTGATGGGAAGCCCAGAAGTGAATGTGGACGTTTCCACATTACCCCCATTGTTAAGCAACGAAATTATGCAGAAATTACAAGATGAATACTTACAGGTATGTGAAGTGTTGAATGCTTTATCAAATATTATTATTAACATTAATGTTTTATATTTATAAAACTACAAATATATTTTATGCTTATTTTTATTTTTACCAACGTTATTATTATTACAAGAAAATTTCTATCTGTAATATGTACGCTTTACAACAAACAACTAAAAAACCGTTTAAAATAAACAAATTAGAAATAAAGGGATTACAACAACAATATAAGGGATTTGATAGAAACTAGCTTAACTGTAACTTAATATTTGGTTTTTCATGTTATTTATCTTATACCCTTTAGTTTACGTCGACAAAACTTTCGTCTTACTCCAGGATATATGTAAATTCTTCATTAAGAATTTCACTGAAATCCCTTGTGAATATACAACGAGAAATATACCACTTTAACTGATTCACTCATAATATTATAGTGATTTTTGTTACAATTTAATAATAAGTATAATTAATTAAATAGCTAACTTATACTTTCTTAGATTTACGCGAATATTTGACATGAAATAAAACCATCTTTCGGTTCGTCGGTTTCGATAAAGCATAGTTTTAGTTTACTTTTGTACCTACTATATTTTTATAAAATGTAGTTCGTGTTACTCTTATGCATAAACTATATCACTGTACAGTTTCATGTAAATCCGTTAAATAGTTTTTACATGAATTTAAAGAAATTGAAGAAGAAAGAAAATAGAGAATAATGCATCCATACATCCATGTTCATAAATCTATACTAATATTATAAAGAAGTAAAGTTTGTGAGTTTGTGACGTTGTAGAGGGTAATCTCCGAATCTAATGAAACGATTTGGATGAAATTTGGTAAGAAGATACTTTGAGACTCTGGGAAGGACATAGGATACTTTTTATCCCGAAAATCATCCCTTAAGGGGGTGAAAATGGGGATGAAAGTTTGTATTGGGAAGTAAGCTAGGGACGAACCCGAGCGAAGCGAGAGTGAGTCACTAGTATGAAATACATATGTGATACAGAAAATGGAGTCGAACTACATGGAGTGGATGGAGAAGGCGCTGGAGGCGGAGCGCGCGGAGTGGCGCGGCGAGCGCTCGCCCGACGTGGAGCCGCACACCAGCGCCTACCACACGCACGCGCCCGTCATCATCTTCCAGATGATCGACCAGAACTTGCAGGTCAGCGTGGAAAATCCTCTAAAAATTATATTAATTTTGATTTAGTAATCCCTATATTATATAGCTTTATTCAATGTATATGTATTGTTTTAAAATACGTATTTATTTGGTCGACAACATTTAGCGGGGACTAAAGGAAAATTAGGAGGTCACTTTGTCTACATTTCTATAGTTAGTAACATTTGAACCTTTTTAATATATAAAAAAAACTCATGTTTGTGCACACAGATTATGTAATTATTATTTATTACTTTTAAATTAAAATGTTTACCTACTGATTTTATTTTTGCGTGATTATTATTCAATTCTAAAGAATATAAACAAGGACACGGATAACCACCATGTGTTGATAACAACTAAATCAGACTGCTATCATACATACGAAAGGTTGTGTGTGCTTGCGCGATTGTCCTATAATTGATAAAACAATAGAACTGGACACATGTCACTGTATAAAGAACTTATAGAAATCATTCGAAGAATGCTCAAACTCAAAGATTTTATTAGTAGTAAATAATTTTAAATCGGTAACGACAGTTTGAAGTATTAATTAAAAAAAAATTAAATTGTATTTTCTTTTCAATAATGTTTAATCATCATTGTAAATATTAAAAGGTATATTTCGAAAAGATTTTTGAGTTATCCAGTGAGGATCAACTCTATCTATAATGTCTGTTTATTTGTTAGCAATCATCTGATAAGGTTATAGGCAATTTAGTATCTCGCTTCGGCCTTTAGGGTCAAAATTACACAAAAATAAAGTACGCAGGCAGAGCCATGGGTAACTGTAGTATCTATATAAAAGGCTTCTTTTCAGGTCACCGAAACTATAAGTAAAGAGATTACTCATAAGGCCTTGCTGTTAAGTATTGATCAAGTTACTCGTTTTGGACATATGTACAGAGATGGCGTAATACAATTTAAGGTAATTTTTTTAATAAAATTTTGTTTTAATATGAATTAGGTCTACCCACGTGTATATATATGTATGTATGTACAAGTAAAAGGCGTTCATAGCCTTAAATCAAATAATCTTAATTAAATTTAATTACCATTTAGTTTTTAATAATTAAATAACTTTTACTTTTTCTGAATGTAATTTTTTGTAATGAAACTTCGATAAAGGTTTAAAAATATTCATTTATTTAAATGAATAATATTTAATTACAACTAGAAATTCCATTTCTATTATATCCCGATTTCAAAATTGTCTAGAGATTTACATACCTTATTACATCAAATTTTGCTCCAATAGTCTTTGAGTAAAATGGCTGTGACATGCGAACAAACGGACATGGTGATATTATAAGGATTCTGTTTCAGCCTTTTAGCTACGGAACCCTAAAAACACACAAAAAAAGTTAAATTGATTTTAACAGAAATGCTGTCCAATGCAATGGTTGTCCAAAATACCAATATTTATTCTATGCCAAATCGTTTCAAAGCAGAATTGGTAATGATAACAATTTAATTCAAACTAATATTATAAATGCGAAAGTAACGGTCTATCTATCTGTCTGTTACATTTTCACGCTTAATCCGCTGAACCGATTTAGATTAAATTTGATATGGAGATAGTTTGTGCCCCTGGGAAGGACATAAGATGGTTTTTATCCTGGACATCATCCCTTAAAGCGATGAAAAGGGGATTGGAAGTTTGTATGTGGAATCAATAATTTCTCAAGTAAGGGATATAAAAGTCATAACACCCATGTATACAGGGTCATTTTTAATTTACTGAAGACCTCTTGGGAATATACTACGTACATCATAACAACAACATCTGTAACAAGAAAAAATATATTTCTTGAATTTTTATGTTCATACAAAAATTTTAAAAAAAATGGAAGGTTCAATGAAAATATTTTTATTTTTGTAAAATTTACGAAATATTCTTTTTTTTTCTTACAGATGTTATTGTTATGATGTAAGTAGTATATTACCAAAAGGATTTCAGTAAATTAAAAATGAGCCTGTATACAGTGTATCTATTTGCTGTACCTGTGTGTGTGTGTGTGACAGGAGACGCACTTCGCGGACCGGTCGCGCGTGGCGTACTTCACGCACCACATGATCACGATCGTCAACAACAGCGAGCAGATGCTGCGCCTCGCCGCGCAGACGCAGCTGCGGCGCCGCGCGCCCGCCGACGCCGGCTTCGCGCGCCTGCTGGACGTCTTCCAGGTGACGGGATCATCATCCTTTTTGTTCTTCATTTTTTGAAGTAAAACTTCTTTACGCACGCTTGACTTGGGGAGTAAGCTGGTGAATGCGCTGCGAAAAGTGTAAATCGGGCGAGGCGAACGTTTGTTGCCATGGTAACCGTTGTTACTGTCTGACAAATGATATATAATATTATATTCTTTCCTTAAATCATATTCTATGTCATATAATCATATATATTATATATATATGATTGCAATATGCCTAATATGCGTTATTTTTAGTATTTCACCTATCCTAATTATTTAAAACATAAATTGAATTTCATATAGAGTACCGATAACCTACACAAGTTTTACTTCTTGCGCATGTACAGATTCATACACGCATTCTTTAATTTTTTTTATTAAAATAATTGTTTACTTTTAATAATATAAGTTCTAACAATAAATTATGTACTCGTATTTTATTTTTTTTAAAACATTTGCAAATTTTATATATATACTCTTTATTGCACATAAAAACAATAATACAAATATTAAAAGAAAATTGAAGGCAAAGGTGAACTTATCTCTAAAAGAGTTCTTGACAATTAAAGATTATTTTCTTTTCTTTATAAATTGTCACAAACTGAAATTAACGTTTAAATGATAAATGATCAGTTTTACTCAAAATAATTGGTAATTGATTTTTATTCGACGACTACATTTTTTTTTGATGCAACAAAAAAAATATGTATTTGTAACTAAAATGTATTTGAGACTAAAAAGTAGGTATGATAATAATTTAAAATATTTATTTTTGTTATAGAAATTAAGAGATGAAGCAGCTCAATTCTTATTAGATGAGGCGTTCTTGGATTTGGAAGAACATTTTGACGATCTGTTCACTACCAAATGGCTCACATCAAGCATTCCAGTCGACACCATCTGCGTAACACTCGAAGATTATTTCCAAGATTATAATCATTTAAGAGAGAAAAATTTCGAGTATGTTATCAATGAAGCCCAAAATCTTGTGTATAAGAAGTATATAACAGCAATGTTGTCGAAGAAAATAACATTCAAAACTGTCGAGGAGGCTCAGCAGGCTGCTACTAAGATCGTAAAAGAAGCGAATCAGATTAGATCATTCTTTAGGAAAATAGCATTGAACGCGGAAGGTGTCAATGTGGACTGGCCGTTTGATGTCATTAAAATGTTGGCTGAGGTATGTGCTCTCTTCACTTTGTATATTTTACTTTCATTTATAGTCAGGTCAAAGTAGACATTATTAACCATAATTCGCATAGAACTGAAAATTGGGACAGCCGTTGGGTACACAATTACAAATTAAATTTGGAAAATCACCATCGATCCTACACTGGCTAAGAAAATTATTTAAAGCCAAATATCGAAATTAAGTCGAGATAGTAATGTCATGTGCTGGCAGAGAGTACAAAACAACATACTGAGGAGTATCGCAAATGCCCCCTGGTTCACGAGGATCGACGAGATACATGAGTATCTGAATATTGCAACAGTAGCCTATGAAATAGAACGCTATAAAAAACTGTACAGCGAACGTCTTGCCCATCACCCCAATCCACTTGCTTCTGGATTGCTTGACAACGCCAACGTGGTTAAGAGGCTGAAAAGAAACCACGTACTTTGAGTAGACAGCGAGGCATTGGCCTTGCTGCTCTATCAGTCATTACCTACCGCTCAACCTACCTGCTTATAGTTTGGCGACTGGACTACCACAAAAAAAAATATCGAAATTATTGGTTATTTTAAGGTTTTATCATAAAAATAGGTTTCACAAAAATTGTAGATCATGCAATTATTTACTAAAATGGTCCTTGCACCTTTTTTTCCTAAGAATCACTATGTCTAAATATAGTGACTCTTAAAGTTGAAGAAGTATTCATAAAGCTTAATTTTGTATAATGACAAAATTTTGACTTTCGAGGCGTAGTTCGCCTAACTGAGTAGATCAAGCTATTATATCGCAGCACAACATGAGACGCCGTCTCTCTTACATGGGACGAGGCTATCCTGTCAATAATATAAACTAATAACACGCATTACACGGTCACCAGGTGATCCGTTGCCAGGACATCGAGATGCTCTCGCTGGACCTGCACGGGCTGTTGGAGAAGTGTCCGGACGTGTCGGAGGAGCAGCTGGTGCGGCTGCTGGCGCTGCGCGGGGATGTGCCGCGCGCGCACGTGCGCGACACGGTGGCGCATGCGCGCGCCGCGCACCGCCCGCGTGCGCCCCCGCTGGCGGCCACGCCGCGACTGTTCGCCGGCATCACATTTAGCGACAGGCTGCTGTCACACTTCACACTATAGGACGTTTTCCAATTACAGCACTAAAGCGCACTATGCGGCATAGTACTCAACTTCGAATGTTTCACAATCAGGCACTTTGAAAAGTACTGCTTCGGCGTGATGCGCTCAACGGATACCAAAAAATATAAGAAGTGTTTTTTCGCATTGTTCATGTTTGTGTGCCAAAGTGCAGCATTATGCTCTGTAATTGGAAAACAGGGATAGTCACAGAATAAACTCCATACAGTAGGCGATCCTCTTATTTTTCACGGAAATGCTGTCAAATGCAAGGGTTGTAAATCTTTATGGCGAACAATTGCAAAATTATAGTGCTGTAGAGCTATCTCGTGAAGAATTACAGTAATACCCGTCAACCCTAAAGTCGTTTCCCGAATTATATATAAAAATAAGTATAATAAGACAGTCTGCATCGCGGCATTAGCATATCACCTCGCACTGTTTAAATGCCTTTATTAAACGACTATATGGATTAGAAGACTGTGTTATGGTTCCTGAAGCTTGTGCTAGAAGTTCAGTAGACTGACGTTTGCCAGAGGCAACTAGCCAACTTATTTTTCTATTGCCAGCGAACGGCTAATCAAGATAATTGTCAGAATTTTTATTTATTTAATTAACATATATATATATATATATATATATATATATATATATCGATAGTAAATGAACTCATTAATTTGAACTCAACCCGCTCCTATTCGCCCTGTCACCTTCATGACAGGTTGCTCTCTCACATTATGTTTTAGTTCCATCCTGAACAATAACGTAAGTCTTAAATAATGCTTGATTTTTTTCTTTAAAGAGATACGTATTTTAGTCATTACACTTTTGTCGGTGTCACTTCCTACGAAAGGCTGTTCGCACACTAATTGGCGAAGCTCCAAGTCGAGGGTGATGACTGGGTAATGGTTAACTTTATGTCGATACAGAAATCGAATTCTAATTTGTGGATTATAATATATTAAAAAAATCTGAAATTGGATTTTTTTTTCTAATAAGTAACTTATATTATTGAAATAAATATAGTTTTAGTGCCACCTGAAAATATCACTGAAATAAAGTTAGTTTGCGAAGTATTAGGTATCGATACATAATTTTATTGTCTAATGCAGAATATATTAATCATATATTATTTGTTATGCAACCTCAATATAAAATATAGTTTTTGTTCTATTTCATAAGCTTTGATGTAAAGAACAAGCTATCAAACCAGTGCTTTCGTGTCGGTGCACGTCAAACGACCATCTAAAATTTAGATCTATATTGACGTCATAAGTCATAGCCATTTGATTGATGCGCGTGCAACGGTGCAGATAGACATTGTAAACTGGTTCCCATTCAATGCCCTACACAATACCCAAAGTAGGCAATTTTTGGTTTACAAAATATTTGCATGTAACCGAACTTAACCAATTACACTATAAATTGGCAATGCAACTTTGTTTTGTTGATAATATTTTAATATAAAATAATCTAAAAGTAAATTAATATCTTGTATTCAGCCCTTTTTAACGTCCCACTGCTGGGCACGGGCCTCCCTCAATACGAGGGGGATGAGGCCATAGTCCACCACGCTGGCCAAGTGCGGGTTGGCGGACTTTCAAACTTATATTTTTACTATCTGATACTATCAAATTTATATTTCTTAGAATGGATTGTTCACAAAAAATACCTACATTATCTACATAAGGGGGCACCAAATACGTTCGTTTGATCCCTTGCTGTATTGTTATTACTAAAACTTTAATTATGCAATTAATATGTAGGATATTTAAGGATTTATTCTATAAATCGTACACTTTAGAAACACGATTAGGCTTGTAGTTACCTCGATAGAAAAAAAATGCAAACTGATCTCTACAAAACAAAATAAACCCTTAGTGCGGTGTAAATAGTTCAAGGAAGTTCATCAGGTTTTTAATAATAATAAAACTATACGTTTTCTATAACGTATACACTTTAAATTTTCAAAATATGTATTTATGTAATAATACCAAGGAATTACCTAAATTCGCACGCGTTCCGTCCATCCTAGCCCCCCCTCTGCCCGCTGTCGTCCTACTAAAAGAAAAAGCTCGGTGCCCTCTTAAGTAAACAGTAAATTTTTTTGTAAATTTAACTTTTTTTTGATTTTCTTTGTTATTCTCTTGACACCTTAAAAAGGAATCAATGAAATTTATTGAAGTTTGAAGTTATATCGCAGATGTCGATGAGAATGCGTCACACGGCGGACGTACTCGTATGTATCTCTTGCACCTTGTATAAACAACTATTGTTACTAACAAGTTAAAACTGACCTGTTACTAAGAGAACATATTTTATATGTAAATATGTTTTCGTCTTTAAGTTTATAGTTAAAAACATTATGTACGAATATATTATCAAATATTATTAGATGTGCATATTATATATTTTTTTAAATGTAATTTTATAAAAGACAACTCAGAGCTGGTTTTAAGAACTGCCTATTTATTCAAAAAGATTGTATAAATTTATAAATTGTTTATTTTCAAAAATAATTGCGGTAACTTATTATTCTTTGTTAATAGTTTTAATTCGTTTTATTTTTAGTGCTATTATTTATCACATATTTCTTAAGGTTAAATAAACTCTTTGATAAAAAAAACTATTATTTTGAGTCACGGCTAAGTCCCGTTCCCTACACGTGTGGTATTACATATTATGATCAAATCTATTTCAAGTTTTAACGCAAAATTGGCATCAGCAGGCAAAAATATTTAGTAGGTGAGCGACTTCCTACGTCGAAACATCTGCTTGTGTTCAACGCGATTTGTTAATATCCAATGCTTAAGCGGACGGTGATACATGAATTATATTCAAATGTGATAAAGGAGTGCTTTGGTAGTGATTGGTTAAAAGAAAGTCCTAGATAATAGTGATATATTGTGATCTCACAGTCGCGCGGTGCGATTATCTCGCGGTAACTAAAGGCCAATTTGTGGCAGAAGGGCGGGCGGCAGTCAGTCGCACGCGCGTTGTTTGCAGCGATGTGGGGTACTCTTCTGCTCCTCTATTTCGTCGCAGGTGAGCACCTTCCGATACATATATCGCTTGTTATGTGCAAATATATTAAAGATATGAATTAGCTTAATAGCCTCTAAGACTAATATATACATATATATTATTGATTTGGAATAAACGTAGTTCAAAGTCACAGGACTGGTATATTAATTTTAATAATTTGTTCAAACATGTTTGATGATAATTATATTTTTTCTTCCCATTATATGTCGTGTAATATTCACAAATTGAATATGGCGTCATCTTATTATTGTTTAATGTATATATATGAAAATGAAGCAAAAATAAAACCCCTAACATGATTATGGACCGAAAAGCAGTTATTTCGTCTTGCCAGTTTTAAGTGTCGTTAAATTAACGAATTTGGGATTGTTCCAATATTGCAAACGAAACATGCAATACCTACGAACCAGTGTGCTTCTTACGATGTTAACTATTTTTTAAAAGATGTTTGAGGTTGTGGAGAAACATATATTTTTTACCGCATCGTCTTATTCTTTCTCTCATTTCATTTTTGACTTGAGTCAGTCAGGGAAAAAATCTTTCAGCATCTTAAGGATTAAAATCGCATTGCTTTGAAACTATAAAAATGTTTTTAAAACTTTTTTAAATTGTTTCATTTTAAAATATAAACGTTATTTTAAATGTTTACGTAGTTTACGTGTTTGTTTGCTAGTAGCTTAATGAAATATATATGTATGTATAAAAAAAATTAAACTTTTTCGTTATGTTTACACTATATCGAATGAATTCTGAAACTGTAGTTCATTTTTTGCTTTAAAATTTTGAAATAAAATGAAATAAACCTTGTTCATTTTAAATAAAACTATCTTTTCGGATTATTTCGCGGATTTATTTTGATTTTTGGTTCCCGACGTTTCGAATGCTTTACAGCAATCATGGTCACGGGAGAGACAATTGTCAAATATTCGCGTAAATCTAAGACAGTATTAATATTTATTCAGTTAATTTTAATATTCTTTCTCAAAATTATTTCATGTGACTATATTAAAGGGAAGTCGAGAAGTGACAAGCCATTGAAGCTTGTACCTAGTCAATGAAGCGATGTTACTCGGGATTAGATAATAATAGTGACTTATCTATGTATCGAGTAATTCGAATAAACGGCGCGTGCGAGCCACACTTGAGGTCGTCGCGGACCGCGGAGGTATTTTTAACATTCCCGGACCAACTCAAGGTTGCCTAAGATAGTCGCTTATTCATCGGGATATGACCTAATTTTCTATTAAAATTATAAATAGTTCTCATTCGTCGTGATTTCAATGTTCTCGATATGATGCGGTGATTAAAAGTTTTACAGCATTCCTGTTGTACATACGTTCGGCTTGGTTTATAAATTCCAATGCCATCAGAAGTTCACGTCCAAGGATCTATTAATACTCTTTACGGTGTTATAATTCTTAATTCTGAATCTCTATCAATGATCTTTTAATATTTATGTAGTTATACCTGTTTTATATTACGAGTATAAGTTGCCACATATTGTTTGACTGCGCAATAGTTGTAGTGGGTGGCTATAACAATGTTTTGAAGTACCTAAATGGCTTAGATTTATAGGACATGAAATAAAATAATGATGATTTATTAGACAAGAAAAAATAATGTGGATGATTCTACGTCTGCTATCAGTGTTTCCTCTTACATAAAAAAACATGTAAGTATATATATGACCAAACCGTCTTCTTTGTGATCTTTCAGGCAGTTATCAAATATCCATATCGGAATTTTCAGTACCACAATCAATAGAGTTCGGAGAAAACGCCACCTTAAAATGTTTGTATGAGCTATCTCCAGAAGAAAATGATAAGGCACTTTTTGTAAAATGGTGGTGGACTCCAATAAATGGCACAAGCGACATTCGCCACCAACTTTATCAAAGGATAGCCGGACATTCCCCAGAAGTTATACGCAAGGATATCAGTAAGCATAAATAATGTAATTAGAGACTAATTAGTTATATATTATAGTTACGAATTAAAAAGTCAAAAAAATCTTATTAAGTGTAATTGCATTAAGACAAACTATTTAAACAATATAAACAAGAACGAACATTAATCTTTTATTTTATTGTTTTACGAAGATGGGTTATATGATGGGTACATATATTTTTTTTACAAATATATTGACTAAAATTATTAATGTTGCATATTTAATTATTATAAACGTCGTCGGAAGTCTATTCAAATCGATTTTAATAAATTGTTATATAATTTTTTCAGTTATAAATGAAAATGATGGTATTTCGCTAGAAAATGTAACGGCTGAAGACTCTGGCATTTACGAGTGCGAAGTTTCTAACATTGACGAGGTTCGCAAACATGGCGAGCTTATTGTTTATAGTGAGTATATTAAATTACCATTTTGTCTATAGCCCTTGACCCTTGTTGTGTGTGGCGTCGACTGGCATAGCGTCTTTTTTTTTAAGTTGAGAAATGCATTTACACGTACTACCTGTAGACAGGTTATGTGGTACTCACCGGCTCAAAAGTACCGGTACTACTTACTAAACTCCAACAAAACTTTCCTCGTCTTATTATGGGGCGTCGCAGGACCGCTTACCATGGGGTGCTCCAACGGTCCACTGCCGTCAGAGTACTACGAGCAACCCGCATGGTACACCGCCCACCGAAGTGGGCCACCTCCCTGTGCGTTTCTTAGCTTCGCGCCCGGCTGCATTGCCGGATGCTAATGAGCCCCCCCCCCCCCCCTTCATGACAAGGTAACAAGGTAAACGCACTTGGAGGGAAGGGGAAGGGGGGAGGGGTTGATTGCGAAGGCCTTACTGGCATAGCTTCCTGCGTTAAAGATTGCAAGTTCAATTCATATGCAGGTGTCTGTTTGTCAAGTAGATATAGTCAATAGAACCGGCGCGGTATGAACTGTTTTTGAATGTGTTAAAGGAAATAATATACAAAAATTCGGTAATTAAAGGAATATAACGTGTATTGAAAATTATTTATACATGAAATGAAATTTCAAAAATTCGCATATTATTATGCTATTTATATAAATGATGGCTTGTAGCTTTGATCTACATATTTGTTTAGTTTACCTTTTTTTTTTTTAACGTTGGGAAATGCATTTACGCACGACGTGTGGGACTCACCGGCAAAGCCAGTACTACCCACTAAAACCCAACAAAACCTTCCCCCGTCTTAATGGGGCGTCGCAGGATCGCTTACGCATTCAACTACGACGCCCCGACGGCAGGTCTGCCGAAGCAGACCACAACAACCACGGGGTTGCTCCAAGGTCCACTCTGCTATCAGAGAAGTACCAGGAGCAACCCGCATGGTACACTACCCTCCGAAGAGGGCCACCTCTCACCGCCCACCAAAGCGGGCCACCTCCCTGTGCGTTTCTTGGCTTCGCGCCCGGCTGTATTGCCGGGCACTACTGAGCCCCCCCACCACGACAAGGTGAACGCACGTTGGGGGGGGGATTGTTTAGTTTACCTATTTCATTATTCGTAGATATGTCAGTGGAATATAGGCGTAAAAAATGTAAATATTTCTCAAATTTCTATTTTAATCAGAATTGGGTGAGGGTCCAGAGCTAAATATCACTCTCAATGTAACGGCCGACGGGCCCGATGAAGATTCCGAGGAAGACGTGTCAGTGTTGGTGACGTGCACCGCGAGCGACGTCGCGCCCGAGCCTAACCTCATCATCACTGTTAACGGGTATCGTATTTAGCCCTTATTAACGACCCACTGCAAATCAAATCAAAATATACTTTATTCATATAGACTTTTACAAGCGCTTTTGAATCGTCAATTTTACATTTCCGCTCAAATCCTTTCATACATTACAGCATAAAGAATCAACAATTAAACTGAAATACAAAGTTATGTGTTATTTTTGCTTCGTCTAAGAATTTTTTTATTGATAGTATAGTAGTGGCGTAGATAATTTTAAAATATTTACCAGCTAGAACTAAGTCATCTCAGGAACGCCTTCTCTAGCTGGAGCTGCGGCGTATTATTGTAATAGATAATTCTGAATTTATTAATTATAGCAATGAAGTTGAAACAGAGAAAATGATAGAGCCTTCCTCAGAAAACACCTACGGTATATTGGAAACTGCGATTCTTACTAAACAAAATGCCGACGGAGCAGATATAGTCTGTCAACTCGTCATCGAACCAGTAAACGTCACGCATCCTCACGTCGGCGCGCAAACCTTCTACTTCAATCCGACAGGTATGAATGTCTTATTTTCTATACACTTTAGAAAATACGAATATCTCACAAAATGCAATTACTGCCTAAGATATATTATTTAAAATACCTAGAAACTTAATTGGATCTTATTTGAATTTTAAAGACAAATTATACACGTATTAGCCAGGTTCTGGTGCTGTCGTTTTATAGACCCTGAGTGCGGTGAGCGCTCCATGTTGTAATTTTGAGTAATGTGTCCAATGTAAACTAGTTTTCGCATATTATCGCGCAATGATAATATGATACATGAAAAAAGAATTAACAATGATGGTAAATAAAATCTACCTAAAAAATTATCTACACATAAAATGAAAGTGTAACTGATCGCTGCCTGTACATGGAAGATATTTGAGAAAAGCTATGATTGAGGGTCTTTATACACGCAACAGAAACCAAAACAATGATTTTTTTCGAATTTTTGTCTGTTAGTCTAGGCGACTGTGCGCGAAACGGCTTAACCGATTAGGGTACGGTTTTCACTAATTTATTGTGGTAAGCTTCACTTAACATTTAGTATTTCAATCGGTTCATAAATAAAAAAAATATGTCAATTTAAAGAAACACCCAGGGACGAACCCGAGTGAAGCGAGGGTGAGTTTCTAGTAATAACTATTTTTAACTAAAACGATTCATCTTTAACGTAACAGTCAATTTATTAAAATCGGTTTAGAGTAGGCGAACATTCACGCGATTGACAGTAATTTTACACCCAAACTTAGTACATTTTTATTCCTACACTTGGTTAAAAATGAGTCGATTGTAAAACAATGTTACATGAACCACATTAAAATATGCCTGTATTTTTTCTGCTATATAACTATGAGCATTTGTAGAAGTTTAAGGTTTTAGAAATATATCTATTTTTTTAAAATGCATAATATAGATTTATAGTTGCTATACTAAAGCTATGTGCGCAGTGCAAATTATCTTTCGCTTAAAACTTACACTAATGTCCAGGAACATACTTGGAAGCTTATGCCATAAGCAGTTACAAGCTTATTTTAACAGCAGAGAGTGCCTATATTAATATCATTGTTGTATGAAACTGAGGGCGAAAATTAAAGTTGGTGGCAAATTTTACATAATTAGACAAATACTTAAAATATTAAAAAAACAATTTTACGCTTATTTGAACCATATACCTAACCAACCCTCATTTTTAAATTCACATAATCTCTGGCGGTTCCTTAAACATCACAGTTCGATTTGTATCTTAATTAGTTGTTTATTATGTTATACTCTTATATAAATGATGATAAAAACAAAATATTTACTGACACAATCAAGAAAATCGTTTAGTAAATTTAATTTCGAAATAAACATTAAGGGCTTCTCTTTTTGCTATGTGTGAATGTACTATGCTGACAATTTGTATTTGTTTTCGATGTTGATACGATCATTACCTTTTGACAAAAACAAATATTTAATAACATATTTAATTATTTGAATGAAAAATTAAGTTCTATATCTTTTTTTATATTTATAAGGTATTGGTCGTATAAAAATGCTTTAGTGAAGTACGTAGCTTGTGTTGTCTATACTAACGTGCGTTGGTTGTCGATGCGCAGCGCAGACCACTACGGAGGATGCCGAAGACCTCTCTACTACAGAAGCTTCTTCAGATCCGTTACAATATACTAGTAAGTCTACTGACCCCCACTTTTATCTCAAACATTTCGGATTGTAAAAACCATACACAAAAACAATTATTTTCTTCATCTTATTTGCTCCCGTTAGAACTTTATAAAAGTATTTTGAAAAAGTATCTAAAAGTACTTTAGTATAATTACTGATAATTTTGATCCAAAATTTTTGTAAATATTTCCAAAATTATAGTTGTTTAAAAAAAAACAATATACTTTTTAGAAAATGTATCTATTTTGTAGATATTGTAACCTACCTGTACAATATCTAGGTACAAAATAGACAAAATTAGCTTATAGGTTAAATTTATTGAGTGGCTTACACGAAATCTATATTTGAACTAATATTACGTAAATATGTATCCTTCCTTACATTATAATTTAAAATATAGCAGACTAACCTACGACACCATTGATGAGCTTTATACCACCTTTGCAATACTTATCTTTATATTAATAGTATTTAACTTTGTAACACATGATTACGCGATCTATTAAATAAACCTTTAATTAATACCACAAACAAAAACTGTTTGAATTATTAACACAGACACACACATACAAGCGCGCGCGCGCGCTCACACACGCACACACACCCAAATTTTCCTTTAACTTAAGAGGATTGTGAAGTGCTTAAACGACTTATTTACAAACAACCTACCTATTTAATGCTCAATTCTTCCATGAAGTACTTGTAAAAGTCTAATAAAGTTCATTTTTCCTTTTCAATGTTATAGTCAAAATTAGGGATTGAAACGAGTATTTTTTTTACAATCGAGTTCAACTTTAACTGTTTAAAAATAACTTTTATCAATAAGTGATGAGTCATAAAACTTTTTTAATAACTGGTAAATAAAAGTTCTAGCATAAAAAAAGATTTGACTTTTTTAATATCTAGGACATCTAGGTATATAATGGTCACAAAAAAGTTTTTGTTAAATTTTTACTTATTTATTCTTTGTATAAAAAAAATTCAAATAAAATTAATTATAATGGAAGGCCATAATTATTAAATCTAATGAATTTCGGTAATCCAATAAAATATTTCAATGTTAACTATATGGGATGGTTTATAGTATGAATTTTTACTTGCTAATCACAATTTTATTGAAAGTAAGCTTTAATTTTCTTTTTTTTATATATATCATAATATTTTCTTGTCACAAAGCTTAATATTATTAATACTCACTGTATCAATATGTAGGTTTTCGAATAAATGGTTTATTATTTCGTTAACAAAATCTTAAGTTAGAATATAAAGTTTTGGAAATAACTGTTTTCAAATTACTTCTATAGATACATAAAAGTAAAAGTTAAAAAAACTTTTATACATCTACATAATTATAAATATAAAACTTAAACTTTTATTTTTAATTATAAAAGTTAACTGGTTAATTCGGTCACAAGTCAAACTAATAGCCAGTTATAGTATTGGAGATTTACCTAGATAGAGAGCGACTAGAGTTGCATGTGCATAACGATGCAGAACCAGACTTACAGACAGAAACAGCCGTTTGTTGTCTCTCTCATTTCGTTAGTTTTAAAAAATATGAGACAACGCTACTCAGCGCTGTAAACTCTTAGTGACATCTTATTTCAGTCACTGAGTGAAGCTGATAGAATTTAGTATTCCGCCACAAGCTGCACTTTATTTTTTACTTCTGCATACCTTCACAATCTTCACTACTAACTCATACTATTAAGTCCATTCGCGTTAAGAAAATAGTGAGTCATCTAGTGCAACGGCAGGTAAAGGTATACAAAGTGGGAGTAAAAATTCAATTCAAATTCAATATTTCAAAACATTAAGTTTAAGGGATAAAAATCAACTTAAATATCTTACTTATTTCAAATCTTCATTTGAGATGATAGTGACTTTATTTTGATTTGAGATAATTAATCAACTTAATTTTCTTAAATCAAAATAAAGTACATAACCTTATAATGGTAATGACTTTATTTTGATTTGAGATAATTATGTTCATTAATAATATATTTAAGTCTGCCTTCAACGGGTCATTGTGAAATATGACTTTATAAATTTAATGCAATCTAATTGGTCGGGGGGCGTGACTAGGCTGGTGGACATCGATGACTCACTATTTTCTTAACGCGAATGAAAAATAGTCTGGGGAACTCGTACTGACAATGGGGAAGAATTTTGCCTTTTTCTCCCACCAGAAGTCACGATCACTATGATCCTCACTATATTTAGCGTGGATGGATTTTTTCATTTTATTTAAAATTTAATCAAAATGACAAACTGTGCAGTGCCAGGTTGCAAAGAAAAGGGATATCATTTGTTCCTAAGAGACAAAAACTGAAGAAATTGTGGGCTAAAGCAAATGACCGAAATTAGCGAAATCGCAATCTTTATATTTAAGGCTGGATGTGAACATCATTTTCGGAAAGCGATTTTAAAACTCTTAAATCTTCTACAGTTAAATATTATTTATTATTTTTTGTACTTTTTTACATATTAATTACAGAATTTCATAGAAACTTTCATCCCCTATTTCACCCCTTATGGGCTTGAATTTCGAAAAATGCTAAAACACGTATTTATTTAATTGTATTGAAGAGCATCAATAACAAATTTTATAAATTCTGATCCTAAATAATTCTTTGCCCATATAAACTTTATTGCCCCCCCTTTGATATAATCAAAACTATCCCCTTTTCATCCATGTAAGGAATGAATTTCAAAAAAGATCAAATAAATACATTTCTTATTTTTTATCTTCAAAATAAACACCACTTTCTGTGTATTTCACATTAAGAATGACAGAGTTTCATACAATCTTTAATCCCCTATTTTATTAGGGAATGAATTTCGACAAATCCTTTCTTATCGGACGCTTACATATATAAGGAATACGTCCTCCAAATTTCACGTTTCTACGACCAGCAGCTTTTAGGCTGTGTTAATCCATCAGTCAGTTGCAGGATTACGGCAGGATGCACTTCTCCTTCTCAATTCTCCCTTCAGCTGGTCTAACTTCCAGGTACAATAGAAGGTACAAAAGAGATATCATAAGAAATTGCTTAACCTCAGACTGAATTTAAATAGATCATACATGTAGCGCCTTCAAGAAATCTTCCCCATTGGCCATTGTCGAAATTAGAATAATTATTATTTTTAGAAATCTCGATTTCTCTTTAAAATATTCACACTCTTTCTCTTACACTCATTTCTTATTGACTAGATAATTTTAGTCTACCTTTTTCTAGTTCAGGCGTCCTATATTGTTCTAAAGACTTTCTACACTCGCAACTACGCCATCATTGTGCAGTATGCATCAAGCTTAAAGCCTATATTTAAGTTTCTCGACTCTTATGAGTTATAATTTATATTTTCTTCTATAAAAAGTATTTAATATACGTATTAGTATTATACACACATATTTCTTAATATACTTTAAAACATAAGCATATATATATTAAAACTATTAAAATTATAACGCAATCTATATTTTTTTTTATTCTCATTTAAAGAGCTGATTCTGAATGCAGTGAAAATGTTCAAAGCTGATTGTAAATCATTGGTAGCGATAGTCAAGTTCTTATTTGAAGTATACAAAACAAAATCGTCTGCATATTGTGAGATAAAAACATTTTTAATAGACTGGTATATGTGAGCTGTCGCAATATTAAATAGTAAAGGCGATAAAGGATCTCCTTGAGCTAGCTGGCTACAACATCTAGTTAACGATAACGTATCTAAATGAATATTTAGAGATCTATGACTAAGAAAATTCCATAAATAATTGCATATTTTTGATCCCACCCCATAATTGTCCATCAAAGTTAAAAGTTTAGATATATCTATGTTATTATATGCTCCATCAATGTCAATGAAACAGCAAGAGGTAGAATTGCCTAGTCCAAATCCTTTTTGTATACATAAAACTAGTTTACATAAGTTGTCTAAACAAGAATGAGCTTTCCTGAAACCCGTAGTATCCACAGAGAAGGTATTTGATCTTTCAAAATACCATTCAAGTCTTTTGTTTAGGATTGAATGAAAAACTTTACATATACAGGACATTAAAGATATACGTCTTAAAGATGATACTGAGTGTGGATCTCGTCCAGGTTTCGGTAAAGGAATAATAGCTATCTCTCGCCACTGCTTTGGAACTAATCCATCTTTGACAAATATGTTGAAAAGATTCAAAAGCCAATCTTTACCACTTTCAGGCAAGTTTTTTATCATTGAAAATGAAATCATATCTATTCCCGGAGCCGTATCTTTAGATTTGATAGAAACTTCTAATTCCTTTCTAGAAATTGATGATTCTAAATTGTAGTTACTCGATTTAAACGTAGGACAATTATTAACAACAAAATCAAGAGCAAGACTTTGAAGGAGGTCCCTTGCACTATCACTACTAATACAAGATTTTTTAGAATATCTCCCTTTTATCCATTTCATTCGAAACCACATTTCGTTTATTGAAGACACTTCACTTATACCATTAAAAAATTTTTGTCATGATTTTGATTTCGACTGGCGTAATATTCTTTGAGCTTCACCTACTTTATTTTGTAAAATATCAAGGTTATTTGGCGTTGGGTTATCTCTAAATACAACAAGTGCTAAACGTCGTTCAGCTATAGACTTCGAAACAATCATGTTCCAAAATGGTTTGGGTTTAAAGACATTACTAGGGTTTAGGCTAAATTTAATAAAAGGGATATACTTGTCTGCTGCACGGTTCTTACAATCAAGCAACATATCGTACCCTAATTGCGCGTTTACGGGAAAGTCGAGATCATGCAGTGACGAATTGATTTCGGAACGATATGGCTCCCCCTCACGGGGCCTCACCTAAATTAAAGTTCCGCTTTTTTATAAAGTGATTATGAGGTACGCTGTAATTTAGAGTTAACTTAATTATTAGATGATCACTTCCTAGGGACTCATTTATTACAAACCATTCACAATTTAAGGCAATGTCCGATGATACTAAGGATAAATCCGGAGAGGATTTTTGCAAATTATTATTTACAAATTTAACACGGGTTGGTAAACTACTATTATTGAGGATTACGTAGCGACTATCTACAAGTGAATCAAAAATCTGAATTCCTCTTCTATCTATTCTATTTGACCAGCTATGATGATGGCCATTAAAATCACCTAATATTATAGATCTTTGCGTGATTATTGAAAAAATTTCATCCCAATTACTTTAACGCAATCTATGGAAGAACAAATAATTTTAAATTTAAGGCCATTTTAACCAATTCGATTATATAATTTTTAATAATAATAATAAATAATTAATGATTGTACACTTCATATTTTCTTATATATACGCGTTTAAGATATAAAGCAATGATATTTTGTAAAAATTGTAATTAGTTATTGCGTATTTTTAAATATACTTCGTCGACTTTTTATGTACTATATAAATAAAATAGATTTTAAAGACAGTAAATAAACTTACTTTATAATAAAAATATATTTTTATAGGTGATGCCAGCTTCGTACCTTCCTCCTGTGCTCTTCTAGTCATCGCAACGTTCCTGGTCCGTCTTGCCGTAAATTAAATATTACTATGTGATACTAATACTATTGTATTGTTAAATATATTTTTACTATTAAACTTTTAACTTTTTTATATATATATTTATTTTAATATCCTGCTACTCACAATAAATATGCTAACAATTTATTGTGAATCAAAATCGCCATAGTGACTTTCCCAAAAAATAAATAAATATTTTTTTTTATAATCTCGTGGTATAGTGTTCAAAAAACATCGCAATATTGGGATTTGCAACCGTGGACGCGCGAGGTTCGGGTTGCTGTAGATGTTTGACATTTGTACTATGTCCCCATTTTTATTCAACACATTTTGGTAAATTTACCCCATTTTTTTTTAGTTTTTTATGTTCGAACATTACCTGAATACTGTCGTACAGCTAAAATTTCAATGAACCGACTCATGTTTTAGATTTTTGGATTTATCTCAAAATTAAATGTAAATATGAAAAATAAAATATCACGGTATAAGAGGATTGGTTAGCTAATATTATACTCGTAGTTAGTGAAGTCAGTTAAAAGAGGAAATGGTTGCATTTAAAAAATATAAAAAAACCAAATTCAGTCCACAAAATGTATGTAAATAAATTTACTCTTTAACATTATCATAACTTTTAAACAGCAAATTAATGAAGGCGCTGACAACATTTTAGTACCTACAACATATATATAGAAATGAAATCTAACGTTGAATTGAAATTAGCTTTTTATAAATCATAAGGATCAAGAATTATAACGCAAGTCTACAACATCGTTTTATAAAATTTCAATTACACTTACGTACATTAAAGTTTTATTTTATTATTAACCGATTTAAATTTTGACCTTATAAAAAGCAATTTCGGCGTAGCAATAAAAAGTATTACAAATAACAATAGGCTATAATTCATTCATCATTGGTTGTCACTTATACTTCATAGGCGTTGAACAGATTCCCCATCGAAGAGGTCACAGAACTAACTTCAACCGATCAAGTCAATATTAATACTTTAGAGCCACAGACAGCAAAGTAATAGGGAATATACGTGTTTTTTTATACTATAGCTAACATCGTTATATATAAAAAATAGCCAAGGCCAAAAACCTAAAATTTGTATAATTTATTTTTTACATATACCGATACGATACTTTAAAAACTTGCCATTTCGCGCATTTGGCGTGACGTCACAGTATATATACACAGAAAAATTACGACTCAACTTGTAGCGACAAAATCGCTAATCACTTTGTTATGGTAATACTTGGACTTCACATTCGGTCTGACCAATGGCGTGCGTTTCAACTACTTTTAATTTTCCACCTATATTTGCACTTTTTAATAATTAAATTCTTAACCAAAAAGAAATTACGTTAAAAATATTGATAAAGGATTAATTCAAAAGCAATAAAGATTATAAAAAAAGTCACCTTTATTTAAATCACACGCATATTCCCTATTAGTAGGTACATATTACATTGTCTTGTCTATTACTGTTCGTCATTAAGTAGGTAGGTAGGTTACACTCGAAACGATCCACTAGGGAAATCTAGTCACCGCCAATATCTTGGAAGACAAAATTAAATACACATATATGATCACATTTGTTAACATTTATATCTAAAATGTGATTCATTATTTAACTACATTTCTCACAGTAGGCTTAAAACTACATTTTTTTAAATTATGCATCAAACTGTAGGGAAAACCATTTCCAACATGAATTATACTAAGGTACAGTTAACAAATATCCATACATAAATCTATAGCCGTAATCTATTATCATACAAATACATTCAAAAACATTGACGTGATGACACTCGTACAGCGGTCATTCTAGTTATTGGATAAAATTACTAACAAAAAAGATTTTATTTTACTATTCATTTTACAGTTTGTTTAACGGAAATATCCTAAAAAAAAACAAAGAAAAAAAATGTTTTATTTACTAAAATGCAAATAATTTTTCAAGTAACGATATCGGTATGTAAGCTCATTAACGTCATTGTAAACTACAGCATCGTTTATTTCAATACTTTGTTTCATAAAAAAAACCAAGTGTTTAATAAATAAATAAGTATGCTGTCATTTGAATCATTCCCTTAAAATTAATATGGCATTTTTTCTAGCAAGCATCTGGCAAATGGCATTGTTTGATCGTATCTCGTAAGAAGTGATCAGTGGTCATCTTTTCACCAGTTTCGTAAATGTAAAAAAAATCTTTGGTAATTATTAAAGTACCATTTTCGCATAATATCACGTATTACACTTTTATTAAATGCAAAACATCTTTTTAAATATAAATAATAACAGGACAAAAGCTGCATAACTGCAAACATAATAAAATCAAAAGTGTAAAACGTGAAGAGGTCTTAAGATTATGATTTGGTATATATACTAATATAAAAATTAAAATTATATAGACAATAACACTAACTTAACAGTATAAGCGATTTAATTACCTTTTAATGGTACATACGTTTAAATGGAATAAATTTAGGAACTTGTTAAAATAATATGCTCAGGCCAAATTCAGTAATAACTGCTCAAATGATATGATTTGGCAGTAGGCTATCTACACACGTTGTGTAGTATCTAGCTACCTTTATACTTATTATGTTATCTAATATCTAATCTATACATAATACATATATTATTTATGCACAATCTTATAAGTATTTTATATATTCATAAACATTGAATACTCATAAACCATTAATTTACTATGTAAAATCATAATAATTTTGTAGTATTATTTAGTGTCTATAAAGCACAATAAGAGAGCAGACAACATTTTTGCAACGTGAGTTGAAGTTGTAAATATGTAATATTCTATAATATAACATACACATAGACACAGATAATCTCCTAGAAAATAATTTAATCTTTCCTTTAGTACTATGTAAATTATCTCTTATTTAGGTAAATATAAATAACATATAAAGTAGAAAAATCTTTGAATATTGAAGTAAATAGATAAGAGATGTAGGAAAATACACTTTCAATAAATAATGATTGATGTACCCCAAAGATAAAACCGAATGAGTTAGGATATTTGAAGACTAATTAATTTGAAACAATCTGACACACTGTTTGTTACCTCTTATACTTACTATAATGTATAATTATTATTAGTAGGTATAGTGTGCATGCTGAGCTTTGTGCATACCCATAGGGAAAACCTGGCTACATAATGTTTATATAACATTTTAAATATAAAATTACTTACAATAAATAAGCAACTTGTAACCATTTCACAACACTGCAATAAATATAATTACACAATTGAAACTACATATACTATTCAAAATATTCAAAGTTTTGGATGGAATAGTGAATAGCCCAAATGTCAACTTCGATGTACTATGTTACAAATTCCAAAGTAAAAATATACACTAAGAAAAGCATTTATTATATTGTGTGATAGAATACCTTACACACTCTGCCTTATATCTTTAGTATTAAAAACGTCACAATAATGAATCTCACAAATAATGAAATAAATAGTGGATCGTAAGTCCAAAATGTACTAATAAATTGTAAAAATATTATGGAATAAGCTTTGGTTTTATTACAAATAAATAGAATTTTCCTTTGGATTTTTAGTTTTGGCATCTCATCAATATATGTATAATATTATCGCTTATATACAAGCCGTACGTAATAATCTAAAAATTTGACTACATACATAGAAATTGTTATCAAGGTTTACCTGGGAAGATCCAAAAAGAAGAAGTGTCAATTCTTTTTTCTGAATCTTGCGAAAATTTGACCTCAGTTGTTCCCTCTGGTCTTCTCCCCGGTTGCGGGGCTGCCGCAGAGGATGCCGCAGGAGTTGTGCCTGTTCTTCCTGCCGCCGTCCATGTTGCCCTCCGCGCCCGCCGCCACCGACGTGAGCGCCACGGTCTTGTCGAAGTCGATGGTGGTGTAGCCGATGCTGGCCGGCGGCGGCCCGCGCTCGACGCTCGCCTGCGACGCCAGGCGCCCGCGCGGCTGCGACGAACACGACGCCGTGCTCTCCTGCTTCGAACTGTTATACGACTGACTCTCCGGAGAGGCTAACTCTCGTGCCACTTTGATCGTCTCTTTATTGGAATCTATATCTAAAACCGCGTAATTCACTTCCATGTCTTCTATCGGTGACATGGACACTACGGTGTCGGATTCGGAAAACTTTTGGTTACTCTTTTGAGCGTCGGAAGTGTTGAAAAATTGTTTATTTATAATACCACTATCTGTTTTGTCACCGAGCATTAAATTAGCGTAGGAATTTACTTCTGGTTTCATGCCGATTGGGAAATTGTAATATTCCACCTGTTTTGGTGTGATTGGTGTATTTGGAATTGTGTCATTTTTATTAGCGTCAAATACGCCAGCGTCATTAGTAGCTATATTTACATATAATCTAGAAGCTTGTTGTTGTTCTTGTTGTTCTATACTAAGCTGAGCGTAATGTTCGCTCGAGTTGCTCACTGTGGGAGACAGATGAGTGTTAGCCGAAATACTTGCTGTATTTTCGTTTACATATCTATTTTCCAGAAAACGTGTTTCGTCCTCAATATCCTTTAAAGTATTTAATACAGTCTCTTGCCGCAAAGTGTTACGAAGCATTGCTAAATCTCTATTAAAATCATTGGTGTACACATGTCGAATATCCATAGTTGGTTCTGCTTGGTTATTGTTATGTTCACGTTTAAAATCGCGTACTTGATAAACATTAGTGACGTGGTTACTGCTGGCCTGAGAGCGAGGATACAAGGGCATTACTTCAAGTATATCTGCACTAGATGGCGAGCGGGGTGATTGTGGCAACATCGGCGGTACTCCCGGTGTGATCATATTTGAAAGATTATTATTTTCTGGCTGGCCGTTGTCTAAAGACGAACGATGTACGACGCTTGCTTGTAATGTTTGACGGCCTTGAGGTGATGGAGTCATCCTAGAAACCGGGTATGGCACTGTGTCATGAACAACATTCCGTAATTGTATTTGTTGTTGAAGAGTTTGAAATAGTATTGTTGCCCTTCGACATCTAAATGCATATATACCTTCACCAGTTTCACATCTTCTACCTGAAAATCAAGTTAATTTTTAATCAATATATTTACTTTATCAAAAGTTATTCTATAATATAAAAATGAATCGCTGAATGTGTTGGTAAGCGCAAATCTAGAGCAGCTGAACCGATTTCGCTAATTCTTTTTTTAGAATATTCCTTGAAGTACGAGGATGGTTCTTACGGAGAGAAAAATTTAAAAAATTGCCTGAAATAGTCTAAAAACAACACTTTTTTATACTCCCATACAAAAGATTCGTAATAATACTTAAAAGTCAATTTGAACTTTAATACCATAACATAAAGTTTAAGTGTTAGTGGAGAGGTTCCGTGAAGGCAAAACATGGATGGCAATTGAGTGACGTTAGAATCGTATCAATATTAATGTCAATAATTGTCAATATTATTAACAAAAAAAAAAATTATATGGCTAATGCTGGCTAATAACTATTTATATCTATTTAAAACGTTCCTTGCGACGAACCCAAGCGAAGCTAGGGTGAGCCGCTAGTATGTTATAAATTATAATACAAGTAGTAAGGTAATACAAATAATAAGTATAATTATATAATTGAAGTAATAGTCTATAAGAAAAATTGTAACTCAATCTTTGACGATTATGTGTTTGAATTATAATTTATATTCGTAGTAAACAAAAAATGTTTTTTTGTGCACAAGTCAGCACCAGCGTCTATGAAGTATAATTAATAATTTCGGAAATATATTTAACAAATTCGGACAAATATAATTAACAATTTCTACCCAATAAGACGACGATAGGAATCAATTGAGATCGTCATAAATTTCGTTGTTCTTTTAGAGAAGAAACACAAATGCATAAACAAGTTGGATTTTTCATAAAATTAAATAAAAACAACAATGAGAAAATTATTAGTGTAACGGAAAGAATATATGCCCGATTTCACCAACAACCCATAAGCTACCATCTACGTATGGGATCCCTAGCTTAAAAGTCCCCTAAACTAGCCCCTAAATTAAATTACGTTTTACGATCGTCTTTAAGCCCATATTTCGAGCACCTAAATTTAGGGGGCCTTTTAATATTTAGGTTACCCCTAACTGTCGGTGAAACAGAAACTGTCCCCTAAAACAGCCCCTTAACCATGCTTAGGGGATCCCTCCCCCCCCAACGTGCGTTCACCTTGTCGTAAAAAAAAAAAAAAAAAAAAAAAAAAAAAAAAAAAAAAAAAAAAAAAAAAGGGGATCCCTTATACTTAGGTGACGTTGGTTAAATCGGCCAATAGAGTGCTAGAAAATGCCAAAATATCCAAAACGCTAAACAATAATAATAGTTTAAGCTATATCTAGGATTAGATGTATCTGACATACAAATTTTTATTATATATTATAAAAGATTGAACACATTAATAATAATTAATTAAAGGCAGTGGTAGCCCAGTGGTAACGCGCTCGCTTGGGAAACCGAGTGAAGCGGGTTCAAATCCCGGATCTCCTCCTCCTCTGATACTATCATGTGCGAATCATTTCTAACATGATTACCACTTGTCTTATGATGAAGGAAAACATCGTGAGGAAACCTGCATGTCTGAGAAAACCTAGCAAGTTTTCAAAAAGACAAGTGTAGTTCGCCAACCCGCACTTGGCCAGCGTGATGGATTATGGCCTGATCCCCCTCGGATTGAAGGAAGGCCTGTGCCCAGCAGTGGGACGTTAAAAGGGCTGAATACAGTATACAATTAAAGAAGGGATTAGTAGACATGTACCTAATCAGATATTGTGGAAGTCAGTGTGCTTTGATTTGCATGGGCTGGCACCGACTTTGAAAATATTTGATTAGGTATCTATAGTAAATGATAACTTCCAATCAGTTATTTTTTACTTTTTAGTGTTTTTTTTGAAGTCTGTTTTTAATTTTTGTAAAAAGTATTTATTTTCCCCTTTTAGTGTAGACATAGTAGTAAAAAAGTAAGAAGAAAGTATTTTAATAAAATATAACTTAAGCAGTTCAAGTTAGTTTGATGCCAATTTTTTATGAAGACTGACAAACTAAAATTTGCTTTTATAAATAAAACTAAAAAATCTGGCTCTGAAATACAATTGTAACCTATTGGACTTGTCAATTCAAACAAAATAAACCCAAACTCAAAGTATCTACTATTAGCCGTTGAAGAGTTCTACTTATCCACCTTACCATCAGATCAGGTCAACAATACTGAACTACTGCACTATCAACGGAAATATAAACACTTGCAAAGTTTCAAGTCAATATGACAATATGAAGTAGGTTAAATTCATCATTAGCTATATTTTTTTTAATTTAAATGCTACTAAATTGGAAGTATACACTTTCAAACCAAACAAAAATTGACCAAATTGGTTAATAAATGATGAAGTTCTGAGGTAATAAATATAAAAAAGAATACAGATGAATTGAGAGCCTCCTCCTTTTTGAAATCGGTCTAAAATACAAAAATGAAGGTGGCATTCCATACATATAACTGAGGGGTGTTTTTTTTTTAAGTCTACAATAAACATGAATATCTTTGTATAGATCTTAAAAATTTAGATAGATATCTCTCATTGACTTTTTTATGTAAACCAAGAGTTACAAAATTATATGCTTCTTAAACAGCTACTTAAACATTGTGTTTCACTTTAAAATTATTAATATTAATGTTTTAATTTCGTCTCAGGATGAATAACTATTTTTTATCTAATATATTTAAACGAGCAATACTTGTATATATATAATCTGAATTTCGGAAACGGCTCCAACGATTTTCATGAAATTTAGTATACAGGTTTCGGGGGCGTGAAATCGATCTAGATTAGTTTTATGTCTGGGAAAACACATGTTTTCGATGTTTCATGCGGTTTTGTTTCGCATTATTCCACGCAAAATATGTTCGCTAATTCGCACGCTAGGACATGCGCGTCGTGGTCAAGCGGCCAAGGCGCAAGTTTGAAAACCACAGGTGTCTGGGTTCATATCCCGGTCGGATACAAAGTTTTTACTTTTGTTTTTTTTTGTATTTATTCAAATTTTTAGTTTATTTTTTTTAAATGTTTTCATACCCAAAACTCCGAGCGAAGCTCGGTAGCTCAGGTACTTTATTTAATAAAACAACTACCAACAGGCAATAAAATTGGTTAGGTAATATTTAAAAAAAAATCAATTCTAAGCATCTAAATTTCTTTTTCATTTCCTTAACATATTCTTAAATGTTTAGACTTTCATCTTCATTCCCCAAATCAAGAAATATATAGCAATAGAATATAGTAAATATATAATCAGACTTCCATTAGCAAGTATAAAATTTATTAGCACATAATATTTAATAAAGGTCCTTAACCTTAGACATCAAAAATCTATAATAATATTAAAATTATAAATGTACTATAGAGACATCAGACATTAACAAAACAATCATCAAAAAATTAATCATCAACATTCATACTACGAACAACAAGCCAATAAGACAAAGAAGATAGTTAAGATAACTAAAACATTAGAAGAAAATAGTGCATAGTAATAAGTGAATATCTTGAGTATTAAGTTTTAGAAAAGGAAGAGAGATTTCATTATATCACATTAGGCAATTCAGTAATATCAGGGAATCATTAATAGAGTTAAAGCAAATAGAAAAGAAAAAATGGGTTTGGTATATGAAAAAATATATTATAAGTCACATAAAAAACAATTATGTACAGAAAAGAAAGATCATTCCTACACTATAAATGAATGTTAAGAAACAAAGTTCACATTTACCTGATTCAAAACTAAATATTTCTCCTTCAAAACCATATCGTCTCAAAGAATGAAGTGGCCATACAGTAGAATCTCTTCCCTCTCTATATAGTATTATATCTGACTCTGTAATTTCTAACTGCCCCGTACACAAGTCAGAGCCATTCTCGTCAATATTAACAACTCGAAATACGTTTGGATGTAAATCAGATATTTCCTTCTTGCTTTGTAAACATCCCATTTTGAATATATCGAATATGTTCAATCATATAATATGATAGATGGCTATCTGTAATAAAACATTTACGAAATACTACGATATTAATGCAATTATTATTTTTTTAATATGTAAAATAAATTTGTATAAGTTTCTTACATGAAGGTTAAATATGATGAAGTGTAACTTATTACTAAATAACAAATTTTGTATTTATTTACATTATTCTTAATTTATATCATTTCACAAATGATTACTTCATAGTTCATTACTTGTAAACAAAAATTATATCAAAACTATCATTTCGTCAACTGACATTTGAGCTTCGATTTGATCATTGATGTCAAAGCTGATCTGTGACGTTAATCTGTGATCACAGACTACGAAATAGTAGGTGAGAATGGGGAAGAATTTTGCCATTTTCTCCCGCCAGATGTCACGATCACTATGACCTTCATTATTCAGTTCTAAAGCTCTATATCGTAGATAGGATTATTTTCATTTTATTTAAAATTTATTTCAATTTGTGCAGAGCAAGTGTGTAGGATGCAAAGAAAATGGATAGATTTGTTCCCAAAAGACAAAAACTGAAGAAATTATGGGCTGAAGAAATAAGACGATCAAATTGGCAAAATCATCTTTTATTTAAGGCTAGTTGTAAGTGGACACTAGTTTATAGAAAGTGATAAAACTGTGAAATCGTCTACAAGTTAAAAAAAATAGTTTAATATAAAATGTTATTAAAAGGTGGCATTTATTACATTGTACTCTTTATTTTATAATGTTTAAAAAGTGTATTTAGATACATAATATACTACTAAATTATAATTTACGTCTTATTAATAGTTCACAGCTCTCAATAATAAGCCGAGCTAATTTAATATTTTGGAGGAGATCTTCCATATCAGAAGATTTTTTTACTATTTGAGAAATTAATTTTTGTAGCACCAGTACTGTGGTTTGTAGTGATGGATGCGCTGGAATCGACGTGTCCAAAGTCTGAAATTAAATATAATGGAATTAAATATAATGCCATTATGCATCAAATTCAGTAAATATAATATTATGCTTTCTTTTTTTACTTTAACATCTGTGCCTAATTATATTTATTTTTTAAGTTTTATAGTAAAATACAAGATCTAATATAAGTCATAAGATATCAACTTTGTTCCCGTGTTAGTCGTAGCTGATAGCAGTAATACGTTCCACATTCAAGTTTTTGTAATTTCCACTACAAGCAAGTGTAAAAATACCCTCTTGTAAATTCAGGATATGTTCGTTTCTTGGATAAAAGGTAGATGTTGTTTATGTGAAAAACTGCGTTGTTTATATAAAAAAAAATAGCATTTTATTTTATAAATACTTATTATTCAAATATGTAAATTATAGCAAAATTCATTTTGCATTCAATAAAATAAATTTCTAGCCATTTTTAACCCTGAAAAAGAACTCATAATAAGTAAACAGAGCATACTATGAATATTATTAACTTAGAGTATTTTTTAAAAACAAAATATATCTTATTCGGATACACTCACTTCATTTACTTCTAAACTTAATTTTATACAAATATTAGTAACAAATCGATAAATATAACGCCATCTATTAGATATTTATTGGATATATTTTTATTCCAGATGATATAGTCTCATTATAACTATATGTTGTACAAATGATCCTAGTGAATTCAATTTGTAATTAGTTTGGGTTAAGTATTTCAAATAAAGTTAAAAATTCAATTAAATAGGCCCAAATTATATACCCCCCTTTTTTATAAATATAAATGTTAAAACAAACATACTTTAGAATTTTAGGAATATCTCACCGTGTTCTGCAGTCTCTTATAAAGTTGTGGTGGCATAGATACAATCCATTCTGATTGATTTGGCGAATTCTCCAGACTTCGTTTTAGCCTCTGTATAGTTATTGCTATTATCGGCGACAACACTAGCTCCGGCTCCGTGATCACACCCAGTATACTCTCAGCCAATTCGTCGTAACCCATGTGATACAAACCAACTACCTGCAATTATATATTTGATAAAATTAAAAAAAAAGTCAAATTTATCTTGCAAGATTTGATGACATACAGACACCGGGACTAACTTCGCACTATAGCCATAAACCACTAACTTCATACTGCAGTCTAAATCTATCGCATCGTTAAAAAATCACTCCCATCATTCATTTTTGTTATCGCGCTAAAAGAAGTATAACTTCAAAAAGAAGCAAATGTAAAATGATATAAACATATTGTATAACTATTTATTCAATTGTCTATTATTTTGAAATAAGAACTTACATGTTGCCTTCTGACGAAGTTGTTATCAATGCCCCATAATTCCGCAAGATTGCAAATATTTTCAATCCAATGTAGACACTCTTCGTTGTTGTATGATTTATTTCTTTGATCATTGTCTACAAATGTTATGGTCTCAATGGCAGTGCGTATGAGTTTAGTCAAATATTTCATTCTTGGACCCATTAGCTTTTCAGAACTTTTCATGCTGATATCTCGCTGAGCAACATCGCCGGTTAAAGCTTCTAATATGTATTGATAGTCGATATCGTAAAGAGTGTCAAGTGGTTTTGAAAATTTCAACTTAAAATGACACTGATAATAAATAGTACATGAAATTTGATAGTTCAAATTTAAAATATCATGATTGACATTTTTTGTATCTTGAGCAACTTCTACTAAAGAAGGCATGCTCTCATCCCATATTTTTTCAAATTGTATATGTTGCTTTTCATGTTCAAAAGGCGTTGTTGCACAAGAATAAAATTTGTCTAAATATTCATTTGAAATCTTCAGAAAGTTTAATAGGCTTTCACTATTAAGTCCAATATCTTGCAAGCATAAGTGATCCTTAGGCAACTTGCCAACTTTATTAACTAACCGACAACTAGACTCAAATACGTGTTTTATATAAGTAGACCAAATAATAGAAAATAATCCCAATTGCAAATGGGAGTCTGTAATATTTTGCAAGCAATGTATAACAGCAGCTAGTTTATCATTTTTGTTCATAAATTTCTGCCAGTCCATGGCATATTCCCAGCACATATTTGCTATTATATAATTTGCTTTAGTACTTAATGGAAATTGTCTTCTAAGAAGAGATAACCACTTAAATATTTGTGGATTAGTATCAACGTGATAGCGATTATTTTCCATAAGGAAAAACTCGGGCTTATCATCATCTTCTACTGAAGATGATTGTATGTTTATAGCATCAAAAGTTTCCATTAATTCATTTGCTACTATAGCTTCTGGAGGAATTCCCATTCCACAGAGCCATTTTGCAATTAGCTCTGTTACTGAACCTTTCCCTCTAGTGTATATGTATTTTAAATTAACATTTATATCCTCAAATTGCAATTTTGGCATTGATTCCCCAATAAAATTGGCTTTAAACATTAAAATTATACTCAATATAGATATGTCTTCTAACTTGCCAATCAAAATACCCCATTTCGCGTTCTCCTTAGTGACAGATTCCCAGGCACCTTCTTTTTCAGAAACACCACTTTCAAAAATATTTGCAACTGCCTTACAAGCCATGGCTACTATCATTGTTCTTAGAGGACAGGGTAAATCTACCAACATGGTACGTATATATTCCCACCATGGCGACAATTCATTGTATATAATTTTAGTTGCATTTTCGGACACTCTAATGACGTAATAAAGTATTGCAATTATTTTCTCTATCAAATCGATATTTATTTGATTTAGAGGCATATTCGTTAAATATATTATAACAAGTTTTACGATTTCTTTGGGTTCAATTTTACTGACTTCGACATCTTTACTCAACAGAGCAAAATCATTCAATTTTAATATTGACTTGAAAATGTCAGAAGATAAATTGAGCATTTTTTCTGTCGGTATATCTGGTTTCAAAGTGATATATTCTTTTCTTTCGTCTAACACAAAGCACGAAACAAAATCTCTGTAATTGTTAATTCGATTATCCGCGAATGTAACTTTTGTATGTTGTTGTTCTCTAAAGTTGCTTTCTTGAGCCAAAATTAATAATCGTTCTAATATACAATTATCATCTTCCAAAAGTTGGAAATCGTGGTCTGAATCATCATCTATCATTTTTTCTTGTAATTGAAATGTTTCATACACCTTTGCGACCAAACTTTGCATATCGTCAACATTTTCGTTACACATACGTCGATAAAAGAGAGTAATTAGCGCTAAGTTTCCAAAATAGTTTTTAATTTTCTCACTGTGTGCGTTTAAGTCTTCGCCAGTCAAACTGTCCCAAAACAATTCTAAACACGCAATTAATATTTCGGTAGATTTTTCGCAGGATTTAATTAATAATTCCAAACAATGTTTTTTAATTTCTAGTGTTTTTAATTTTTCTGCACTTTGAAAAATTTCGACTTTAACATCTTCCGAAAAATTAGATGTCTTTTTTATGATATCACGAATGCTTCTCAACACATGCAGATCTTTAGATCTATCGAGATGCTCACCTCCCAAAGAATAATAAAATGGAATGTTAAACTTTTTTAATTTGCCATCCGGGTCAATAAGTACACATTGAAACTCTGGTAAATTTAACTTCTTATGGGTATAACTTCTTTCTGCACCAACAAGCCCACAAGTGTTGTATAAAAGTTTTCCATTTCTTGTTGCAGTAAAAACTGCAACACGACTACCTCTTTGCATCAATCTTATATCGATTAAGCCCTTTTTAGGATTATAAATGATAAGAAATATTGCCCTTCTGATTTCCTTAATTACGGAAAGTTGAGGTTTTTTATTTTCAGCATCAAAAATCTGAAAATATAAAATACAATTAAATAAAAACTTTAATAAAATAAAAACCGACTTCCAGGCACTAAAATGTAAAAAATAACTGAATGGGGGTTTTGATTTAGAATCTATACCTTTTGGTATAATCAGATATTTTCAAAGTCGGTGCCAGCCGACGCACCGACTTCGAAAATATCTGATTAGGTATCTATTCTAAATGAAAACCCCCGTTTAGTATTTTTTTTACATTTTAGTGCCTGGAAGTCGGTTCTTTTTTTAAGTTTTTATTTTTCCATTTTTAGTGTAGATGTAATAAGCAGGTAATTTGTAAGAAGGAAAGTTTTTTAGTAACATATTCGATTAAGCAATTTATTTTAAAAAATAATTTATTGTTGATTTTTTTAAAACCGCTCGACCGATTTCGATTAAATGTAAATGGGACCACTTGGAAAGTATACCCTTTGAAACAAAAAAAAAATTCCAAATCGGTTCAGGTGTCTTCGAGTAATCGGTGAACATACATTAAAAAAGGATTCTGAGGAATTGAGAACTTCCTCCTTTTTGGAAGTCGCTTAATTAAATGCGAAATTGATCTAGTGCATGTAATTTTTCTTAGGAGCTACATTGAAACAAATAAAAAGAAATAAAATTGATTCTGTCTCACTTTCGTCAATACACTACCAAATACAAATAGCAAATTAAACATGTAATAGCTAAATATATGTACTTGAACAAAGGCACACTGTGCATCTCTGCAGCCCTTAAGCAATCGTATGATATAGCCTTTAGTAATATCTAGAACTGCTACTCTTCCTAAATTATCTGTAAAAGCAGCAAGCCGACGATCTGGTGATATCGCAACAGTAGTGCCATGTCTTTGCACATCGAATATTCCATTGCGCATAGATAATTGTTCAGCTCTTATTAAGGGCTCCGTGTTTAATGCAGCATTTTCAGTGGATCCTCCCAACCAACCACTACAATAAGTGAAAGATGTTTGACTTTATTATAATGTTGAAATAAGATTCAGAAAAACAAACTTAAGAGATATATATATATATATATATATATATATATATATATATATATATATATATATATATATATATATAAATCTATATAATCATCTTTTATTATTATAATCTTATATATTTTAAGAAGGATACTAACGGGAGTGCTGATTTAATTTTATTTGCTACTGCTCTAGCCACATCTTGCAATGGTGGTGTTGTGCCACCTTCTAAAGCATAATGAAATCCCATGAAAGGTGCTATCCCTGATGTAAGAATTAAAGTATTTACTGGAGGAATAGATCTATACCTGTAATAAATAATGTGTAATAATAACTATACAACAACACATTATAATTACATTTATCATAAATAAGTATTATGTATTCAGCCCTTTTTTTAACATATTACTACTCTGCATGGGTCTTCCTTTACTACAAGGGAGAAGGGTTATAATTCTCTATGTTGCCCAAGTGTGGCTTGGCAAACTTCACATTTCTTTTGAGAACTTGGTTCTCTCAGGTATGCAGGTTTCCTCACAATGTTTTCCTTCACCGTAAGACAAGTGGTAATCATGTGGGAAATGATTTGCACATCAAAATATCAAAGGTGCGAGACCCTTGATTTGAACCGGCTTCACTCGGTTTATTACACAAGCACATTACCACTTGGCTACCACTGTCTTCAAAAAGTATTATGTATAATTTTAATTAAGAACCATGTATCATATCCTCCATAAGTTGATGCAGCAAGGAAATGATCAAAAGAGTTTTTTAAATCTAAACCCACAACAGCAGCATCATTTATTTGCTCTTGATCTAAAAAAATCCATTTTCTTATTTGAATGCTTCTACTGTCTATTGCATATTCATGTTGGATGCCTGCCTGTACTGTAAATAGAATAAGACATTATTATACACCAATAAAGAGACCATATTTTTTTGATTATTTTGTTGCCCCTTACCTTTAGCTAGTTGCGCTTTGGCATTTCTAAGAGTTTGAAATAAACTAGATCCAGAAAGTACACATATGCCATTTTGAAATAATATGTGAATATCATCAGGCAATGTTCCATATGTACCTGTATGGCATGATATTTTTAAAACAGGCTTTTCTTCTAATTTTTCAAGTAACAAAAGATGACCTGTATTTGTGTAAAATCCAATGCTTCCATTTATAAAACCAACAACAATGCAAAACCAATCTGGGCCATTCTATAAATAAATAATAAAAATTGAAACTTAAGAGAATTAATCCCGAAATAGGTAATTAGTTTTAAGTTTATTTAATTTACCTGAGAAGATTGTTGAGTAGGACATATAGATAATGCTAGGACATATGTTGCCTCTGTTGGAAGTGTACCACTCCATGATATTAAATAAGTATTACTATCAATAGAAGAGATCCACTGTGCAGTAAGAAAGCAAAGACGCTTTTTGTATGCAACTGCTAAGAAATTACCGCAAGAAGATAATGATACTGTACATTTTGATAACCAAGATGTATCTAAAAATATAGAAGAAAATATTAATTAATAGATTGCTCCTACTTAATAAAATAATGTAAATTGAGAAAAACTAGCCTTCCTTTTCTGGTATGAAGAGTGCTCTTCCTAAAGTCAATATATCACCACAATCTGCTATTTGCTCTACATTGCACATTTCTAAGGCTAAAATAAATTTCCCAAAGTAAAAACGTATAAACAATAGAAAATTAGAAATAAATATGAAGATCAATAATAAATGTCAATTATTGACATGGAATGATGGATGACAAATAAAGATTATTGACATTTATCAAACAATACAGATATGTCTTAAAGTATCTAATATTATACTTTAGAAAAATATTAATTTCAGTACTATTGAAAGAAAGATCATAGATTAAAGGTTAGGTTCTTGAACTAAGCCAAGTTTACGTTGAACGAACCTGGAAGTGAAACATTTGTCATCCATAATTGAAACCGTAGACAGATACAATTTACGCTACGAGTGAAACTGTTAACTGCGCATAAAATATCGCTTACCAATAACAGATTCTCTATAATATAATAATTAATGATTCAATTCAATTATTTTGTTTAGTGGCTTGCAGGAGTGCCAGTTGGGTAATTAATGATAGTCTGTGACTTTATTGTTGACAATTTGAATTGACATTGACATTTGACAATATCAGCTGATTAAGTTAATGTCTCAGACGAAACATAATAATAAAAATTAAAAAGAAAATCATTTGTGCCCAACGGAGGCTGGAAGCCACTAAGCAAAAGAATAGAATAGAAAAAGAAAATCTCAATTCATAAATTATTCATATCTACTATTAAGTTTTAATTGTGTACATCATTAATGTATCAGACTTTAAAAATGATCAAATGTAGAGCATGTCTTAAAACAGAAGAAAATCTTAAAATGTATCCATTAAATGACAAAATCATTGTATACTTTAATTTGCTCACTGAGATAAACGTAAGAAATTCTATATTTCAAGTGATTTTACATAAACCGTGTATGAACTTTAACTAAATCTCAAATTTAATTTACTAGGTAAAACTTAATGATAGTATGCCACAACAAATATGTGAATGCTGTCTTGATATAGTTAATTTGTTTATAGAATTTAGAGCTAAATGTATTTTGTCGAATTCTATTTTATTAGACAACAACATACAGGTAGGTTTAAGATTATAGATTGATTCTTCTATATACTTAACAGAGTATTCTAAGTGTTTTTGTGACGATTTTAGAATATTAAAGAGGAGAACAGAGAAAGCAAAACTGATAATGACAGTATTAAACAAGAAAAAAGTGAACTTCATAACAGTGATGGTGTTCATAGTGATGTTGATGATAACTTCATATATGAGTTGGTGTTAAATGAAAAACAATTTGAAGGTAAATATTAAAAATGATAAATCGTCTTGTTTTTGTCTTAATAATTTAATATCTCTGTATAGAATTTTTAATTCTATTGAATAAAAATATAAAATATTTTATTATAGTCTTAACATAAAAGATGACTGTGTACTGTCTTTTGTTTAAATAGTTTTAATATATGTATTACAGGAGCAAGTAATGATAAATTGGAAGGTAAATGCAAAAAAAAATTGGTGAAAAGCTTTTCTTGTGGTAATAAAATGTTAATTTTATATGAATGAATGTTGCTCTCTCTTAAGTTTTGCTTTTTGAAGTTGATAATTTTAAATTAATCATCATGCAATTATAACTTAAATTTTGATTATTAGACCAATCGGAATCCGATTATTTTTAAGAAAAAAATATATACTGAAAACCTTAAGGTTTATGATTTTAAAATGTTAGCAGGTATATAAGGAATAGAAATTCGTAAAATACCCTCTCTGCCCAGCTACCCCTGAGAAATGGGGAGATGCAAAGCATTGAAAAATAGTTTTTTTTCAATTTTCGGCTTACTGTGATGTTCTATCGAAAAATGTTTTCAATAAAAGTTATAGGTCTAATAAAAATCTACAACTTTTATAAAGAACACTTTTTACAATAACTTCAAGATTTTCGAGATATTTGCAAAAAACTCTGTTTTAACTTTATCTTGGTTTTTAATTTCTAGAATAATCTTGATTTTGACATTGAATTTGAAATGTTTTTAGCCCTTACTGAGAAAAGCATGTTTTTGAAAAAGTAAAGTTCAAGATGAAAAAAATGAGCTCTATCTGAAAATTGAACGATTTTTTTTTAAATTAAAAACGCCCACTTGAAGTTGGGGGTGATTTTCAGCCTCTGGAGACTATAAAACATACTTTTCTCGGAAATGGCTAAACATTTCAATTTCTTTTTTTTATATGTATTTCGAAGATTACATTCCTATAGTTTCGTAAAAATCAAAAGATTATTCTAGAAATTAAACTGAGTTTTTTTGCAAATATCTCAAAAAATTTAAGATTATAGTAAAAAGTGCTTTTTATAAAAGTTGTAGATTTTTACTAGACCTACAACTTTTCTAGAAAACATTTTTCGATATAACGTCATAGTAAGCCGGAAATTGAAATAAAAACTATTTTTCAACGCTTTTCGTCCCCCCATTTCTCGGGGGTAGCTGGGCAGAGTGGGTTTTACGAATTTCTATTCCTTACCTTCCTTCTATTATGTACCTGCTAACATTTTAAAATCATAAAACTTTAGGTTTTCAATATTTTGTTCTCAAACCGGATTCCAATTGGACTATATATTCTTTAATAATAATTTAAATAATACAAATTATGAGTAATGGAACATATTTATGTTCCAATTATTACTTTTTCAGCATTCAAATTAAATTAATTAAAATTAAATTATTTATTTTTTTATTGCATTTATTTGCTAATTGACTTTTGAATATAAATTTTTACAGGCCTCTGTATTAAGGAATTCAAAGAAAGAAATTCATTAGTAGAACACTTAGATATTCATAAAATTAATGGTGACAATATTTGTGACTTGTGTATGCAAAATTTCTCTGACTGGCAGGAATTATTTTCACATAGATTAATACATTTGTCCAATAAAAATGACAAAGTTTGTCATATATGTTTTACAAAGTTTGTATCTCCTGCATTTTTAGAATATCATTATAAAAAGCAACATTTGAATAAGGAGGTAAGGATGTATAATAACTTAATCTATTAATTTTTAAAATAAAGGAAATAATTTTAATTATTAAATATACAGTAGCATATATAATAATTATTTTCAATGCTTACAGAATCCCATTCTACGCTGCTGTTCGTGTAAACAAAGTTACACTACTCCTCAGGAATTACAAGAGCATAAAGCAAGATGTCATGGAGAAGAATCATTAATCTGCAATTGCTGTTCAAAAATGTATTATAAGCGTTTACTTAAGAGCCCCATGCACATGACGGCGATGCGTCGCCTGCTTGTTCTCTTCTGCTCAGATAAACTTAAAACATTTCATTACATAAACCAGCTGATACACGTATCATGAACGCACGTCGTCTCCGCATATTCTACGTTGCACATTGCTTGCGTATCGTATCGATACAAATGTGCATCGCGTTCGTTGCGCATCGTCGGCGCGTTAAAAAGTCGTCGTGTGCACTACCTCATAAACCTGACTTAAACAATAAACAGTCGTTGTATATATGTAGACTAATTATCTCTCACCTTTATTATAGATTTACAAACGAAAAACAACTTAAGCAGCATGTAACTAAACATACAGAGAGAAAGACTGTGGAAGATGTTATTGAAAACTCCAGCAAAAATATTGGTAATTTAGAAGTAAGTTCTAACAACTAGTTAAAATTGCTGTTAATTTGTTATCTAATAACGTCTTCTCCTTCTCCATGTTACCTTATTCCATTTCCCTCTATCTCAATCCGGATTCCGGAGTCCTGTTAAGGCCTACACACAACCGTCTTCTCAGCACACACACCTTTCACAAATTCACATACATATACATACTCTTTCATAAAGTCCATCCAGACTTGCCTCGGTCTACCACTACTTCTATGTCCACAAATCTTGATACCTAATATCCTCTTACATACATGTATGATGTATGACTTTCTTCCCTCCTCATGATATGCCCAACGCTAGCATTACATATTATTTATGTACAGTTTTTTGTGAGAATTTGCTTGAAATTAAACATTTTGCTTAAATTATTACAATAATAATAAGCCTATTTTACAATTTAGGTATAAGCCGAAACAAGGAGGATTTACTAGTAACCATTAAAAAGTCCCACTAATAACCTCGAGTTTTTATAAAATTTCAAATAATAATTATAAATAAGAAAAAAATCTCTTCCAAAAATTGATCACATAGATTATCAGTTTAACCAACGTTTGAACACGTCCATTTTAACACCCTACTGCTGGGCACGGGCCTTCCTTCAAGGCAAGGGGAATCAGACACTATCATCAGGCAGATTAGGCATAGTCCACCACGCTAGCCAAGTACGGGTTGGCGGACTTTACATGTCTGTTAAAAGCTTGCTCACGTTATTTTCCTTTACCGTAGGGCAATTGGTAATCATGTTGCAAATGTTTCGCACATAAGAATTAAAAAGAGTTGCGAGATCCGAGATTTGAACCCACTTTACTCGGTTTTCCAAGCGAGCGCGTTACCATTGGGCTACCACTGCCTTCTAAATAAAATAAAATAAAAGTGTGATAAAAATGAATTTAAAGAATTCTCCTCTGTTTTCGTCAGGTGGGCTTGGGATTTGGATTTCACGAATTGGATATCAGTGGTTTGGTGAAAAATGAAACAGTTTTTCCGTCACTACAAATGAAAAGTAATAACAGCTTCAATCTCCTCCCACACTTTGGCCTATTTTATCACCCCTGCCCTTTCCTACTCTAGTTATTAGTATTTTTTGCAAATTATTTATTTACTATCGTTTATCGCTGTTTGATGTTTCATGTTAATATCATTTTATGATCATACAATTTATTGACGAAACATACTCCTGCACATTTTATATTGTTTAGTAATTTTATATAAATTATATTTATCTATTTTCAGACAAACCATAAAGTATCTAATGAACAGAAGGAAAAAGACTTAAATGCCAAAAAAAGTAAAAATATAAAAAAAATGGAAACCAGATTACTTTGCGGTAACAATTTCTTCTTTTTGTTTCGTTTGTTTCATTTGTTCGTTTCTTCTGTTTCGATACAAAGGCGTAATAAGCGCGCATCTACAGCGCATTCATTGCGCGTAGAGCGAGCAACGCCAGTGCGTCATCAATAATTAATTTGTCGTGTGCATAGGATATTTATAACTACGAGTAAATACATACTTAAATCAAAATAAGCTACAAAGTTATTGTTTCATCTATATAGGTGTAATTATTTCTTAATAATAATTTATACAAATTAGTCGATAGTTTAGTACTGTTTAGGCATAATTATCTCTTCCTCCTCTTTATAGCGGTCAAATATATATATAGGTATATTAATGTTTGAGACAATAAAACCAGATAACAGTCCATAGTTTGGGCGGGTTCGTAATGAATAAGAATATGTATATAAGTGCACATTACATTTAAAATGTGCAACAATTTCATGGTTTGAAGCGAGATGTTCACCTACCATGTTTGTACTTTCTTTTCTGAGTTCCCAAAATTTCGGCACTGCTGCAAGCGCCATTCATGGTCATGTCATGTTTCTAATAATAATAGTAATATCCGTAACCGTAAAAACTTAAAGACTTATATAGCAACGATTCAGTATCGCCTATCGACAAAAAGTTGAAAGGTAATGATCTGTAATCTTTTAGTTTAGTAGGTATGGGCTTAACTGCAGCGCGAAGCACACGATGGCAAGCACAGTTATAGTTAGCATAATCACAGTTTAATACCTTAACCCTATTTAAAACCCCAATAGGATCTCATTAAAGTCGATAAAAGCCACATAGAAACCAATAAATATTTATTGGTTTCTATGTGGCTTTTGTCGCTTTTGATGAGATCCTATTGGAATTTTTCAATAGGCTTTTAAGCGCACATCACATTTACGTATTTTTTCAGGGCTTTGTGAAAATATATATGAAAGTTTAGATTCTTTATTGGAACACTTGGATAGTCATAAGAAAAACAGTGATAACACGTGCCGCGTGTGTGCGCAGACATTCACAAACTGGACACAGTTGTTTTCGCACAGATTACAACATTTACCTACGAAACAAAAAGCATGCCATATTTGCTTCAAAGGATTCCGATCACATGTATATTTGGAACACCATTACAATAAAATTCATTGCAACAATGAAGTGAGGCGTTTTATGTCATAGTATAGTATAATAATTTTTACTTATTGTGCTACTTGTTTAATATTTGATAGTTTTTTGATCTTGTATAATGATATGTTGTTAATATTTCAATAAAATATTTATGTATTTATAGAAAGCGATGGTTAACTGTTTGACCTGCAATAAAAGCTACAACACACCCATTAAATTACGAAAACATGTATGGAGAAGTCATTCTAATAAAACCTTTATATGTGACTTTTGTTCAAGAACGTGAGTTATATGACCTACTAGCGAATTTGATTATTGTGTACTATTTCACTAGATAAAATATTAAAATAAATATAATTAAGACACAATTTTAAAGCTTATATTAAAAAGTAATAAAGATATTTTGAAAAGTGGTTGTTTTAAAGGTTTTTAAATTTCAGATATTGTCAAAAAGATCAACTGAGAAAGCATATAAAGGGACACATGGGCCGCGAGTCTCTTGAGTGTGACCAATGCGATTACTCTACTAAATATATTACAAATCTAAAGGTGCGTAACTGATGGTATCTGTCTATAAAGCATGGGGAGTAAATACTTGAATACGTTCGAGAAGTTTTCTCGGATTTGTCTGTCAGGACGGAAATTAAATAAATGAAATAGTGTTATTTTATTATTAAATCAATAAAGTTAATTAAATAAACGTTTTTTAGTACGTATAATATGTAACAGGGTTTTAGGATTTGAGTTAACACACAGTAAATAGGACGAATGAATGTACCTAAAATAGTTTTGCAAAAGTCTTAATTGTTGTTAAATTTATTGTAGTTTAGTGTTGAATTTGATGTTTTTAGGAACACAAAATAAGGAAGCACACGCCTAAAAGAGTCTATTGCAAAGTGTGTTCTAGAGTATTTAGTGACCAACTCAAGCTCGACGCCCATAAGTGTAACGTACGATCGTTAATTTGCTCCACATGCGGAAAAACGTTTAAAGGAAACAAACAGGTACACAAAACGTTGGCTCACAATTACAAGGTTCTATGTTACTATCTTAGTACTTATTTAGTTATTAATGCTACAAGGTTCTATGTGTCATAAGCTACAGTTTTGCACAAACAAACCACTAGATAGCGGCACTTTAACTACAAAATATTTAATTTTACATAGTTCTATGTTGTTTTTCTTACGATAACGAAATAACGAAGTTCTATGTAAAAATTACTTAACTTCATTAAAATTAACATAGAACCTTGTAATAGTGAGCCAACGTATGTATATTCTATTTTTGATCATCGAATTATTCTATTTTTAATAAATTCTTAAATCTTTTATAAAACAATAAAAATTCATTACGGTGTATAAGATTTTAAGATACAAACCTGTGCCACTATGAACATTACTTTAAAAATTAAAGTAATGTTATGTCTAATTTTTAATTATCAGATCTGGATTATTTAAAAAGAACGTTATTGAATATCAAAAGAAACTTTGTGATATCTTGTCGAAGGCAAGCGTTCCGGCATTGGTCGTATAGGCCAGTAAAAATAGACGTTTTTTTTGGTAAACTTTGCACTAAATTTCCGATCCATATTCCAATTTTTCTTTAATAAGGTTTTAGGATCACTTACTGAGTGACGGACATTAGAAAAAAAGTTTATAAAAAAAATGGATCTGAAATTTAGTGAAAAGTTAAATTCTATTTGTACTGGTTTAGAAAGATCAAAAAAACAAAACATTTCATCGGCGTTAGCTCACGCGGCACATGGCGTCGCACGAGAGCGTGGGGCGCTTCCAGTGCGCGCGCTGCCCGGCGCGCTACCGCTCGCGCTCGGCGCTGCGCGCGCACCGCGACCGCCACGACGGCGTGCGCGCGCGCCGCTGCCCGCACTGCCCCGCCGCCTTCTACTCCTTCTCCGTGCTCACCAAGCACAAGCGCACACACACAGGTAAACTTCTTCAAACATATATGCTGACGGCATATACAACACACCTTTTGGGGCCTATGGGCTATGCACACCACTAACTAGGTATATGTTATTAAAATTATAGATTATAAAGACGCTGACGACTCTGTATCATATTTTGCGCTTATTAAAATAAAATTTGTATTCCTATCGATACAAACGTTTGTAAGCGCGCGTCCACTGTGTGTCGACAGCGCGTTATAAGTTCTCGTGTCAGCGTATCATTCTTGATATTACATTAAAGACTTATTTTTCTCATTTAAATTTAAGTTATATTTTAGGGTTCCGTAATTCATAAAAAGATTGGAAACCTTCTATGATCACTCGTCTGTCAGTCAACTTTTTCAGAACGCACTGACGAAAATAAATAATAATGTACATAGATACAAGTATACATTTTATAAGTCTCAATGACAAACATTTAGCGTAGACAAATTAGGCTCTAGGAAATCAGTGTGCAAACTTTCGGAATACTAAAAATATAACGAAGAAGTATTTTTAATTTCCATAATATTCGGAACACTCTCCACATGAATCTGATTTGTTTATATTCTCTATATGTTATGTCGTTTTTTTAGGAATAAAACCATATGTTTGCAAAATTTGTCAAAAGGCATTCACTGGAAACAATAATTTAAAAGTCCACATGAGGGTCCATGGAGAATACTTAATCACGAAGAGAGTAACAAATAAATAAGAATATTAATAAAAGTTGGTGTCATTTCCTTAGCTTTAATGGGAGAAATAAAAATAATTGTATTTATATAAATTATTTATTTTAGAAATACCGTTTATACCTAAGTAAAAAAGTAAGTAAACATATCACATACAAAAAAAGTCTTTGGCGAGTACAGAAAAATGTACTAAACAGGTTCCTAATAAAGATTAAAGTGACGTGAACAGTCCTTCGTACTTACAAGTACTTACTCACAATAAGGTAACAAACCTGATCAATTCGTCCAACTTATTACAATTACCTTACGTTATATTAACTCACTAAACAGCACATAGAGTTTGTAAACGCACTCTAGCTTGATATAAATATTCTAATTACGTTCGAACTCAATCCCAGTTAGCAATTCATACTGTAGTGTGTTTTAAATGAAAACAAGTAAAAATAAGTCCATCTGCAATTAGTGAACGGTTATTTCATACCTATTATTTTATAAAGAAAACTATAAAAATGTTATTATTGTTAAATAAATATTGTTTAAAAATTCTGTGCAGTTTCTATCTGTAACGTAATCTAAAAATAATACAACAATAAAGTTTTAAATTCACTAAACCGCAGGGGTTCATTAAATATATTATTGATAGGGGTAAAAAAAATGTCTATCTAAAAAGGTTTTTTTTTTCGTAATTAGAAAATGTGGCAAGATTGGCAGTGTAGAAATAATGTTATTAAAAAATTGTATCCAATTAATGTCTAAGATTATACAAATGCGGTCACAAACGTCCTACTTAAGAAAAGGTACGACATAATGAAAAATAATCTACAATAAAGATAATACTTAAAAAAGGAACAATACTAAATAAATTTCTCTATTCAACATTCGAGAACTGCTTACGCTTTATTCCCTTTCTGCAACACACTGATTTGATTATGACTTTTACCTACACCATAAAAACAATTCGACCAACAAAATGCCTTAAACATTTATGGACATAATAGTTTTACTAATAAATATTCTTTTTACGTTAATAAAAAAAGTTGTAATATATAGACGTGCTTGCTTTGATCTTTTGTCATTTGAATAAATAAGTAATATTGAATGTAGCATAACATTTCTTTCTTTTATTTAAAATTTAGACATTTGTGTTTACCAATGCAATAAATTACTTCACTAGTGCTAGCAGTATGTGAGCCATACATGTTGTTACAGCATGTATGTTGATACTTAAAAGCACTTTATGTTACATGGAATGAACAGAAAATAGTACCTACTACTTATTTTATAACAAAATGATTGCACTTTTAATATGATCACACTAAAGTTGTTAAAGAGTATACTCGTAATAAACTTCCTATCATTATCCAATTTTATATATTTACTGTTATAATTAAGTTTAACATGTTTTTTCAAGAAAAAGAAATTTACCCAAATAAAGTAAAAAATTGAGCATCTCAAATATTCAATTTTAAGCAATTGTTATTTGAATATTTTTGTATTAGTAGTCATTTTTATGTTTATTATTATCGGCATAAACAACGAACAAGAGCAGGAACTGCTAAATTGCCATTAAAAATAAAATAGTGTCTTTTTATAAATAATATCTACTGTCTTTCAATAAATAATAAGGCGGAGTGTGTAAAGCCTATTACTAAAATACTTATACTATATAGCAACGCTAATAATTTACTTACGATTATGTGACGTGTACCATTACAGCACAAATTTTAGCTAATAAGGGATCTAGCAATATTTAAGCTTAGATTTCATTGCCATAATGTTGGTTGGGTATTCTTACAATGGTTTCCTTGGTGCCAATTTTGTCAGTGTCTATGAGAGAACCGGAGCTGTATTTCTTGGTTTTGGGTGCTAGGGGGGGTACTTCGCTACAGGTGGAGAAATTATCGTCCAATATTTTTGAACTAGACCCGGCAGTGCTAAACTTCTTCAAGCTGCTGGTGGCGAGGGAGCCGTTTGAAGAGGAGCAATGGGGAGGGAGTAGCGGGACTCTCTCTTGCTGCTCCTTGCCAGACGTGGTGGGGCGATGCCCGCAACTGCTTCCGGATTCAGGTGCTGCTGTTTCTGGACAACCGCCCATGTGTATCCACTCTTGTATCCTGCAAATAAATACTTATACTTATTCGAGACGTCTAAAACCTAAGTCAAGCCGGTAACTATGATTGTTGTAAAGCAATTAAAAACGTCGGGACTCAAAAATCAAATTAAATCTGCGAAAAAATTGCAAAAAGATAGTTTCGTACAATATATGTATATTGCCTGGAGGATAGAACGAAAGATATATGTATGTAGAAATAACATACTTTCAAAAACGCTAGGTTTCATTTTATACACATGGATCTTATTCCATCTTAATAATACGAGTATTATAAGTGTGAAAGTTTAGATGGATTCTTTGATGATTGTTACTCAATCACGCCAGAACGGCTGAACGGATCTGGATGAAATTTGGCACAGACATAGATTATAGTCTAGTATAACACGTAGGCTACTTTTTATCGCGGAAAAATATACGGTTCCCGTGGGATAGATTTGTTTTTATTTTTCTAGAGGCGAACCCGAGCAAAACGAAAGTGAGCCGCTAGTTAATTTATATTATAAATGCGAAAGCTTGAATGAATATTTTTTATTCAATCAAATCAAAAAAATCAAACGCTAGAACGACTAAAAGGTTCTGGATGAAATTTGACATTTTAGGTTACTTTTTATTCCTATCGGAATTTTATCAAATGTACGGTTCCCATGGGATATTTTTGTTTTGTATTTGAACAGTTTTTCGATGCTATACTAACCGTAAAACGTAAGTACTCAGGGACCAATCTGAGCAAAACGAGGGTGAGTCGCTAGCATAAATAGAGCACAAATACAGTCACGAGCATAAATATATGACTATGAACAATTCGGCAATAATATCTGATATCAAGATTCACTCATTAATAACAGATAACAACAACAATATGTGAAATCGAAGGAATAACAAAACAATTTGACTGGACACCCGATGTAAAAATATTGAATGCTCGTGACTGTACCTACATCAGCGGTAAAGCCTTTTTATATCAATACATGTATTGCATTAATATTATTCCTTCAACAAATTTATTTCAAACGTTCCGACTTCTGAACACATTTTTGTATCATCTCGGGGAAATAGCAGTTACACTGTCGTAAGCATGAGAGGAGTCGCGCTGTTGATAAATTTAACGCACGTGATTTTAAATGTATAATTTATGTGAAAATATAAGAATATGTTTACATGTTCCTTACGCTATTACAAGCAGCAACGTAATGATACGATCTTTTTATGGGCTACTTTTTATGCGCACTACATATTATAAAATATACACTACATATTATAAAATAAACTCCCCCGCCGCGTCTGTCTGTCTGAACGCGATAAACTCAAAAAGGAAGGTTTAGGTGTGTAATTCATCAAAGTTTTGTGTGAATTGACTGAAATATGACGATGATTGTTGAAAATGTAGGAAAAAATCATGTTGACTTCCCAGTCGGCTTTATTGGCTTGATTTATTAGCGTGCGCCGCATAAACTAATAAAGTTACATGAAAACAATGTATTACGATACGATTGGAACGCACCCGAGAGAAGCGAGGGTAAGTCACTAGTAATATTTTTAAAAGTTACTGACGTCAAAACTTGGTGTGCCATAAACACGAATTTACATACTAAATTTATACTAATACTAGCAGAACCCGCGGCTTCGCTCGCTCTAAAACTACGAAAAAAAACTCTAAAAAGGTAGGTTTCATACAAACTTTCATGCCCTATTTTACCCCCTTATTTCAAAATCCATCCCGAATTTTGAAAAATGCTAAAACACGTATTTATTTAATTGTATTGAAGAACATTAATACTAAGTTTCAAATAATTCTGATCACACTTTTTGAGTTGTATTATATCGTGTTTTCCCGTGGGAATGAGATATCCTCCCGCGGTAAAAAGTAGCCTATGTTACTCTCCAGCCCTCTAACTATCTTCATACAAAAAATCACGCCAATCCGTCATTCCGTTTCGACGCGAAAGAAAGACAAACAAACAAACACACTTTCACATTTATAATATTAAGTATGGATTATAAAGAGGTATAGTTTATTAGTTTGTATGTTGTAATGTATGTGTAAGGGGGTAATCTCTGAAACTACTGATTCAATTCTGAAAATTCACTAATACGAAGATACATTACCCCGGATGGCTATTTTTTACTTCGATAAAAACGTGTTTACTTTCAGAAATCATAGTAACATGAATTGATGTAGGAAAAACTGGCAGTTGAATAACGTGTGTTGAATTATCTATGTATACTACATGAAATAAAGCAATAAAATAGGATGGGACGCACCAAAGCAAACAAAGGGTAAGTCACTAGTTAATTAATAGATGACAGTAAGAAGAATTAACCTGTTAACAATTTCTTCAAAGTTGGGCCTCCGTTGGGGAGTGTGCCTCCAGCACTCCTTCATGAGCGCATACATGTGCGCGGGGCAGCCCGCCGGCGCCGCCAGCAGCTCGCCGCCGCGCACCATTGATATCACTTCTTGATTACTGTACCTGCGTCATGGAAATCGAACTGCGGTTATATATGCGATAGTTGGTGGGTCTGTGTGCAAATGTATATATGCAAGTACGCGAGGACCTGTGCGTGTATGTGTGCGCTCCTGTGCGTATATATGTAATAAAATATAATACATAAATAGAATAACACATAAACTACTTTACTATTGGCATATAAAACTTTGTGAGAGTTTTTCCTTAACTTTGTATACCTAACAACTCAACCGTATGGCCATTTTAGTATAAATCAGAATATATACTTTAATATATTGAATGTACATAATATAGTTTGTGTAAACATGCCTACCAGACGATTGAAGCTGCAAGCAAAACTATTACACAATATACTTGAAGATATATAGAGAAATGGTAACATCAATTTACCCATAATATGGTTGCAATCCATAGCTATAAATTTCCCACAATACAACTCCATAGGACCAGATGTCGCTTTCAGTTGTGAATTTACCATAGAGTATTGATTCTGGTGGCATCCATCTTACTGGTAAAAGGCTTTTAGATTGCACCTGAAATTAATATATTAAATGTAAGTTGAATGTTTTAAGGTATCTAAATATAAATCAAATATAAATAAATAGGAAATATACTCACTCTGTAATAATCTGAACTATAAATATCTCTAGAAAGTCCAAAGTCAGATATTTTTACAATAAAATCATCTGAGACAAGGCAGTTTCTTGCAGCCAAATCTCTATGAACATAGTGATGTGAAGCAAGATACTGCATTCCTGAAGCAATGTTGTAAGCTATGTTGAGCAATCGCATTGAAGGTAATCCTTTACCAGAGGGAGGTGCCCGTCCCATCAGGAACTCATGTAGATCTCCTCGAGCCATGAATTCAAACAGCATGCACAATGGTTCCTCTCTTAAAGCTACTCCTACTATACAGACTATATTTTCATGTGTTAATTCTGATATTAAGTCTATTTCCCTACGAAAGTCTGCTTTTGTTTTAGCAGATGCATTTTCTTTCAGAGCTTTTACAGCAACATATTGAGTTTCACCATTTTTTTTTAAAGCTCCTTTATATACTTTTCCAAATGCTCCTTCTCCCAACTCTTCTAAAAATTTTATTTGTGATAATGAGTATTGTGGTATTCGCAAAATACCATTACCACGTGATGTACTGGTCAAATGTGGTTGGCTACCACTGTTTTGATTAGTTAATAATTCATTCATTTCTATGGGTGAATTCAATCTAGAATTTCCATAAATATTTTTATCAGCATTAGGAAGATTTATGTCCCTTATGGTAGCAGCATTTCCTTTATTTTTATGTCTATAAAAGAGGCATATTACAAAAGCAACAATGACCAATGAAAACAAAAGAAAAATAACAACTATGTAAATCCAAATTTTATGAGCACATTTAGGAATGTCACATAGTTGCTCTTTAGATTTTCCATCATTATCAATAAAACACCATGGTTGTGTTTTAACACCACCAGGATTTCTACAATAACTATGTCTGCCAGTTAGCTCTGGATATTCAGATAATTTAACATAGAGTTGTTTGGACCACTCTATGCATGGTATGCCATTACTAGCCACACTTACTTTGCCCAAATACCCACTCCCATTCTCCCAGTAGCATTCATCATCTGACACCATTAAACTTCCAATACCAATCTTAAGACAATCTGGATCAACTTCTGGCAGATCTTGACATTCTTCAAGAGTTAATTGTTGACCAATATGAGGATGTCTTTTAGCTATAGCATATTCTTTTTGGCAGAGTTCATTTTCAAGTATTTCACAGTCTTGTTTACATACACGTTTTAATACTGTTGAATTATAACGATAATTAAATAAATCACCAGTTAAATTTTTATTTAATTTAAAAGGGACTATTATACTATTGTTTTCCAAGACCAATTTAGGTAAAACTTTTCCATCACTATTTTCATTAAGCTGATCTTTATCCAGCAAATTACTGTATATAACTTTAGCTTCTTTGAAAAAGTTTTCATTAGTTAATATTGGATGCCTACAAATAGGAAATGTGGAATAACATAAGCTTGGAAGTGCATAGCGTTCACAGTTAGAACTGATATCATTTGAATATTTAGTTACTTGAAAAGCTTTCATCAATTTATCTTCAAGGGCAATTTGTGATGTATCATAAGGTATATAAACAAAGTGGCCTTTTAGGTGAGAACTACAAACTTTACCCACATACTCCTGGCATATTGCTTCCAACTTTTGGGGTATAGCAGTATGATTTATATTTTTATCAAATTCAGATGTCATACCTTCAGAAACTAAATCAGGTGTAGTTTTAATATTCATCACAATTTCTTTATCATTAATAACATTTGGGAGTATAGATGTATATGTTGGCATTTCAAAAGTTTCAAATTGCATATCTTTTTCAACAATCAGCCTAGATGAGAGTCTTTTTTCATAATTTTGTTTGATAACACATGTATAATTTCCAGTATCAGAAATACTTAATTTTTTAATTTTAAGGTTAGTGGCAATGGTGCCATTAGTTTTGTCAATTTTTGTTAAAACTTTCATCCTAGCAGAATCTACTAATATTTTACTATCCTTTAGCCAGTAAACTTTTACATTTTTCATTAAAGCTTCTTGAATATGATCCGGTGGAAATTCTTTTAAAGATGTTTCTACACCTTCCTTATTTTTAGTAAATCTTTCAACCTTAGTAAAATTCATCATAGCCTCACATTTAAATCGAACATCAGCTCCAGGACCTTTATGTAGCACAGGGGGAAGGGTTTTCGCAAAGTAAATATCCAGCTTTATATTCCATACTTTTTGTTCAGAAGTTGAGTTGGACTTCAACAATGAAAATGTATCACTTTTGTTGAAAATTGTTGATTGTGTTTCACGTGAGACGACAAAAACAATAATTATACAAAAGAATATCATGGTCGATATTTTCCATAACACTATTCTTTTATTTCATCTTAGAGCACCTCGGAGAAGTGAAATTTATCTTGACAATTCATACATTAATTTCATTCACATAACACGGCCAAGAATTAAATTTTCTGTCGAAAATAGACATTAATGACAAAGTTGATCACGATTCACGAAAGGGCAAATCAAATCATCAATAGCACTGAAAATCAGAAATCAGTGTAAAATGTATTCATCTGTGACTTTACGTGAAGAGTGTATACTGTGTAAGTTAAAGTAGGTAATTTAATCAGTATTCAGTAATCACAATCAGTATTCTTTTAATCTTCAGTCTTCGACTTCACCTATTGTCACTGCTGACTGCTTATTTATCACCACAGGTAACAAATTTATTTCATCACTGACAGAAAAACACAGATAACATAAAGACACAGATAAATAAAACTTATTTTAATAGATGTTTTTTCTTTATGTTCATTACTAAGTGCATTTTTATAATTTTGCATCAATTAAATAATTTTAATTTGTAGTAATCATACTGGCCATTTATATATTGTATTAGAAACAAAGCTGACATATTATTCGTTAATTAATTCTTGGCCGCGTAGTAAAAGTTTTTTCTGTCACAAAATTTCTGACGCCCGCCGGTACCACCCCGCAAACCTATTAGAAACTTCACTCCAGCGAGTCTGACAATGAATTTTTTTCGTGGCGTCTGCTCCACTGAATGAATTTCTGATAAGATAAGAATGCAGGGTCTAGTACACAATATATAGAGAGCGCGCCCTCCGACGTTTCGATCAGAAAAAATCTGACGTCCCATAGATGGCATCCGGGACTCGTCAGAAACCGACGTCAGACACGTCAGAATTCTTTAGTATGCGGGGGTCTAGCCCAAAACATATGAGCAAAGTGCCTGAAAAAATGTAAAAAAGGAACAAAAAAATTTTTTACTAAACTCTATGTCGATTTTTTCCTGAGATATTCGACTTTTAATAAAAAAGGATCCTTCTCTTTTTTATCATCAATATCTTAGCATTTAATGGATGCACAGTAGATTAAAGGGATATTTTATAAATTTAAGTCATATTTCTAAAAGGTACTATCATAGCTTAAAAAAAACTTTTATTTTTTTATGTTTTTTTAGCAAAGCGATGAGTAACTTTTGTAAATGTGAACTTATTTTCTTTGAATATATTTTAAATATATTATTATTTTGTTCACTACTCGTCAAATTGCAAAGTTTACGGTGACATTGTATAAATAAAAAGCGTCAAATTTAAAACTTAAGGATACCATGTTTTTAATTTTTTCCCGAAAAATACAGTGGTTAATATTATTTATAAAAATTAGGTCAATAGAGTAGGTACACTTATTCAATGATAATTCAAAAAAATGTAGTTTACAAAGTAAAATAATTATCGATTTCTCCAATTTTTAAGGGAGCTTTTATAGGACGACCATACTATGTTTTAATTTTTTCAAAAAGTAGTTCAAGACGAAAAGAATGAGCTTTATGAATTGAACGATTTTTTTTAAATGTAAACGTCCACTTGAAGCTAGGGGTGATAAAATCTACTTTTCTCAGAAAAGGCTAAGCATTTCAATTTCTTTTTTTATTGATTATATGTATTTCGAAGGTTATATTACTTTAGCTTCATGAAAATCAAAAGATTATTCTAGAAATTAAAAATAAAAAACCAAGGAAAAGTTAAAAACTGAGTTTTTTGCAAATATCTCGAAAACTTTGAATTTGTTTTAAAAAGTGTTATTTATAAAAGTTGTAGATTTTTACTAGACCTACAACTTGTGTGGAAACATTTTTCAATAGAATGTCACAGTAAGCCGGAAATTAAAAAAAATAAATATGGCACTCGGAGACTGCCGCGGTAAACCTATTGCATAGATTTTTTTATCAACTTATGCAATTATAATTATTTATTTAATTTATTAATGCAGTATTTTTTTTCCTTCACTTTCTTCATTAATAAATGCACTTTGTTTATTCATATTTAAAACACTTTGTACACAAATTATACGAGTACAGATATTCACTGTTGTACATAGATGATAAATACCTATACATCTATATACTTTCTCACTAATAGCTGATTACGGTAGTTTTCCAATACAACCAATGCCACATAAAGGCGGGTTGCTGAACTAAAGAGACAAGCGTGATATTACAAAAAGTCATTAAAAGTTCTGATATTTATCGATAGATGGAAAAACTAAAAAGTATCACCGCTGTGCCGGTCGGAGGGGGGGAGGGGGGTTGTCAGTTTTTTTTCGTTACAGAATTTCTGGATTCGGTCCCCACGCTCAAGGCCCGCGATAGAAGCTATGCAATAGCTTAAAAAAACTAGCTTTGCATTCCCACATTTTTCGGGGGTAGCTGGGCATAGGGGGCATTTTACGAATTTCTATTCCTTATATACCTGCTAACATTTTAAAATCATAAACCTCCAGGCTTTCAATATTTTGTTCCCAAACCAGGATTCCGATTGGACTACTAAGATATCTCACTGCATGAAGACTAGATTATAGATGTCTTTATTTTTCATGTCTCAATCTATGGTATATAACTAAATTATGGTAATAACTTGTATTTTTTTATAATCTGTGGGTCTTCCTATACATTATGATTTATGAATAATAATTTGTATCTGTGGTGTCAGGTGTGGATAAAATCCATGGGTGACAAAATCTAACCGACATCATCAGCATCAAGTTTCTTATTTTCTCAATTCTCTTTCATTTTTGTATATTTTTATAGCGTTTTAATAATAAATTAATTAATTAAACATGCCTAAAAACAAGAAAAAAGCTGATAGTTCTAGCAGTGATAGCGATGACGGTCCAGTGGATGTAAGTTAAATTTTTTGACGTTATTGTTAATAATGTTTTCCTTCAAAGTTTGCTATTTAGATTTATAAATAAAATCTGGCAATATGAAACAACAATGTATTTTTTGTATTCAATGTCTTGTTATTGTAATTCTTATAAATTCTATTTTCTTTACAGAGAAATCCTCCTCCTGAAAAGAAGGCCAAAATGGGTTCCAGAACTGACGATAAAGAGCCTACTTGGGTATTGGAAGGAAAGAAGTTAGTCAAAGTACGTGAGTTTAAAGGAAAAGTGTACATAGACATTAGAGAATTTTATGAAAAGAATGGAGAATTATTACCAGGAAAGAAAGGAATTAGTTTGAATCCCGATATGTGGAGAAAGCTGTTATCCTTAGGAGATGAAATTAATGAAACTGTTAGCTCTATGTGTTAATAAATTTTGTGTTTATAGATGTAATGATTAAAGGGGTCAATGTAATTAGATTTTTATTTTGCTGCCTGTTCCCTTCCCTTCAAATATTTTTGATATAAACTACCTATGTATTTGCTATTTTCCATTTCCTCTTAACTCTACTATAACTTTATAATTGCTCTTTATTTATAATATACTAGCATTGCCCGCGGCTCCTCCCGCGTTCAGATGACCAAAAACCAAATACTTAGGTTTTACATATTAGTATACTCTTACATTGCAGTTTTTGTATTTTTTCTCAGAAGTGAGATTTTCCCGCCGTAAAAAGTATCCTATATGTTGACCTGGACAGGGTAATTTATAATTATATATGTAGCAATTTACTCTATAACGGTAATGTAATGTATACAGTATTGCAACTCGGCCCTGTCTATATGTAGCAATATACTCTATGGCCCTGTCCTTGAATAATTACATACAGCCGAGCGGCACGTACCCACGCGACAGGGCTGCCCCGCCGGCCAGTATTAAAATACTTTCATCTACCTACTTGAGTTTCTTTCTAATTTTGTGATTTCAAATATTCTATTTTTTATTTAAAAAATATTATTAGTAGATTTAATTTAAAAATCTCAAATTTATAAGGGTATGTGACCCTTATATATTTGAGATTGAAAAATATTTGCGCCTCAACTGAGACGTACGAAAAGCTAATTGTTAATTTTAATGGTATAAAGAATTCGGATAAATTTTTTAATTAAAAATACGTTAATTTTTATTTTTAAAACATAGGTACGAGATCTCGATATTTTTTGTTTGATATTAGCGAAGTTACGGAAGGAATAAAATGTTTATTTTTGTATCTAATTATAAAAGTTACATAACGTAAGCACCTTATACAATTTTCGTATTTCAATTATACGATCTGGCAGCCCCTCACACAATACTGTATGTAACATTACCACATTAATACAAACGGTCGGAAATAGAGTTATACCCCTACGCGCGTCGCGTTCGGTATACAACCGTGCGGGGCTGCCTAATCGCATACGTGTTTTCCTGTGTGAATTAGATAAGTAGAAAGTAGCCTATGTCACTCTCCAGTCCTCCAACTATCTCTACACAAAAAATCACGCCAATCCATCATCAGCCGTTTCGACGTGAAAGAAGGACAAAATCGATCGAAATTGTAAATCGATGATGATTGAATGTTTACCTATATGGACACAGCAAAGTCAAAATTCACTCGTAACAGCTAACTCTGCTTTTTTTTAAATAATTCGGGTTTGGTGCAAAAAAAATTAAAATCCATGAAATTGAGAACAAAATCCGCGTATAGGTACCTACCCAACCGAATCGAGGATAAGTCGTTTGTCTACCTAAATGGTATTTAAAAAATCTGGTTGATAGTGCAGTGTGCAATCTGTTGAACATTAATAAAAAGTGTCTGCTAAATAAAAATGGACAATAAGAATTTTTTTAGTCTTCATGTAGCGTGTAGGTAAAAACAAGCACGGGGGACCAGGTTTAATAAATTTCTGTTTTGCCAAATGTAAAATAAAAAAAGCATTTTCGATAACATCAACAATTTTAACATAAAATTTTGTATCCCAAGCTCCGAATGTTGCCGCCCCTAAAAATTTGCCGCCCTGGGCACTAGCTATTGAACCTACTCGCGTTACAAACTATGAAGTATAAAGCTCACGATACATTAATTTCATTCAGGCTAAAGAAAAATAGCCAGAATTGAAATGGTCTAATGTTTTGTATGGGATAGGAATTGGAGCATTTATTAGTATAAAATATTCATATACCTGTTATGTCATCTGGGTTCAGAACAGGATAAATAATGTATTTAGCCTTTTTAACGTCCCACTGCTGGCGGTGGGCTTCCATTCGATACAAGGGGGATCAGGCCATAGGCTACCACGCTGGCCAAGTGCGGTTTGGCGGACTTCACTTCTTTAGAAAACTTGCTAGATTCTTTCAGATATGCAGGTTTCCCCACGATGTTTTCCTTCACCATAAGACAAGTGGTAGTCATGTTGGAAATGATTCGCACATGAATATCAGAAGCGCGAGAATAAAATAATGTAGAAACAATGTTTATTAGTTTGCAAACAAAATATATCCATTAGTTCCCTGGTGATATTATATAGAATTTTATTTATTAATGGCATAAAGGAAACCTTAAAAATAAACAGGTACATAAATATTGAGCACGTTATCACATCAACATAAAGTCTAGTAAATAATTCCTGGCGTTTTATAATTGACATTTATTTCCTTTCTTTGAATACCTACTTACAAAAGACGTGCCAGATAAAAAAAACGTGTGTGTATACCGTGTACTTATGTACGCACGAAAGAAGTTATACTTCTTTGGCGTAACAGAACAAAGATAGCTAAAGATTTCATTCCGTATGTCACAACTCTCCGTTTGTAAAAGGAATGCAGCAAACTTTATCATGTTGCCTTTTGCCTGTCGGTGTGCACGCGCATCGTAATAATTTTATTCTCATATTTTTTTGCAAACGTGCCAAAAGAAGTATAACTTCAAAAGACAAACAGCTAACATATTTACACCAAATAGGTAAGATACATACAATTGATGAATTAAAAGTCAACACAATCAGTGTCATCAATGATTTCAAGCCCAATAATTAATGGTAGTTAATAGTTATCCAAAAAGGGACCTTACAAATTATGGCTGATTTTATTTCATCATATTTTATTTAAGATATTTTTTATGTAAAAGGGTTAAAAATAACAGCATCGTATATTTCTCGTTTCTATTTTTGTATTCAAAATTAAAGTACTAGGTACATAATAAACGTAGATTTTTTTAAATATTTCGTAATTAATTTTTTTTCAACACATCTATTAAAATTTGGAAGAAACTTGACATTACGCAGATGTTATTTCCAGTACATAAATAGGCTTGATTTTTCACTCTCAGATAAATGTAATAAACACAACACATCCTTTTGGTTTAAAGTACAATATAAATAAATTAAAAAATAGTTGTTTGAATGAAATAGTTCCAATATTTTACTTGTATGTTCAGTCAGGTTATATTATTTACTTGATGGATCACTTTTATCTGACGATTAAAAAACCAATCCTTATTGTAGTTAAACGTTTCAATAGGAATAGTGCTCAATATATTTAACAAAAAGTTCCGTGGAGAAGTGTCTTTAGAAAATCTTAATACCATAGGAATTACACCGTTACACATATAACACCGTTTCACCATCTTTGAACACACAAACTACACGCTATTTTTATACAACATAATTCATAACTACATAGCTTATAACGTGAATAAGAAACATTCTACTACCTTAGTTATTACATACAAGATAAAAAGGAATTTAAGATTTTTTTTTATAAATATAATTATGTTAGATATAAGAACAAATTATAACATAATTAGGTACTACACCAATAGTTTACTATAAAATATAGTTAACCATTTTATTTCTTAGGCAAGATATATCGCAGGTTAAACAAATATGAACGAAACATTACTAGGAATATAAGGACTTATCATTTCGTAATAGTTGAAATGACTGAGTATTCTGCCTTAACTTTCAATTATTAGAAAAAAACGTCATAAAGGTATTTAGCAATACAATAACTAGACACTAGTCTAATAAAAACAATGAGTGGGATTCATATTATACTATTTAGATACCTTATTACAACCATAATTCATATACTGTGGCCATCCTGCAGCGTCAGTTATTATTAATGAGATATTTTTTTTTCTGAAATATAGTACATATTTTGTAAAAAATAATCCAATTTCAACTATGACATGTTTATAATTATTTTATGACTAGTAGTCAATATAACAAAGACATCTGTGTCTTCATGACAAAGAAATTATTATATTGGCATGATAAATAGTATTGGAATGACAATAATCATATATATATATATAAAACGATTATAAACATACGATATTAAAATTAAAGTCTTAGTCGGTCAGTCATTTCTTATCTAGTCCAAAGATGCGCGGCTTTGTTAGCAAAATGTTAATACACGCTTACTACATTTTGTTTATATAGAATCCATATTTTAATTAAATTTGGTTTTATAATGAACTTAGTTTTTTTATCGAAATTTACAGTTCAGTGCAAATATAATATGACTTATTGAAAATAATTTACTAGTATAACTAGATAGGATTGACATTAATGTATATCTGGAAGATATAAAACACTTTGCACATGATGGCAGTTTAAAATTACTAGCAGTCCTCGAATATTATTGTTACTATGCCAAAATGTCTTTATTAAATATTAACTAATACAAGTCTAAATCTGAGAGACCAAAAAGTATTAACAAAATAAATGCTAGGTATAAATAATTAACTCACATGTATATTTTTCTTTGTTTTATGCATTACCTAACTTGATACAAATGTACCATATTCCAAATAACTTTCTAATAGGTAATTGTATATAACATTTAAGATATTTTTATTGTTGTTCCATGTCTTGAACCAATATTAGATGATTATTTTGAAGAGTAGTTATTGAGATTTCTGGACTGGATTTAGAATATAGTACACAGTTAAAAAAAACCTTTCAATCATTTTCATTGTCCGATTTCTAGCTTTGACTAAACTTTTGGTTCAATACAGGTGTCAGGTAGTAACATGTATAGTAAAATGACTACAAGTAAAAAATTATAAAACTTGCAATATTAGATCTTGGATCTTTATAAGAATAGAATATGCTATTTTAAATTACGACCAGATTATATTTTATATTAAATAAATGGTAACTCTTTATCTTACTTAAATCTTTGGTTTAATTTTGAAACATGAGATTTTGAAGTGCTCGCACATTTCCTGCACCTGAAATTAAATAAAGGAAATTCAATTTAGAAATAATAAAGTTTAATAATCTTTATGATTTGCTATTTGTGTAGAGACTTTTTATTGCAATCATTTGCATAATCAGCGTCAAGAGATTCCAGCAGCCATTAGGATGTATGTACGTCTGAAGATCCTGAGGTCCTGGGTTCGAGCCCCGGGTCGGTCCAAGTTTAGTTATCAAGCTTTTCTTTTAAGAAATTCTTAGTAACAGCCCGTAGTTGGAAAGTTTGGTGGCGGTAATTCACCCCGTGGCTAGAAAGGCATATAAAGCCGTAGGTCTTGCGCCTGATCACCCTCATCGAATTGTCGTCCCATCGGAGTATAATAGTTACAGGAATAGAGAGTGCGTTGTGTGTTTTGTGAGCGCATACGCGCGTTGCACTGTATAGGAGTTTGCCCACTACACCGTCTTATACCATGACCATGCTATGAACGTATCAGGCACGGAAACGAGCGTGGCACGGATTACAAAGCCCACTAGAACGTATCAACAGCGTACCATATCCGTACATAACGGTTTTAGTGCTGCGTATTGCTCACCATTGCGCCGCCCGCGCGCACTAGGCCCGCAACGTCGCGTCCCAGGCACAGAGTGTACCGGCACCGGCTAAATATTCTCGTCAGCAATTATTACCGCTTCGTGCACGGCACGCCACGGTGCCGGTCCGGTGACGGAACGGTCTAGTGGGCAAAATCTCATAGTTTTCAATACAAAGAATTTTTTTTGCCTTACACGGTCCTAGCACGGTCATGGTATGAGACGGTGTAGTGGGCAGAAACCTTAATACAGTAAAGAGACACATAGGTAGGTAGTAGGTACCACTCTGGTGCCGTAGTAGAGGTGCGCGGCCGAGGCGAACGCCGTGAGCGCGGCCAGCAGCAGCAGCTCGGCGGCGGGCGGCGGCGCGGCGCCCAGCGTCAGCGCCAGCGCCAGCGCGTACGGCACCAGCAGCGCGTTGAACGCCTCGCACCGCGTGTCGCTCATCTGCGACACTATCAGCCGGCACTGAAACATTATTACCTTTCAATTCAATTATTTTGTTCTGTGCCGTTTGGGCACAACAAAATTTACTTCGCCAATGTCACCTAAAATGGAGAAGACACTTTATAATATATAGAATAACCAGTAAGAACAAAAAAACACTAGATCTGATTACATGTATAATTAGTTTTAAATACACTGAAAAACACGCATGTCAGGACATTAACACACAACACCATCTAGTTCCATGGTAAGCTACGAGGCTTGTGTTATGAATACCAGATAGTTGATACATTATACATATATAACTTTAAATACATACATATTATAAATATAAACACCCATGACTGGAGTACAAACATTCGTGCTCATCACACAAATGAATGCTCCCAGCGAGACTCGAACCCGCGACCACTGGCGCAGCAAGTAGGGTCACTACAAACTGAGCCAAGCGTGTCGTCGACAGTTGACACCACCAATCAATTCACATACTTTTCGAGAGCTGTCAAAACACGATTCCCCCATACATTTTCTTTGGGAATTAGTAAGTAACCTGTAACGTCACTTATTTGCCAACTCAATTGATCATTATTGATTCCAAAGCAACTAAAACAATAATTTTACCGTTATTTAAACATTAATCAGGTTTTCGGGGTCAAAATGAAATATTTTTAAAAGAAGTTGATTCTTGGAATAAATGTATAATGGTGTCAATTACCCAATTGTAATGTATAGAAATAATCAAAACAACACATCTAAATTAATATTATAAAGAAGTAAAGTTTGTGAGTTTGTGACGTTGTAGGGTGTAATCTCTCTAAAGTAAATTAAGTAAAGTATCTACTGAACCGATTTAGATGTTTGTTAAGAAGATAGTTTAAGACCCTGGGAAGAATATAGGATAGTTTTTATCCCGGAAATTATCCCTTAAGGGGATAAAAATGGGGATGAAAGTTTGTATGGGGTAGCAATCTAGAGACGATGTACTACTTACTATAGTGTTTTCATTGTAGCATGGTGCGGGTGACATTAAGTCAAACCGTTCCTTTTCACTTATAATTTACGAGCGACTCACCCTCGCTCCGCTCGGGTTTCTCCCTAGTTATGTTTTAACGTGTAGCTCAGAGATGAAATATTTTCTCGCAGTAAAAAATATCATATATGTTGACCCGGATAACCAGCTATCATCAAATCAATTCTCATCAAAATCTGTCCAGTGTTTTTTTCATGATGCGGTAACAGACAGACAGACAAAAACTATAGATTTGGCCTCTATATCATCCCCATTTTTATCCCCTTAAGGGATGATTTTTCTTCCCAGGGTTTCAAACTATCTTCTTACCAAATTTCATCTAAATCAGCTTAGTAGATACAGAGATTACACCCTACAACGTCACAAACTCTACAAACTTTTTACCTCTTTATACTATTAGTATAGATTAGCTAATAAAAGCTCTTTAGAACGGACATCCATACTATTTAAATTTTATATATTACTAGCAATTTAATAAAGTCGCATCGCTCGGTGCTAAAAATAAGAATTCGGGCACGAAATAAGACTTTTATTAGTTTTGGTTCATGGTTATCATGGTTCAGACATGCGCAAGCGTTACGAAATGGTTGAAAATTATATTTCTAATAGTTCAATACGATTTATGTAGTTATATTAGTATAATGGCGGTCTTTTTATATAAGTAATTATATGCTAACCATGAAACTTAAATTTATTAAACTTGCATTATAATCAATGTAATGTAATCTGTTGTTATAAAAATGATCTCATACATAACATTTACAATATAACGATTAATTTATAAATAAAATTAATGGAATTTGCATTTTTATCACCTTTATGTAACACAGAGTAACAATTTTTTTTGTTAATTGTTATGTGAAACTTTGGAACGTTTCCTACTGACGGTTCTATTAACATTATTAGATATTAATAATAATAATTGATATTTGATTATAAATTAATTAGCATACAAATTACTAAATACTAATTTAAAAAAATCGTGTATCAACGCTCTTCTTAATCAGCATTAGTATACATACCCAGTTAATTTCCGTATTTAACCATTACAAAAATAATCAATATTTTATTAACTCGTTTAATATCACTTTGATCCCTAAATAATTTACCCAAAAAAATACATTGGTACTTAATTAAACTTTGCTGAGATTTTTTATTTGTACAAATCAATATTCGCATTGATAAAATACTTCAGATAATCAGAAATTACAAACTTACATTTATATTAGAAAATATAGTTCCATTGAGTATGTAGAAAAGCCTTGGCCCCCTGTTAATTATGTTGTTAGGGGAATATAGGGCCCAAATGGTGCTCAGGACGAAAAATATTGCGAGTGGTACGAGCGGCCTCACCGCTTCTACCAACGGACGCATCTTGCCGGTCCGGTTACGATAAGATCTGAAAAAAGTATTTTCGCTATTTGATTGCACTTAATTTTAACCATTATTTTCTAATTATATTATTCTCCTAATTAAGAAATGAAAGGCGTAATTGTATTCAGCCCTTATTAATTAAATTAACCTCACCGGTAAAAACAATAGAAACTACATTTAAAGCATCTGTTTCAAGTATCTTTAAATCTTAACAAATTATATTAGTCGAGTAAAATTAGGTTTATGCCTATATGCCGGAACCCAGCTATAATGAAAGGATTTGGCTGGTTTGGGATTTTTTGAATTTCTTATACTAAAAACTAAAAAGTTTATCTTTTGAAACCTTTCGCTACTGTTTTTTTGAAGGGTTGTCCCATGAAATGATGCTGCTTCTAGTACAGTACATTCCTATTAGAGCTATATTATTTTTTCTTTCCAGAATAACTCAAGTGTCGGCGCGTCTTTCTCTCACCGGGCGCGTGACGTATGAGCTGCGCGGGAGGGGGACCCTCCCCACCGCAAGACCATGTGATCTGACCGCGGCCACTTCGCCTACCTGCGCGCTGGACTACGGACACTTCCACAAACTCTAATTTGATTATACGTAGTTCATAATATACAGTCCACTGCTTTTATTTAAAGTCCCGTTACGGCCTACACACTCAATTTCTATATAAAATACTTGACTGACTTGCGACTTCCTTTTTGGCTTCGCTGCTGGGTGCTAAGGTGCGTCCCTAGATACGTTATAGATATGAATAGTTATTACGAGTATACCTTATGAGAAAGACTTATGCGTTTGCAGTTTTTTTTGTAGGCCTTTTTTTTTTATTTGTATGGCGGCTATTTATATATCACTACGACCATTTCTGGTCTATTGTGATCGCCGCTATTTTGTACTAGAGTGAACCACTAAACCCTGCTGATGTTAAGAACTGCAGGATTTTCTTAGGGTTACACTCTTTTATTTCATCTAGGCTTGGAAATTGTTTTCCTAGATGAATACTGCGTTTGTGCATGAGCGGTCCACATTCCCACAGAAGATGCAGTGGCGTTTCGTCTGCCTCCCTGCAAATTCTGCAGGTTCGCGTTTCGCTCAGCCCCAGGTTGAACATGTGCTTGTTTAAGCAGCAGTGTCCAGTAAAGGCCCTTACCAGTATTCGTAAGGTTTTTCTGTTTAGCCCTAGCATAAGATTGTTAAACCTTTTGTCGTAGGCTCTAATTAATGCCTTGGAGTGATTCATTCCATTTGATTCAGTCCAGGTCTTGTTCGCAGTCTTAAGACATGCTATCATTAGGGTTCTTTGAGCTAGGCTCTTAGGTATCCCACAGAAGGGCTCAGGGCCCTGCTGTATGCCAAGAGCTCCCCCTCTAGCGAGCTTATCGGCACACTCGTTGCCAATTACACCTGCATGACCCGGTACCCATCTTAACACTACTTTGTTACTTCTTGCTAAGAGGTTTAGTCGGTCCATGCACTGCTCCACTAACTTTGATGAGACTGTGTTTGAGTCCAGCGCTAGTAGTGCAGCTTGACTATCTGAATGTATATAGATAGTTTGGTTTGTGTAGTGCTTAGACAAATTAGCTTCTACACATTCTAGAATAGCATAGACTTCTGCTTGGAAAATAGAGGCAAATTGTCCGAGGTGTATGCTTTTGCTAAACCTCGGTCGCTCTCCATATATCCCACAGCCAACCTTTGCTTCTATTTTTGAGCCATCTGTAAACCAGATAAGAGATCCGTTTTTATGGATTACCTGGCTTTTAGTCCAGTCTTCTCTTGACGGAAATTCAATTGTATAATACTTTACTTTGTAGGCCTTACTAAAACCTACAATTTTCTAGTAAGTATATTATTTTGATGTACCTTAAGGTTTAGCCAGCGTTAGCCAAATAAATTTCTATGTACGACTTGATAGAACCATGTTAATTATAAAAAGTTTCCATAAGAAATCTTGTATAAACGACCCCAAAAACTATAACAGTCATTATTTGAAGAACAAATAAATATTTAAGAATTCCTATAATTGTATTTTTTGTGGAGATTTCTAGAAAATTTGTTTTTTTTTTATTTACGAATTTTCAAAAAAACAGTAATTTTTAAGGGGGTAAACTTTTTAGTTTATGGTACCTATTAAAAACTCAAAAAAGAAAAAATCATTCAAATCCATTTATTATAACTGGGTTTTGTCATTTTTCATTTATAATTACTATTTGCACTCGATTATAGGAAAAAATTATATTTTAACAAATTCTATAAGGAAAAATTATAATTACATTTATATATCGTTTATTTGTGTCGATTTCTTGTTGAACGTTCTATCTCTTTTATTGTCACGGCAATTTTTTATTTAATGTATTAAATTGACATGACAACAGCTAAAATTGAAGTCGAATTCACAAGCGTGATGTCGGGAGCCACGCAACAGTCATTTAATAACTAGCAGAGAACCCGCGGCTTCGATCGCACTGAAACTCATACCCTATTTTATCAACTTATGGGAGTCATTTCGAAAAATGCTTAAGCATGTATTTATTTAGTTGTACTGAAGAGCATAATAACTAATTTTCAAGTAATTCAGATCGTAAATAATTTTTTGTCACTATCCAGACCTCCAACTATCTCCACACAAAAAATCAAGCCAATCCGTCAATCCATATCGACGTGAAAGAAGGATAAACAAACTAACATAGTTTCACATTTATAATATTAGTATGGATAACAAAAAACTTAACAAATACCAAAATGCTTAAATATTTGTAAGAATTCCGATAATGTATATATATTATTATTTATTACTCTACTCTCGCTAAAACCATTTTTTTATTGACCATTGTTCTCACTCATGCGTATGCGTTAACTTTGACACCTGTTTTAACTATAAGCAAATACAATATTATACACTTTCGCTATCCTCGGGTGCGTCTTTATCAATAATAGTCTACGTGTCACTTCAGGCCAGTCTCGCACCCCACACACATCACACACACACACTTTCACATATGTATATAATAGATACTAATGTAATTACTGGTATATATTCCACAATATGACGGTCTGGCTGGTGATGATGGCCGAGAAGTAGAGCACGAACTCGAAGACGACGCCGGGCGTGAGGCCGCCGGGCAGCGCGGCGTGCCACGCCTGCGGGCCCACCGCCGACGTCACCAGCAGCAGGATGCACGAGCCCTGCCAACGCGTAGAGCGTCTCTATATTGGGAGCTAGATGTCTTTTTCTATAGTGGAACTCAAGGCATCGAGAGAAAAAATCTAAATGTCAAATGAATAATTAGATAATAAATTAGAGAAAAATTACTTAATTAAAGTGAAGCATTGTTTAACAGTAAGGAAGCAAGTCATAAACGAATAACTAAAACTGAAATAATTTTTGTAATTACTACTTATAACAAAAACTATTTCAGTTTTTATTTAAAATTATAAATTACGAATTAAAAAGTAATTTAAAAAAATTAAACCAACTTTTAAACATGACAAGGTATAAATATGAACTTTAATTATAGTTAAAATATTATACATCAATTTCGGACGTATTTATGGATATTAAAATACTTAGATTTACTTTACTTTGCATCAGCTGGCACCCATTTCGAAAATGTCTGATTAGGTATTAATAGGAATATCTAATATATTTAAACGAGCAGTTCTTGTATAAATATATATATATATATAATCTAAATCTCGGAAACAGCTCCAACGATTTTCATGAAATTTAGCATACAAGGGTTTTCGGGGGCGATAAATCGATCTAGATTAGTCTTATGTCTGGGAAAACGCGTGTTTTCGAATTTTCAGGTGGTTTTCTTTTGCATTATTCCACGCAAAATATTATGTTCGATAATTTCGCACGCTCGGATATAAGCATCATGGTCAAGCGGCCAAGGCGCAAGATTGACAATTATAGGTATCCGGGTTCGAATCCCGATCGGATACAAAGGTATATTATATTATTATATATATATATTTTTTGTATTTATTCAAGTTTTTTGTTTCGTTTTTTTTTAAAGAAAATTGTACTTTGGACCAAAAACTCCGAGCGAAGCTCGGTGGCCCAGGTATTTTTAGAAAATGTCGTTTTATTCGTGTTTTCAATAATCAACTTTATCGATAATCAACTAAAATTTTTTTATTGGAAAAAAATAATAAAAAGGTGCGTTTGGGTAGTCCTAATGTTGTCACTTAAACATAAACTGAAAAAATGATTCTTTCTGACATCTATTGGCGATAGTATGGCGATAATACATTTTTCTTTTAATTGTAATATGAATCTCGGAAACGGCTCCAATGATTTTCATGTAATTTAGTATACAAGGGGTTTCAGGGGAGATAAATCGATCTAGGTTAGTCTTATGTCTAAGAAACCGCGTGTTTTCGAGTTTTCTTTTGCATTATTCCACGCAAAATATGGTCGGTAATTTGCACGCTCGTGTTCAAGCGGCCAAGGTGCAAGATCAACAATCACAGGTGTCCAGGTTCGAATCTCGGTATACAAAGTTTTTCCTTTTATTTATTTTTAATATTTATTCAAGTTTTTTTTTTTAAAAAAGACACAAGATTGACAATCATAGGTGTCCGGGTTCGAATGCCGGTCGGATACAAAGATATAATTTATTTTTGTATTTGTTCAAGTTTTTAGTTTTTTTTTTTAAAGAAAATTATACTTTTTAACCAAAAACTCCGAGCGAAGCTCGGCGGCTCAGGTCTTAGTAAATATTCATTCAGTTACTTCTTTCCTTTTTGTATTTTTTTAAGTCAGTTTAATTTTTTTACTATATGTAATTTAAATAAAGAATACTTACGATCATTGTAAAATCATATCCCCAAGGTAGAAACATGACTCCGGTATTATATTTCTCCCAATGCGTTAGATAGAAGTTTAAAAATATATTCCACAATACGAAGTAAAATCTTAGCGGACTTAATTCATCCCTGTAATAAAACATAAAAATGTATAAAATCGTATTAAATAGTTAAAAGAATTTTTATGAAGAATTCATTACAATTTGCTAAACATATTAATATATTATAACGTATTAAAGAAATATGTTAGGTAGGTACTTTAAAATATTTTTAATAAGATAATAAAAACTTCATGCTACCTTCCAAAAATGCTATATAGGCAAGTAGGTATAAGAACCGTGGAGTAAGAATCCAAGCCATGATCAAAAAGTTCACCTAGTGGGCCACTGCTGCCGGTGCGCCTAGCTTGTTTTCCATCAATTCCATCTGAAATTTTGTGACAGTATGGTATAAAATAATAAATGACTAGCGACTTACACTCGCTTCGCTCAGGTTCATCCCTGGGTTGATTACCCATACAAACTTTCATCCCCATTTTCACCCCTTTAAGGGGTGATTTCCGGGATAAAAAGTATCCTATGTCCTTCCCAGAGTCTCTAACTATCTTCTTACCAAACTTCATCTAAATCGGTTCAGTAGGTCCAGAGATTACTCCCTACAACGTCACAAACTCACAAACTTTACCTCTATATAATATAAGTTTTAAGGCGAATTATGTAGGTATATGTATTATTAGCGCAAAAACATGTTGCTTTATAAATCTGGTGTAATTATTATAGCTACTTATCTATTCAGAAAAAGTAGGTTCAATACAATCGGTTTTTATATGTAGATTTCAGAATTATGTTTATGTATCTGCACAGTAATTAAATTATATAAAAACCATTTCAAGGTTATTAAAATATTCGTAAACAAAAAAACATGTGTTTTAATGGTACTTAATATGTCCTATTTACAAATTAAATTAGATAATGAGTTTAAAATGCGATAAAAAATAGTATAACTACTATAGAACAAATTCAAATGTTATATAATATTTTAAGTCTTATTGAGACATAATATAGCTTGTTTACTTAATTAAAACCACACTAGTTAGTTAGAATAAAAAAAACACTGTAGATGTGGAAAAAGAAAGAGGAAGATAGCAAAAATCTGCAGAAAGAAAATTGAATTTTGTGCTTATATGTACTTATATGTAGAGTAATTTTAAACTGTTAAGGGAATACATACTCGTAATATTTGTTATCACACAAGGAATGAGGATGCATTGGTTTGGTAAACTATTATTATCAAAGCCAGACGTTAAGAGATTGATAACATTAGGGGCAATAAGAATAAAAGATTAATTGGTTTGTTTAGTTATACTATAACTTAAATGTATTTTATAATTGTATGTATTTAACATATGTAATAGTAATTTTTATTTTTACTCGTTTGAATATAGATAGCACTAAAAAAATATTAGTTTTATATTCAAGCATTTTCACTGCAAGCTAGATTGCGAGAATATGAGATACTTAATCATTGATTCTATAAATTCTAACCATTAAATGTGTTATGTATAGATATAAAAAATAGTCAAAAATAATTTATCACCATAAATATATATAATTTTGAATGGATTATTTCTAAATTATATATATATATATATTAAGGTGATGAATTACCGTTTAAGCAATTATTACATAGCTGGAAATAATAATATACATAATTGATGTCTCTTTCTCTTGATATATAGCCTTTTTTTTCAATGATTATCAAAAATCACTACTCTTCATAAATACACATTAGTCTATATATAATTCTTTGATTGAAATATAATCCTTAATATACCATTTTAATATATAGTTTAATTCAAACAACCAACTGATCCAACTCCTGGCCTTTCTATTACATTTTTTTTAAACATTATACTCGTACCAGGGTATTTAAAACAAAATTTTTAATTTATCATTGGTTAGTGTAAAAAACTCATTAGAAATTAAATTGGATTTAAATATTTGTAAACCAAAGTAGCTTAATTTCAATTTTAAATACGATAAAAAGTATAGACACGCATCTTAAAAAAAATAATTCTTAACATTTTAAAAATCTATTAAAATAATTTAATGACTTAGTACTTTAGTGTTTTGTCTTAGAATAAGAAGACCAATCATTTTATGTTATTCATGTATACACTTGTACAACAGGATCCCAGAAAATGTTCAAAAGGCTTCTATAGCCAAATTCAAAAAAATTGTTAAAGAAAGTTTGTGTGCTAAAGGCATTTATACAATAGATGATTTTATAGAAGACGGCACACCTTGGGAATGAAATGATCGCCTCCAGGCTACTTCAACTTGATAGAAATATTGTAAATTATAATTTTATTTAAAAAAAAAGAAAACGAGTTAATATTAGTCCCCCTGAGTTTCTTTCGCCAGTTCTTCTCAGGTCTGAGGCAACTTCTTTCCGTACTGGTAGTAGACTCATGACATTCAGTAAAAAAATCTAATAATTTAATGCTGGATAAAATATTTTGAATTTGAATAAGTTATGACTGTTTCAATTTTCTTGCATTGGTCTTCAAAATGAAAAATAAATAAAAATTTAGTTTAAATACATACACTTATCAATAAAATAGTTATGTTCTCTTGCAGTATTTGAGCCTGAACAACTTAATATTAGTTATGAAGTAGAATTTTAGAAAGTAGTTTTCACTGTTGAAATTAATTTAATATCAATATAAAATAAAATGGTTACAATAATTATGTAATTAAAGTGCAGTTTATCATGCTCACCAAGTGTATAAGCCACAAATAAGTTTATTGCCGATAATGCCCACACCCATCTGGGTATATGATCATTGTTGATATTCTCCTTTGTAAGGGCATGGAATCCATAGTCGTAATAGGAGAATAATAAAAAGTTAAGGACTGTCAGTAGAAAGCCTGAGAATGTTAGAAGGTTTGGTGCCACCCATACCGGACAAAACTGCAAAATTTTTCCTTTCATTAACTTCAAGAATCATAATATTTATTACTTATTTTTTATTTAAAATCTTATTGTATTTTTACACAAAATAGATATAATGTTAATTTGTTGTTTGTTAATTGCAAAATTATTAGTTCTATGAAAGGAAAAGTATATTCTATTTTAATGATACTGATTTGTTATCAAAGCACATTTGCATAGTAAAATATACTCAAATTTTTCCTCAGTCGTTTGTAAAAAAAATTGGTAAAATTATTTTTACGTTACCTGAACACACCCGTTCCAGAAAGGGTGCATCACATAATTACTTAGTATACTTGTATCAATCGAATTATACTGGAAAGGGAAAATAAATATTAATAAAATAATAATATATTTTTCTATATAATCGTGTCTAACATTTATTTATGCTAAAGAAAAACAATACGCAATAAGCATACCGGCACTGAAAGATAATTTATTTCAATGCATTGTAGTATTTGTGCACTTGAAGATATTATAATTAGTAATGAAAAAATATTACACTAACAGTCTTGTTCATATTTGGTAGTTAATTTTAAATAAGATTTAGTAGATATACCTTGTATTTTTCGAAACCTTCTAATTTATCTCTTGACAGGAAGCGAGCCATTGTATATTTTTAAGGAACACAAAATATATGATAGAAAATAGATGTTAATATTCTCCAAGAATAATATTTATACATTTAATGATTATTAAAAACAACATTATTTTACCGACAAAACCTTCACTCTTCACTTATCTTATCACACACATGACACAACTGAACTTGAGTCTTGAAGTAGGAGTACAGTTACAGTGTGCACGATATATATCGATATTTCATAAAATATCGATATATGTACGCGATAAATCGCTTCAACCCGATATTATCGAATCATCTAGTATCGATATATTTCATCCGATATATCAAATATCGTGAGAAGTTAAAAGCACATTCCATTTCTTTTCTTTTTAATATATTGATTCCTTTATTTATGGATAGCAACTTGAGTAAAAATAAAACATAAAACCCCAAGTTATTGAAAAACTAGCCTTCGTAATATCGGAACACAAGGTCACGAAAATCGAAAACTATTCTCCTACTCTCCGTGAATGCAGACTAGTAGTAGTAAAAAATTTATAATCTGCCTCGAGAGTCTCACTCGCTTCCGAAATCAAAGTTCCGACTTCCACTTCTTCATCGTTCTTAATTCTCAGTACAAATTACAAAATAACCTATAAAGTATAAATAAAAGTTGTCTGTTTTGTTTAATACAGTTTACGAAATTTAAATTCAGTTAATGTGTATAACCATATGTAAAATCAGCTATTTTAACTCAGAGAAATAGATTGCAAGCCAAAAGAAAGAGTTAATAAAATTTTGTTTTTGTAGGGTCTAGAGAAAAAGTATTGGGATTAATAAATAAATAAAATGTTTTGTTTGTTCACTAACTGTTTTACTCATATTAACCTGATCTCTGTCTAATATTTAATATTACAGACTAGTTAAATACAAACAAATAACTTACGACTTACGATATATTGAAAATATCGATATATTTATACGATATATCGCAAAGTATCGATACAAAGATATGATATATTATATCGAAAAAATATCGATATTTTTTTTACATGAACTTCCCTAACTTGAAGTCTGAAACATGAAAACTCAAAATACACACACAATATAACCTAAAGACGACGCATTAATGGTGAATCGGGGATATCGATATGTTTTAGCTAAGGTTTGGTAGTGACACTGCATAACAGCCGGCCCCGCCCCTTTACATTCCTTAGTCTGCCGCCGACAGTCATTGCGATAACATTGTCCGAGTTACTAGTTATAATGCCGTATTGTTCAGTGAAATGGTGTGGAAAGTGTAGTACAACGTCTTTTTTTTAACGTTGGGAAATGCATTTACGCACGAGGTGTGGGACTCACCGGAAAAGCCAGTACTACCCACTAAAACCCAACAAAACCTTCCCCCGTCTTAATGAGGCGTCGCAGGATCGCTTACGCATTCAACTACGACGCCCCGACGGCAGGTCTGCCGAAGCAGACCACAACAACCACGGGGTTGCTCCAAGGTCCACTCTGCTATCAGAGAAGTACCAGGAGCAACCCGCATGGTACACTGACCTCCGAAGAGGGCCACCTCCCACCGCCTACCGAAGTGGGCCACCTCCCTGTGCGTGCCCCCCACCACGACAAGGTGAATGCACGTTGGGGGGATAGTACAACATCTAGTCTAACCAAAGATGGTATAACATTTTACAGGTAAGTCATTATTCCATGATTAATCATTGAATTGAAAAAAAATAATAATATTTACCCAGAAATAAAATATGAAAAGAGCTTGCGTTGATGTCTTTTTAGTTTTCTCACATCCCTTTCTTTTGTAGATAAATTCACTTAACATTATCTCGCTCTGTCATTAGCACGTGTAAACTAGTGATGACACACAATGTAAACATAAAAATTACGTTTATCGAAAAACATAATTATTAAGACTCGATATTCATACAGCAGTCTAATGTGTTGTAAGTTGGTTGATCTTTGTGGATCATAGAGAATTATGTTTTGATATTGTAGTTGGAAGTCGATGGTCGGCGACTGTGAACCTGAATAAAATGTGAATATGTGATTGTTTGATTTTCAAATTTTAATTTAAGATCAAAAAATTAATTTGATATCCAAAAATAACAACTGTTTGTGAATGTTTTAAGTTTTCACTTCTGTCGGCAGTTCTCATGACTGCTTTTTTACTTTAGTAAGACGTTTACTAATCTCACTATATTAAATAATTTGTATAACAATTAACATGTTTTTTTATTATCCTTTTATACCATAATCGATTCGACTCAGTTATCGATATTGATAAATGAGTCTCGTCCATCACTAGTGAGTTGTCACTAATATTGTTAATTTTGACATGTGTTTCAAAGATCCAATGAAAAATAGCCGACATCCCCCTACACCCCGCTACGTATTGGCGATTTTGTTTTCGTACTAAAATTAATGAAAGCGGAGTCTTTTGGTTGTAATGTCTGTGTGAAAATGTTAAATGTAAAGATGCGTCAACTCGATTTACTAACTCGAGTTAACTCGAGTTGAGCTTAACTCGAACTAACTCGAGTTGAATTCTTTTTGAGTCGAATTTGGATTGGCGTGGTAAATGAACGAATCAAGCGTGTACGAGTTCGTTGTGTGCACGCTTTGTACAGTCGTCGGCACTTCAGACTATACATTTATATTGCACAATCGCTTCTATTACCTAATAAGATGCCACAGTGTTTAATTTAAATCGCCCGTACTCCCGCCATAGCGTATCAACCAAATGACAGAGTTATAATATCCATACTAATATTACAAATGTGAAAGTGTGTTTGTTTGTCTGTTTGTTTGTCCTTCTTTCACGTCGAAACGGAGTGACGGATTGGGGTAATTTTTTGGGTGAAGATAGTTGGAGGGCTGGAGAGTGATATAGGGTACCTACTTTTTACCGCGGAAGATTATCTCATTACCACGGTAAAACATGTTATAATACAACCCAAAAAAATATTTATGATCAGAATTACTTGAAACTTAGTATTAACGCTCTTCAATACAATTAAATAAATACATGTTTTAGCATTCTTCGAAATTTATCCGCTAATGGGGTAAAATAGGGGATGAAAGTTTGTATGAAACCTACGTTTTTAGAGTGTTTTTTTTTAGTTTTAGCGCGAGCGAAGCCGCGGGTTCTGCTAGTAAACATATAAATAAATATAAAAAAATATAAATAATTATAACTGTCTGAAGAATCTGTATCATTTTACCGAGTCATTAAATTGGTACGAACAAAACAAATCATTCACTTTATTTTTCATCCAGTTAACTCGAGTTACGTAACTCGTGTTCAATTCAAGTTACGTGAATTTCAACTTGAGTTAAATTGAGTCATATTTTTTCCGAGTTGGCATATCACTAATTAAATGTAGCAATTTATTCTATGATATTAAATAATTTAAATTGAATTATGTTACAGTTCTCGAGGCGTAAGCTCAGTTTTGCATTTGTGTGAGTGATAGCCAAAAGTAAGGTTAGTCAAAAAAATCACATGAAAATAATTTTTAAGCTATTGCATAGCTTCTATCGCGGGCCTTGAGCGTGGGGACCCAATCCAGAAATTCCGTAACGAAAAAAACCTGACACCCCCCACTCCGACCAGCACAGCGGTGATACTTTTTAGTTTTTCCATCTATCGATAAATACCAGAACTTTTAATGACTTTTTGAAATATCACGCTTGTCTCTTTAGTTCAGCAGACAGCAACCCGTCTTTATGTGGCATTGCGTCGCTGCGCCTGCAAAATGCGCTATGTATTTTTTTTTGAAATTCGGTTTTTAATGCCAGTTTTTACTACTTCTTAATCCACGTGTATCTGTAAAATCCGTTTTTGAATAACTCATTTGGTTAAGAAGATAGCAAAATCAGCTATGTAATTTTGATGAAAAACGGACTTGAAAAACCCTCTATATGTGCAGGAGGCACATAGCGTATTTTTGTTTCAAAGCGAGTCCCTTAGAATTGCGCTTTGAAATGATACATAGCGGGTTTGTCATACAGAAGAAACAGCACGTGGCAGGTGGTGCACTGTTTTTCAGATCGTATTTTATATCAATTAAATAGCTTTAGGTGTTAGATAGTGCATATAAGTTACAAAACTGGTTATACATACCTGGTTTGGCGAACTTTGAAATACCAAGTACTAATATTTCGAATTTCAATATTATTGACCCTGTAGAAGAAAAAGTATCGATTGCACGTGACTCAACGTTCACTGAATTTCATGAATCGAACCAGCATCAACTTAATAGTGTTCAGATGCCAATAGCGTTTGATTCTGGTGATTATTCTGATCAGAATATAGTAGTTTATCCACTTCATATGTCACCACCATTACTTCCATTTTCTAACGACCAATCCTTGGATGTATAAAAAATACAGAGCCCAGGTACTTCAAGCTCCTGTTGTTTATTGCTGAACCCTGAGACAGGGCTGTTAGAAGAAGACTGGCAGGTAGAAGAATCTAATAATAATCAGAGTAATAACTTAACATCTATTAAGAATAAGAGGAAGAACAACCAGGCTCTTCAATTACATGGCAAAGAATACAAAGGTCTTCAAAGAGCGGGGGGAACTGTGATCGAGACTGAGAAGTCTAAAAGATAACTAAAGCCCGTACCTTGTAATCATGGTATTGTAGGCATTTCTGACAGGTCTTTTCTTTACGGGTCTGTAACCGATCAAGCCCGTAAAGATATTTTTGATTATTTCTGGTCGTTGACATCTTGGAAAGCTAAAAAGGCCTCGTACTGGGTTCGACTGCAGTTCGAAATATAATAAAAAGAAGAACCATAACCACAACTGAAAATCGTACATCAAAACGAAAAAATACTGGTGTCGATTGTTTTTTGCCAAGAGAAAATGGCGTTAAAGTAAGAGTCTGTAGAGATTTATTTTTGGCCACTTTGGATATTACGAAAGAAACCTTTACAGATTGGACCAAAGCTAAAAGATGTCATACAACCAAAAGTATACCTGCCATTTATGATGAGGTTAGTACCTCAAACAAGAGAATTTTAAAGTCAGACTGTCGTACAATGGTTAGATCAGTTAGCTAAGGTACCCAGTCATTATTGCCACTCGTCTTCATCAAGAACGTACGTGGATGATGCATTGCATTCAAAGACAAAAATGCTCGAGGGTTACGTTTCCTAATGTCAATCTATCTCTTTGGAATTCGTCCAACGAAAGAAATCTTGCGAGATTTTAAGAAGTAAGAAAATTTCTATATATAAGCCACGGAAGGATCAATTTGATACTTGCGTATCTTACAAAGAAAGAAACTTAACCGAAGACGCGTATCAAAAACATATATAAAAAAGAATGAGGCTCGAGAAGTGAAAAAAATAGCCATAGATTCGTTATCTGATGAACATTGTGTATGACAATGGATTTGCAAAGTGTCCAATTATTCCCCAAGTTATTAGTATCCTGCCAGTACTACAAACAAAAACTTCAGCTTCATATTTTCACAATATATATTAATAACACAAGAGATGTACTTGTGTTTGTTTGGCACGAAGGCGACGGTGGTGTTACATGTAATAAATTTGTTACATGCATCGTAACATTCGTGGAGTTTTAATCCACCAAAGGCTATACAAAAATTAGTCTCATATCAGATGGTTGTGGTTACCAAAACTGGAATAATGTTTTGTCTAGTGCTTTGGCAGACGTTTCGAAGCTAAAGTCGGTTGAAATTCAACTAATCATCTTAGAAAAAGGGCACACCATGATGGAGGTTGACAGTGTCCATTTGAGTTTAGAGAAATTCTTTATTACTTTCAGATTATGTCGCATGCATACGGAAAGCGAGGCCAAGTCAACCTTACATTATAAAACATGTAGACTATACCTTTTTTAGGAACTTTGAAGCTGTGCCTAGCAATTTTTCATCAATTCGTCCCGGTAAAAGAGCAGGTGATCCCACAGTTGCCGATATAAGATCATTGTTGTATGTGAACGGTGATACTTATTATAAATTAAGACATCATGACACTCAATGGACCTTGTTGTCACAAAGAAAAAAGGCTGATCTGTACGAGGAGCTCGGTGTTTGTTTAGTAAGCCGAAAAAAATTTAAAAAAACTAAATTTCATAGTTTTCAGTCCTTGAAACCTTTAATGCATCGAGATAACCACTTTTTTATGACAATTTATCTTCTTTATTTATCTAAAACTAGTTTTGATTACCATCTTTAGTACCTACTTTTTACTTAGTTACAAATTGATCTCAAACTTTGCCAAACATTTAAGTGTACCTAACAATGAATGTGATTTGATTTGATTTGATCTGTTCATATTATAAGAGAGTGTTGTTATATTATAGAGATTTAGAACGATTGTTTTATTATGTTACTTATTATTTTTTAGTTTATATAATTTTATGTTTCTTGTGATAATTAACTCATTCATTAATTAATACCTACTGCTGCAATTTATTTTATTAATATTATGTTACATTTTTAAATACCTACTTTGTTCATAACTACCTAGGCATGCTAAGCTGTTTAGAGGTATCACTATTTTAGTCTGTATTGATTTATTTTGTTAATTATTTTTCTAATTAAGTATAATAAATACTTTTTAAGCGAACTTAAACTTATCTTATTATTTAAAAATAGTTTGTTAAATCCGTTATGTGTTCAAGAAAGCACACAAATGTTTATTATTTAGAAGAAGCATAAATCCGTCATGTGGTGAAAAGTCAAATAGCGGTATTTACGACCCAAATAAAATCCGATATGTGCCCAAATTCACTTAAAAAAATTCTAGCACCTGGAATATCATAGTAAACAGCAGTAAATATATATTTCTAGGTGTCCCGACACAAAGTCTAATTTTCTGCATAGTAAATTTTAAAATGTTATTAACAGTTTAGAAAAAAAATAGTTTTTTGTTTCTCCTGAAAAGTTGGGTTTTTATCCATAGCGGATTTTGCAGGCTCAACGACGATTGGTTGTATTGGAAAACTACCGTAATCAGCTATTAGTGAGAAAGTATATAGATGTATAGGTATTTATCATCTATATACAACAGTGAATATCTGTACTCGTATAATTTGTGTACAAAGTGTTTTAAATATGAATAAACAAAGTGCATTTATTAATGAAGAAAGTCAAGGAAAAAAAATACTGCATTAATAAAATAAATAAATAATTATAATTGCATAAGTTGATAAAAAATGCTATGCAATAGCTTTACCGCGGCAGTCTCCGAGTGCCATTTTTTCACACTATGTGTGTACACTCACACATATGCAGAGCTGAGCTTAAGGCGCGAGGACTGTAGGCTTGTTGAAAAAATATCGATGCATCGATGTATCGATATTTTTGATTCGATAAATCAATATTTTTAGCCAATACATTTTGATCCGATATATCAATACAAAATATTCCATATTGAAAATCGTGTCAAAAACGACATATTTTTTTCCAATTTAACTTATTAGCGGAATATGTAACAGAATTCAAAGACGTAAAAGATAGGAACGAATAGAAAAAAAATACTGTATTGTCTACTACTACTAGTATGTTTTGTTTGTGTTGCGTTATGTGTATGTAGCGGCCATCATACGTCACTCACTCACTTTAAATGCCGTAAAAACTACTTTATCGGAAGTGGGTAAAATACCTTCGTTTTTATTAAGATTCTTATACAATAAAATAATGTGCATTTTGTATAAAAAATACTATTACCTATTTTTAAGTCAGACTGAACAAAAACATTATTATTTTAAAACCGATTATCTCTGAAAATTTGACCGACATATCGGTATATCGATATTTTTACTCGAGGTATCGAGGTCGATATTGATATTTTAATAAAATATATCGATACATCGATATATCGATTTTTTTTCACTGCCGACAGCGCTGCCAATTGGCGGGTAAATTACCCGAAAAGCGGGTAATTTAAGACTATTTTTGATGGATAATTTTGACGGGTATAAATGCATTGAGCGGGGTCAAAACTCAAAACTTATATTTATATGGTATTTTTGTTTTATGTTATTACCCACTAAGTTCAGTTTGTTACTGGTATAGTGAAAATGTTAGGCTTTTGTAATACATAGTCCACCATCTTTGGGAGTCCGCCATATTGGATTAAATATCTATCAGCCTTATCTTCATCATCTTTGGACTTCGCTGCAGTCGGGTAAAAACATACATACATTACGAAGGAACATAGGATCGAACTATGAACGAATTAGCTACTAATTCGTTCATGGATCGGACATAATATGTAATTATTTATATGTACAATATACATACATACATACATCTGTATGTATATACATATATATGCCAGCGTAATTACCTTAATTTTCTCTCAATTTGATTATACATATATCGTTAGATTAATCTTTAGACCAGTAAGTATATATATTGCCGCGATACCTACCTATGTAAATTAACTATGTATGTCTCCGGGACTAAATATCTACAGTGCCCTAGGCTAGTAGATAGTTAGTACCTCTTCAGCGCCCCTATAGTTGCCATCTTACGAATATTAATATAAACGCGAAAGTTTACGAGAGTGAATTGACGCATTATTGTTTCTCTTTCACGCAAAAACAACTTACCGGATTATGAAGTGTGTATAAAGGTAGTTTATTCATTTAATTAACACATAGTATAAATAATTTTATCGTGGGAAAGTCACATGTCACGCGCTCGAAGCCGCTGGCTAGTTCTAGTCTATACATATAATAAAATTGTAACTAAGCCGAATCTGTACCTACGTTAAATATTTTTTGGAAAATCTTATTTAAACAAACATTATTATCGATACAGAGACCGAATATACAGTTATTAGAATTTCTGTCTGTATGCGGTAACAGACAGACACTGTCTGTTACCGTGTATGTGCAGCGAAGTCCAAAGATGATGAAGTTAAGGCTGATAGATATTTAATCCAATATGGCGGACTCCCAAAGATGGTGGACTATGTTTTTTTTATGCACACCCATGATATGGATATCAAATGACAGGGTTTGCTGAGAAGAATACTAGCTAACCATGCGTTGTCATCCAAACTAAACGTGTATGCAAAATTTCAGCTCAAATGATTGATGGTAACTGAAATTATTGTGGGCGTTGCGAATTAATAGGTAAATAATAATTAACGTCTTAATCGTTGCAGATAAACGTCACAACGATTGTTGTTTTGTGAAAGTTCGGAATGGGATGATATCGGGTTGATAAAATACAAATAGAATTACTCATGTACATTATATCGAGCTCAACGGCCGTGTCTTGCGGTTATCACTTTTCTATAATTAAATTGCCTTAATATTTAAATAACATAAACGAAATGCTTTATAAAACTGCAGCTCTCCGTTCAAAGCATCAAATAATAAAGAACTTAGTCTATTATTCGACTGCAAAGGTACGTCATTTATTTATTTACAATATAATTTATATTTTAAGCGCCTGTTTTTTGTTTATGCACCTCAACATATCTATTGATTAAAAGAAGAAGAAAGTATTTCATTAATTAAATCAACATTTTAAGTATAACTTGTAATATTCCATGATGAATGCGAAACTGTGATCTCCGACCTACATTTTTAGATAATATCATAAAAAGCTTATTTTGTATAAATAATAATAATTATTAGGAGCTCTGTCTCAAATCTCTTGTGGCCACTTCTGTATATTTTATTCCTTCAAATAAAATAAAAATAAGAATCATAGCTAATAAAAGTATATCTAATTAACAATAAAAAATAGGTATCTCAAGAGTATGATTAGATTTTTCGAGAAGTAAATTAAAATAGGTTATATTAGCATTATAATAGTGACTGCAAGTTGCCTAACATCTCAAAAGCCATAGAAAACGGGTTTAAAATTTTAATAGAAAATTTATCATGGAATTGTGAATACCTATGCTAATTTTACTTACTGCAGATATTTCGATAAATACATAAATTTAACTTTAATAATGAACAAGCTATAGAAGACATTCATCACTTTAGAAGATTTTTCCTGTGGTTCCCCCATGTTCACATCTAATTTAACGTAAGAATAACAATCACAAACTTTACCTTTTTATGATATTATCTATAGTAATATTATAAAAAGGTAAAGTTTGTGAGTTGTGAGTTTGTCACGTTGTATCTAATCTCTGGATTTACTGAACCGATTTAGATGAAATTTGGTAAGAAGATAAATCGCTAGTCTAATATAATTTCGTTCTCTTCAAGAATATACTTTATGACTGTTTCAATTACGATTTAAATTACAGTCAAAATTAAAATGGAACTTCTTGTTTTCACCCTTTTTGAATTCTTTATTAGTTATTAAATAAATATATTCATATAAAACAAAGTTTTAAGGTAACTCTCAGACCAATAAAAAAGTATTTTATTGATCTGAGAGTTAACTATTGAATGGCAGTCGCATTAGTAGAGTGTAGTGATATCCGGGGGAGAAGCCAACTCCTACCACCTCTCTGACGTAGCAGAGTTGACTGTGGAGCAACCCCATTGGTTTGGTGGTCTGCCTAGTATTTAGGCAGACCTGCCGCCGGGGCGCCGTAGTAGTTATGCGCAAGCGATCCTGCGGCGTCCCACTAAGGCGGGGGGAAGGGATGTCGGGTTTTAGTGGGTAGTACCGGCTCTTCTAGCCGGTGAGCCCCACATCACCACCTGGGGGATCAGGTGGTATGTGTATGTGCGCGTGCGTGTGCGTGCGTGTGTGTGTAATGTTTAGTATTTTTTATAGTCCATGACATACTTACTTCATTCGTTACTAGCGGCTTACCCTGGCTTCGCTCAGGTGCGTCCCTAATGCCCGATTTCACCAACGTCACCTAAGTTTAAGGGATCCCCTAAACATGGTTAGGGGACTGTTAGAGGACAATTTCTGTTTCACTGACAGTTAGGGATCAGCTAAATATTAAAAGGCCCCCTAAATTTAGGTGCTCGAAATATGGGCTTAAAGACTATCGTATAACGAAATTTAATTTAGGGGCTAGTTTAGGGGACTTTTAAGCTAGGGATCCCATACGTAGGTGGTAGCTTATGGGTTGTTGGTGAAATCGGGCATCAGTAACGTTTTATATAATACTAGCGGCTCACCCTCGCTTCGCTCGGGTTCGCCTCTAGAAAAGCACAAACAGATCTAGGCCACGGGAACCGTTCATTTTTCTGGGATGAAAAGTAACCTGTTGTTTGACCGGCAATATGAGGTATCAGCATGCCAAATTTTACTAAATTAGGTGCATAAGTTGTTGTGTACTAAGCTGTATAACTTACTATAGTTTTTTAACTATCCCACGGAAACTCTTTAATTTTCTGGAATGAAAAGTATCTTAGATCTTGACCGGGGATATAAGGTTTTCATTTAAATCGGTTCAATAGTTTCGAAGATTAGCCCGTAGAGCAAACAGAGAAACAAAAAAAATAAAAAATAAAACTAGATTTGTTCTATTTCTCTTCTTTCGGGATGTAAGAAGAGAACTGACTCGGTTTTTAGCATTTTTTTTGTATAGATAGAATAAATAACGTATAATAAAACAGTAATATATAATAATGAAAATAGTTATAGCGAGTGTACCTTAGGAGATAGACATATACTATGTAGAGCTTTTCTATAAACTTTTTTAAAACTTACAAATTTCTTGCACAATGTTTTGATCTATCTCTTAAGGTTGAGCCAACGTTAGCCATATCTACGGACGATTCAATAGAACCAGTTATTGTGTTTTCCCGTGGAAATGAATTATTTGCCTGTCGTAAAAGGTATCCTAAATGTTGACCCGAGTACTAAGTTTTATCACTATACAAAATTTAGTTAAAATCTCTCACACTCCGGTGGGACGACTGCTCGACACGACCAGTGAGAGTTAAGGCGCAGGACCACACAGCTTTACGTGCTCTCCGAGGCACGGCGGTGAAACACCGCCAACTTCCCAACTCCGGGCTGTTACTGAGACTTACTAAACAGAAAGACTCAATAACTAAACTTGGCTCGACCCGGGACTCGAACCCAGGACCTCCGGGTGTGCAGCCGTACATGGTAGCCACTACACCACCGAGGCAGTTAACACAGACATACAAAAGGTATCCTAAATGTTGACTCGAGTAATAAGTTATCACTTGACCAAATTTCGTTGAAATCGGTACATTACTTTTCGCGTGAAATTCGTCCATACCTACGAATATGTTGTATTATCTCTTTAACCATTTGTCCAAATTATATGCAGTAAAAGGGAAAAGTCTTTTGTTTTAAACATTTTAGACGATAAATTTACTTATTTTGATAAGAATTCATAATTGTTGATAATATGACCAATAAACATGACCTACCGATTTAAATTATTTTTTTAATATAAAAAGCTACTTTTGTGACTTAAATATAAAAGTTAGACATATTATGCTGTCGCTGACTTTTTTGTAGACATTATTATGCTCTACAACTTTTCTCTAGAACATAATCATAATATATCTGTCACCGTTAAGGCAGCGTTCGTAAGAAACGTTTTCGTTCGACCGTTTTTTCTCCGACTTACTTTGCAAATCCGACTGCCACGAAAAAGGCTTTTCATTCTTCGGGTTAATATATAGCCTATGACACTCAGAAAGAACGTGGCTCTCTATTGGTAAAAGAATTTTGAAAATCGGTTCAGTAGATCCAGAGATTACCCCCTACAACGTCACAAACTCACAAACCCACAAACTCACAAACTCACAAGATCACAAACTTTACCTCTTTATAATATTATTATAGTATAGATGTAGATAAAAATAGTGATTGCTAATATTAGGTATATTAGGAGATACATGCTATCGCGGATTTTCTTGTACGTCGTTATAAGACCTACAATTTTGTAGCACATTGTTTTGATATTTCTTTAAAGGTTTAGCGTCCGCGTGAATGAAAGATTTTTCCTGTAGTAAAAGGCATCTCAAATGTTGACCCAAGTAATAACTTATCATTACAAAAAATGAAGTTAAAATCGGTTCAGTAATTTTTGCGTGAAATGCACACACGTATACAGACAAAGAGACAATTACAGCGACTATTTTGGGGTCTATATTCTATACACAGTACATTTAACAGTCATTAAATATTTTAGACAAAAATATTTTATGTACAGATTTTGCTTTGTTACTATTTTCTTAAATTATGTATACATTATACAAATAACACATAAAACTCGCAAAATATATACCTAATACGTCGCATTAAATATTTATCTAATTCACATTTGTTTAGGTACACCTATCTATTTAGGACTGGTACCTGTTACGTACTATCTATCGAATAAGAATAAATTATAGATATACATAAATATACATATACCGAATAAGTAAGTAACATTTGTATATTTATTTCATTTAAGTTACATTTCAAGCTTCGATATTCCGCAGAAACACTTTTTGTTAATTTATACTTAATTAATATAAAGTAAGTAACTATATTTGTCTGTCTGTTAAGTTTTCACGCCTGAACCGCTGAATCGATTGATGAATATAAGGATAATTTTAAACTTGATGGGGGTGAACGGCTTAAAGTTTGTATTGGGAAGATAAAAAATCGTTATATTCTATAATTTTTACTAAGAAATATATAATACTAGCGACTCACCCTCGCTTAGCTCGGGTTCGTCCCTAGCTTGCTTCCGAATACAAATTTTCATCCCCATTTTCACCCCTTTAAGGGACGATATCCGGGATAAAAGTATTCTATGTCCTTCCCAAGTCTCACACAATCTTCTTATCAAATTTCATCTGAATCCGTTCAGTAGATCCAGAGATTACCCCATACAACGTCACAAATCACAAACTGACAATTCACAAACTTTACCTCTTTATAATATTAGTATAGACTAACAAAACCCGCGGCTTCGCTCGCGCTAACACTACAGAAAAATTCTAAAAAGTAGGTTTCATACAAACTTTCATCAGCTATTTTAGCCCCTTATGGCATGAATATCTAAAAATGCTAAAACACGTATTTATTTAATTGTATTGAAGAGTATTAATACCAAGTGTCACGTAATTCTGATAATAAATAATTTTTGGGTTGTATTATAATGTGTACTCCCGTGGGAATGAGACTATTTCCCGCGATAAAAAGTAGCCTATGTCACTCTCCACTTCCAGCCCTCCAACTATCTCCACACAAAAAATCTGTCAATCCGTCACTCCGTTACGACGTGAAAGATACTTACATACTTTTCTATGCCTATGTATGTACATATACTTTACATAGTTTATTCTATACTGACCGTTAAAACGTATTGGAGGAAAAGTAAGGGACGCGCCCGAGCCAAGCGGGGGTAAGTCGCTAGTACCTATATAATAAATTTATTATAATATATAATTTAATTTCTATTAATAATAGGCTCCCCATATCCTTAGGGCTACCCTATGAGAGTGTATCTGCCTACATTATACATATAATTCAGGCTGAGATCGAAACAATATACTTACTATAATATAATAAGTATGTACATGAATATCTCTGTTTATTATTATATCGGCCATATCTTTATCATTTATAATCACATAAAATACTTGATTCTTTAAATATTTGGTTTTGATAGGCATACTAACGTGAGTAACTAAGTAAGCAGAAGTTAAAATAAATAGATAGATAATATGGTTTCTCTAAAGTTATAATTTTAAAGCATATTGCAGTCTGTGCCAAGCCAAATGTACCTAATAGTAAGTACCTACACTCGCCGCGATCTGAGAAATCTATACCACGGTAATGTTTATACTTCAAACCTATCAATAAGTAGCACATATAAATAATAGTATTTTATTAATATTAAAGGTATTAGGTTTGCATAAGAGGTGTATTAAATTAAATCTTATTTTATACCTTTAAGTTTTTGAAGTCGGTTTTTTACGTAGATTTTTTTATTTTTTACTTTTTAGTGTCTGTAATAGGTTGTTCTGTAAACTATAGTAGGTATTATAATAATGTAACGATTAGTTATAATATTATTCCCAGTTTCTCTACGCCGCACGCTCGCTCCGCTTCACCTAATTAATACCCACTTATCGGGACGCGGGTTATCACGTCCAGGTAAATTCCGCATCAAACTAAAGAAGAATTACGTAAATGGGATCATAAATCTCAGCGTAATTGGAGTACATACATAAAAAAATACCAATCTAATTGAGAACCTCCACCTTTTTGAAGTCGGAAAAATAGTCAACGAACATTACTTCAACACTATCGTAAAACTAAGAATGTATTTGTAAAAATGTTTTAAAAATATTTTTAATAAGCATTATATCAATATCAAATAAGTTGCCAATAATCTTTATAATAAATTAAAATAAAATTTAAACTGACTATACCTATACTCGTAGTCCAATCGGAATCCGGTTTGGGAACAAAATATTGAAAACCTGTAGTTTTATGATTTTAAAATGTTGGCAGGTATATAAGAAATACAAATTTGTAAAATGCCTCCTATGTCGAGCTACCCCCGAGAAATAGAAATGGGGGGGTTTTGCGCAAAGCGTTGAAAAATATTGTTTTTCAATTTTCGGCTTACTGTCATGTTTTATCGAAAAATGTTTTCTACAAAAGTTGTAGGTTTACTAAAAATCTACATAACATAATAATAAGAGTGAGACATTTTGACCTTACAATATAAAAACAGTATCTTGCGTATAGCATAAAGAAGATACATACAAGTGATTAGCCAAATATACGATAAGTTATCGTATGTAAAAACTAGCCAAGTCAAATCTTGAACTTCAATTTATCCTAAGTTATCTACTCTGTGTAAATAATTCGACTGTTCAATATTACGAGGTTCTATTTTTAAATAGCAAACACTTTTTTAGCAGAAAAAAAAACAAGAAATTTTGTTTTAAATTTATTTTAGAATGTTGTATGTTCTTATGAAAAAATTTCAGGATTATTTCCCCCCCCCAACGTGCGTTCACCTTGTCGTGGTGGGGGGGCTCAGTAGTGTACTCGCGAAGCCAAGAAACGCACAGGGAGGTGGCCCGCTTCGGTGGGCGGTGGGAGGCGGCCTTCTTCGGAGGGTGGTGTCCCAACGTTAAAAAAAAAAAAAAAAAAAAAAAAGGATTATCTACAGAACTTGGCACCAATTTAAATCTCAATTCTTTTTTCGGTGAAGTTGACAACCACGCATATTCTTAATATTGAACTGGGCTCCCATTTTCAAATTTATGTTTTTGATGGGATTTATCTATATACTATAAATTATAATATTATAAAAGTTAAAGAGGACTTTACCTCTTTAACTTTTTTTGTGAGGTTGTAGGGGGGTAATCTCTGGATCTACTCAAGCGATTTAGATGAAAGGTACTCGTAAGACCATAGTTTGAGACCCTGGGAAGGACATAGGATACTTTTTATCCCGGAAATCATCCCTTAAGGGGGTGAAAATGGGGATGAAATTTTGTATTGGGAAGCAAGCTAGGGACGAACCCGAGCGCAGTGAAGGGTGAGTCGCTAGTATAGTATAAAAAAATAACTCAACATCAATTCTATCGAATATATGAGAAAATAATAACTTCTATTTTATTATATTCTTATATTATTTTTAAATAATTTTATATCTTTTTAAATTTGATATCTATATATTGTTTTTAGCATCGACGTATAATAGCAATTCGTAGAGAAGATCAGTCAGTATGGGAGAGAAGAGCACCTTTCTGTCCTACCAATGTCAACCGACTAGTACGAAATGGTGTTAAAGTTATTGTACAGCCGTCTAATCGTAGGGCATATCCAATGCAGGTATTTAATTGATAGTAGTTTTAGTTTTTTTAGATAGTTTCTTTATAACAATTAAAGCATGAAGTCATTTTTACTAGTTTTTTATACAATAGACAACATACAAATAACTAAAATTTAGTATATTTTTTTAATATTTAGTTACTTTAAATGCTCGCCATTTCGCGCGCTTGGCGTGACGTTACAGTATGATATACAAAATCGCTAAACACTCTGCTAAGATATACTTACTCTGAAGTCTGACGTCATATTCGGTCTAAGCAATGGCGTTGCGTTTCAACTACTCTTTTAATAATTATTTTCTTAATCAAAAAGAAATTACATTAATAAATATTAGTATACATAATTCATAAACAATAAAGATTATAAAAAAATATATACACACATATTCCATATTATTTTCTTTTTAATTTATTTATATATATCTTAATATATAATTTTATATATCTTAATAGTAAATTAAAAAATCTGACTTCCAGGCACTAAAATGTAAAAAATAACTAAACGGGGGTTTTCATTTAAAATAGATACCTAATCAGATATTTTCAGAGTCGGTGCCAGCCGATGCAAAGCAATATTCCGAGAGCTGGCAACAAATTTTGGGAAGGTCCTTTTGTCAACTTAAAATTGTGAAAAAATATAATTTCATCAATTAGCGAGTCCAGCCCCGCGAGTTTGGTATAGCTTTTGCGGTTATTACGTTACTGCGCAGTTCATAACATTTGCAATAAATATATTTCGAGTATCGTTCGGATTCTGCGTTCACAATACAGTATTTTAGAATAGTTTATTAATCATCATCATAATCATCCCTGAAGGGTGTGAAAATGGGGATGAAAGTTAGTATGGGGAATCAACCTAGGGACGAACCCAAGCGAAGCGAGGGTGAGTCGCTAGTATTAAATATATGTATTAGAAACTGTCATATGTATTTTATAATAGTCTCTAATACATGTTAGTATTTTTAAAGACGAATAAAGCCTAATTTATATAACTTAAACTCGTATCTTTATTTACGTCTGGGAGTTGTTTAAAATCGCTAAATTTGTCTGGTGACTTGCAGGTATTATTGAAATTACTCAATATATACGTAATTAAATTTTCAGATTGCCAAAAGTATATTTTCGGCAATTTGAATAAAATATTTTTGGAGAGTTCTGGTAATCTGGTTATAACCGACAAAAACGTCGGGGGTTCTTTTTTTTAATTATATAAAAACTAAATTAAAAGATTAAACAATAATCAAGTGGCCAAAAATATGTTTTTTTTGATATATTTTTTGCAAATGCTTATATACTGCGCAGTAACGAAATAACCGCAAACGCTATACTAGACTCGCAGGACTGGACTCGCTAATTCACGAAATTATATTTTTTCACAATTTCAACTTGCAAAAAGGACCTTCCCAAAATCACCACCACTCAAAATCAAAATCACACCAGCTCTCGGGCTACAAATCTAATTAATATATTTCGATACGTAAAATACATCACAAATTCGAAATTGTTAATGGATAATTATTGATGTATGATATTTTAACTATAATTAGAGTTCATACCTAATCAATAATCATATTTACCTATTAGATATTGTCGACTGGCACCGACTTCGAAGAAAACCCCTCGTTTAGTTATTTTTTACATTTTAGTGTCTGGAAGTCGGTTTTTTTAAGATTCTATTTTTCCATTTTTAGTGTAGACGTAATAAGCAGGTAATTTGTAAGAAGAAAGTTTTTTAATAACATATTCGATTAAGCAATTTATTTTCAAAAAAGTATCTATTTTTTGTTGATTTTTTAAGAGCCGCTCGACCGATTTCGATGAAATTTAAATGGGAATATAATAATAAAAGAGTACCTGGGAAGTATACCCTTCGAAATAAAAAAAATCTAAATCAGTTCAGGCGTCTTCGAGTAATCGGTGAACATACATTAAAAATAAAGATTCCGACGAATTGAGAACCTCCTGCTTTTTGGAAGTCTGTTAGTAATAATTAAAACGTACTTAATATTTATTTACTAATTTCAAGTCATATATCAACGCCGGCGCTGTAATTCAAGAAGATATAAGTGAAGCCAGTGTTATATTTGGTGTTAAACAAACGCCAATAGACTTGCTTATTCCCAATAAGACGTATTGCTTCTTTTCCCACACTATTAAAGCTCAAGAAGCTAATATGCCAATGTTGGATGCTATTTTGGCTAAGGTAAGATCTGCGATTTCGTTATAATTTATATTAGATGCATATGCATATGCCTTTTAAATTTTAAATATCCATATTATATTCTAATATGCGTATACATTATAATAATATATATAAGTTCCGCTGAGTAAGCAAAAGAATTGTGTCACTAGAGAATGAATAGAAATTGTTTTTTTATGTTAGGAAATGGATTTACGCGTAGCGCCCGTATATTAACTGCCGGGAATTTTTTTTCTTGGATTTGGAAGACTCCATCTACTGATGGAAAATAGAGAAAAATGCTTACAGGAGTCAAAAGGATTTTAATGACAATAAAAAACAAAGAATTCTAGCTACTAAGTGAAAATTATTGACTGTTCAATTTATGTTATTTATAGTTTCAATTTTTAGTTTATCTTAATTGAATTAAATGTATAATTTACCTACAATTTTGATTATTTATTTCAGAATATTCGTCTCATTGATTATGAAAAGTTAATGGATAACGCGGGGAACCGTGTAGTAGCATTTGGGAAGTACGCTGGCGTGGCTGGCATGATAAACATCTTGCATGGTCTCGGCTTACGTTTACTAGCACTAGGACATCATACACCATTTATGGTAAGTTAGTACGAATGTGTTCGTATTATTATTCTGAAGCTGGTGCTAGCAAAATTTTGTCACTCCTTTTACCAATTCTTGACTATGCTGATATCTGTTATCTTAATGTTACTGAGGAGCAATTAAATAAACTTGAGCGGCTCCAAAATCTTTGTATTCGGTTTATATTTGGTTTATGTAAATAGGAACATGTTTCTGAATTTCGTAAAAAGCTCAAGTGGCTCCCTATCCGCCTCCGCAGAAATACTTATATTCTTCATCTTCATAACTGTATTCTGTTTAATCCATGTACCCCATCTTACCTCAAAGAGCGCTTTTCATTCCTTGGGCACTCACATTCTCGCTTACTTCTATCCATATCATATCCAGTCATAACCTATTCCTTATATCCCTATTATAGTAACTCCTTTTCTATTACCGCTCCTCGTCTATCAAACTCTCTTCCCCAAAGTGTCAAGAATGCAAAATGACATACGATTTTTAAAAAAAACGTCTAAAGGACTACGAGCTTTCACTCTCTTTAAATATTTCCTTGGCTATATTTTCTTATCCCTGCACTAGTATGATTGTTGTTTAATCTTGCTTTTTATGAATTTATTCTATTCTTATACTTATTCTATTTATTTATTGGTTATCACTTATCGTCGTAGTTTATAAATTTATATTTATTTTTTATTCATATTATATTTTTATGCGTAATATATTATTATACAAGTATGTAAGTTTGTCTTACACATATAAATATATACATGTATATATTTATATGATACTAGCGGAACCCGTGGCTGCGCTCGCGCTAAAACTACAAAAAAAAACTAAAATGGTACCTTTCATACAAACTTTTTATCCCCCCGGATACTAAACTTCATGACAAACGTTGGAGCCGTTTCCGAGATTCAGAATATATATATATATATATGCAAGAATTGCTCGTTTAAAGATATAGGATATAATTCTTCTGTACCAAAATTTCATGGAAGACTCAGAATAAATACATTTACATAAATTGTTGATTAAATAAAATAAAAATCGATGTGTTAATGTATATTTCCTATGGATTCCAAAACAGCGGGAGCGATTTTGATGAAATTTTCAGGTAATCTTTAGATTAGCCCGATGGGTGATCCTGTGAAGTTTGGTAACGATCGGAAGTTTGGACGCGGGCGAAGCCGCGGGTACTGCTAGTTACCTATAAACATTAACTGTTACAGTTAAATTCAACAATTTAACTGTGATAATTAATTTTATAGGTATCAATAGTAACTTTATTTTGGAGCAAAAATTCAGGTTCAGCACTTATTTCATATATTGTGTATCCCATCACCCATGTAGATAGTTATGTACTTACTTTAATTTATAGCTTTGACGCCGTAAAATTTAAAATATATAAATGTTTGTTTTTACAAAATTATCACAATGTCTTATCCTATAAGCTGTATGATTAATTGATAACCTACAATCGTGTAAGCAGGTAATGGGCAGCGTAAAATTTTTTATTGATAAGAACGTTGTAGTAATAAATATATTAACCAAATATGATTTGGTTTTTCAGTTTCCATATTTTTTTATCCTTCTTTCATTTCTCCTCTGTAAAATGAATGAAAAACCCCATGCTGTAAAAAATAAAGTGAACAGGCAAACCAAAAATCAAACATTGCAATATCTGGCTTGTTCTCATTCAAGAGGTTGAAAAATTGATCCTACTACGGGAGGAATAATATTCTCTTGCATGACAGTAAAAATAGACGTTGCTAAAATAATATGAAATCTAGATGCAGTGTAATTCAGAAGAAGACTGGGTGGAATACAACGTAACACGCTTAAACTATAACGTGATAGTAAAAATAAAGAAAATTGTATAGGGAGATTATATAGAAAGATTTATGTCGAGATTGTAGCGCTTTTACTGTTCCCTATCTACCTCGCAAGGGATATAATAGTGTGAAGTTATATATAAAACAAAACAATATAAGTTTGTGGTAATGGTTAACTTTTTTATTTTGTTCTTTCTCACAGCATGTCGGACCAGCACATAACTACAGAAACTCAAGCATGGCCCGGCAAGCGATACGGGACGCGGGATACGAAGTAGCACTTGGTATGATGCCAAAATCATTAGGGCCTCTTACATTTGTTTTTACTGGATCAGGCAATGTTTCGCAGGTATTACTATTGCAATTTAATAGTCATTTATGTTATAAAATAAAACAGCCTATTTTAATCAAATCAAAAAACAATGAAAAAAATCGTTAAAAATAAAAACTCACAATCGTGACACACCCTCACATATGTATTATAATCGATGTTTAATGATAAAGAAATAACTTATCAAGAAATTAGAAATAAATATATAAATTACAATCAATATATCAAAAATCTAAGTGATAAATTAAGGTAATATAAGCAGATAGGGGGCGCGCTCCGTTGCCATGATAACCAATTTTTTTAGTTTACTGTCTCAATGCAATATTCTTTTTATTTAAATCTATTAATATTTGTAATTTTCTTTTTTGGATAAAAATCATTTTGATTAAAAAGAAAAAAAAAACAAATTTAAATCTGCTTTCTCTCGCTTTGCTTCAATTACCGTATATCAGTATTACCTTATCATAACTAATTATAAAGAATATTTTATGCTTTTTTTTCTTATTTATATTATGATTGCTTAATTATGTCTTATTTTTACTACTTTATTTTCTTTTTTATCTATTTATATTACACTTTGTCATTATAACTACTTTCATAGGGTAGCCAAGAAATATTTCAAGAACTACCTCACGAATATGTTCCTCCCGAAATGTTGAGGAAGGTTGCAGAGCATGGCAGTGAGTACGAACTCTACTTTCTTTTAATTAACTAATATGCTTACATTAAACATAATATAGATAATATTTTGTTTTTCCTAATAAATTATACCTAACTTGTTTGTATATATAATTGTCTACCTCTACTATATGAATAATAATTGTAATAAAATTAATAATAGTAGCTTCTTACTAATTGTAATATATGTGTCTCGACCAAATAGAAATGAAATAAGTCCAAATTCAAAGGTTTTGCTTTTATTAGCCCTTAAATTCCTCTAATCACTACAATTTCGGGTTCCAGCATTAGATTAGCTTGATGGTATCAAACTTTGTCATCGAGATATTATTACATAATTACTAAATGACATTTTACAATATATATATATATATATATATATATATATATATATATATATATATATAATATGTATACCTACACAGAATCATAATATTATGTTATTCCCTCATATTTTTGTAGATTTCTATTCTTCAACGATTGTATGTACGAGTAGAATGATATTATGTGACTTGTCTTGGTAGAAATTGGTTTGATTCGTTCTCGAACGACTTCAAGAATTTGAATGCTTAGTTATTTACCAGTGAACGTAATAAAAGCCTTTTAGAAAGAAAAGTTTTTGGTTTCCCGACCCCTAATCTAATCTCTGCAAAAAATCACATTCGTTCATTCAATCCGTTGCTCCGTTGCTGCATAAAATAGGGACAAACTAACTAGCACACTATCGTATTTATAATCGATATTACAAACAAGTGACACGCCTCCGCTTTATTTTTTAATAACTTAATCGCAATCTTTTCGGTAAATAAATTTTCCATGCATATATGGACGTGAACCCGTTCCTCCGTTACTACAATCATCGCATTCATAAGATTTTATTGGAAAGGATAAGCAATTTCTACCTAAGGATTTCACCAATTTTGCTTCAGGAATAAGTTTGTAAGGTAATACTCATATTTATTCAGCTCTTTTTAACGTCCCACTGCTGGACACGGGCCTCCCAAGACGAGGAGGATCAGGTCGTAGTCCACCACGCTGCCCAAGTGCGAGTTGGTGGACTTCACATGTCTTTCGAAAACTTGCTTGGTTCTCTCACACGTGCAGGTTGGAGACATGAATAATTCATAAATTTCAGAGATGCGCAATGAACTCGTTTCACTCGGTTTCCCAAGCGAGCGTGTTACCACTGAGCTAATGCCTAGTATCCATATGTATGCATTATGCTTACAAATTATTAATACATGTGTGAATTTTTCGATATCCTCTATATACCTACCTATATAAAAAATAATTTTTGGTACATTTATTTGGAAAATAATAAGATCTTAAAAAACGTACAAAAATTGATCACTGAAGTAACTGAATTATAAAATTAAAATTATTTAATTAGTACTTTGCTTATTGTTATAGGTCCAAACAAAATATATGGGTGTGAGGTTCGCAGACGACATCACTTAGTGAGAAAAAACGGCGGAGGTTACGATCCTCAAGAATACGAAGAACATCCCGACCGATATGTATCTACTTTTGCCCAAACTGTAAGAATTATATATTTGAATTGATGTATTACTTACAATCTCAATAACTTGTATTAATAATAATTAATTAGTGACCAACCAAAGATTTGGTATCGGTTTCGGCCAGTTTCAGCCAAGAAGAGAATGCACAGTCTTGTGTGTGCGTGCGAGTTAAGAGCAACACAGTAAACTTATTTATTTAAAAACTATATTTAAAATTACAATAATAATTAATATGTCTAATGTTTTATGCTACGTGATGACACAATAAGAATTTAATTCAAAAATAATTTTAATATTAACGTGAACTTCTATTGAACAAACATGAAGTCGGTTGAAAAGTGAAGAGTTACGTTATAACGCAAATGCCCGCGAACCTGGAAATGCTGACTCCGCTCCTCGTGTCGCCAACGTGCTGCGTGAGGTTAGCGCTCCTGTCCACCTATAACTATGCGCCATGCGTGCGTGCGCGCGTGCGCGCGTGTGTGAGTGTGTGTGTGTGCGCGCGGGCGCGAGCGCATGTTAACGCATGTGTGTGTGTGTGCATGTGCATGTACGTGCGTGTCTAAATAAATTTCGGTTCGGCCGAAAGTGAGACCGAGGCCGAAGGTACAGTTTTGGCTGCAAATCGTGTTCCTCAAAAATATACCTATCCATATTTTCTTTCTAATCACTTTATTACTTTTTTCCTGGTTTAACTGAAATTTTGCGTCCTCAATTTTAATACATTATTCGTTTTAATTGTTTTAATCAAAACTAATATTCTTTTAGATAGCTCCATATACATCTGTGTTAGTGAACTGCATATACTGGGCGGTGGGTAGTCCCAAATTGCTGACCATCCCCGACGCCAAGCACCTGCTCATGCCTTCGAACACGCCCTGGCTCCCAAAGAGCATTGGCGCGCCGGCTCTACCACACAGGTTAGAATCTTATTTTTCTCTTTGTTTCCACTCCGGTAGTTTGCAGAACCTTAGACCCCTAGAGTTTACAGCTCTACTTATTGTACTCTTTACTATAAAAAGTAATTCAGAACCCTTTACCATAAAGATAATTCAATTTTATATTCCGAGTGGGTACTCGAACATACACAAAAAATATCATTAAAATCGTCCATGCCGTTTACCTACTACCTGGTTCAATTGTGTTTTCAAACCATCTAGGAGCCCATTGAAATATACACACAAAATTTCATCCAAATCAGTCTAGCCCTTTAGGTGGAGTAGGTTAACAAACACACGTATAGAAGAATTATATATAGTAAGATATATCATAAAAGTTATCCATATGTTTTGACAGAATGCTGGCAATATGCGATATATCAGCGGACCCAGGTGGATCTATCGAGTTCATGAATGAGTGCACTACTATCGACACTCCTTTCTGTCTTTATGACGCTGACAGAAATAAGGACACTAAAAGGTATACTACATATTTATTTGATATATCTTTAGCTTCAATTTGTAGCATGCACAGGGCTTGTTAAAAATATTTCAATTTACAATTATATTATCATGGCTTGTTACGATTTACAATAGTGGACATCAGAAAGAAAGATGGGTAAACAGATTGTTAAGGTTTTACAAATTTAAATGTTTAGTTTACTCTCTTTTGACTGAACAGTTTTAATTACTACTTACATTAGAAACAGTCAAAATAAATATAAATAATCTCATAAGATCATTTTAAATATTTGTAGTATTGCAATATTATCTTAATGATGTCTTAATGCAGTATCTGTAGCTCAAAGGCCAAATAGAAGGATAAGGTTATTGTCCGACTTGCATCTAATACATAAATATTATATTTATACATACAGTCAATGTGTAATCGCACAATATCATTTATTACATATCGTACGATATCATTACGAACGTTAATTTGATAAAACCATTAACACACAGTCTTTCATTTGGACTTATAAAATGTACATTAATTTTCTTTAGATTATGGTTTTTACTTACAATAAAGAAAATTACAAATATACTTAATTATATATACAAAACAAATGTACACTTAGTTATTATTGTACAAGTCATGTCCGCGTGGAATAGTGGCAAGAATGCTAGCCGCATTCCTCCGTTGAATTTTTTTGCGAAAAATTGCCTCCTGTCACCAGCAGAGGCGACAAAACGTGGTGTTATGTTTTTTAAATTATGTACATGTTCATTAAATTGTGTACAGCTTATTACAGAGTGTTAAAAATAATTTTAAGGCTTGTAATGACATTTAACACATTTTTTTACAGTTTCAAAGGTCCAGGTGTGCTTGTATGCTCCATAGATAACATGCCAACACAATTGCCGCGAGAATCCACCGATTTCTTTGGCGACTTGCTTTATCCTTACGCTGAAGACATTATGAGTTCAGATGCTTCACAACCACTCGAGGAACATAAATTCTCAACTGTCGTTCAAGGAGTGAGTTTTTGTACTGTTTTAATTGCGTTAATATATTTAAGAGAATGTTTTAAAAATGGATATTAACGAATCTATGTACAAAAATAATATTTTATTGTTACATAATATATACCTACATTTTAGGCCATCATCACAAGTAATGGAAAGTTAACTCCCTCATTCGAATACATCAACGAACTACGAAATTCTAATAAGTAAGTACAAGATGAGTTTTATTTTTGAGACACAATATTATCTTCTTCTTTTCTTTATTTTAAACTAGCGTTGCCCGCGGCTCCGCCCGCGTTCAGATGACCAAAAACCAAATTCTTGGGTTTACATATTAGTATACTCTTACATTGCAGTTTTTGTTTTTTTTCCTCAGAAATGATACATTTTTCCGCGGTAAAAAGTATCCTATATGTTGACTCGGATAACCAGCTATCACCATACCAAATTTCATCAAAATCCCTCCAGTGGTTTTTCTGTGATGCGGTAACAGACAGACAGACAGACAGACGGACGGACGGACAGACAGACAAACAAAAATTCTAAAAACTATAGATTCGGCATCTGTATCGATAATAATGTCTATTTCAATAAGATTTACCAAAAAATATTTAATGTACAGATTCGGCTTAGTTACAATTTTATTATATGTATAGATTATATTTTTTTTATTTGATTGCCATAGCCGATCGCGACATAAGGTCGAGGGTAATGATCAGCAAAACCACGTAGTAATCTTAGGTAGTGGTTTGGTGTCTGCGCCCGTAGTGGAGTACCTCGCTAGGGACAAGAATGTTGCTGTCACTGTTGGTTCGTATTTGTAATAATATTATTAAATTTAGCACTTATTACTATGAAATAACGTAGATCGTTCATCATAGATCCAGCTTTATTTTTTCACAGTAGACATATTTGCTAGATCTTAGGCTGACACACCTATGGTTGGTCAAACCCAGCATTTGGTGTATTCAGGAATCGAGTCTTCTATATACATATTTCTCACTATGCCACGTAGTGTCTACAAACTTATTTTAGCTTCGCAAATAAAAGAAGAAGCGGACGCACTTGCTGAGCGGTATGGAGTCCATTCCCAGTACTTAGAAGCGAATGACGAACAGGCCCTTAGATCTTTAGCGTCGCAAGCCCGACTTGTGATATCGTTGCTCCCCTATGAGCTGCACGGCGCCGTGGCGCGCGCGTGCCTTGGCGCGGGCTCTCACATGGTCACGGCATCGTACGTCAGACCAGAAGTCCAAGAATTACATGATGCGTAAGTAGATGGTTCAAAAACCAATTATAATAGTCTATTAATATACACACGCATATATTATAACTGTAACATGGTTAATGTTGAACACTTAATCGTCAAATTTTTATGTTTCACTAAACCAAATTAGAAGATTTTTTTAAATAAAATCGTTTGTATGTTACTTGAAATATTTTAAAATTGACAGTTGTGTTACTATACAATAAAAATATCCATTCAAGTTCATGTCACATTTTGTTGGAGCTAAAGTAAATTTCTATTTAATCCAACCGTAGAGCCATATACACTGGCGTGCAAAAAATCGGGCCACCCTTAATTTTAAGCATAATTTTTTGTTGAATTGTTAGGTGAAAAAAAATACCGCAAAGGTAATTAAGGAGATTAGACGCCTTTGTTTCCTTCAAAAAAGTCATAAAATTCCTGGAAATGCACGTGTGCGCTTAATTATAGTCATTTAGCAGTAATTAGTGAATATTTGCATAATATGGATTGAAGCCACAAATACTGTTTTTTGTTATTTTAGAAGCTTAGTTGAGTTCCAATTATTGAACAAGACACTTCTACTTTGATCTCCGATTATTAGAAATACTGCAAGATGGATCTGACCGAGGCTGAATCATCTCGAATTGTGACTTTGCTTGAAACTGGACAAAGTCAACGTCAAGTGGCTCACACATTTTTCTGTGAGCCGTTCTACGGTCCAGAGAGTGTACAAACGTTACATAGAGACTGGTGGCTTTATACGACGACATAGTTCCGGCCGACGAAGAGCCACATCAGAGCGTGATGATCGATTTATTGTGTCATGAGCTCTAAGAAATCGTCATCGCACAGGGGTTGACGTTCGAAATCTCCTGAGAGAAGTGAGAGGTGTTAATGTTGGCGAGTGGACAGTAAGGCGCCGACTTAGAGCCGCTTCCCTGACGCTACGCAAGTCCGCAACTGGCCCCAAACTCACCTCTGCACATTGAATTGCAAGATTACTTTTTGCCCGAGATCACGTGAATTGGAATTTAGAGCAGTGGAAGAAGGTTCTATTACTAACGAAAGCAGAATGTGTTTGCATGGTGCCGACGGCCGTAATTTTGTTTACCGGCGACCAGGTGAAAGATATGCACCATGCACTATGCGGGAAACAGTGTCATATGGAGGGGGCTCAGTTATGTTTGGGCAGGATTCTGTTACGAAGTGTAAACCGAGCTTATATTCATAAAAAATGGATCCCTTAGCTTAGCAGCCGCTAGGTATATAACGGAGGTTTTAGAAGATCATGTGATGCCTTTTACTGGGTTCATTGGAGAAGATTTTCTGCTTCTACAAGATAATGCTCGTCCACACACTGCTACACTGCTACATCAGTAAGGCGGTATCTTCAAGAGGTCGGAGTGTCTACTATTGCCTGGCCAGCGCGAAGTCCTGACCTCAATCCGATAGAGCATGTATGGGATCATCTCAAAAGAAAAGTTAGGAGTCGCGTAGTAGTCCCGAGCAACATTCAAGAATTAAAAAGCGCCTTATTGGAAGAATGGGAGTCTATTACACAAGATTATCTAAAAAAGTGTGTCAAATCTCTGAAAAACCGATTAAAAGCTGTAATTAAAAATAGAGGCGGTAATACGCATTGTTAAAAATCATAAAACCAATCGGAATCTATTAATTTTCCCATTAATTTGCGGCCTACATTTTTATACCAAACTCGCGAAAAATCATTAAATTTGATTTTCCTCTATTTACGAGAAATAATTTATTAATATTAATTTTATTTATTATATATTAATTTTATTTAAATTATTCAACGATTATTGATTTAGGTACCTAGGGTATACAGCTACCCATATATAATAACAAAATTAATAAAAAAATATCATATCTTAAGTTTGTCAATTTTCTCTAGGTGGCCAGATTTTTTTGCACGTAGATGCAGCTATATATCTTAGCCACGGTAATGTTACATACAGTATTCCATATTCATACAAAAGGTCGGAAATCGAGTTATACCTACGCGCGTCGCGTTCGGTATACACTCGGTAGACAACCGTACGGGGCTGCCACATCGTATAATTTGATACGAAAATTTTATAAGATGGTTATGTTATGTAACTTTTATAATTGGATACAAAAATAAACATTTTATTCCTTCCGTAAATTCGCTATTATGTCACACAAAAAAGTATCGAGACATCGTATGTTTTAAAAATAAAAACTAAATAATTAAATTAAAAATAAAAATTAAAGTATTTTTAATTAAACTTTTTATCCGAATGCGGATTCTTTATACTTTTAAATTTAACAATAAAGCTTTTCGTATGTCTCAGTCGAGGTGCAAATATTTTTAAATCTCAAATTTATAAGGGTCACATACCACCCTTATAAATTTGATATTTTTTAATTAAATCTACTAATAATATTTTTTAAATAAAATATATAATATTTGAAATCACAAAACTAGAAAGAAACTCAAGTAGGTAGATGAAATTAAAATACTGGCCGGCGGGCAGCCCTGTCGCGTGGGTACGTGCCGCTCGGCTGTAGGTAATTATTTCAAGGACAGGCCCGAGTTGGAATACTGTATGCATTACATTACCGTGTCTTAGCGTTCCCAAATAAAACGGAACTCATTGTTATAGTTTTATAATGGAAGACCTCCAACGAAAGCGAATACAATACCTTCTAATATTGTAATATGTAATTTTCACCAAATATTCTATTATTATAGAGCTAAAGAGGCTGGCATAACGTTATTAAACGAAGTTGGTTTGGATCCCGGTATTGATCACTTACTCGCTTTGGAATGTATTCACGACGTACAAAGCCATGGCGGTAGAGTTGATTCTTTCGTATCATATTGTGGAGGTAAGCTGAATCAGTGAATAATCATTATTTATTATTTGATTTTTATTTATTTGCACTTTGTAAGTAAAAATTTCTTACAATATATTGCAGGTTTATTTAATCATTTAAATTTATCACTGCAGGTCTCCCGGCGCCAGAATTCAGCGACAATGCTCTTAGATACAAGTTCTCTTGGAGTCCACGAGGTGTCTTGCTCAATACGATTTCTGGGGCCAAATACCTCAGTAAAGGACAGGTAACATTATTTTTTTAAATATTATCTCCTATTAACGGTTATTTGAATAACTCCTGCAAATATACAATCATTTAAAACGAGTTCTAATGTTCTAATGCTCTACTGTTGATGTACTATTTTGTATAATTTTCATACAATAGGCGGTAGAAGTTCTGAGCGGTGGGGAACTAATGTCTGTGGCGCGAGAACTGGACTTCTTACCGGGCTTCGCATTTGAAGGCTTTCCTAATAGAGATAGCACTATTTATTCTTCGCTCTATGGTATTGAGGACGCTCACACTATGTTCCGTGGGACGCTGCGTTATAGAGGTTTGGCTACTTTTTTAAGAAAGCAAAATTTTTAATAAAACTTTTCACTTTGGATTCTCTCCGTATTTTAAATAAGTTTCATCTACTTATTATATATTAATGTATTTAATAAAAAGAAGCCAAGAAATGTACAGAGTAGGTAAACTAAACATAACCAGCTTAAAAACAGGGACGTATCAAATATAATTGTATGTTTAAGGTAGTAGTACTAAGTTCATATTTAGTTCCCCCGAGTGTGTTCACCTTGTCGTGGGGGGGGGGACTCATTAGCGTCCGGCAATCCAGACCTGTCGACGGGGCATTGTGGTGAAGTGCGTAAGCGATCCTGCGACGCCCCTTTAAGACGGGGAGGTTCTGTTGGGTTTTATGGCTGGTCTGGACTGGCTTTCTAGCCGATGAGTCTCAAATAACCACCTGTATGTAAGTATATACAGATGGTATGCGTTAATGCAATTGCCAACATAAAAAAGAAAAATAATAAAAAGGGTTCCTGTTTAGTTATTTTTAGTATATAAATACATACACGTAGCATAAATGAAATATTTAATAATTATGACGTTTTTGATTGTAGGTTTCGCTGAAACAATGAAGTCTATGCAACTATTTGGCTTCGTAGATCCTAATCCTCATCCGTCATTACACCCCGAGGGCCCAGAAATAACATGGGTGAGTTTAGCTTAAAGTAATTGAAGCAATTTCACTTCACTGTTTTGTAAATAATTTGCATTTTCTAAAAGAACCTACACAATGAGGCAAACATGATTATAAATCCAAGCGCAACGTAACTACTCGTACGCTTTCTGCATAATATGAGTAGCTTTACGGTTTACAAATGTAAAACCATATACCAAATCCTATATAATAGCTGTAGTAGTAGTAATAAAACGTTTCCATTTGAAAAAAAAATATTCCATAAGTTTGTAATGTTTTGTGTCTATGATACGCGATTTCTTTACTAAATGGGAACCGTTTTTAATAAATATTTTTTGTGCATTAGGGTTTCCGCTCACAATTCGTCGTAAAAGTAAGAAACAAAAATCAACTCAAAAATTTATATTTCAAAATTTTTTGAGAATTTAAGAGAATATACCCTTAATAAAAAGAAGTTTTTATTATTCATTAGCAACAATTTGCATGCGAGCTGCTCGGCCTAATGGATCAATCAATCTTCTATGAGAATCTCAAGACACGTCTCGCGGAGCGCATCGGCAGTACTGGAGCACAAGCCTTAGAGTCACTCGGCTTGCTGAGCGACGAGCCTGTCGTCAAACTTGGAACTCCACTTGATACTATAAGCCACTATCTCGGCAAAAAGCTGCAACTTGGTAACTATTAATTGACTTATCAGCTGTAAAAAAATCAATAAGGCAACGTGGCCTTTTTCTTCTCACGGAGGTAACAGTCACGTAACTTTTTTGAAGTTAAGACTTTTACTATTCCCAAGGATCATATTTTACGAATCATTTTTACATTATGAATTCATGATACGTAAAAAAAATATTTCGCCAATGTCGTGCAGAAGCCACGAGGGAGATTGGTCGGTAAAATAAGACTATAATTCTAAATTAAATTATAACATGTAAAAAAAGGAGTAGATCCTTTGTAGATCTTGAACTCTAACTTAAAATCTACAACAAAAAACAGCATAATTCAATATAATATACGGTTATAAGGGATACGGATTCTCCTTAATTGCCATCAAACAAGTGAGAAAGTCTGCCAATATACCTAACTATCTTTTGGAAGTTGTGTGAGAGGGTGAACAGAATTGCTTCTAGCAGAGCAGTAATCTCGTGCATCTGTAAACACCGATGATTCTGGAGAACATTTAAACCGTAAAATAATTTCGATTTTACGAATCCAACAAGCTGCATCAACATAGGCATCTTGACTCTTGTAATAACTTAGATGAATTATTAAAAATAAGGAGTTGGTTCGACCAATTTTTCCTTCATCGATCCAAACTAGGGTTTGAAATTTTGTGTTCGTGTCAGGGGTTTTCTTGATCAGACCGAGGTCCACGGAAATAAAGGTGGAGAAATCCTAAGCATTGTAAGAAGTACAAAAAAGAGGGTTTAAAAGAAAGCGAGATAAATGATTAAGTTTAGTAAACTTAAGGAATCTTTCTAAAAAAGAGAATATGAATCTTTGAAGGGAGTTAAGTTCAGTTAATCGGCCAAACGTTGACTAAAGAAAATGGCAACAGCTTTGTTGATTTTTTTCTATTCTTTAATTTTCAAAGGAATATTAAAAACATTTTTTCTTGTCAAAAAGAGCGGGTTATGTCCAACTTCGGTGAAGCCCAAAGGGATGGTTATTTAGTTTACCTGTACCTATGTATGTATGTGTCCAATGCTATGTTCCCTTGTTAACGCGACTCTCATAAGGTATATTAATATTATAAAATATCAAAATGGCGGATTATAGCTGTTAATTTGGACATCTTAAATTTCTGTTTTCTTCCAAAATTGAGTATTCTTTCAAAAATCAGAAATTTAAAAGGCTATTATAAAAATATAATATATATAACTTATACATATTATGTTTAAAAATAGTGTGGGATACAAAATTGGTAAATAACAATTGAATTAGCCTTAGTAGGTACTAGCGAAAACTAAAAAGCAGAAAATATTTATTTTTATTTACAGCTTTGTACCGTTAGGTTTTTCATTTTTATAACTTAGTCTATCATAGGTATTATTAACTGACGCTGACGCCATATTCGCGTGTTCCATACCAATATCTGAAACCTAGCAGCGCGATGACATTTTTGTCACGGGCTTGCCCGCAGGTCGGCTGACAAAATTGTCGCCGAATTGTCATGTCATAATGTGCGCGTAGCTCCATACATATTCATAGACCTGACCAGAGTGACGAAATAGTTAAAAAAGGCTAAAATCTTTCATCAATTCTGTGGACAAAACAGTCACGTTGACAAAAACCACTCCTATGCGCTAGATCTTAAAGTTCGTAAAACTTCAACGAAAGGAATTTAAAACAACGTTTTTATAAACGATTTTTAAATAAACGATCCCCAATTCTAAAACTCTAGAATGACTTTACGATATTCGTCTCAGACAGCAATAGGTAATAAATACCTTCTAACTATTCACTAGTTTCTAAAAAAAATCTCAAATATAATTATTATGTTATATTAGAAAAGAATGAAACGGACTTCGTAGTTCTTCGACACGAGATTGGTGTAACATGGAGTGACGGGAAAAAGGAACGGCGCGAGGTGACGATGACAGTGCGCGGCGACCCCTCCTCTCACACAGCCATGGCGAGGACGGTGGGGCTCCCCACAGCGATCGCCGCGAAAATGGTGCTCGACGGTAATTAGTTTAAGTTGTACTTGTAACGTTTAAGTAACATATTTTTAACACGTTTTTAATGACTTCATTTGTAATTAAGTACGTACTTAATCAAATCTTGAAAGTACATTTTAGCCTAATTCTAATTGCTTCATCGATTCGAGACTTTGATCTTGATGAGATTTTATCTTTGATTCGCATCTACGCTTCCACTTTTAACATTAAAGTTGTTTTACGTTTATTTTCATTGTTTTGTGACTGAACTCAGCCGTTGTCTTATCTATAACGAATTTCTCTGATACCTTTGAGTTCACGTAAAAAGCACTTGCTGTTTTCTGAAATTTGAAAAACTTCTCTATTATTTTTATGAAATATTTTAAAAAAATAGCCAAATAATTTGAATAGCAATGACAAAAACATAATAAAATTATAATATATTTGTATATTTCAGGTGAAATTCAACAACGTGGTGTCGTTTTACCATTCGCACCTGTAGTATACAAATCACTTCTGTCGAGATTGCGGGCCGACGGTATTACCGCCAGAGAAGTCGTTAAACCATTAAATTAATATTAGAGTTAAAATATATACATACATACGTACAATAATTCTAAACTTAATTGAATATACTTATTTGTATTGTGTGTGCTAATTCAAGTTTTATTCTTTTATGTGTTTTCATAAACACAACACCCGGCGTTGTGTATTTTAATAAACAAAATGTGTATCAAGCATTCCAAAATTACTACGACCTAATGATGGATCAGTTCCCGTATCATTTTTGTAAATACTAGTAAAGTTACCATTATAAGTATATAAGTTTTATGTTTTTGAGATATTGAGCATAATTAATTAAAATATATCAATAAATTCAATTTGTATTAAAATATTAATTATGTCATTTACACCTTTCCTTCCTACCTTACCTCTAATTTTAAGTAGAATTGTACCAAATTCTCTTGAAAAAATTAATATTAATATCTGAGGAATTTCCTTTCGCTATATTATTTATATTAGGTAAACTTTTCAATAAGAGTAATTTATTTTTCAAAAGAAATTGAAGTATGTAAATATCTGTTTATTAATGGTCTCAACAGCCTTTACTTCATTAAAAAAGTAATAAACTTAGTTTTTGATTTCAGCAAGGCAACCGCTATTATGAAAATAATAATAACCAGTAATGTCAGTTGGAAAAAAAAGGTTTGACATGTTTGTCATTCATATATCATTTTTTTGCTAACCTAAAATGTTTTATCAAATGATTTGAATTTGCGATTTTTTTTAGTAATTTTTTACGGTAATTTTACAAATTTATTACACTAAATCTCGTTTGTATCGTGGCACATTTCGCCTTGCGTTTAGATTTTTCATGAGTGATAATATTGTAATAATGACTTAGCGTTGAAGTTATCAAAATGGAAAACGACCCGAATAACACAGTAAGTAGAGACGTGTTTAGGCAATTAGGCAAAGTAAATGACTTGAGGAAACCAACTAACAAAAATAAATTGCATCACAATCTCTACTTGTATATACATATATATAATAATAGACGGCGGGTCGCGAGACTGGACGATGCATGTCGGTGGCAGCGATGCAGGCGCTACACCGGCTGCGCGAGTGTCGGCTCCTCTGCGATGCGATAGTCCGCGCGGATGACGGCGCTGCTTTTCCCGTCCACCGCGCTATACTCTCGGCCTGCAGTCCATACTTTCTGTTAGATTTTTTCCTATTTTGAAAATGATGATTATTTCTTCATTATAATATACAAACCATTATAATACACCTAAAAGTTCGCAAATTATCTAATTTAATACATTAGAATAAATATCTACGTATATTACTTTTAATTTATTCCTGAATACTGAATACCATATCACCTCTTTCTGTAATTGGTTTTAAGTGATTTATATTATCGTAGGGCGTTATTTACAACTACTTTACACTCACGAGAGCAAAGCGATGTGTTGATATCGGGTGTGCGTTCAGAAATCCTGCTACTGCTGATTGAATATGCTTATCTCCGAAGAATCGAAGTTACCGATGTCAATGTTCATGAGCTGTTAATGACCGCTGACTATCTCGCCTTTCTTGGTGTTTTACAGCTCTGTTGTGATCATTTAAGAGCTTCACTTTGTCCAAAAAATTGCCTCGGCATTATGATGTTTGCCAGGTTTGTTTCACATAATATATTTAATAAATAATATCAATTCATATATAATTTCCAATATGAATGGACCATATTATTATAGTATTATTAGAAATGGGTATAATTATTGTAAATGCTTTCTCTAAATTATTACAGACGAGTATTTTGCTATAAACTGGAGGCTGAATCTAGAAGATATTTGCTTCGATACTTTGTAACTGTAGCGACGCAAAGTGATGAATTTCTTCACCTCCCAATAGACGAACTAAATAGCATTATACTTGAAGATGAGCTAAATGTTAAAAGTGAAGAAGTTGTGTGGGACGCCGTTTTGCGTTGGGTCAACTATGACCCAGATATGCGTTGGCATCACACCGTTAAGCTTATGGGTAGCATACGACTTGGATTGCTGGATACACAAGTAATATCATAAATATCAAATAAATACTAAATATGGACATTAAGATGTATTTAATTAAATCTAATGTATTATTCAAATATTTCAGTTTTTTCTCGAGAATGTTAAAGATCACCCATATGTAACAGGGAATGAGGGTTCACGCCCAATAATTATCGAAACTCTGAAGTTTCTCTACGACTTAGAAATGATTGCCCAGAGAGACGGTGAAGTAGCTACCCCGGAGATAGCACGCCCTCGAGTTCCACATGAAGTTAATAAGTTTCAATTACAATTTATTATCTTTATTATTATTGACATAATTGCTTGAATAATATCTTGTATGGATTTTACGTCACAAAAATATTTACTTATAACTTTTCAAGTTGATTTTCTTAAATTTCTTATATTATGGTATTTCAAAATATTGTATTCAAATGTAAAATTTGTGTCAAATAGATATTAAGACTTTAATAGAAGCCAAAAGCATGTTTTTTTAGAATTGAACAAAATTGCACACCGTACAAGTTAGTAAGCGATGATTAGTTCGACACATTTTATATGAAATTTTTATTAACAGCTATATTTTAAATATATTATGTCCTCATGCGTTATAGGTGTTGTTTGCGATTGGAGGGTGGAGTGGTGGATCACCGACAGCTTTTATTGAAACATATGACACTCGAGCGGACCGCTGGATAAAGGTATACCGCATATTATGTATGTATATCTATTAATTTGACATGTTGTAGTAAAGTACTCTCTGCTTCAAACTTGAAGCAAATGCTCTGCGTCCTATAATACCAGTTTGTACAAGTTAAATTAAGATGAAATATCGCGTTACATGAAATGTACTTATTTGCTTATCAGCGGGATATACATATGTATATACATAGAATATGATAAAATGGCGCTAGCCTCTATAAATCTTTTTTGCGAAGTGGCAGTAAACTAACTGCAGTTCTTGTTTTTTATTTTATTTTTATGCAGATTTTGTATATTGTTGCCACCAATCATTCGTGGGCGTGGTTATTTTGTGCAACGTTGAGCGTAACCTATTTAAGTACTATCGTATGATTATTTTAATTGTTGGGGTCAAAAACATTATGAATATCACTATCAATTCACATGGTATATTTTCTGCCGACTTTACAGAATAATAAGTCTTTGTGACTAATTAACTAAGTATTCTTGCATACCTAACATAAAATAAGTATACAGCAATACATTGTTTAACGCTAATTTGGGTTTTACATAAACCGAACAAAACATAAATTAGGTCGAATCGAATATCGAATCGAATATATCTTTATTGACACAATTCATTGTTGTTACATAAGCTGTTGAAGCCTCTGACTCCAGAACTAGCATAAACCTGTATGTCAGGAGTCAGCGCCCTCTTCCATCTTTAATCATAATTGGAGGTCAATAATATTACAGAGCATGTTTATCAGTAATAATTTTAGAATTTGTTTGTGAAAGAAGAAAATAAAAAATATAAAAGTACAATAAAAATTAACTTTAACAAAAATGTACTAATTTCCCTAGTAATAAACATGTATATAATTATTATGCACTTTTATATTATGTCGAGGTGGAAGAGGTAGATCCGGCCGGGCCACGCGCTTACCACGGCACAGCTGTACTTGGCAATTGTATTTATGTCATTGGCGGATTCGATGGTATGGACTACTTTAACTCGTGTCGTTGCTTTGATGCTGTCACAAAAACTTGGCGCGAGGCAAGTTACATATTATATTTGTTTATCCCTACATTTTATAGTTTTATTATTGCTGCAAATAATTCTTTATCGTTAGATTCGATTAGAATTGCCAGAGTTGTCAACAGGTAGCACCAATGAATGCACGTCGTTGTTATGTTTCTGTAGCAGTACTTAGCGAGACTATCTATGCAATGGGAGGATATGACGGCCATCATCGTCAGAATACAGCTGAGCGATTTAATCATCGCACTAATCAGTGGTCCTTGGTTGCACCTATGAATGCTCAGAGATCTGATGCGAGTGCTGCAGCTTTGGATAGTGCGTATATAAATATATTTTTTTTTTGCTATCTTAGATTTTAATTAGCTATATTTTATTATTATAAAAAAGTGTGTGTCGTAGAAAGTTATTCTTCTTTGGCATAACAAAACAAAAATAACACCAAAAATTTTATCCTGCGGGCCAATACTATATATACATTTGTAGAAAAGACGATAAAATAAAAAAATAAACATATTAAGTAGGTACAATTGATAAAGGTTTAATTAAAGTAATCATTTATAAATAGTGTAAAAAAGTACGAAATACAAGTACAAAACTACGGGTCTACGGGAAGCTTTTCCGTAGTTGTAGTAGTACTAGTGAATCAATTTTTAATTTAAGCTTTCAGATCCACGGGAAAACTTCTCGTACTTCTCAGAATTTTTACATTTACCTATAAATAAGTTCTCAAAAACAAGTTATGTGGTGTTTGTTAATATACATTGATAAATATTAAAATAAAAAAAAATATTATACCTTTTTGTACTTTAGGGTGTAAATGTTTATAATAATTTCTGTTTTGAATTCTCTGTTATCTTGATATTTTTTGCAAAATCGTTCAGTTATTAATAACTAATTTGTTTCGGTTCGATTTTTAGGATTTTGAAATTTTAACAAATGCCTGAATCAATTATAACCATGCATATATATATGTACATGTATATTCTACACGGAAAATAATAACCACTAGCTGCAAATGTTTCTCTTACTGCTAACTAAAATTATCTGTATCAGCTAGCGAATAATGATCGTTAGCTGATATGTGTGTATTCAAAGTTATGAATTAAAAATAAAACCGACCATCTTGGACTAGCTAAGAAGTCTCCTGACTAACACGTCTTTTAAACAAAAAAAAAACAAAATCAAAATCGGTTCATCCGTTCGGGAGCTACGATGCTATACACAGACACGTCAAACTTATAACACCTCTTCGTTTTTGCGTTGGGGGTTATTTATGTAGGAAATTAATATAAAATTCAAATAACGGGAATAGAAACCTGATATGACTGTTTTTTTAATGCTTAGTTGCTATTTTCGACTTTCCAATATTTTTCCCATGACGTCGTGATAACTAATAATATTGTATGACGGCAAATTATAAAACTGGGTCACAACCCTATTGAAAAACTGCAATAGGATCTCATCAAAAGCGGCAAAAGCCACATAGAAACCAATAAATATTTATTGATACTATGTAAAGCTTTAGCGTGGAATGGTTTTTTTTTAATTTTATTTAAAATTTAATTAAAATGACAAATTGTGCAGTGCCAGGATGCATAGCAAATTCACATCATTTGTTCCCAAAAGACTAAAACTGAAGAAATTGTGAGCTAAAGCAATAAGCCGCAGACGACAAAATTGGCAAAATCACAATATTTATTTTTATGACTATGTGGACATCACTTTAAAGAAAGTCATTTTAAAACTCTTAAATAGTCTACAGGTGAATATTTTTTTTTATTTTTTGTACTTTTTTTACATATTAATTACAGAGTTTTTGGGTCGAAAACCTATATGGTAATTCCCGCTGACCTAGAATCACGAATTTTGGCAAAAAGCAAGGTCTTTCAGCACAAATAAAGGAAAAATTTCAAAATATACAAAAGTTGGAATTAAAGTTGCACAGATTTCCTACAAATTTGTACGGAACCCTCGCTAGGTGAGTCCGACACACACTTGCCCGGATTTTTTTAAGATATTCACAGTTATCAATCACTATTGTATGAATCTAATAATTAAAAACAGATAAATAATTTTTCATTTTATCGATATAAAACACGTGTTGTGTACCTATATAGAAATACCGGACTAAATATCTTGAATATACATCATTTCACTCTATAGGTAATAAAGGGAGATTTAACGACTGACTTACTAATACTACTAAGGAGACGCTGCGCGCGCGCATTGTTAAAAATTACTCTCATCATTTTTTCCCTAAAGCACCAAAAGAAGTGTAACTTCAAAAATGTTTTCTAATTGAAAAAAATATGTTTTAGACAAGATTTATATAACGGGTGGATTTAATGGACAAGAGTGTATGAATAGCGTAGAAGTATATGATCCGGATACAAATCAGTGGACGAACTTGGCACCTATGCGTTCCCGCCGCTCGGGTGTCTCTTGTATTGCTTACCACAACAAGGTATTTAGGTACAATACACCTATATATATATATATATATATATATATATATATATATATATATATATATATATATGTATTTTTACCAGATTTATTAGACTACAAGTGACCCAAGTGATTCTTTAAGTTATAGATAATTTTATCTCGCTTTTTATATTAGACCAATCGGAATCCGTTTATTTTTAAGATAAAAAAAAAATATTTTAAACCTGAAGTTTTATGATTTTAAAATGTTAGCAGATATATAAGGAATAGAAATTCGTAAAATGTCCCCTATGCCCAGCTACCCCCGAGAAATGGGGGGATGCAAAGCGTTGAAAATTAGTTTTTTTTTCAATTTTCGGCTTACTGTGACGTTTCATCGAAAAATGTTTTCTACAAAAGTTGTAGATTTAGTAAAAATCTACAACTTTCCTAAATAACACTTTTTACAATAACCTCAAAGTTTTCGAGATATTTGCAAAAAACTCGGTTTTTAACTTTTTCTTGGTTTTTTATTTTTAATTTCTAGAATAATCTTTTGATTTCTATGAAGATAAGGGAATATAATCTTCGAAATACATTTAATAAATTTAAAAAAATTGAATCGTAATGTTTTCCCAGAAAAGTATGTTTTAAGATCTCGAGATATAGCTAGATTTATTAAGTATTATTAAAAAAAAATGAAATTGAAATGTTCAGCCATTTCCGAGAAAAGTATTATGGTCTCGAGAGGTTTAAAATCACCCCCAACTTGAAGTGGGCGTTTACATTTAAAAAACAATTCGTTCAATTTTCAAGTAGGGCTCATTCTTTTTGTCTTGAACTCTACTTTTTGAAAATATAAAAACATAGTATGGTCGTCTTGTAAAAACACCCTTAAAAAATTTAAAAATTGGAGAAATCGATAATTTTTACTTTGTAAACTAAATTTTTTTTAATTATCATTGAAAAAGTGTTCTTTACTGACCAAATTTTTATAAACTGATTACAACAATGTATTTTTCAGAAATTTTGTTTTGTTTTTAATTTGACGCTTGTTATTTACACAATGTCGCCGTAAACCCATTCCAACTTTGCAATTTGACAAATAGTAAAAAAAAAAAAAAAGTTGGATTCACGCAAAGCATACCATTGCTTTTGTATTTTTTGTCGAAGAATCTATTTTCGTATTCAGTTATTAATATCTAAGGAGATTTTTATTTAGCGTTAAAAATAAATCATATTTCAGATTTTCGTTTTATTTTTAACGTTATACTTAAAATATAATTCAGCTTAAATTCTACAAAAATGTACACAAACCGCACATCATCAATTCTCAAATAAATTGATCATACTTTTTAATTTCTATAAAATCATTTCATTTATAAAGACGTTTTACATAATAAATAAGATATAATATTCGTTTATGAGAGCACTAAGCAATATCGAAAAATGCATTTTTTCTTAACTTGACCATTACAAATAAAATTAAGATTTTAATGGAATGAACAAAAATATTTGTTTTTTTTTATATATGTTTGGTTCCTAGTTATCAGGGCCCGAAAATGGGTTTATGCAATAGTTTCGGCATTAAAAAAATAAAATACGTATAAAATAAAATATATATCTTAAACTTTCTCGGGATATAGTATATAGATTAAATAAAAATCTTCCTAATTTATGTAAGAAAATAATGTTTATAAAAATATATAATCTAATATTCGGCAACAAATACTTAGTACCTGTATGTAGATTCAAATGCTTTGTGATTAGGCATAAGGCAGGTATATCAACAATCCCCCCCAACGTGCGTTCACCTTGTCGTGGTGGGGGGGCTCAGTAGTAGTAGCGAAGCTAAGAAACGCACAGGGAGGTTGCCCACTTCGGTGGGCGGTGGGAGGTGGCCCTCTTCGGGGGGCGGTGTACCATGCGGGTTGCTCCTGGTACTTCTCTGATAGCAGAGTGGACTGTGGAGCAACCCCATGGTTGTGATGGTCTGCTTCGGCAGACCTGCCGTCGGGGCGTCGTAGTTGAATGCGTAAGCGATCCTGCGACGCCCCATTAAGACGGGGGAAGGTTTTGTTGGGTTTTAGTGGGTAGTACTGGCTGTATTACGCCGGTGAGTCCCACACGTCGTGCGTAAATGCATTTCCCAACGTTAAAAAAAAAAAAGGTATATCAACAATAACATAGCTTGATTCAAAGAGATTTTTTTTGAATATTATATCTAAACATAATTTAAATAAGTAGGTATAGATAATAATTTAGTACAACTAATAAAAATAACTTGTTATTCATTTTCCTACGATTAGATAAAATTTAATACCATATTGAGATAGAAAATTAGAAGATAAGAAATGGTCGTAGTAACAATAATATACTTTTATGTATTTTATCTACTTTATATGTGCCGTTTATAAGCTACATATACTTAGTCACACATTTTGGCGAATGTTTCTTTATAACAGATTTTCGTCATTGGTGGCTTTAATGGCATATCGAGAATGTGTAGCGGAGAAGTGTTCGATCCGAATACGAACACATGGTCGCCAGTACCGGACATGTACAACCCTCGCAGTAACTTCGCTATAGAAGTAATTGATGACATGATCTTCGCCATAGGGGGTTTTAATGGCGTCACTACTATATACCACGTAGAGTGCTATGATGAAAAAACTAATGAATGGTAATTGTATAATTAAGAAGCCACTTACAATTTCAATTGAGAACATTACTAACCACTACTATGTAATTGAAAGTATTATATCGGTAAACTAGTAATACCCGCGGCTTCGCCCGCGTTAAAACTTCCGATCGCTACCAAACTTTACGGGATCGCCGGGCTAATCTAAAGATTGCCTGAAAATTTCAACAAAATCGCTTCCGCTGTTTTCGAGTCCATAGGAGACATACATACAATATCGATTTTTATTTTATTTAATCAACAATTTAAATGTATTTTTTGTACGGAAAATGGAGTCTTAAATGAAAATATGGTAACACTCTACTGCAGCACCACCTTCCGGGTCTATTTGTGAATTTAAGCCTTACAGGGACCCACTCGAATATACATAAAAAATATCATTAAAATCGTCTCTAGCGTTTAGGAGATCAGTGACATGCAGACAGCAGCGCCATCTACCGGGTCTAATTATGTTTTCAAAACATCCAGGAATCCATTAAAATACACACAAAAAATTTCATCAAAATCGGTCCAGCGCTTAGGAGGAGTTAGGTGATAAACACACGTACAGAAGAATAACATAGTTATAATAAAATTCACAAATTAATTAATGTCATTTGATAGATACAGATTATTATTAGTATTCTCACACTACAATTGATAGATCATTGTTGATAATGTGTAATATGGTATCAATTCGAAAATTACGTCTATACTATGTATTACGTTTGTTAGGTTGTACATACACTTTCAGCCGAGCGGCTAAATCAATCAAATAAACAGCTTTTATTCTGGAAACGATCTTTTTTCCTCTGTTATTGTTAAATATAACAGTTACCCATTGTCGAAAAATCATTAAATAACGAGGAGAGAAGAGATTTCCATTCATTAATATAGAAGGATTTACATGATTAGTCATTAATTTTGAGCAAAATATATTCGGTGAAGTAGAAGGTTAATAAAGGCTTTGCTTAACAGCTAAACACATAGGAATTTTTATTACTATGTATGTATGACTAGGTACGAAGCGACCGACATGAACATATATAGGTCGGCATTGTCAGCATGCGTGATTATGGGGCTGCCTAATGTGTACGATTACATACACAAGCACCGTGAACGCCTTATGGAAGAAAAACGCCAAAAAATACTACTATCTGAAACCGCTCGCCATGCGCAACATCGAACCGCTTTACCTGATGTAAGGAATTATCTAAATATGCTTTCTTTAGATACATTTTATTGTAGAAAACATCTTTATTTAGAAGTACTCAATACTATACTAATTACTATAATATACTGGTGGTATGATGAAAATAAATTATCTATACATTTAATTTCACCACTATCTAATAATTGTGATACTACACCAAAATATATTTTAGTAAATCATACTATTTAATAAAGATAAGTAGAATATTTTTCAAGGTATGTATTTATTCTTTGTCTGTTTATTTCGGCAGGCTCCATGCGAACGTGTCGCATTTCTTTTGCACCGCTCTTACGTTGGGTTCTATTTCATCGGTTGAACAAGGCTGCTGTTGTCCACTTTATTAAATTCCAGAAAGAAACTAGTAGATAAGAGTAGGCGCGTTTGCAATATTTTATTTATTTACATCACTGACCACAGCTCTTATTATTAGAAGTATTGTTAAACAAAACCATAATAGGCGATAATTTGCTCTAAAGGTCGATTAAATCTTCTGTTTATGTACGTAGTGATCTGTTATCTTAACATTATTTTTACTCGTAAGGTTACAAATTTTAATGAATAAAATGTCACGCAAAAGTAAAAGTAGAGAAAATATATTAGGGACTTTATATTTAATTAGCTAACTTAAATATATGAAATATTTAAGGCATTGATTGCCACTCACTCGAGAATATTTAGTAGGTAGGTGTTTTTCATCCGATTTCCTCAAAAAGGAGGAGGCTCTTAATTCGGCTGTTTTTTTTTTGTGGAGTCCACGACCACTTAATATTTTGCATTTGCATTCCCGCTTTGCATAGCATTGTGTATATTAAGCACTGGGATGTTCATGCTGTACCCTTGCTTCTCTTCGAGTTCGTCCCTAGGAAAAACAAATTCCATGGGAACCGTACATTTTTCCGCGATAAAAAGTAACGTATGGGCACATCTACGGTTCCTACGGCGCCACGATTTGAATTTTGAAGGCGGATTCGCATAGATCTCAACGAGATATGCCGAAAAGTAAGAATACAATTTTTCGATATTTCGCTTAGTTTCCGAGATATCGTCTCGGAAAAAACAATTATTCTTACTTTTCGGCGTATCTTGTCGAGATCTATGTGAATCAGCCTTCAAATCGTGGCATCATAGGGATAGTAGTGCCCCAACGTAAGTGCTATTCCAGACTATAATCTATCTCTGTGCCAAATTTCATCCAGATCCGTTCAGCCGTTCCATCCATCCCTCCTCACAAACTTTGACATTTCTAATATTAGTATGGATATTACCTGCTAAAAAGACCAGTGGAAATTCGTCAAACCGTTCTCGACTTATGCTATATTAGTAAAACAGGCAAAACTGTAGGTTTTTCTTCTAATAAATGTGGATAGAACATCTCTAAGCAATTTAAAGAAAGTTGATACCTACGAGTAACTACGATTCCCTTTTTGTGGTATTGTTAAATTATATATATATATATATATATATATATATATATGTATATACTGTCAGGTACATTTAATGGAAGACAATGACGATATGCTGGAGCAGCTTGGGTTGATGGAGAACCAGGCTAATAATGACCTACCGATACCGCCGCCACCGCCTCAGCACATGGAACATGATAGAAATTAATTCTTTTCCAAGATTCCAATATACACTGGTTCGTATAGTGTCTATTTAAAATGACATGACATATTTTCATGAAATATTTTACACAAAATGATCCATATCTCTTTGACTTTTTAACAGGTAATTTACACGCTGTTCCTTGTTATTTTATTTATATACATATACCTACATATTAAGACGCTGGGGTAATTCTAATAAGAAACATAATAAGCAAATAAAATATTATCGTGAAATTTTATTGTAACCGTTATATTTATAAAATGTTTACACCTATTTTAGATGATTTGGCGTATTTTTAATGTGATGATGTGAATACCTGTACCTATATTTTGGAATATTTTTTAACTTGTATTAAATTTTCGGACAATATACTGTATTAATTCGGACACTAAGTTATTTTATTCTTACTGACCTCTTCATAATCATTTTAATTATCTACCAACGTTAATCACCTTTATAGACACAATCTAATTAGTAAGTTATGTTTAATATCTTCACTTATCAATACATACATATAATAAAACTGTAACTGATCGTTGTCAATAAATGGAAGATATTTGAGAAAAACTACATATTATAGAGCATCTTTATTAACGCAAAACAATAATTTTTTGAATTTTTGTCTCTGTCTGTGCGTTTGTGCGCGCTAATCTCAGAAACGGCTTCACTTAACAATCACACACAGGTAAGTTTTAGTTAACATTTAGTATTTGTTTTATTTTAATCGGTTCATAATTAAAAAAAGTTATGTCAATTTAAAGAATCGCCCAGGGACGAATCCAAGCGAAGCGAGGGTGAGTCGCTAGTATTACCTAAATGCAAAAGTGTGTCTGTTGGTCTTTCATACAAAGATATAAGGAGTTGTATATTATACATTCACACATTATACTTTCCATTCTTGATTTTTTCGGTATATTAGCACAGGGTGGTAGCCCATTTCGACGGGCGGTGTACCATGCTGGTTGCCCCTGGTACTTCTCTGACAGCAAAGTGGACCGTGGGAGCAACCCCTTGGTTATGTGGTCTGCTTCGGCAGACCTGCCCCCTGGGGCGTCGTTGTTGTGTGCGTAAGCGATCCTGCGGCACCCCATTATGACTGATGTGATGTGATGTGAGGTTCTGTCGGGTTTTAGTGGGTAGTACCGGCTTTTTTTGCCGATGAGTCCCACACAACCACCTGTATATTGTATACAGATGGAATGCGTAAATGCATTTCCAAACGTCAAAGGAAAAGAAACTTTTGTTGATATTAAAAAAATCAATCAAATTAAATTTATCAATTTAACGCTATAAATACTAGAATAATTATTACATACTAGCGACTCACCCTCGCTTTGCTCGGTTTCGTCCATTAGGGTTTAACGGTTAGTATGGAGTAGATAGATTATATAGCGACCCTAGGTAGTTTTTAATTTTTTTGAGCGGAACCCTAATTCTTTTTCGAAAATAAAAGTAACCTTTGTTACTCTCTATAACATCAGCAATCTTAAAGTGAAAGTCCCATCAAAATCTGTCCAGCCTTTTCAGAGATTATCCGGAACAAACAGACAGATAGAGAAAAATTTTAAAATTGTATTTTTCTTATAAGTAACGTACCGTAACAAATTATATAAATTTCATATGCATTTAGTAAAACTCTGTTATTTTGACATTACAAACAGACACTTCAATTATTTTATTTATCTGTGTACACAGAATTAAAAAAAGCAGTCATGAATATTGCCTACAGAAGTGAAAACTTAAAACTATTAACAAACAGTTATTATTTTTGGATATTCAAATTAATTGTATTAAAATTTGTAAATTAAAACTGTTTACATTTATCTGGTTTTTAAATCTGTCGGCACTCCGAGTGTTAGCGTTAACACGCATGTGACCATGTCGACGACGACTTAACATGAATTGACTCCCCATCCAATATATATAAATGTCTATAAAAGTGTTCACTTCAAAAAATTAATAAATTACAATTTAAAGTGTAAATCTAACACTTTGCCTTTGAAATGAGATAGCTTGTCGTGGCATGTCAATGTTTGAGATCTATTTTGCAATATTCTTCTAAAACCTCGATATCCTAAGTAAAGAGGGGACTTATCCAAGTGGGTTCTGTAAGCTCTTATTTCAAAGCTGCAGAGGTATTGAGGTATTTTAGATGGAACATAGAATGATATAAAATTATCTTTTGTATTATAATTAGTAGGTTTTTAAAAGCATTAATAATTTCACTTACTTTAAATCGACATAAGTCTTAATTTTTTTAGGATTAAAAAATCAATTTAAGGTATTTTTCTACATTTGTATATTTTAAAAATATAGGAATATTATTATGACAAATAATACTAGATATTTTTATTTATAACCTAAAATAACTAATTCATAAGTAAAGTGTAACGATGATTTTTTACGGTATGTATTTCAAATTTCAATTGCTCGATTGAGACCAAAAAGCTCAAAATATAATACAAAAATATTTATTTTTAAGCGAATAGTGTCATATTAAAAATTTATATAATATGTGATGTCATAATAAAGTCTTCATTACAAAAATTATAAGTAAAATAACAAAAAATAGGTAAACTAACAAATAAATAAATATCGGATGGATAATACATGTAAATAAAATTCATATAAACAATTAGCGAAAGAAGAGTTTGTACACCAAAATTCTTATTCCTTACATATTATATTACACTTATTCATTAAAAAAATATTCTTTTTGTATTTATGCATGAATAATAATGTCTTCAAATATCATATTTATATTCTGTGTTGTCGCACCTTACAGCTTCACTAATAGTAGCCCCCTGAACTAAGTTTTTAGATTCATTCGTTAAAATACGTTGCCAAGCACGTTCCGTCCACGCAACAGCTGTGAAACAAGCTCCATTACTGATAAAAGCGCGTAAAGTTACGGCACCAATCCCTCTTCTCATACACCGCCACCCTTCCGCCTGTATTGACTTTAAAAAACAATCCCAAGCACCAGAGTATCGTCCTATTGAATCACCTTGTAACCTCGATTTCACCACATCTACAGGATACAGTAAAATCCACGACAATGCTCCAGCTATTCCACCAGCAGTAAACACTTTCACAGCTGACTGATCTCCACGGGTCATCGCTTCATACGCTGTAAAATAGATTGCAAATGCTGGACTATCGCGAAGTATTGTTATTCCTAATCCCCGAAAGAGCCCTTTGTATCCACCAGTTCTCAAAATGTATCGGGCTTCTCCCCACGCGCTAGATGGTACCTCGACTGGCTTAGCTAACTGTTGACGCGTTTTCACTAGTTCAACTGGTGCACAGGCAAAACTTTGTAGCATGCCTGCGGCTCCACCGGCAACTGCATGTGTCATCAAAGAGTCTGGATTAGGCAGTGCTCGTCTTGTGTTTCCATAAGCTCCAAATACTATAGCATTTATTCCTGCTATTCCACCCAAAGGTGCACCTACTCCACGATACGCAGTCGATAATGTTCCTCCTTTTAATAGAGCTTTAGCACATTCCAGCACGCCACCTCTACCTGACTGAATGTGAACTTTTAAAGTGTCTAAAGGATGACCAGCAACAATTCCAGCACAACCTGTAGATATAAAATATTTTGTTTTAATAATCCTAAAACTCTAAAATGATGATGCTCTAATAATAGATTAATATTTCAACTTACCACCAATACATCCTGCTATGAAGTCTAGTGCCATTATTGTAATTATACTTAAGTATGGTGTACTTATTAATAAAAACGCTATCTGTAACCAAATAATAAAACTGGATGTTTTAAATGTTTCTAAAGTAGTATTTTTTGAAAATTAATTATACCTAGAAATCTCAAGGAATTTCTTCATCGATGATCCATTTTAAATTTTAGAATAATATCAATTAGATATTGATTTACGTTACATAATTTAATAAACATATTAGATGTATACAAACTGAACTACGTCACACCCAACCATCGTCTTAGCTAAATCTCTCTAATTAGAGAATAAAACCAGACGTTATCACTTGCAAACTTATTTACATATAAACTTTGGTAAAACGATGGCTGAAATGACCCTCGATAAGCACATATTATTTCTCACCTTCTTCTAGTAGTTCAAATCAAGTAATCGTAGTGGGAATTTACGTTGCCACCACTGGATGTTATGCCAATAAACATATTGGTGGCAGAGTGTTTCGCGACTGACCCAGCGAAGATGCAGCCAACTGGGTGCAAAAGCAGATTATGCGAAGTTGTCCACCGGCCGGTCACCGTTCGTCTCGCAATCGTCCGGGCCCGCCCGCTCGAGACCCTTCCACCCCTTATCGCTATAGGTCAGGTTTATCTCAAGGGGCATAATACAACTTGAAATAACTGCTATTCTCAATAAACACTTATAAATATGGCTCTATATAAATTCAAACATTTTTTTATTACTTTGCTGCTTACTTTACGAAGTCATTTCATATATAAATAACTAGGTAAAAATTAAATGTAGTAAATGACAAAACATCTTACTTATATTATAAATGTGGAAGTTTAGATGTTTGGATAGATATTTGCTAATCACGCTAGAACGGCAGAACGGATCTGGATGAAAAGCACAGAGATAGACTATAGTCTGGAATAGCACATAGGCTACTTCTTATCCTGAAAAAATGTAGGGTTCCCGTGGGATTTGTATATTTTTCAACGAAGCAAAGGTGAGCCGGTAGTTTCATAATATATTTTTTAAGGTAAAATTGTCATGACTAGAGCCTACAAAACAATACATACCTATATGTATTCATATATAAGACAGAGGAGGATTTAGTTACCTTTTTCTGTTATGAAACCTTATTATTGTTTAAAGTCACTATGTTCTTTAATTTACTTTTTAGTGCTTTTGAATTTAGAGCAGAGATTTAGTCTCGAGCGGGGTCGAGACGCCATCACGACATTCTTTGCAGATACGTGGTGTAGTAAAGACGGTTGATCATAGACAGTTATATTTGATATTGTAGTTGGAAGTCGATGATCGGTGACTGTGAACCCGCTAGCTCTAAATCATTAGAATTACCGTTTCAAGTTTATAACATTGTGACTTCCCTGATTAAATTGTGTATTGAGCACTGAATACTTTATTATTTGAGCCCTGATAACGCCCACAAGATGAGTAACCACCAAAGATGATGTTCGTAGTATATGGATAACACGACATATATATATTATATACTTGCTCTTCTGAAATATCTGCCATAAAATTACAATAGCATAAGTAGGTACATTGATAATAATTTAATAAGTGTGATACGTAAGTTATATACATTAGTATATAACTTACGTATCAATGTCGGTTCATGGTAACATAATATGACTCTTAAATCTTAATATTGTTTACTTGGTAGATTTCTAAAATATTCCATTCATAAAGCATTTTATGTACTTTAACTATTTATATTATAAAAATGAATATGTTTAAGTGTTTGTAACGTACGCATTTCTACACCATTCGACGATCGCAGTTATGGTATGAATGTATAGACTTTAAAAATGTATTCGTAGATACATATACTGAAATCTAATAGGTATTTACGTGTCTCAAATAAATTACTAGACAATTCCGTAGTTAAATAAAAATAAGTATGAAACTCCTTATATGATGATGATGTTCTCCTAGCCGATTCCGGCCACGGCGGCCAATCTCATTGAGACTAGCCAACTGCGCAGGAGATATTATAGTGCACAAGTGTACGTGCAGACACAGGTGCACTCTCTATTCCTGTCACTCTCATACTCCGGTGGGACGACTGCTCGACAAGACCAGTAGGAGTTAAGGCGCAGGACTGACAGCTTTACGTGCTCTCCGAGGCACGGGGGTGAAACACCACCAACTTCCCAACTCCGGGCTGTTACTGAGACTTACTATACAGAAAGACTCAATAACTAAACTTGGCCCGACCCGGGACTCGAACCCAGGACCTCCGAGTGTGCAGCCGTACATGCTAGCCACTACACCACCGAGGCAGTTACCTTATATATAGGTAACAGCGCGGGGTAGGAGATATTTTTTTTATCTCCATTTAAATACATTTGTTTTAACGTCAAAGCGCCTATTTTTTTAAATCAACAATTTTCTTTTGGACCCAAGATTTCTTCTAATTTTTTAATTTTTATTTTCATTTATTGTTTTTTCGTCGATTGTGCTTGATTGTTGGCCATAAATAATTGTTTATCCGTAAATTGTTTAATTATAAATAATAAATCCTCAAAATAGCCCCTCATTCGAAATTTAATTTTTTTCTTGTTACTATAGTAGTTGACGAGGCAGTAGTAGCCCAGTGGTAAGGCGCTCGCTTGGAAAACCGAGTGTAGCGGATTCAAATCCCGGGCCTCGCACCTCTGATATTTTCATGTGCGAATCATTTTCAACATGATTACTTGCCTTACGGTGAACGAAAACATCGTCAGGAATCCTGCGTCTGAGTCTGAGAGAATTTAGTAGATATTCGAAAGACATGTGTAGTCCGCCAACCCGCACTTGGCCAGCGTGGTGGACTATATGGCCTGATCCCCCTCGTATTGAAAGGAGGCCTGCACCCCAGCAGTGAGACGTTAAAAAAAGCGCTGAAGTAGAACTTATAGTAGTCTTTAAATATTCATTAACACCTCCAGGTAAATTTCTAAGAAATTAATTAAAATTCTAAGAAATCTATTGTTAACTGACACGCCGGCGTGTCCGCGGTTGTGGAGGAATTAATGTTTGTTCGTTTATACGTTAATGCGTTTGTTCTATCATCAAAGAGCCTATTTTTTGTTTAAATTTAACAATTTTCATTTAGCTCAATTAATTATTATTGAGATATATGTACCTACTTATGTTGCGCATATCAATTTTATTTTTATTGGACGGCTCTTTTGAAAATCGTAGTGACAACGAGAAAATTAAAAAGAAGGTAATCGATAAAAAAAGAGAAAGCAAATACCCACAAGTTCTTTAGATTATTAGAACGTTTATTAGAACGCCCCTGTAAACTGCATAGATGAGTGTATTTTGCAGTTCATTCGCAATTTATCGTTTGCACTTGATATTATATGAAGATAAAACCAAATTACTTATTAGACCAATCGGAATCCGTTTATTTTTAACAAAAAAATATATATTGAAAACCTGAAGTTTTATGATTTTAAAATGTTAGCAGGTATATAAGGACTCGTCAAATTGCAAAGTTGGAATGTATACGGTTAGACCAGGATCGATAATTTTTAAAACTAAAAAAATATTAGTAGGATGAAACTCATTAGAAAAGGAGGGGAATATTATAAAAATAGGTGAAAAAACAAATATTTTTAATCAAATAAATTACAGCGTATTTGGGACATAAAAAGGTAAGTTTTCACCAAATTTCGTTAAACCAAAAACATTTTTGTAAAAGATAAAAACAAAAAACCAAAAACTTGGTTTTTTGAATTTTTCACATAAATTTTGAGGTTATGTGAAAAAAGTGTAAATAAAAAAGTTTTAGATCTTTTTATTACTTACAACTTTGCCATTTGACTTTTTTCGATAGGACTTTTAGTTTTGCCGGAAATCGAGAAAAACCGTTTTTTACCCTTAAAACCTCACCCCCACCCCCTTCCCGACCTCAGATCGCCCATAAATTATTTTTCCTTTCATTTTTATAATATTCCCCTCTTTTTCTAACGGGTTGCATCCTACTATTATTTTTTTTCACTTTTATTATTTTTAAAGGCTTCTACCCTGGTCTAGGTGACATTATATAAATAAAAAGCGTCAAATTAAAAACTTAAGGATACCATCTTTTAGTTTTTTCCCGAAAAATACATTGGTGTAATATTATTTATAAAAATTAGGTCAATAGTTACCTAGTTAGTTACCTACTCTTCTTCTTTTTACCTACACTTCTTCAATGATAATTGAAAAAAATGTAGTTTACGAAGTAAAAATTATCGATTTCTCCAATTTTTAATTTTTAAGGGAGCTTTTATAGGACGACCATACTATGATTTTTATTTTTTCAAAAAGTAGTTCAAGATGAAAAGAATGAGCTTTATCTGAAAATTGAACGATTTTTTTTTAAATGTAGATGTCCTCTTGAACATAGGGGTGATTTTCAGGTGGAGCATAAGGCTAAGCATTTCAATTTCTTTTTTTATTATTATTAATTATATGTATTTCGAAGATTATGTTACCTTAGTTTCAAGAAAATCAAAAGATTATTCTAGAAATTAAAAATAAAACACCAAGAAAAAGTTAAAAACCGAGTTTTATCCAAATATCTCGAAAACTTTGGAGGTTAGTGTAAAAAGTGCTTTTTATAAAAGTTGTAGATTTTTACTAGATCTACAACTTTTGTAGAAAAGGGGGCATATATACTGGGCACCCTTAACAAGGTTAAGCGATACTTCACGCCTGGACAGCTTCTCACATTATATAAAGCTCAAGTCCGATCATGCATGGAGAATTGCAGTCACCTTTGGGATGGCTCTGCAAAATACCAACTTGCCGCTCTTGACTCGGTGGAACGCAGAGCTACAAAGCTAATCGGCAACGAAAAGCTTGTGAAAACTAAGCTTCACAGCTTAGCACACCGTCGCCAAGTTGCTTGTCTGTCGGTTTTCTACAGACTGTACTTCGGGGAGTGTGCCCACGAGCTCCACAGTCTCATACCGCCATCGCCATTCTTCTATCGGAACGCCAGACGTACTGCATGATACCATCCTTTATTGGTTGACATTCCGATCACTCGCACTAAGCGCTATTCGTCATCTTTTATAATACGCACAGCCAAGAAGTGGAATGCGCTGCCTGCGTCTGTTTTTCCGAGTGCGTATAACCTGAACCTATTTAAGGTGCGTGTTAACAGCTTCTCCTGGGCAAACTCGCTAGATTGTAGACCTTATCTGTGCCTTCGAGCTAAGATGAAGGTCAAGAGTGAGCCCATTTCTAATAAAAAAAAACATTTTTCGATAGAACGTCACAGTAAGCCGGAAATTTAAAAATAAAACTATTTTTCGACGCTTTGCGTCCCCCAATTTCTCGGGGGTTGCTGGGCATACGGGGCATTTTACGAATTTCTATTCCTTATATACCTGCTAACATTTTAAAATAATAAAACTTTAGGTTTTCAATATTTTGTTCCCAAACCGGGTTCCGATTGGAATATATGACGTAGGCATCCAATAAGAATTTTTCGAAATTCATCCCCTAAGTGGGTATAATAGGGAATTAAAGATGTATTCTTAATGTGAAAGACACAGAAAGTGGTGTTTAGCTTTAAGATAAAAAATGAGAAATACATTAATTAGATTTTTTTGAAAATTCATCCCTTAAGGGGGTAATAGGGGTATGATAAAATTTATATGGGCGAAGAATTATTTATGATCAGAGTTACTTGAAACTTGGTATTAATGCTCTTCAATACAGTTCAATAAATTTATGTGTTTTTGGCATATTTCGATATTCTCTCCCATAAGGGGGTGAAATGGGGAATGAAAGTTTGTATAAAACTCTGTAATTCATAAGTAAAATGTATAAAAGGTAATAATAATATCCACCTGTAGACGATTTAAGAGTTTTAAAATCACTTTCTTTAAAATGATGTACACATAGCCTTATATAAAGATTGTGATTTCGCCAATTTTGGTTGTCTTATTACTTCAGCCCACAATTTCTTCAGTTTTTGTCTTTTGGAAATAAATGATTGAATTTTCTTTGCATCCTGGCACTACACAATTTGTCATTTTAATTAAATTTTAAATAAAATGGAAAAAATTCATCCACACTACAGCCTTACAACATACTGAGGGCTATAGTGTTCGCGACATCTGGCGGGACAAAAAGGCACAATTCTTCCTCTCCATCCCACAAACACGTTTCAGTCATGGTGTCGAGGGCCGCAAGCAAAAATTATTTAGGTCTTAATGAAAACGTAATTCCAAGTTAACGATGTAGTTACTTTTTTAACAAAGATTTATGTTATAATGCGATTTTTGATGCTGCCGCATGCGGCCCGCGGGCCGCAGATTGTGTATAGCTGCCTTAGAGTATACTACTATACATATGCTTCATCCAATTTTTATTTGACATCCATCATCCATGCATCCAATAATGGGACGATTGTGATACATCGTCCTAGGATAATGGAGTACACTGTACAGACTACAGACCCAGGAACAACAAAAGTGTAATTTTGTAAAACATGTATGACAAAATATAAATTGACAAATAAAAACTATATGGAACAAATTTGATGATTTGAGTTAAACGAGTTGACAAGATAATTTATATATTATGGAAGAAAACGCAAAAACAGTGTCGTCTTTAGATTTGGAAAGTGAAATACCTTTCACTGCAATTGTCGATATAAATCAAACAAAAATGTTAATAGATACTCCATTTTTTTCCAATTCTGATGAGATATATAATGAAGAAGCTAAAAGTAAAATTGAACAAAATATTGATATAAAATCTATTTGTCGAATATGCTTAACCAGGGATAATAATATGGTTTCATTAATGTCAAAAATTGGGCATAATATAGTAGCAGACATGTTTTCATCTATAACATCAATTAAAGTGAGTAGGTAGTTAATCTAATAAATAACTAAAATATTTTCACAGATGCTATGAAATAAACTTATTTTACTGAAAGGTATTTACAGAGTCAATGAGATTTTTTTTTATACTATTCTGAATTAGTGCTTGACTACGTTCCACCTGATGGTAAGTGGTAACGCAGTCGTAGATGGTAAGTCGCACTAATTCTGTAGCCACCTATTCACTCTTGCCTTGAAGACACCCATATTGTAATCGGACGGAAACACTGACGCAGGCAGGTTGTTCCAATCCTTAGCCATACATATAATAAATGACGTAGCGAAACGCTTCATGCGGACGGGTGGAATGTCCACGACATTACAGATTAAATGAATACAAACAATAGAATTAAAATAGAACACTTAATTTAATGACAATGTTCTTATATTAAAAACTCTTATTAAAAACTCTATTTAAAATGCCTAGCCAAGAATGTAGTTATTACTAAGTATATGTATACCCAAATAAATCACTTCATGCACCTTTCCAAGTACTTCTAAATAGAGGCAATTTAGTTGTTTTTTGTATAATTGTTGCTGTGAGTCCAGTTTAGCATAAATGATAATTTTTAATATTCGTATTCCGAACTCTTATCATTGACTGAGCATGTACATTGTGGGAAAACAGCTGGCTCAATTCTATGTGATATATGAAAATATAAATATATTTTTAGATTAATCGACAAGGAAATCTCCCCTTACAAATATGTATTACATGTCATGAGGAAATAGTTCATTGTTATGAGTTTAAGGTTAAATGTTGCAATACTAATAATTACCTTACATCATTAATGAAGACAGAAAGTTCTAATGATGAAAACCACCCTAAGTAAGTTTATTATATATCTTTTTTTTTTCGAGTATAACTTAATATTAAAATTACTATTTTTATAAAAAGAATAATAATTCAAATGATGAAGATTTTAAACGTCTTTCGTTTAATAACTTACATACCAATAAACTAACTAACTAACATACCAAAAAATTTAACAATTTACTATCTAGGTTCCAGAATAAAACTGATAGAGAGACACAGACAATAGTCGATGATATAAAAATAGAAAATATTGCTGAGAATTTTCCTGTACACAACATTAAAAATGAACTAGTCAATAATGAATACTGGATAGAGTCTAAACCCAGACAAGAAATAGATGGAAATGAAGACCATGAAGGTTATAACACATTTCAATTTTTATTATATTATTTTTTAATTTTAATTTCAGTTAGAAAACATTCAGTTTTATAAAATCTATATTAAAAATATATCATACATCATTTCTTTAACAAATATTTGAAACTTGGCAGTCTAAGATGAAGATTTATTCTATTCATATTTATTTTCATTATAAAGTGTTACTTTAAAAGTAAACAAGCTTATGAAATGTTCTCCAATAGATATATAATATATAGTACTCAATAAATAATATTAATGTAAATTATGTTATATACTAAATTAATAATATTCACAGAAATTGAATACTTAGAGGAAGAGCTATTTCTTAGTGATTCTGCTGAAAATATTAAAGAAGAACATGTCAAAAGGTAGTCTAATTAATTTCTATACACTTTTTATTGTATGGTTTTTTGTCTTTGTAAACAAATCTGTTATATTTTTGTTTCCTTTTTTTCAGAAAATGGATGTCAAAAGAAATGAAAGGTGTGAAGTTTTATTTAGAGGTGAAAAGGTCAAATTAGTGACCCAAGTTTGCTTTTCTCAGACTAAAGTCATAATATATTATGTCTATAAAGAAAAAAGAATTCATTAAAAAACTGATTAAAATGATAATAGAAAAAAATCCACTCAGCGGCATATTTGTTTTAGCTTAATGACGGATAAACAAAAAGTAAAGTTATGTAATGGTGTATTTAATCTGCATTTTTCAGATTTAAAGTCATTATTTCAGAAGAAGGCAACACTAAAGGATAGTAAACTAAAAAGAAGGCAGCTTAATTGTGACATGTGCTCTAAGGTGAGATTATCGGACTTAGTCCCTGTTAGCAACACTAAATAATATTAGTAAATAATAATGTTTTTTTTTTAAATTATAATATTTATAATAATAACAAGTAAGATTAAATAAATAATGTTGCTATATTTAATTATAATATTTATTAATTTTTTTAAAAGATGTTTAGAAATAAAACTCAACAAATATTGTAAGGTACTTTATTGCCATTTTTGAATTTTGAAATCAATTTTTGTAAAATACCTAGTGGGTATGCCTACCCACCTGGTATGCCTGTCTGTAAGGAGTATATGTGTTTGAGACGTCAATAACCTTAGTCTCTCCCGTGACCATGATTGCTGTAAAGCATTCGAAACGTCAAGAACCAAAAATCAAAAGAAATCCGCGAAATAATCCGAAAAGATAGTTTTATTTAAAATTTGAAATATTATCGTAAATCTAAGAAAGTATTGTTTGACATAACTTTTTTATTTATGAACCGATTGACATGTAACAAACACTAAATGTTAAGTGAAGCTTACCACAGTTTATTAGTGAAAACCACATCTAAATCGGATAAGCCGTTACTGAGATTAGCGTGCACGAACGCATAGACAAACAGATAAACAGACAAAAAATCTAACAATCATTGTTTTTGGTGCTATTTGCGATTTGATTTATTATTTTATAAAGGTCACAATTACATTTTTGCAGATATATAGTCTTCCATGTACAGACAGCGATCCATTATATTTTTATTATTTGTATAGATAATTATTATTATAATTTTACGTACCGTTAAACAGGGACCGCAAAGAACGTTGTATTTTTTCCGTTTTCTACCGAGATAAAAAATAAATTTTATCTAGCACTCTGGGGTAATGCAGCCCATCTATTAAGAAAGGAATTACTTAAATCGGTTCAGTAGTTTCTGAGTTCATCGAAGCAAACAAATCTTTCCTTTATATAATATTAGCATATGTAATCCTCAAATATAATACGATATTAAGTATCTAACAAAACATTAGTAAATAATTTATTTTCAGAAATTTATAAAAACAAAATCTTTAAAAGCTCATCTAAGGAAGTGTCGAAGTAATAACAGTAATGTTAAGAAGCCATATGGCTGTCCACAGTGCAAAGAGTCGTTCATATGCGAGAGTGATCTTCAAATACATTCCGCTTTACATATAAAGGGTAGTAACTGGATGTGCAATAGATGCTCAAAGGAGTTTACAGGTAAATATATTAAATTTACACTATGACTACCAAAAATATAAAACCCTTATTGCCTAATAGTAGGAATACAATAAATTTAACGCTTATTGCTCAATATCAGAATGATTATGACACTAAAATAAGGTGTTAAATGAGAGAGCTGGTGCGGCTGTTATAATGTATTGTAAACTCGACAAGGTCAGGAAGTGTTTAATAAAACTTTAAGCAAAGCTTAGTTTTTTACCAGTCTTTGAAAAATAAACTGTCTTATTAATAAGAAAGGCTTATTCATAGCTTACTACGAGGTTGCACTTGGACTAGCTAATTCCGGAGTAACCAAGTATTAGCTTCGTTTCAAGATTGTTATTAATAAACATGGAGTAACCACGGACTAACTATACATTCCTTATGCCTGGATTAGCGCGTCCGCTATGGCAATCCAGTTGATTTTAAAAGTAAAAAGATCGAACCATTGAATGAACATAGTTCAGTTCTTTGCTTTAATGGCTTTAATGCGTGCCAGTTGAGCACAAATTATTTCGCCAATGTCACGTTGAATGGAGGAGTCACGTTCGAGATTGGCCGGTGATATTTTGAGTTATTCCACTAAGAGAATGGATTAACAGTATTAAATAGAAGGATTTTAATGTTATACCTCCACCTAAAAAATAGAAAAAACAACACAAAAAATTAATTAAATTATACTATGTAAAAATAATATTATGTTAGTAGGTTAACTTAAAGAGATGTTAGTTCTAAAGCTTAATTTTGTTAAATTTAATATATTTACACAAAAATCTACATAGGGGACTAAACACAAACATCAATAAACATTGAACATTAAGGGGACGGGGGACTTTAAAAGGAAGAACATCGTAAAGGGGACGAAGAAGTTTGGGGCAGTTGAAAAGGATGTGGGAAGCTGAACCTTCATCCAAACCGCATTCGCATAATGAGTGGTCCCTGACCCTGATCTTAGCCAGATGAACAGGAGTGCTTGCATGTCCAAAGCGTAGGCGACTAATAGTAGTAATAACCCACCGTTCTGCATGTTTCTGACGATAAAACCATGGTCGCTTTGGTATCTCCGCCTGAATAGAAGCATAATGCTTTCCCTTAGAAGATTTTGATGAGTTCCAGTAGCTGATCCAGGATTTGTCCAGATGAGTTTTTGCCAGTGATAATAAATCTTGAGAAGAGTTGGTAAAATGTTCAAGAGATCCACACTGAGTAGCAACTTTAGCGCAAGAGTCAGCGGACTCATTGCCAATAATACCAGAATGAGCTGGGATCCATACTAACTGGATGATCAACCCATTTTGGAGGCATGAGAGCAAAGCTTCACGGATCTTCAAAATAATGGAATACCTTGATTTGCTACGAAAAGGATTTTCTTTAATAGCCAATAAACAACTTAAGGAGTCAGTCAAAATAACAGTCTGTTTTATGTTATGGGAATGGGCGAACAGGATTGCTTCTAGTAAAGCAACGGCCTCGCCTGTAAACACCGACGATTGGGGAGGACATTTGAATTGGAGAACAATTTTAAATTTAGGTATCCAACACGCTGCCCCAACACAGCCATCATTAGATAATTTAGATGCATCTGTGTAAATATGTACGTGGTTCAACCAATTTTGATGCAAAAACGCTTGAAACTTTGTGTTGATGTCAACGGCACCCTTTACTAGACCCATATCTGTTATTATAGGGGGAGCATACGTCAAGGCAAGATAGGAGGTAGAGAAAAGTGGATTAGAGTTAAAAGAATTAATAGGATGAGGGAGGTTGGTAAATCTACGATAACTATCTAAAAGGTAGGATACAGGCCTATGTGGAGCGTTAAGTTCGGACAATTCAATTAAACGAGGCCACAAAGGATGGGATGAAAGCTGTAATGATTTACAAACAAATCGGTCAGACAGGAACTGACGCCGAAACGGAAAAGGAGGATCCACACACTCTATCTGAAGAGCATTAGTTCATCGCACCAATTATAATTCTAAGACTTTTAAATTGTAATTTATTGAGTTTTTCTGAAGCTGCCTTATTAAAGGGGTCTAAGATAAAGATACCATAGTCAATATGGCTCCGAATTAAAGCGTTATACAGCAATTTTTGAGAATATGGGTGTGCACCCCACCACACACCAGACAACGCTCTTAAAACGTTAATGCCTTTCTCGCACTTTTTACTAATATATTCAGTATGAGCAACTCCGTTCAATCTGTTATCAAGTACTATGCCTAGAAATTTAACTTTATCAGCCACTTTAATTGGTTGATCCTCAACACAAAAATTGAACCTTGGAATAGATCTCTTTTTACAAAATATTACTGTCTGGCATTTAGCCACTGACAACGATAAGCCATGATCAGAAAGCCACTGGTTTAGATAGTGCAAAGCAGTATTTATACGAAACTGAATGTCCTCTATAGACTTTGAACTAAAATAAAGGACGATGTCATCAGCATACTGTAATATACTGCAAAAATTGTTGACAGACAGTTCGAGGTCATGGGTATAGATGCTGTACAGCAAAGGGCTGAGGACCGAGCCTTGAGGGAGGCCTTTCCAGACCTGCCTGGGAGGAATAGTTAGCAAGCGGTGTCTAATAGATATAGTTCTACTGGCCAGCAGATTACATATAAAATGAGTCAACTTCGCAGGAATACTCAGCTGTTGCATTTTTTGCCTGAGTAACGGAAGAAGGACATTATCATATGCAGAAGCAATATCCAAGAAGACCCCAACCAAGTATTCACCCTTAGCAAAGGCTAGTCGAATGTCTGTCGTAAAAATGCTGAGACTATCTATTGTGCTCAGGCCCTTCCTGAAGCCAAACTGAGAGGGCGCCAAGATTTTCCTGCTTTCCACTAACCATTCTAAGCGATTTTTAAGAAGATGTTCAAAAATTTTGACAAGAGTGGACGCTAATGCAATTGGTCTATAGGAGTTGGGATCAGAAGGACATTTTCCTGGTTTTAAAATTGGGATAATAAGCTGAGATTTCCATGCTTCAGGAATTATTCCTGAATCAAAAGATGCATTGATTAAATTTAAAAAATATTTTTTAGCCCTATCAATAAGTTTGGATATAAAGGAATAGGGAATGCCATCTTCTCCTGGACACGAATCTTTTAAACCCGTTAAGACGTTATTGAGTTCGTCGAAGGAAAAAGAGGCGTCCAGTTCACCAGAAGCGGGAGATGGTGGAAAATTCAGAAAGGAATCATAATTAGGGACAAAAGGAGCTAATTTATCTGCAAAGTCATTAAGCCAATCGGATGGATTATTGGAATTGAGTTTAACATCATTAAGAGACCTGCGAAATCTCTTAACATTTGTCCAAACTGTTGAGGATGGGCAACGGGGATTCAGGGACTCACAGAAATTAATCCATCCTGACCTTTTCTTTTTTGAAACTAGTCTCCTAAACTTAGCATCACTCTGCTGGTAGTTTATAAAATTCTCCCCTGTCATAGAGGCCTCATATGACACTTCAGCAGAAATTCTACTATTGACAGCATCAGTGCATTCCTGATCCCACCATGGATTGGAAAGCAATTGATTCTGTGAAAAGACTTTTTTAGGAATATGAAGGTCTGCAGAGAATAAAATAGCTAAAACAAATTGGTTGTAACAAAAAATGATATTCTCACCATTAACAAGCTCAGGAAGCGATTCAATCATACAATCAACTGAACAGGCGAAATTTGCCCAATTTGCTTTCTTTAGGTTATGTGAAAGTAAGGGTTTGGTGTTTGGAAGCGATATATTTCTATTATGTATAGATATAAGGATAGGAAAGTGGTCACTACCATGGGTGGATGGAAGTGTGGTCCATGATAATTGGGAAGCAAGAGAGGGAGAGGATAAAGATAAGTCCACAGCGGTCTTAGGGTTTTGGTTAGGGTGAACTCTTCTGGTCGGAGAACCATCATTTAGGATGCATATGTTCAGGTCATCAAACATATTAACCAACAAAGGAGAGACTCCATCACAGTAATAGCACCCCCACAAGGTATGATGAGTGTTAAAATCTCCCATTACCAGACATGGACTGGGAAGGGCAGTAAGTATAGAATATAGCTCAGGAATAAGGGCAGGGGAAGGATGGGGAATATAGAGTGAGAGGAATGAAATATCAAAGGCTCTCACAGCAATAGCATTAATGTGCTGGCTGTGAGGGGGGAGAGGAATAGAGGAAAAAGGAGTAGAGTGCCGTATAAGGATGGCACTTCCTGCATACCCATCACTTCTGTCATCCCTCAAACAGGTGAAACCTGTAACTCGAAACCGAGAACTAGGCAACAACCATGTCTCCGAGATGGCAATAATGACAGGCTTATGCAGGTTGATAATTGAAAATAGTTCATGTTTCTTATTTTTAATACTTTTACTGTTCCATTGCAGAAAGTGGAGTGGGGCCATTATTAATAATTTGGAAAAGGTGTAATAATTTTTGGGCAACGTTGGACGGTAAAGGGAGTTCATCGCACATTGAGATAATACCAATTAAAGTTTCTGTAAGAGAAACTAAGAGGGATTTGGTATCTGAAGGGGTATTAACATTATTGTTAAGAGCACAACCATTGGATAAAGAGGAAGAACAATTGCCAGTAATGGCTTGGTGTGCTTCTTTATCATATCCCTTGCCCAAAGGAGCCCTGGGACGTGATTGACGGACAACAGTTTGGCGGTATGATTTAGTTTGTGAAGGAGAAGTAACTGGTGAGTAACTTTGAGTAATGGAATATGCAGGAGGGGTAAACATTTCCTTAGCTACATCAGAGTAGGATCTTTGGACAGGAGGAAAGCGAGCAGAGGCTTCCATATAGGAAACATTATCTTGCGACATTATAATTTTGATAGATTGCTGTCTAGAAAACTCAGGACAATCCTTATCTATGGCAAAATGTTTGCCTGAACAATATAAACATGTCGAGGTATCTCTGGAGATATCACATGCATCCCCAGTATGTGGTTGGGCACACCTGTAACATCTAGGCCTTGATCGACACTGGGATTTAATGTGACCAAAGCGACAGCAGTTAAGACATTGAATGGTAGGAAGCTTGTAAGTTTCAACAGGTAAGGATGTGTGGTAGCAATATACTTTTTCAGGCAACATTTGCCCACGGAATGTTATAACAATAGATTGAGTTGGAACCCATGTAATCACACCTTCATTGACATTCTTTCGGTTCAGGCGTCGCGCTTTCATCACTGCTCCACAACCAGTAGGAAGTTCTAACGACTCCACCAGTTCGTCCATTGACCAGTCTACTGGGACACCTTTAATAAGACCCATTCTTGTGACATTATATGTTGGGATAATTGCTACATATTTTGCCATAGATAAAAAAGGGTTGCTTATAAACTCATTTGCTGCCTGAGCAGAGGAAAATTGGACAGAGATTTTATTCCGGCCAACATTTTTAACACCATCATTAACTATAGATTGAATTTTGTTGTGGTGTAAAAATTGACCAAATTTAATAGCCCGTATAGTAGTTCCTGCTGCTGGGTCTGCAACTTCCCGTGAGACATGAACAATGTAAGGACCTTTGTCTTCGTTGGAATAGGATTTAAGACCATCAGACATACTAGGGTGGACATAAACATTTTGTATGGAAGGAGTGGCTGAAGTAGGATCAGTAATTGTTTTTTTTGTATTCTCTATAATCTCATTAATTTCACCTGGCCTCTTACGCGTAACAGGCCTTGCCACCAAACTAACATGACCACCTCCAGTGTCCGGTGGATCCGGAGGAGGGTCACCGTCCATTATACTAAACTAATCTACAACTTAATTTAAAATACACACAACACACACAATAAAACTACTTACCGCCACCTACAACGCACAAATACGCACAAAACCAGCTATTTCAATACTTTATATTACAAGAATCCTTATAAGAAAGGCCGAAAATCTCACTACACGTGTGTCAACCACAACAAACGGAAGCGAAAAAAACTGAATGAACATAAGCAAATTGATGAAACAAATGACAGTGACAGGCAATGTTTTGAGTTTGACAATTTATCTGCTGTGTAGCGCGCAAACCAGACACCAGTTTGTTTGAATGTTGTTTTGATTTGATAACATTTTAACTTATAAAATAATAACATGAACCAAAACGCATTCGCTCTTTTAACTGGGATGAAGAGGAAAAAGTAAGTTATTTACATTCGTCATTCTTTATCAATGTGTAAATTTGAATGTCGTGGTATCTTTAATTATTGGTTTTTTTTTTTGGTTGTATGTGACCACCTCTCGCATCACCAGCTAAATCACTTTTTAACATGTCAATTATATAAACGGCAGTAGGTCGGGAAAATCTATATTTAGATTTAAATTCGGCATCCTCAAGTTCTTCCAGTGGATTGGTACGATATTTGTACAATTTAACACACCTCGTCCTTATAGGAATACTGTCAAGCTGGTTTGTATCCTCATTTATTTCTTCCATTAGCCTCAAATCATCAGTAAAATAGTCTCTATCCATTTTATTTTAATAATTTCTTATGAACCCTCGAACAAAACAAATCACACGCAGCAGTAACACTAAACCAACACCAACAAAATGTCAATTGGTCAAGTGAAGAAGTACCTCATACTTTTTGGTATGCCGTAGATACACTAGACACCGCTCAATGAGTAAGTAAACTGCTTAATCGGTCCTTAAACTAGGTAGCAGCGAGGTTTAATATTTACGCCGAGAGTAGACTCGGATTAATTTACTCCATCCTTACTCCATGTTTATTAATACTGAAATTTGTTAGAACCGATTTAATACTTGGAGTAAAGTTAATCTTAAGTTAGTCTTCGTTTATTAATAAGACAGAAAGGGTTTATTACCGCTGTACTGTTTATTAAGCAGTTTCTGGACTGTCATAAAAGTGATATATGACAGTCTTTGTTAGAGGACTGTATAATCAGGACTGCCAGATCGTATAATTCGATACGAAAATTGTAAAATATGTTTATTTTATGTATTCATACTTTTATTGAAACTTATTATTCATCACAGACTATTTCTCAACAGCTTTGTTACTTTGTATAATAAAATTTGATTTGGTATCATTTGATTACTTAGTGGAATAAAATAAGTTAGCTCTACTGGCAGCCCTGCTGTATATGGTCTATTAGAGTGTGGTTGTCTTATCTACCTACCTCTTGCCACAAGCAGGACAGCTGTAGGGCTTCTTGCCGGTGTGCGTGCGGCGGTGGCTGGTCAGCGATGAGCCCGCGACAGTATAGATAAATAGACTGTGTTAATACTGTAAGAGGTACTTTATACCCGATGAAACAATTATATTACAGAGCGCAACAGGTTCCGTCGGCACATACAAAGGCACATGGAGTCGAAGCGCTACGCGTGCGACCGCTGCGACAAGACGTTCGTAGAGCTGTGTGGGCTGAAGCGACACGTGCGCGTGCACACCGGCGAGGAGCCCGAGAAGAGGTTTAGCTGCGAAATATGTGACAAAAAGTAGGTTATTTTCTTCTATCAACAATACTACTAGATATCGGGTCGGCATAAGAAATTCGTCTCGGTACATATAAGCTCACTTGCAAAGTGAGCGTATAATTTCGATTAGTTCTACTGAAACACTGCCAACGTAAATACGTTCACAATGCCGCAATATATATTTAAAAGTTGCAAAAATAATGCGCGAAAAAGAACTTTTTCAGACGGAGTGAAAATGAAATTATGAACAATTTTAAATGCGCTAAGAACGTTGGCCCAGGTCGGCCAATATACGCGCCAATACAAAGAAGCAAACGGAAACAAAACATAACGATTTAGCTCACAAAGCAAGAACGGGAAAAAGTGCTTTATGTTTTTTGATATAAGATTGATTTTACAATAAAGATTATAACTTTTGTTCGTAAGTGTATGATGATAATTCGAAGATTTGTGACTTTATTACAAGGTGGTATGGTGTTGATTACCTTGAAAATAAAACTATTATAAGACTTTGTCTTGGTTCGTTAGTATACAAATTAAGTTGTATAAGTAAAAATTCGCGCGGACAGAATTTAGCTTTGATTTTGTATGTGACACGTTATCTACGAGTAGTAGTATTGTTGATCGATGTATTGGTGTGGTTATTATAGATGTTCATTTGATAGGTACATATATTATAAAATAACGTGGCCTAATGAGTATCACTTACAGCTGCAGATCCATAGGTCCTGGGTTCTAATATGTTTTTTTAATATTGCTAAATACATTTGTGAATACCACCGTACATACTGCATACACGTACTGCATACATGGTTGTTGTGGTCTGCTTCGGCAGACCTGCCGTCGGGGCGCCATCGTTGAGTGCGTAAGACGGAAGAGGTTTTAGTGGGTAGTACTGCCTTTTCTAGGCGGTGAGACCCACATAACCACCTGTATCTCTACAGGTCGTATGTGTAAATGCATTTTCCAACATTAAAAAACAAAAAGGTGGTTATGTGAGATTCACCGACTAGACAGCCAGGACTACCCACTAAAATTTGCCCAGTCTTAATGGGAGGTCGCAGGATTGTTTACGCACTCGACCACGACCTAGGTAAACTACAAATACTATACTGTATTCGCCGAATGAACCAAGCACAGAGATTTTGCGCTTCCAAGTGATTAGTCTTTATATATATAATTCTTCTGTGAGTGTGTATGTCACTGAACTTCTCTCAAACGACTGGACCGATTTTGATGAAATTTTTTGTGTGTGTTCAAGGGGATCTGGGAATGGTTTAGATTCACAATTTGAATAATAATTTTCATCAAAAAAATTATTAAAAAAAGTTTGAAATTTTCAAATTAAAGACGTGTAGACAGAACAACGTCTGTCGGGTCCGCTAGTTACATATAAAACGCTTAGGCCGCGATTACAATGCAAGTCATAATTAGTCCGTCGATGCATTTCGTACTGTTCAGACGTCTCCCGTGTAGTTACCTGATTTATTATCAATGTAGGACATGACAGTGATACGTCGGAAAGTGAACATTAATAAATAATGTATATAAATATTTCAAAATACAGTTAATTTTACTTTAATGTTGATTTTATTTTATTACAAATTATTAATAATTTTTTCACTAAACCATTAGCAACATGAACGAGCCCTGATGATTTCAAACCAGTTGCAAGTGTTCGTGTGCGGAGCTAGACAATTTTCTGTCCTTATCAGTTAATATACTACTGTGGGACAGAGATGGCGCTTTGCATGATTCTCCCGTGAATAGTAGGGAAGTACAACTTAAGCGAACTAGCGCCTGCGACACGTACGTCTTATTTATTCGTATGTGCGCAGCATGTTTTCTCCAAATGTAGGTACTGGGTTGGAAATGTTTAAATTATTAATTATTGAAATATTTAAGTTTATGGTAATCTTTGAAAAGTTGAGTGAGCTGAGCTTTGCTAATTAATGTATCTGTGTACGGTCAGGTTCAGCGACGGCAGCCAGCTGGGCGTGCACATGGCGCGGCACACGGGCGCGCGGCCCTGCGCCTGCGACGCGTGCGGCAAGGCCTTCCCCTCGCGCCGCCTGCTGGCCTCGCACCGCCGCGTGCACTCCGACCTCAAGCAGTACGCCTGCGCCTACTGCGACAAGCGGTCCGTCACACACACATCACACACTTCACGCGTTTTAGATTATGAAGTTCCGTAAAAAGAAATGAATCCTTAAACTTATTATAATTATTTATGAATATTTATAATCTTGTAATGTCCGTTTGTCCGTATGTCACAGGAATTTTACCCAGAGGCTTATTGGTGCTATAGGTTTTAAAAAATAAAATGTTCAATGTAATACATATGTATTTTTAAATTAGCTTCTATAAATAGCAGATATTTATCATTTAGGTGCCTCTTAATTACTTATTTGTGTAAATTTAGAATGTTACAGTTAACCTCTAGAAATTACAGTTATAAAAAATCAAAACCTTACACAATCCTACGTATAGTACCTACAGATATTTATTTTTAAAAATGTGTGATGATATTCTACATATAAAACAATATCAATAATAAAGGTTCCGCCACGAGTCAACTCGCAACACGCACCACCGCACGCACACCGGGGAGAAGCCGTACGTGTGCTCCATATGTGGCAAGACCTTCATACAGAACTCGAACCTCAAGCTACATATGCGTACTCATACAGGTAAGTGCTGTACTGCTAGGACTGTGCCCAGTGTGTAGTGCGAGGTTTTCAATCTACTCGATAGCGTTAACTAAGGTTAACGCAAATATATAAGGAACTAGCTACTAAGCCTCGCTTCGCTCTGGTTCGTCCCTAGCTTGCTTCCCCATACAAACTTTCATCCCCATTTTCGCCGCCTTTAGGGAGGATTTCCAGGTTAAAAGGTATTCTGTGTTCTTCCCAGGGTCTCAAACTATCTTCTTACCAAATTTCATCTAAATCTGTTCAGTTCATTCAGAGATTACCCCCTACAACGTCACAAACTCACAAACTTTACCTCTTTATAATATTAGTATTGCAGTGGTAGCCTAGTGGTAGCGCGCTCGCTTGAGAAACCGAGTGAAGCGGGTTCAAATCCCGGATCTCGCACCTCTGATATTTTCATGTGCGAATCATTTTCTAACATGATTACCTCTTGCCTTACGGTGAAGGAAAAACATCGTGAGGAAACCTGCATGTCTGAGAGAACTTAGCAAGTTTTCGAAGGACATGAAGTCCGCCAACCCGCAGTTGACCAGCGTGGTGGACTATGGCCTGATCCCCCTCGTATTGAAGGGAGGCCTGTGCCCAGCAGTGGGACATTAAAAAGAGCTGAATACAATATTAGTATAGATTGAAACCACGCCATCTAGTGATAAAAACAGACATCATTTTCCCTTTTTTTTCAAGGGCGAATTTCAAGTTGTTATAAATGAGCAGTTAACTAATCAGTGTTTACAAAAACCAATAAATTAAAATATTAAAATATAATTATTACAAAATGAATATGTGATTATCGATAGCAAATTGAGAAACACTTACTAACCTTAACAATCCGTTAAAACTTTTATAATCTGATGATTCTGATTGATGATTCAAAAAAAACTGAAAACTCGCACTCAGCACACTGCTTTAACTGCCTCAGTGTTCTAGTGGCTAGCAGTAGATCTAGCTGAAATTTCCAGTACTTTAATACTCAATTTTCCCATACGTTTAAACATAATAAAATGTTATAGGTGAGAAGCCATATTCGTGTGATATATGCGGACGCAAGTTCACTTCGGGCTCGTCGCTGACCAGCCACCGCCGCACGCACACCGGCGAGAAGCCCTACAGCTGCCCCGTTTGTGGCAAGAGGTAAGTGGGTATGACCTCACCACACTACTAATCCATACAGGCCTCTAACGAAGGCTTCTTAGCCGGAGGAGACGCGGGCGAAGCGCACATGACACTCATATGACAATCGGGAAATAGCTCTAGGGTTGGTGAGTATAACTGTAACTCGCTACCAGACAGCACTAATGCGCTATAACTTGGCGACCGTTCACCATAAAAATATATTTTATACAACTCTAGCATTTGGTAGTAGTTTCGTTACAATATGCAATTCTAATATGGATTTTTATACTTATATGATATAACACTTTTTTTACACACATGCGAAATTCCGTGAAAATGGTTCCAAATTCAAATTCTTTGTTTAATATTGAGCGAAGAAGAACTAAAAGTAGGTATTTCCAATGAAAATGCTTCTATCCTAAAATGAACTGCCGAAAGAAACTCTGTGGGACCATAATATGTATTTTTAACATTAAGAAGCGATTACGTCATTCCCAAATTGTTAGCTTATATAAATTCGTTCATTGTATAATAGCCGAAAACACAATCTTTCTATTACTCTAGATGGTCGCGTAACATTTACATATATGAGAGCTATCATACGTCTGCTATCATTTGTGTGTTGCGCATATACGTACTGCACTATAGTATCTCCTACTCAGTTATCCTCAATGAAATTTTCTATCATAACCGAAATTGATTAGGAGGACTATAATATTATTTATTATATCCTTTAGTGAACTTAAAAACAAAATAAAGAAATTTACTAGAAAAGACTATTTACTAGAATTATCTAAACAGAAAAACTCAAATGACTAAAACTTGGGTCGACGTGGCATTTGAAGCCAGTACCTCCTGAAATGCAGCCGTACATGTTAACCATTGCCCACTACACCATCGAGGCAGTTAAATAAGAAGTATATTAAATGAATGTAACCACTCGCCAGGTTCGCGCGCACCGACATCCGCACGCACCTGCGGCAGCACAGCGGCGAGAGGCCGTTCGCGTGCTGCGCCTGCCCCAAGGCCTTCGTGAACGCGGCGCGGCTGCGCGACCACTGCCTCATGCACACCGGTACGTTGCGTACATCGGCAATCAATCGGCGTCTAATACTGGAAGGAGGGTTTTTTTCCTTTTTAGCGTTGGAAAATGCATTTATGTAATTATGTAGAAGTCGATACTACCCACTAAAAGCCAACAGAACCTCGCCAGACTTAGCCGTCTTACCTAGCTAGACAGGGGCCGAACGAAGGCCTTTTTATTTTTTAATGTTGGGAAATGCATTTACGCATACCACCTGTTTACATACAGGTGGTTATGTGGGACTCACCGGCTGGAAAAGCCAGTACTACCCACTAAAACCCAACAAAACCTTCCCCCGTCTTAATGGGGCGTCGCAAGATCGCTTACGCACTCAACTACGACGCCCCAACGGCACTTCTGCCGAAGCAGACCACGACAACCACGGGGTTGCTCCAAGGTCCACTTTGCTATCAGAGAAGTACCAGGAGCAACCCGCATAGCACAACGTCCACCGAAGTGGGCCACCCCCTGTGCGTTTCTTAGCTTCGCGCCCGGTTGTATGCCCGGCACTACTGAGCCTCCACACCACGACAAAGTGAACGCACGTTGGGAGGGGGGGTCGAAGGCCTCCTCCGATAAGCTTCAACCATCCCGGTTCTGGGCAGCCCGCTTCCATCCGCTCCTAGGTCATGTGTCCATCGTGCCGCAGGGCGCCCCACGCTACGCTTGCCTAAACTCGGTATCCACTCTAACACGTGACAAGACCCGCCCACTTCACAGTTCACGTCAGCGTGCTAATTCTGTGTAACCTAGCATAATACAGTAATCATATATAAGTTGATCAATCATTAATGTTTTATACTAAAATCTACAAGTAACATAACATTTACAATTTTCAATACAACGTTCGCGTATATTCCTCTTAGTTTATAAATTGTATCGAGTTTAACATTTTCTGTTATACAGGTGAAAAGGCGTATGAATGTGCCATCTGTTCAGAAAAATTTAAAAGAAAAAGTTACTTGGCTAAGCATCTGAGACTACACGAAAGAGATAACAAAATGAAAAATAAAAGTCTTGTGATGGTCCGTCAGCTGCCGTTGGTGATCGACGACAATATTATTTTTACAGAAAATGATTCAAATGATACAAATAATAGGACGGAATTAAATCTTAGCCATGAAAATATGAATAAAGATATTTTAGTGACAGAAGAAATTCCTTTAGAAGTATCAGGAGAGCTAATATTGCAAGATGATAGCAATATGAAGACTGAACTTGTTGTCGTTGATAATGGACAAAACAATTTGAGTTTTCAAGGAAATGAACACGAAAACTATAGAAATAGTGAAATAAATAATGTAAACTTAGTGACTGTTAATGAGCAAGGTGTGAATATATCCTCGTCATCAGTACTAGACGGTACGACGGTGAAACTTTACCAGTTGGATCAAAGCTTGCTTCAAATTCATACATCTGAGGGACAAGTCACAATTAGAAAAATTACTAGTAAAATGACTGCTAATTTTTAAATGTTCACTTATCTACGATTACCTACAATGTTATTTATTTATGTAAATATTAAAATATAATAAATTATACATAATTATTGCTTTCATTTTACACTTAAATTATTATGCCTAAGTGTTTTTCATCTGAAATTTATTTTATAAAAAATGTCGAAAAGCCTTTAACAGTAAAAAGTTAAAGCGGCAATCTTTAAACTGTAAGTAAAAGGATAATGTGCATTTTCTTGAAAAGATCTTGCACTTTTGTCAAAAGGCCCATGTCAGAAAGTTCTTGAATCGTACCTCATTTCGTGCCGCTCATTTATGTGAGCAGCTGCTCATATAAATTTCCAGCAAAGATTACTTGTGTTTCATAGTATTATATATAGATACCATGAAAACCGAAAGTTTTTTCAGTTCAATTTGCATGGATGTACCTTCTTTTGAACTAATGACTAATTCAGATTCTTTCAGAATTGTTGCAACTGACCTTTTTAAATGGAATCTATACATAATAGTTTCAAACTGATGAATGATGATGAATGAAACAACTGCCGAACAATTGTAGCAAAGACGAGTCTTTACATGAAACATTTTTTTAAAATATAATCGTAATTTCTGTGTACAGAATAGACCCCAAAAAAATCGTCGTTAAAATTTATGTCTGTCTGTATTTACCTCCTTGCTTTTCACGCAAAAAGTATTGAATGTATTTGAACTAAATAATAAACTAACTGAAAAATAACAAATTAATTTTGTACAGTGATAACTTTACTCTGGTCAACATTTTGTATACCTTTTCTTCTTCTCCCTGCCCATTTCCCAATCACTTGGGGTCGGCGCAGTACATCTTCTGTACTGCTGATAGGATTTGGCAAAAGTTTTACGACCGGCCGCCTGCCTGACGTCAACCCTCCTTGGGAATGCTTTTGCTATTTTGTACACCTTTTACTGCAAGAAAATTTCTCAATCATACAGGAAAACATATTAACCGGTTTGGCCGAGTTATCCTTTTATTTCAATGATTTACTTAAAAACTGTCACTACCAGGGTTAAAAATTAACATATTTAGTGCAGTATAATCTCATTTTTATAGGAAAAAAAAATTGTTTGGAAAACAAGTCCCTCATCTATATCTATAGGTAGTAGGGACATACATTAAAAATAAACTTTTCATACTACCCAATGGATATTGATGCGGTTTTCACTAATGGAAAGACCTATGCCTATTATGCTCCGATTTGGCGAGGACACTGCTGTGCAGCCAGATAAACAAAGGATTGTGTATAGAATTTGTAAATATTTTGTACACCATGTCAAGAAAACTTTTCGTAGGCTATAATTAGTTATTACACTCAACTATTTTTATCTACTAAAAACGTTCCTGGGTATGCACCCGATGAAGCGAGTGTAAGTCGTTTGTTTATAATAAAACAAAGTTTAATATAATAAATAAATTTAAAATTTATTTGGAATATAACTAAAATGCTAAATAAATGCTTTATGTGTGCCATTCAATTTAAAACCATGAAGATTTTTTTGAAAGTTCATATTTTTTAATATTTACAAGCATCGATTCATGGATTTCCTTTGCATTTCTATTCTGTCCATAATAATCCACGAACTCTCCATCTGGATCTACCAAGTATATTATAATTGTGTGATCCACCTGTAATACACAAATATAAACATATGAGTTATACTTATAAATGAAAACTTTATGAGTGAAAAAAGTTAGTATTACATCTACACTGTGTCATCTTATATGCTGATTTATATAGGTGTAAGCTATTTTTTATCAATATGCCTATAAAGTAGAGGTGCCGGTAAAGTGGTATCAAGAGAAATATGTTTTTAATTTTATAATTATTATCAACATATTGTTGGCATAAAGCTTACTCTATAAAGTCCATATGTTTGGTCTAACTATGTGATCATTAATACAATATATTATTTATATAAGGTTAAAGATCATAAATCTTTGGTTTAGAGATTTGCTCCTTTTCATTACTTTATTTGTTGAGACAAGTATATTTCATATGACAAATATATTTTTGACATAAATATTTATGATATATTAAGATAAATATATTTTTTAATACTTACAATATAATCATTATCAACATCTTGTGGGCCTGAACTAAAGTATACCCTATATGATTTGCAAGCTTGCTGAACTTGTTCTTTAGTTCCCGTTAGCCCAAGCAGCCGTGGGGTGAATTCCTTGCAGTACCTTATAAATAATAGTGATATAATGTCAAAAGTAATATAAATTACTTAAAAAATGAGATACACTCAATTTCTAATAATAATAATTAAAGGTAATTAAGGTAGTAAATGCCATTTTAAACAATCAATTAGGGACTTACTTTCCAACGATTTCTGGTGTATCCCTCTGTGGATCTACTGAAATGAATAAAGGCTGTAATGGTGGTGAAGAGGGAGTATTGTCTGAAAGAAATAATATATAATAGATTAATATTTTAAATCTTTACTAAATAGCATCATTATACTTTTCAGTAAACCTAAGTATTTGCTAAATAAGAAATAATAATGAGACTGCCGCGGTAAAGCTATTGCATAGCATTTTTTATCAACTTATGCAATTATAATTATTTATTTATTTTATTAATGCAGTATTTTTTTTCCTTGACTTTCTTCATTAATAAATGCACTTTGTTTATTCATATTTAAAACATTTTGTACACAAATTATACGAGTACAGATATTCACTGTTGTACATAGATGATAAATACCTATACACCTATATACTTTCTCACAAACAGCTGTCAGGTTTTTTTCGTTACGGAATTTCTGGATTCGGTCCCCACGCTCAAGGCCCGCGATAGAAGCTATGCAATAGCTTTATAAGTAATCTTTTAGTACTTGTAAAAGGTAATTTATATAACATATTGTACCAGTCTTTTTGGTAACTAAACATAAAATGGAAATTACCATGTTTATCAACTACTTCTGCTAACTTCTCCAGCTCGTCGGGGCAAATATCAGGGCAATGGGTAAAGCCGAAATATATTAGCAACCATTTACCAAGGAAATCACTGCTCTTGACTGTTTTACCCTGTAATAAGTTACTATTATGTAATATAAACTTCAAAGGTGGTTTTATTTATATTATAAGTTTCTTACTCGATAGATAAGTTAAGTTCTGTTAGCTCATACCTGCGAATCAACCAGTTCAAATGTCCCTCCAATTTTTGCTTTACCCAATTGCCTCTTTCTTTCGCGATCCAGTGCATCTTGTTTTTCTTTCCTAACATATAACATAAAGGCTGTTAATCCTCCTCCTGCTATAGCAGTTACAGTCATCGATTTCCATGTGATTGGGCCGAATGACTTCTTCGGTTTCAACTTGGGCGGTTGTGCACATTGTTTCACCGATGATGTTGATAACAACCGACAAAATGGTCTAGCAGTACTTCTTAAAACCATATTCATTTTCAATCAGATGCCCTATTTTTACTTATCATAAAATCTCCTTAACTCGTTACGTACAGTCTAATACACTTTGCGGAATATTTTTTGTAACTCTATCCTAATTCCTAAGTTGACAGGATTGAGGATAATATCAAATATGACATCTGACATCTCTGACTCAATGTAGTACTTAGTAGCATGGATAACAAATAAAGCTTAGTAGTAATTCAGTAAATTAGGTCCAAGAGAATAGACGCATATGGTGTTTAATAGAATGGCAAAATTAACATACAAATGTCAAAGAGATAGATGACAGCTATTGTCAGACACAGTCAGTTTTAACTTTTACGTTATAAATGTCATCCATGAATCGAACGGACTAAACTTTTCAATGCTTTTCATAGTTGCACTTGAAATTCCATAATGCTATTCTTAGGCTGCCTCAAGGAGAGTAGAAGTAGGAGAACTATCTCTTGTATTAAAAGTGACCGATGACAAGCATCAAATTAGATTAAATTTAGATTAAACAAGTAAATAAATTTATGACATATCACATAGCGCCAAAAATACACCTACCCTACCCCAGCCTGCAAATTTATGATATTCGCAATGAAAAAAATACTAATCGATAGATTTTTAATAGCTCAATTCAACTACGTAGCCCTTCCAAATTGCTCACCATTAATTATAAAATTAAAAATCAATAAAGTCCTTGAAAAAAAAATTCATTTATCCGTATATTCAAATTTCTATATCTTTTGATATATACAATATTTTAAATTGCTCAAAGTTCTAAAATACTGCTCAAGTTGCATTTGTAATTGCTCAAGTAGAGTTCTCACCAGCTCCACTTTCCTTAATTATTAAATAAATATAAATAGTTTGAATAAATTTAACGTATAGATAGGTGAGTGCTGCGCATGCGCGCAAACAGTAACGCGAGTCGCAAGGCAAAAAAATCAAGTGTTTCATAACCTCATCATAGTGAAATGAAACTGTAATACTCCAAGCACAACATCATCTATTATCAGGTATTTTTATTATTTATTGACTTATTCATTATGTTCAATTTATACAAAAATCAAATCATGACTAAAAGGTAACTTTATTTTGTAACTTTATGTCTGTTTACAAAGTATTTTCTATATATTCTTCTTTGCTCCAAAACAAAATAAGTAGTAGTATACATGCTCATTATGTTTGCTGGATATTTTTCACTTTTTGACTAAAACTAAAAAATGCTAGAATAAATATAGCTAAAATATACAAAACAGACATAAAGTTACAAAATAAAGTTACCTTTTAGTCATGATTTGATTTTTGTATAAATTGAACATAATGAATAAGTCAATAAATAATAAAAATACCTGATAATAGATGATGTTGTGCTTGGAGTATTACAGTTTCATTTCACTATGATGAGGTTATGAAACACTTGATTTTTTTGCCTTGCGACTCGCGTTACTGTTTGCGCGCATGCGCAGCACTCACCTATCTATAGGTACGTTAAATTTATTCAAACTATTTATATTTATTTAATAATTAAGGAAAGTGGAGCTGGTGAGAACTCTACTTGAGCAATTACAAATGCAACTTGAGCAGTATTTTAGGACTTTGAGCAATTTAAAATATTGTATATATCAAAAGATATAGAAATTTGAATATACGGATAAATGAATTTTTTTTCAAGGACTTTATTGATTTTTAATTTTATAATTAATGGTGAGCAATTTGGAAGGGCTACGTAGTTGAATTGAGCTATTAAAAATCTATCGATTAGTATTTTTTTCATTGCGGATATCATAAATTTGCAGGCTGGGGTAGGGTAGGTCAAAAATACAAGGCATCAGTAGTGATTACATACTCTATGGTACAAGGTACATTGTACAAGCTAGAGCTACAAGGTTTTTACAGGTTATATTTACTAAATTATTTTGGACTACGTAAGTAGTCAAGGTTTTTTATACTGCAGTTTTATTAACTGCACTGGTCAACAGAGATTAAATTTTTAAATTCAGTACACTTCGCCGATAACTGCTAAATTCATATCACTTCTATTTGCTACGCTAGGCCTATATCGGTGTTTCTGAATCACAATTTGCTGCTCACTGGTCACTTTTTCAACTTGTTTCCTATATAAGTCGGTTCTCCTTACTTTTACCCTCCATACCTGCCTGCCAGCAGAGATGAGACATTTTTCAAATACTAGTATTTGAAATACAAAATACCTATTTCCATTTTGTATTTAATTACTTTCTTTAAAAAAGTATTTTGTATTTTATTTAAAATGCCTTTTAGGACATATCTTGTATTTGCAAAATGCAAAATACCTTTTGGTAAGTTTTGGCATGTTTATGAGACCACACAGAAAGAAGATGAGTAATAGTGTCTTCGAACAAATTATTCTATTAACCCTATTCTTGGCATGGTGGATAATTTGATACGTTGAACTTTTTGAAAATCTGGAGACGTTCCGAGACGTATTTTAATTTTTTTTATTATTTAACAAGCTACAAAATATAATACCAAATCCACAAAAAAATACTATTTTATTACTTGCAACACGGAAATTGCAGTCGAAAACAAGATGGCGAATCGATCGAGGACGTCTGCGCATCGCAAGGTAAAAATAATTATTTTTTGTTATATTTTGCTTAAATTAATTCCAAAAACGTTGTAATTCAAGTCGGTTACAATATTTATTAGTCGGAAACGCTATTTTCGAGTAACAATCTGGATGGAAATCGTATGTAATCAACCGTTTTTTTCGAGTGTATCAGATATGCCACACTGCCAGATAGCCAACATTCTAGACTATTTTTGTTATGTATCAAATATGTGACACTGCTTGATTTGTATAGATACTATTTATTTATAAATTTTAATATTATAATAATATTTTAAATTATTATTGCTACTTATATTATTGTGTTTTGTATTTTTCAGCCACAGATACATCAGCTTAGTATACAACAACAAAGAAGAGCTCGGCATCTTGTGGCTCTTGTTCCGAAGCCGGGGGCAAAATCGGATTTGGATGACAGTGAATCATCTGCTGAGGATGAATTGCAGTACTGTCCCCGCCCAACGCACTCCGACAGCAGTTCACCGCCTCCATCGTTGCCATCTTCGATAGAAAATCTAAATCTTTTATCAGATGACGACAATGAGATAAATCAAGTGGTTGCTTCAACATCTTTGGTGCTACACTCACAGTCATCGCTGTCAACCAACCCATGTTCACCATCAATTTTATCGTCCAACCCATCCGCAATAAGGCAGCTTCAGTGTGCTGAGGCAAGTCCTTTGTCTCCGGTACCACCTTTATTAGATCAGGTATGTTTACCATCTCCATTGGCAACCTCCACGCAAAAACATTCACCATTGGCAACCTCTTCCCAAGTACCTTCACCACTGGCAACCTCCTCGCAACTACCTTTACCACGAGCCAGTAACTTGACGTGTCATAACCAGGTACCGTCTCCATTGTTTGCACCTTCTCCCTCAGCGACTACTCGATCAAAAAGACCTAGAGTGGTCACGATAAAACGAAAAGTAATACCTGCTAAAAGATTACAACCTAATTGGCGTTGCTGTAAGTTTACCGGTTCTGCAGAAGTGAAAGATATCTCGTTTGAGCCACGTGAAGAGAAGTGTGCCATTGAATATTTCAAGCTGTTCTTTTCAGATGACATCATCTCTCTCATAGTGCAACAAACAAATATCTATAGCACACAGACAAATGGCAGCTCAATAAATATCACAGAAGATGATATCAAAGATTTTCTGGCGATCCTTTTATTTACGGGGGTCGTTAAAATGCACGCTTATACAGATTATTGGTCCAAAATTCTACGATACGACAAAGTAGCAGATATAATGACTCTGAAGAAGTTCCAGTTACTGAGGCGATATATACATTTCAATGATAATTTTATTGACGACGACGATAGATATCACAAAGTTAGACCACTTCTTCAAAAAATCCGTGAAAATTGTCTAAAAGTAGAAGAAGAGTCGCGTTTCAGTATTGATGAAATGATGGTTCCACATAAAGGAACTAGAGCAGGCAGCCGTAAGCAGTATGTAAAAAATAAACCGAAAAAATGGGGATTCAAAATATTTGTTCGCGCTGGTGTCTCTGGAATAGTTTACGACTTCCTGATCTACGGAGGAGACGACACATTTAGATTTAACTCATTCACAGATGAAGAAAATGGTATGGGCCTGGGATCAAAAGTAGTTCTTGCGCTAGCGAAATCCATTCACCAGCCTGCATGCAAAGTCTTATGCTTTGATAACTTCTTCACTTCTATTGAGCTCCTGCAATATTTACGTAACGAATACGGGATTTTCGCACTGGGAACAATCCGATCAAATAGGCTTCGAGGAGCGGAAAAAAAATTACCCACGGATAAAAATCTAAAAAAAAGCGGCAGAGGATCTCATGCACAAGTCGTATGCAACAAAAACAAGATCGTTGTCGTCAAATGGTACGATAACAAATGTGTCACAGCTGCAAGCACATTTGTAGACGCGCATCCTATCCAGAATGTGGTTCGTTACAAGAAAGCACAAGGAAGAAAAATGCCAGTGACATGCCCAAATTTGATAAAAGAATACAACACCGACATGGGCGGAGTTGACCTGGCAGATATGCTGATTGCTCTGTATCGTACACCATTCCGAGGTCATCGCTGGTATTTACCGATCTTCTCGCAAATGCTTGATATTTGTGTGAACAATGCCTGGCTTCTCTATCGACGTCATAGAGAAGACAGGCATGAAGCCAAAAAACCCAAGTCGCTAAAAACATTTCGAATAGAAATTTTCGAAAGCTTACGCAGATTTGAGAGAACTAATACAAGCAATATCAGCAGGACTAGCGTCAGCTCAACCAAGACCATACAGAGACCTGTAGCTGAAAGACCCCCAGATGCTGTTCGGTATGATCAAGTTGCACATTATCCAAATGTAACACCTATCAGAGGGAGGTGCATGTATTGCAAGAAAGGGCAAACCAAATTGTTTTGCGAAAAATGCAAAATGAGACTGTGCTTATTGCCGGAACGTAATTGTTTCGTAGAATATCATACTAAGAAATAATACGAGTATAATTTATAATTGTAAGACTGTTAATACTCGTATATATTATGTAATATTTATATTTCATAGTAGATATTCGTGATTGATCTCATTCTACCATTAATTTAGATTTTTATAAGATTCAAAGGCTGTTAAAACTATTACTGTTGATTTTTAACCGACTTATACTAAAAGAAGGTTCTGTTTTTAAAGGTATGTATGGAAGTAGAAAATAATTGTCTTAAATTTTATGTTTCTTTCACGTTAGAATGTAATATTTTGTTTTTTTTTGTTTTGTTATAACTTGTTAAAAGCCTGGCAAAGCGGCAAATATGATACATAGATTTTATAAGGTTAATTTTTAAGAGTCTGGCAATGTGCCTTATGTGATACATTCAATAAATCATAAAATAATAAATATATATTTTTATTTTTATTTTTTCTGCCCTCAATGAATACCTAATAATACATTTTATGTAAAATTTATCAACATTTCATAAAAAAAAATCTTGCCAAGTATAGGGTTAAAATCTGTTAAGTATGAATAAGCTAACAAAAGTTACTCCTGTGGAAAAAATTAAAAACAATATTGTTTAAATAGCATGGGAAGACCCATAAGTATTGAAAATATAATTCATTGAAATTCATATAAACACGATATTTTACATAACCCAGGCGGATTATCGGGAAAAAGGGCCTAACTCCGAAAAAATCTATACCAAAATTTTATTTCACCAGCCCATAGCGAGAGTCACTGGAGGTATAAATTCAAAATCACGACCAAATTCGAACAATACTTTAGCCGCCATTTTGATTTTAATGGGGAACCGTATTTCCTCATTGTCTCGACCATTTCAACTTTTCGAAAAAATCATACGGACTAAAGTTGTTCATTATTCAATTTTCAACATTTTATTTCTTGCTCCTTTTTTCGTACGATCGATATTTCCAATTCAAAGAGGCAAAACGGGTGGAAATGTTATTACTTATTCATGAGATTATTGACTTTAGGGCCTTTTTTTAACGATGGGAAATGCATTTACGCACGAGGTGTGGGACTCACCGACAAAGCCTGTACTACCCACTAAAACCCAACAAAACCTTCCCCCATCTTAATGGGGCGTCGCAAGATCGCTTACGCATTCAACTACGACGCCCCGACGGCAGGTCTGCCGAAGCAGACCACAACAACTACGGGGTTGCTCTAAGGTCCACTCTGCTATCAGAGAAGTACCAGGAGCAACCCGCATGGTACACCGCCCTCCGAAAAGGGCCACCCAGGGTCGGATTTAAGGGTGTGGAGGCCCCGGGGCAACAAAGGAGTGGAGGCCCCTGATTATTTTCCGAAAAAATGCAAAAAAAATTTAGTCAAGTGTTTTAAGTATTTATTGCAAAACAAATGAAATTATTTTCTGTAAACAAATGTAGATATAGTCAAATGCATATGTAAATGAATGGAACCTTGTGAGCTGCTGAGTAGTTATCAAGGTTAACAAATAATTTTGAGATGTGGATAAGTACTGTTTTACCAAAACTACGGAGATTTTTATGGAAAATACACACAACCTATCCATTGTTTTTTTTTACAAAAATAGAAAAAAAACGAGTGCATAAAAAGCGACCTAAAAAGAAGAGAACAAGCTGATGAAGGAACATAATGTTATTATTATTTTATAGTCGGAGACATACACACTCGCAGCTATTCTAAAACTTGTAGGTACATAGTATATTATGTATGTCTCCGACTGCATGATACTATGTTCCTTCGTCAACTTGTTCTCTTCTTTTTAGTTCGCTTTTTATACAGTTGTTTTTTTTGTAACTTTTTAAGAGCGACATTTTTAGTTTTATTTAACAAACTTCTTATCGTAAATTACTTTCACCATATAAGTTGTAAATATCTATGTAATTTTATTAGTATTTTGATAATCCACTCGATTGATTCGGACGAAAAAGTTTTTCAGGATACACAAATTGGCACCTAAGATCCGACATTTTGACTTTTAATAATATCTATATAGCATTTAGTTATTACGAAGGAACTATAATCAGACATACATACAGGTTAAAGACATAACCCTATTTCACCGCAGTCGGGTAAAAAAGCAAACATCTATATTATATAACATAACCAACAGTATCTAATCAAACTTATTCACTTGTTTTAACATGATATACTATATGGAAATTTTCAAATTTAAATATGAAGGACTGTATTTAAGGGTTTCAAAATGAAACTTCAACTAACGGGAGTTTTTTTCCTTAGCTTTTCTTGCTAGTTGCCTCTTCTATGGCTATCTCGTTGTTTTATTTCTAAATAATAATATTAGATAAGTTACTATGCATCGTAACATCTTTTAGATATGCTCCTGGTCCTGCGAGTCTAAATTCTTATTGTATTGTACATTAAAAGGACGTGACTTAAGCTAGATTCTGCCGTCGTGTAGACTCGTCATCCGTAACATAGATCATTAATTGAAATATTATATTGTATATAAATTTGTATAAGTCTACATCAATTTTAGTGATGTTTTTATTTTGAGTGAATTCAATAAATAAATGATAAAAAATGCAGTTATTTTATCTATACAGGTAAATGAAATTGAAATGTCTGTTTGTAATGTCAAAATAACTGTTTTTTACTAAATGCATATGAAATGCATTTACGGAATACATTTTTAGTCTATCTGTTTGTTCCGGCTAATCTCCGAAACGGCTGGACTGATTTTGACGGAACATTCACTGGAAGATAGCTAATGTTATAGAGAGTAACTTAGGTTACTTTTATTTTAGAAAAAAAATCAGAACCCATTAATACCCACGAAATTGTGATCAAAATCCGCGTACCTAGAGACGCACCTGAGCGAATCGAGGGTAATTCGCTAGTTGACAATATGTGTTAAATTTTTTGTAATAAAAGGTTAGACAAGTCCCCATCGACTCTTTAGTTTACCTTTAGTTAAGTACCTAAACCTATGTTATATATGGAGTAGATATAGGAAAATATTATTTTTGAGTGCATGCACATTTGATGATAATATTGCAGACCTTAAAATTATAAAATAAATAACTCACGCAGAACCAAAAAAACGAGTGATTATAATTAATTAACCATAATCCCTCTGTAACCTCTTTTTACCTGACTGCGATGAACTGCGGTGAACGAATATTATAGATAAATTGTTTTTAATATTTAAGAATAATATAATCAATCATATTTGTAAAATTAATTTAAAATTGTATTAAAGGTGAGAAAAAAATTGAAAAAAAATCGAAAAAGTTGTAGCCAGTGAGAATTTGTTTTTTTTTAATTTCTTTTGTGGGGGGCCCTCTCTTGTGAGGCTCCCCTAAATCCGGCCCTGGGGCCACCTCCCACCGCCCACCAAAGTGGGCCACTACCCTGTGCGTTTCTTGGCTTCGCGCCCGGCTGTATTGCCGGGCACTACTCAGCCTCCCCACCACGACAAGGTGAACGCACGTTGGAGGGGATTGACTTTAGGGCCTAAATCAGCCATACTCAACCTTTTTTTTATAGGAGTCACAAACACGTTTCAGTCATGGTATCGAGGGCCGCAAGCAAAAATTATTTAGGTCTTAATGAAAACGTAATTCCAAATTAACGACGTAGTTACTTTTTTAACAAAGATATGTTATAATGCGATCTTTGATGCTGCCGCATGCGGCCCGCGGGCCGCAGGTTGAGTATAGCTGGCCTAAATGTACAAGAGCAAAGTTGTGTGAAATTAAATTTCTTACAACTTTCGCTTTTACTTTAATTACTTACTTAATTAAATTGTCAGCTTACTAATAAAATAAAGAAAGTTAAAAACTATAAAAGTATTTAATTTGAATAAAGTATTTTGGAAATACGTATTTTGTTTTTAGTATTTTAAATACAAAATGAAAAACTATATTGTATTTAAAATAAAAATTATAAAAATTATTTGCATTTTGTATTTAAATACATTTTATAAACTATTTTGCACGTCCTTGCATGCCAGTTGGGCAAAGCTTATTCCGCTAATATCAAAGAGATTAGAGAATATCAGAAGGCACAATAGACTGTGGAGGTAAGGTGTTGGTAATGATTATAAAATAAAATATTCAGATGATCATGATTACATTATATTTTTTAAATATTATGAGCAGTTTATTATCCATGTTTTCCAATTGGAGCACTAATGCGGATTAAGCGGCATAATGCTGACTTCGAATGTTTCAACTACAGCAACGCTTCGCACAATTAAGCATTTTGAAAAGTACTGCTTGGGCGTGATGCGCGCAAGGATACCAACCAATTAGCAGAAAATATAAGAAGTGATTTTTCATAAATGTGCCATTGATCAAAATTTTATTTACATTATCGTTATTACACAGATCATATTATAATACTCACCAAACGTTCCGTCTCACAACATAAACTAGTAAAGATAGGATAGACCATCTAGCCGCTAGACTCTAGCGTATACAACTACCTTAAAGTCGGAAGCTGATTGTGAACCATAGTCTACGATTTGAACTAGTTGATCGACTAGTCGATGAAATAAAATGAACGGTCTAGTTTCGTTCACGCTAAATACGTCGACGTCCCATCGCTATCGCGTACTCGCTTGATTCGTTCATTTACCAAGCCAATCCAAATTCGAGTGAGAGAGAATTCAACTCGAGTTAAGCCCAACTCGAGGTAACTCGAGTTAGTAAATCGGGTTGACACATCTTTACTCCATAGATTCATAGACATAGAGGATGTGCATGCCTGAAGTCTCAAGTCACAAATGTGAAATGTCAAATGACAGAAAAAAAATTAAACTTTTTGTTAAAACCAACCAAGTAAATATCTATTAATGAAAATTAAAATTTATACTTGGTATTAAAATGCAACGAGAAGAGAAACAATTAGAGGCTACATTACATGCTATTTTAAACAGAGTAAATGATTTAAAAAGTGCTATTCAGGCGTTAATTACAAAACTAGAGACTGAATATGAAACAATCAACTGGCCAACGTTTCTTGATAATTATGCCATACTATCTGGACACGTATGTACAATTATTAACTCTAAATTTTTTCCTGAAGTAATATTTTAATGTTATAAAACTTCATTTCAACATATTATGTAGTTGACAGGTTTAAGTAAAATACTTCAGACTGAGCTAGCTCCTTCTCTTCGTTCTGTAGTGGTCCTACCTTTGCAACTGGGATGCGAGCGTGACGAGGAGTTAGCCAGGTTAACTGATGGTAGAGTACCTGCTTGTACTCACGATCTGGTTCCAGACTTGCTACGTACCAAACCAGAGCCTCAAGCTGAACAAAGGCTTCAGCAATTAAATCATAAAGCTACTACTTTAAGTTATGATACTGCACAGGTAGGAAAATTATCCAATGAATATAAAAAATATATAAATAATATTTAGGTGCAAATAAATATCATTGTTTAATATTGTGCTTATTACATATCAAAGAAATGAAAGATGTAGTTATCATGTTTCTGAAATATAAATGGTTAAGATCACATTATAAAAACATTGACAATCATTAAATATGAACTTATTATGTGTTAATTTGCATTAGTTCTACTGCTGTGATAGTGTCATAGGTGTCATATTCAATTAAAGGAAATCTTGAGTTTTATACCATTATGCTAAGATTTTTTGATTGCTTATGTTTTCTATTCATTTATAACAATTATTTGAAGAAAAAATTAATATGATAACAATTGCTAATGCTAGCTTCTATAGAAAAATGTTTGATAATTATATGTATTTTAACAGAAACAAGTAGCACAGTTTACAAAAGTTGTTAGTCATGTCTGGGAAATCATATCAAAAGGCAGAGAAGATTGGGAAGGAGAATCAATGAGATCTGCAGGTATATATATATAGTAATAGTGAATAAACCAGGAATAGTAATAAAAAAGTTTAAGTAATTATGTGCATTAACACATTTAAATAGTACTATAATTTCAATTCTGAACATTTTTCTTTTTTTTCCTTTGTCTATATTATCTATACATATAATAAAATTGTAACTGAGCCGAATCTGTACATTAAATATTTTTTGGAAAATCTTATTGTAATAGGTATTATTATCGATACAGAGGCCGCATCTATAGTTTTTAGAATTTTTGTCTGTCTGTTACCACATGACAGAAAAACTATGGAGGGATTTTGATGAAATTTGGTATGGTGATAGCTGGTTATCCAGGTCAACATATAGGATACTTTTTACCGTAGGAAAATATCTCATTACTGAGAAAAAATGCTAAAACTGCAATGTAAGATTAAATTTATCTGTAAAACCTAAGAATTTGGTTTTTGGTCATCTGAACGCGAGTGGAGCCGTGGAGCCTAGTTGTCTATAAAATATATCTTCTTTAACATTTGTTATAAAATTTAAGAAAATACAACAATGCTAGTAGCTCACTCACTCACTGTTAGGAAGGACAGGCAGCCTGCCCCAATTGCTTTTTGATTCCTATAACATTTGCTTCCCAAACCAGCTCCTCTTTTTATCCCTTTGGAGGCTACATTCCAAGAGTTAATCATCAGAAGTAAAGTAAATGTATATATAGATCAGAAGTATAGATATATAGATATAAAATATTGTTGGAAGCATGTTAAGCCTTCGGTTGTGTCGGCTTATCTTTTGAGGATTTTGTCAAATTGTTTTTCCACTGAATTTTGCGTGACATACCTACAATATAATATCTTTTTTACTGCCTCGGTGGTGTAGTGGCTAGCATGTACGGCTGCACACCCGGAAGTCCTGGGTTCGAGTCCCGGGTCGGGCCAAGTTTAGTTATCGAGTCTTCCTGTATAGTAAGTCTCAGTAACAGCCCGGAGTTGGGAAGTTGGCGGTGTTTCACCCCCGTGCCTCGGAGAGCACGTAAAGCCGTCGGTCCTGCGCCTTAACTCTCACCGGTCGTGTCGAGTGGTCGTCCCACCGGAGTATGAGAGTGATAGGAATAGAGAGTGCACTTGTGTCTGCGCGTACACTTGAGCACTATAATATCTCCTGCGCAGTTGGCTAATCTCATTGAGATTGGCCGCCGTGGCCGGAATCGGCTAGGAGAACATCATAATATCTTTTGTACTGATATTCCCAGTGGATTTTGTCACAATGTTAATTTTCAGGTATGCAGCCTACCCACAGTATTGCTGACACGCATGCACTAGTGACAGCAGTAGGAACTGGTAATGGACTAAGACCTGGAATGCCTTCTATGGTGCCACAAGGTGTTGGGGCCCCTGGTATGGGGCCAGCTAGAGGACCAACTCCTCAGATTGGTCCTGCAGCACCCACCATGCCTAAAGCACCATCAGCAATCAAAACCAACATAAAAGCAGCAAACCAAATACATCCATACCAACGATAAAAATAAACTTTTATTAAAATGTAAACCTTATATTAAAATTAAACTATTATTTAATGTAGTATTTTTTATTTAAATAAGTTGAAGCCAAAGGTTGTTAAAACATTTCATATTCTAACCTAACATAGAATAAAAATTAAAGAGTCCAAGTTAAGCAATTCTATTTAAATAGTTTTACAGTAAAGCAGTATTTTAAAGTTTGTGTCAATATAATATCTAGCAACCTATGACAATTTCAACGTTACATAGTACTAAATTATAAGAATAAAATTGACATTACAAACAAGTAGCTTTTATTAAAAGAATTTTTATTTAATAAGAGTAATAAAATGAGAAGAACTAATACTTAGTAACAATTTGATCAGCCTTTGTGACAATCAATATGTGTTGTTAATTAATGTCTTGATGGATTATGCTCAATTGACTGTATTAACCTGTAAAAAAAATGTGATACGTTAATTATTATATTAAAAATTGAGTTCCTTGATGTAATTTTAATTATTATATCAGTTCTTAGAAAAATTCCTCGCGAATTATCTTCCCTATTCCGTGAACTTATGAAAATACTCACACACTAAAAACTTTCTGGCTTCTATCAACATATTCATGCCATCCATACATTTGACTTACATTATTTTCAAAATCCATAGAAAACGAACAGGAGCAAACTTACAATATCATCAATCTTGAGTATAGCTCGCACCGTCTCTGTGGCGAGGCCGAGCGCGGAGGCGGTAACGTGCAGCGGTTGCAGCACGTGCTCGTGGCGCATGTCGGTGACACGGCCGCGGCGCACGTTGACGCCCGCGTTGGCCGTGCCGCCCGCGTGAGCTGCGCGCAGTTCTGTCACCGTCTCGATGGGGTTCAGACCTGGCAATGTTTACGGTGACATTGTATAAATAATAAGCGTCAAATTAAAAACATACCGTTTTTTTACTTTTTTTCATAAAATATTGAATAACATTTAACAAACAATAACATTTTGATAAAATAGTTGAAACTTGTTTTTTTTTTTAATTATTTTGAGAGGAATTTGTATATTTGAGGGGAACCAGTATATTTTTGTCCCCAAATTGGGGAATTTGAATTAGATATTCGGAGATATTGATAAATTGATATTAGCAACGCTGGTCCGGCAACGTAGCCAGGCGCGAAGCCAATAAACGCACTGGGGTTCAGTGGGTAGTCTTTCTCTTTGTCGGTGAGTCCCACATAACCACCTGTATATATGAAGGTATGCTTAAATGCATTATTCAACGTTTTGATAGGCCTTTGACAGATAGATAATTTCTGCTATTGTTATTGTGATCTGTTTTTGCTAATTATGTATTAAAATTTCAACAATCTTTATCTATATGTTTATAGATTATCTCAACAGAATGGAAAATATATATGAAATTGTATTATTAAATTGTTTAAAACAATTTTATCAAAACTTTACACATAACGTGTGTATAATTCATCGAAAATCACATCAATATCACAGTCGAAAAATAAAACTCTTAGTTAATTCTTTGTTACCCGCATATAAAGATGAGTTACTAAATGTCATTAAAAATTCATTTTCTTCACTCCTAACTTCCTACATATTTTCTACATTTTTTGTCGATTTTATTCCAATAACTATATTTTAGGTTTTTTTTTTTATTTTTCTTACTAATATAATTTATTAACAGTTACTAAACAACTAAGCAATATGTGGTAGGTAAAAATTGTATACAATATACAGGGTCATTTTTAATTTACTGAAAACCTTTTGGGAATACACTATTTACAACATAACAACATCTGTAACAAGAAAAAATAATATTTCTTAAATTTTTATTTTTATAGAAAAATAAAAATATTTTTTTTGCACCTTCTAAACTTTAAAGTTCTAGCATCTGGTATATAAATATGGTATAAAGGTTTTCAGTAAATTAAAAATATACATACATATTATATATGATTTTTCCTACCACACCATAATATATAGATAAACATGAAATTTTGTAGTGGGTACTTAAATTTTCTAAAACACCGACATCCAAACATTCAAATATTTGTCCTCAATTACAACTTTAATCATTTACCAGCATTTTCGGCCAAAGTAGACGGTATAACTTCCAGCGCGTCAGCATATGCCCTGAGGCAGTAGTGATCAGCACCGGGAGCTGTGATGGCAGCGCGCGCCAGGGCGGCGGCGGCGGCGGCCTCGGGGGCTCCCCCGCCAGCCACGAGCGCGGGGCGGCGCGCCACGCAGCGCACCACGCACAGCGCGTCGTGCAGCGAGCGCGCCGCCTCCGCCACCACGGCGCCGCTCGTGCCGCGCACCAGCACCGAAACAGTTTTCCCACCGCCCGCGCACCCGCTCATCTAAAACATACGTATTTTATATTGTGTTTTCTATGTTTCGAATACTCATAAGAGATTAGATGTCTCAAGTTATTATATAGTTCTTACAGACACAAAATTATATTATATAATAATTAAAAATAAATAAATTAAATCAAATATTCGGGTAAGTCTAAGAAAATACCATAAATATTATGTATTTCATAAATAATTATAATTTAAGAAAAGTGAAAAAAACGCTTTTTCACAAGCAACTATATGTTAAGGACTTGTTAAAACAAACCAAATAAGCTTAAACTTGAGGAAATAACTAATAGCCACTGAAGAGTTCCAATATCCAATTTGCTACATCATCAGATCAGCTCGAGGATACCAAATATGTATTAGTATTTAGTATTATACACACTACATATAAATAAAAATTTTCATTTTGCTACAACAATTCGTAGCAGATTATTTTAAAATTTTCCAAATTTGATTATAATGTTAGTTGCAAGTGACGTCAATAAAAAGAGTTAAAAAAAAGACAAAAATAATTTTAGTCTAGCTGAGTTTTTTCATTAGTTCTTCTCAAGACCGAGTCTTTTCGAACTGGTTTGTGGTTTTTAGTTTTATAACATTTAGTAAAAAATTGCAATAATTTATCTAATATTAACATATATTTTTATATTAATTTGATTAGCAATAAAAAATTACTATAGACCCATGTTCAGTTGTACAATCGATTACTACAACAGATATTGAACTATGATAGTACAAGCATGTGTTTATACATTCAAGAAAAAATTATAAAAAAATACCCAGTATATTTATTGTGTAATAAAATAATTTTCAGTAATTTATTATGTAATAAATAATTGTCTGTAAATACTTGAAAAATATTGATAAGAAAATGTATTAATTACCTTGATATACCTTCCAGAGGGTTCATTCACCTCTTCAACGAGATCAACGTTAACCAAGTTCTCAGCTGTAAAATGATCTAAAGAAGCGATTGGACGACATCCCAATGTCTTACAAACAAATTCAATATCTTCACGCTCAATGTCTTTAATTACCATTGTTTTTATTTTATCCAAGAAATGAATTGCCAAGTCACTCAGTGCATCTCTAAAACATAAAAATGAAATTTTGTATACTTATATATACTAAATTTTAAAATATCATTTTTGAAAGTTTTATTATAATTCTTAATCATTTTACTTTTTCTTATGATCTCCACAGAAATTCTAAGGAGGATATGTATAATACAAGCTAACCTTAAAATAGACTTCTGTACTAATAACACATTACAACCAGCCTTCTTGATCTGCTTTACAATATTCAAAATGTACTGACGCTCTTCCTTTAATACACGGTCCATTGCAGCATAATCTGATACAATCACATTGTGATCCATCTATAATGTAAATATAAAATATTAAGCATAAAATGTTTTGTTGTTTAATTTTAAAATTGAATTTTACAATTTTTATAATTATTTCTACTTATGTAAAGTTAATAAGAGATTCTATTTGAATATTACCTACACAGATAAATAAAATTGAAGTGCCAGTTTGTAATGTGAAAATAACAGCTTTTTACTAATTGCATATGAAAGTATATACTACATATATATGGTACTAATAAGAAAACACAATTTTTAAAATTTTTGTGTCTGTCTGTTTTCTCCGGGTAATCTCCGAAACGGCTGAACCGATTTGACGGGACCTTCACTGACGGATAGCTGATGTTATAAGGAGTAACTTAGGCTACTTTTATTTTAGAAAAAGATTAATGGCCGATTTCACCAACGTCACCTAAGTTTAAGGGATCCATCCCCTAAGCATGGTTAGGGGGCTGTTATTGTTTCACCGACAGTTAAGGGGTCGCCTAAATGTTAAAATGCCCCCTAAATATAGGTACTAGAAGTACGGGCTCTTAAACCGAGAGAACTGAGCTCTCAAGTAACGAAGATAGATAAGTGATATATATGAATTTTTAAGAAAATGCTTCTACAATATTTGACGTAAATAACAATAAAGTCTTCTCACCTAGGGACGCACCCCAGGGAGGGTAAGCCGCTAGTTAATAATAATTTTAATAATATGTGTTATTCAAAACTTTAAGTGAATGAAAATGAAAATTTCAAATGGAGTGACATAATATGGACAGATGGACATAATGAAATTACATAAAATAATGGTTCCATTTTCATCTTTTGAATACAAAGACCTAAAAACATCATGCAATCAATAAGAAGATTGACAGATTCCTTAACCTGATGGTAACATATACAAAAGTTAATCTGCTTTATTTAGCCAAATTTTTGTTATTTAACTTACATCAGTTTTTGGTGGTGATATACAAAATTGTATAAGACCGACTTTAGCCTTCTCAATACGATGAGGTCCATTGACGTTAGACGCACGGTGCGGGATCACCAGTCCGTTAATTAGCTCAGTATCTTCCACTGTGCCACCAATACGTTCAATCACCTTTACATCTCTTAAATCCACACGAGCGCCCACTCCACCCACGATTGGCTCCATAACTATAATAATATATTTTTTTAAATGAATGCATTAGAAACCAAATGTCGCACATATAGGTGGATTTCCCAATGCGGAACTTATTTCTGAATGACATATATTATTACTGTTATTATTTTTAAATTGTATGAACACTACTAAAAATGAAGGCACTTCATCTTCAACTTTATGCAACTGGAATTCCTTTACAGACACATAAGAACGTCCTTATTAAACAAATAAGGTAACAATGATATATAAGATAACAAAAATAATTTAACATATGACTTTACCCTTATTACTTCCTGTTCTTGATAGTTTAATTTTAGGTAAACAAAACAATATATACCCTATGTAACATTACTATACTTCAAACTAATAAATCTAGTAATAAAAATTTTAATTTCTCATGCACAAGAAAAAAAAAAAAGAAAGAAAGAAAAATTTTTAAAACACAGTTTAGATAAAAAAAGTGTAATAATTATTTTTGTTACAAAATAAGTTTAAAAAACTTGAAATACCTCCACGAATAGCTTGGACAGCAATTGGTGCCAAAATTGTAGAGTGCTGAGAGACCACTTTAGAGTTCAGTGACGTAGCAGCTGCTTTCAAAAGTGCATCTTCATTTGCTAAATCTACAGGTGTTGACATTCCTTCAACAACCTATGATAACAAAAGAAATGTTTTTCTTATACTTTTAGTTTATCTATGTATCTTCATGAAGCCCTAAAGACATTATTTGATATTAGTTGTATTATTGAAAAAAATATAAACATAATCTACATATAGTAAAATAGGAACAAAAGGAAATGTGTACAAATCAAATCAAATTATACTTTATTTAAATAGACTTTAACAAACTCTTTTGAATCGTTAATTTTACATTTTAAATTAAAATTAAATGTCAGTGTAGTCAGTCCGTTAGGAAGCTAGCACCGGCTTGGAATGCAGTTTTCTGCAGAGAAGAACCAGCGCGAAACTCAACAGTTGCTTTTTTAAAATAACAATTGTGTACAGTATTGTAATACAATAATTGTCTATTTATCCTACGTGAGACCCAACCAGACATTAGTTCCACACATTAATATCTATGAAGTATTCCATGACAGTATAATATGCCTTATTCAGTAATACATTTTTAATTTTAGACTTAAATTGTTTAAATGGCAAGCTCAAAATGCATTGTGGACTTCTATTATACATGCTTACACCTTGCCCCATAAATGATCTATTCACTTTTTGAAGGCGAAAGCCAGGCGTAACCAGTTTATCCTTATTTCTAGTGTTTATTTTGTGCCTATCACTGGGTCTTAAATAACAATGTATGTTTTGTTGGACATACATAATATATATTGCGATGCAACTGTAAGTACACCAATTTCCTTAAAAAAATCTGGCTATCTGGGTATCCCGAGCTCTGATGTTATAAATTGCCCGAATAGCCCTTTTTCCCTACATGTATATGGAATATTTTTTAAAAACTATGCTATTTTATAACTTGTAAATATATATTGTACAAAATGGCTGAGCAATGATGCTATTTTGTCGAAAAAACTGTTGTCGTATGTTTATATGGCTAACACTGGCTAAACATCGGAAGAGAAATGTCAAAACAATAAACTAGAAAATTATATAATTCTTAAAAAGGCTTACACAAAAGTTGTGTCTATCTGCTAAGATATATTCACAAAAACCTAAAAAGGCACTCAAGAGAAGCAAAGGTTTATCCAATTATATAAAATTTAAAATCAAATGTAAAATACTCGTAAGTAACTGTCTGAAATCACTAACCTATGACGACACAGAAAAACTTATAAATTATATGTAATCACAATTTATTGCATACACATACACACACTCACATACACCACACACACACCACACCCACACACAAACAAACATACACACAAACAATATCTTTTATTTTGTTTATTCCATCTTCTACCATTATAATCTATTAACTTCAGTAACTGTTAACTGTTTGGTCTATATACTGTAAATCTAGATGAAGGTAACGCTGCTCATAATGCAGGTTTTCCTAGTATGAGCTCCTAAGCACTCTTACTGGATAATCTTATATTGTTGTCTTAAGCGAAATAGTTACATGGAGTATATTTTTGTAACCTGATTTTTTACTACAAATGAAGATTATTATTGTTTGTTTTACTAACCATAACTAGATTATTTATAGATATATATATATATTTTTATATAATTTGAAAATATTAAATAATTTACCTGCAATGCCATTTGAAGAGCTTTTTGGAAGCCATCAGAAATGACAGTAGGATGGATACCCTTCTGAAGCAATTTCTCAGCTGCATCAAGCAAAGCTCCGGCAATCACCACTACAGATGTTGTGCCATCTCCAGCCTCTATATCTTGAGCTTTTGATAACTCCACCAGCTATAAATTTTTATTAATAAAAAACACAATTGGACAGAGACATCATCACAAGATGCACTAAGAACTTTTACCATTTTTGCAGCTGGATGTACTACACTCATCTGTTTTAAAATAGTAGCTCCATCATTTGTAATTGTTACTTCACCATTAGCTGCTTGAATCTGAAATATTTATGTTCATTTAAAGTACGTAAGGCACTTTATGCACTGAAGGCCTTAACCTCCAAATTACACTATAACATTATCATAAATTAGAGAGATATTATAATTACCATTTTATCCATCCCACGAGGACCCAGGCTAGTCCTGATGGCATCAGATACAGCTGAAAATCGATATCTTTACAATCATATAAAAACTTGACTACGATTTATAAAAAAACGACACAAGTCTTGGGCCTTACCTTTTATTTCCTTACAGAGATTCTATTTAATTAGAACTTTATGTTTTAAATTCTCGTAGTAAATTAAAAAAATAAAAAATCTTAACAGATGTTACAGTTTCATTGCATTAAATTTTACTTTATAGTTCAAATTTAGCTCTATTTGTGAATAGATAAACCAATATATATCAAAATAAAAGCGTACATAGCCCGCATCATGCACAATAAGTGAAAATTAGTACACAGTAGTAGCACAATAAGTGAAAATTATTTACCTTTAGCGGCATTGATATTGCTAAGGCGAATGTCAGCAGGTTTGCTTTTATCTTTATATACGGCTGAATTAACTTTAGCAGAATCACCACCAGCTTTTGGAGCCATTATAACATCAAATATAATATTTTTGTTATTAATTTTTTTATAATAATAATTCCAACTTCAAGATGATTTTGGATTCAAAATAACTAGGTAGGTAAAAACAAATTTACCATTGATTATCGAAAACTAAAAACTCTGAAGTTTGACAATCGCGTTTTCAATCAATGTCAAATGTCAACATTACTTTTATAAGTTAAAACCGTAGACAAACCACGATTTCCAATTAGAGCACTAAAGCGCATTATACGGCACAATACTAACTTCAAATGTTTTAACTACAGCAGCGCTCCGCACAATCGAGCATTTTGATAACTACTGCTTTGTTTGGCGTGATGCGCGCAAGGACACCAACTCAATACAAGAAAATGTAAAAAGTGTTTTGTCTTCAAGGAAGCATTGATCAAAATTTTATTTACGTTATCGTTAGTAATATTTGTTTTTATTTCGTAATATATTCTCATGTATGGATTATAATAAATGTATTAATTATCAGTTAGTTTTTTCTTTCAATACTGATCCTAGTGCCCTCTGCTGGTGCATTTGTAAACTAATTCACGTTTCAATTACGTACTACCATAAGTAAGTAAGTAAGTGTGGCATTATGCTGTGTAATTGGAAAACAAAGAGAGTATCTCGTTCAATCTTGCGCTTAAAACCATAGGTGAGATATAAAACTTAAAAGAGTACTATACACCATAAATATTTTTAAGAGATACTAAAAGAGCAGAAAAATATTAAATACTTAGTTTTATTTTACGCGTTTATATGTATTATAAATTATAATATATTATACTAATCATTATGGTTTAGTGCAATACAGATTATAATATATTATAAACACAATGAAGTTATTATTTTTTTGTTAAATACTTAAAACTAAACTAAAACAAAACATATAGCAAGATGTATTAAAAATGAGAAATATGTTATGCTCTGTAATTGGAAAAACAGGAACAGTCATTGGTAACACTTCACACCTAGGACGATGTATCCTAGCTTCACACTGTTGTACACTGTCCTTTATAGTCTGTGATCTAATTCTAACCAAAACCAACACAGACCAAACCATAAAGCATGTAACCCTTTGACTTTTTATTTGTAGCAACTAGCAATATACTCTATGTTTTGGACCAAACAGGACAACTGACAATATCAAAAGGCGGCACGGCACTGGCAGATTGTTATTTATTACTTTCATCTTTGTTTACAAGTTTCTTTCTTGTCTGCATAACACTCAGAACTATTTGTTTTTAAAGTTAGTTTTTATATAAAACTACAAAAATGTCTAGTACATCACAGAAACATCGTAATTTTGTAGCTGAACCTATGGGAGAGAAGCCTGTCACGGATTTAGCAGGAGTAGGAGAAGTTCTTGGAAAACGATTGGAAACTGCTGGTTTCGATAAGGTATTTTTAGATATTGATCATTTAAAATGGCACACTGTGCTGCTTAATATTAACATCATTAAGTCGGACGACTGACAACAAAGTTGATTGTTTATGTCAATGCATAGACATGGTTAGGTAAAGGCACCAAACTTATTCAATATCATTTTGTATTTTGAAAAACAGTTTTACAGATTATTTAAAGAGATTAGTATAAGTAGCATAATGGCTTGCCTGTGTTTCCTTTATAGTCTAAAGATAAGATATAGTCATAAATTGTATGTGGTGGACCCCTCTTTCTTTTTCCAGGCGAAATATATTTTTTAAAGTATAAAACATATTAATTAACCAACATCACCCAGAGGGGTTGTCACCAAAATTTTGCCTGGTATATAATTAAGTTAATTTTTGGAATGGAATAATTAAAAACAAGATAAAAATTAGGAAGGACTTAAGAATAAGGGTGGCAGCATATGTCTATATTTGGAGGGAGAGGGGTGTATAGATCACCCCCCGCAAAGGAAAAGTGGAGGAAATGAAAATATTTTTTCAATCAATTTTAAAAAATCTCATTTTGAGGTTAATTTTGTTGGGAAATGCATTTATTTATTTATTATTTATTTATGTACCATAAAATATACGTTATACAAAATAAAATAACAAAATGTTGACAAAGGATAACTTATCTCTTTAAGAGATTTCTTCCAGAAACCCTTCAGAAGTGAGAAAATAAGTTAATATAGTGCGGTGTAGGTACAGTACAGCATTAGATGGAATTGTCTTAATATTAAAATACATATATTAACTAAATATTATGATTAAACAAATATATATATATACACATACATATATATATACACACATACATACAAACATATATACTTACATATAAATACATACTAATCTACAATAATTTATGTCTGATTTGATAAATAGTACTGTTTAATTCTAAACTTAAATGTAGTGAATGAGGGATCATCTTTGAAAATATAATCAGGCAGTGAATTCCACAAAGTTGCTGCCGTAACAGAAAAAGATTTTTTATAGAATGTAGTATTGTAGTGAGGAACCACTAATTTGGGCAAATTGACACAAGAACGCACTGGTCTGCATCTAGGGGACACTAATGTGAAGCGTTCACTTAAGTAAGAAGGTGTAGAAGTCTTCAAAATATTGTAAAGCACACATAATACACGAACGTTTCGGCGAAAACGAATAGGGAGCCACTTCAGTTGCCGTCGGAAAATACTTATATGATCAAATTTGTGCAATCCATATATAAAACGGATGCACAAATTCTGAAGGCGATCTAGCTTGTCGAGTAGCTCCTCGGTTGCATCTAGATAGCAAACGTCGGCATATTCGAGTAGAGGGATTAGCAGTGATTGAGCTAGGGTAATTTTAGTTTGAAACGGAAGAAAATTCTGTAAACGTTTCAAGGAATGAAGTGAATAATGTACGCGCTTACTGACCTCGTTGACATGCGCAGCCCAGGACAGGTTGCAGTCGATTGTTAAACCTAAGTTTTTACACGTGTCTGAGATATTGATGCGAGTGTTATCGTAGATGATGTCAGGCAGATTGTTGAAGTCAATTTTGTTCCGCAACTGCTTACTACCAATGATCATGGCCTGAGACTTTATTGGATTGACAAGGAGTCCGAAAGACTTTGCCCAATCTTTGATTCTTGCCAAATCAAGGTTTATCCTGTCTATTTCAGACGCTAAGTCCCCGACCAAAGCATGTCTATAAAGTTGCAGATCATCCGCATATAGGTGGTAGTTAGAAGAGAGTACCTGTGGGAGTTGGTTAATGAAAATTGAAAAAAGCAATGGCGATAACACACCACCCTGAGGGACGCCTGCGAAGAGATTGGACCACTCTGAGATAGTCTCGTCGCAGTAGATTCTCTGCTGGCGATCATAAAGATATGATTTAAACCAATCAATCACAGAAGACGAGAAGTTAAGCGAGGCAAGGATAGAAAGTAAAACATCGAAGTCCACTGAGTTGAAGGCATTACTAAAATCAAGCAAAATAAGAATAGTCACTTTCTTATTATCCATGGCGAAACGGATATCGTCAGTGACTTTTAGCAAAGCAGAAGTCGTACTGTGCGAAGGACGGAAGCCAGACTGAAAAGCATTTAATAGGTTATTTCGTAATAAGTACTGGCACATCTGCTTAGATACTAAGCCCTCAAAAACTTTCGATAAAATGGGAAGAATTGAGATAGGACGAAACTGTGAGGGAACAATAGGATTGGGAGATTTAGGTAAGGGGATAACATGTGCTAACTTCCAATCCGCGGAAAATGAGCTAGAAGACAAAGAAAAATTAAAAATGTGAGTTAATATTTGGCAGATGTGATCAACTGTTACAAGCAGCATATCACGACTAATTTCATCACTCCCTACGGCTTTAGAAGTAGTAGAAAGAATGCCTCTCTTAACATCCTCCTCTGAGATCTCTTGAAAAACAAAAGGGTCACAGTTAGGTTGGTTAGTCATAGCAAGTTGATTAATGGTTAACGTCTTCTCGATATTAGAAATTTGAACTGGCGGAGTTGAAAAATGTTGATTCAAGCAATTGACATTGACGGACTCAAGAGACAAATGTTGTGATTTACCCTCGCCTAGTGACTTAAAAAACCTCCAAGTTTGAGCCGGTGTGCAATGTAAGATACATGAGTGGATATGGCGGCGCTTAGCATCTCTGCACATCCTATTACAGAGATTACGCAACTTTTTATAGGCTGCAAAATTAGACTCAGTAGGATATCGCTTATATTTGTTCTTAGCTTTATTGCGTTTCGCCATTATTTTTTTGATTGTTGTAGTTAGCCAAGGCGCTGGCAAGTGCTTTACTCTGATTGGAACAGTGGGAGCGTGAATGTCAAATAATTGTGTGATCTTGGAATTTAGTATTTGCAATTTTTCGTCTATGTTTGTGACATTGTATAATAAGGACCAATCTATGTTGACCAGGTCAGAGTAAAGTTTCTCGTAATCGATATTTTTGAGATTACGCCTCCAGATTATCTTGGCTTTACGCCTAAGGAGTGACAAATTGTAACTGATGTATATAAGATCGTGATAGGAGAAGGGAGCAGTGAGTTGGCCGAAAGCAAGGATATTTTTAGGATTAGATACAATTATAAGATCGATGAGAGAAGGATTAGAGATAGGAGAAAAATGGGTTTCAGTAAGAGGAAGTATAGTCATATTTAGAGATTCTATTAAGGATTGGAGCTTATGTGATCGAGTATCTTGTTTGAGGAGACACGTATTAAGATCACCCATTAGAATGGTATGCTCATAAGAAGGTACGCACGACGTGTGGGACTCACCGGCGTAATACAGCCAGTACTACCCACTAAAACCCAACTAAACCTTCCCCCGTCTTAATGGGGCGTCGCAGGATCGCTTACGCATTCAACTACGATTCCCCGACGGCAGGTCTGCCAAAGCAGACCACCACAACCATGGGATTGCTCCAAGGTCCACTCTGCTATCAGAGAAGTACCAGGAGCAACCCGCAAGGTACACCGCCCCCCGAAGAGGGCCACCTTCCACCGCCCACCGAAGTGGGCAACCTCCCTGTGCGTTTCTTAGCTTCGCGCCCGGTTGGATCGCCGGGCACTACTGAGACAGACAGAGTGACATAAGACAGTTGGCACAAAAATTCAAAAAATAGTTGCCGGAGCGCTTGCGAAAATAACTTTAGATTGTCACAAAATCAAAATTTTCGTTGTTATTGACCCAAATAAAAGAATTTTCAAATAAAAATTAAAATGCACATCAACTTAACTCAATTAACTTAAAACGCATAATTGAAACTCCCTAAAATGGCAACACTGCTGTCTTGCAAAATCAAAACGCATAATTAAAACTCCATAGAAGCAACACTTGTGACAAAATTAGAAAAAAAAACAATAAAATAGTGCAGAATTGAGGTTATATTTATTAAGCTTTGATATTTTTTATTTCCGAAAGCATTTGTTTCCTCCACTTGAAACTGTGGATTCACTCAAGATAATTAGCACTTTGCACACAAAAAAATCACAACAAATCTACTGGCGAACCAGTATACTAAAGACGAGCTAAAAATTATATCTACAAACTTCATCTATTGAAGAATTATTCCTAATGAGTGTACATTAGATGACTGTCGAATAATACTAATAAACATTAATACAATACTTTGATACAATTGTTCATGACCCTTAACACATTTATCTGCAAAAATGTGTATTACCTTTAAAAAAAAATTTTTTTTTATCTTGTTCGTTTATCTGCAATCAGTCTTCAACTATAAGCAGATGTGTTCAAGAGAAAATTAACGTTATTGAGATGATCCTTCAGCAAGGATGACCCCTTCTTATAGTAAAGCGTCTAGGCTTTGTATGTCATGCCGCTTTCGACGTTTGAGATAACTCATGTTAAGGAGTTTCGTTGCAAGTTCGTCTGGATGATCCTTGAGCCGACCCTTATACTAAATTGCTAACAGTCTAATTTCTTCTTTGACTGTGGTTATATTTAAGGTATTGTGTATTTGCTATGGTGCGTAAGATAGGATTTTGCAGCCTTTGTATAAATAATGGTTATGTTAGAGCTACAGGCACTTCCCCAAAGCTGTATTCCGTACATCCAAATTGTTTTGAGTATAGTCTTGTGAATGAGTAGTTTATTGTCAATAGATAGTTTGGAATTGCGTGCCATCAACCAGTATAGTTTTTTGTATCTTATATTTAGCTCATCTCTCTTTGCCTTAATGTGGTTTTTCCAAGTTAATCTTCTATCCAGATGTACCCCAAGGTATCTTACTGTGTCACTCTGCAGTAAAGTACTTGTTCCTAATTTGACTTGCCGACAGTTTCCTTTCCTAAGAGCAAATGTGACATGGGTAGATTTGGATGCACTTGTTTTAATCCACCATTTTTGGAGCCAGTCTTCTATTTGGTCTAAGCCTGTCTGTAAGATACTAGAGGCTTCTTCAGGGTTTGTATTACTGGCTAGTACTGTCTTCAGCAAAAGTGGCAGTGGTAATGTTTTGCATTTCTGGAAGGTCTGCAGTGAAAAGAGAATACAAGATCGGTCCAAGAACGGATCCTTGTGGTACTCCAGCTGTTATGTTACAGAATTCGGACGATTCTCTTTCTTCTCTAACTTGGAATATGCGATCAGCAAGGTAAGATTTAAACAGCAAGAAAAAGACGTGATGCAGGAACCTTTTTATTTTATATAGGAGGCCCTTGTGCCATACCTTGTCGAATGCTTGTTGGATGTCAAGAAATCTTTCTTTTCAAGTGATCTGCGTATATGTTCATAGACCCAATGTACCTGTTCTATAGTGGAATGTTGCTGTCTAAATCCAAACTGGTGTCTAGGTATTACATGATTTTGAAGTAACACGGGATAGTCTAGTTAGAAGGATCTTCTCAAACACTTTTGACATTATCGGCAGGAGACTGATTGGCCTGTATGATGTGAGTTCCTCCCGGGGCTTTCCAGGTTTATGAATCATTTTGATTATTGAAACTTTCCATATTCCTTAAAATTAATCACCATTTCTAATAATATTTTTTGTTTTAGGCTTATGTTGTTTTGGGACAGTTTTTAGTCCTAAAAAAAGACAAGGAGTTATTTCAAGAATGGATGAAAGAAACCTGCAGTGCCAACTCCAAGCAATCTGCAGATTGTTATCAATGTCTTAAAGATTGGTGTGATGAATTTTTGTAAACATAATTTATCATAAGAATTTTTAATAAACTAAAGCTGTTAATACAACACTAAATATAACATAATATGTAAATAACTAAATAATATGGTAAATTGTATTTAAAAAATGGGTGGAAATAAATAGATATTACATGTTCATTGCAAAGATAACACTCTAAATTTTTGATAACTTTTGTATGACTTTGATATTGAGTATGTATCAATAACTCATTATTAATAATAATATATTTCAATTTATGCTCAGTAGAGTACATGTCTATTAAATAAAAAAATAAATAAAACAATTATCTAAAGAGTTCATATTATATTTTAACAACATAATCTATAAATATAATAAAATTGTAACTAAGCCGAATCTGTACATTAAATATTTTTTGGAAAATCTTATTGAAATAGACATTATTATGGATACAGAGGCCGAATCTATAGATTTTGGAATTTTTGTCTGTCTGTCTGTTACCGAATCACAGAAAAACCACTATAGGGATTTTGATGAAATTAGATATGGTGATAGCTGGTTATTTAGGTCAACCTACAGGATACTTTTTACCACAGGAAAATGTCTCATTTCTGAGAAAAAATACAAAAACTGCAATGTAAAAGTATACTATTATGTAAAATCTAAGAATTTTGTTTTTGCTCATCTGAATGCGGGCAGAGCCGCAGGCAATGCTAGTATAGTATATATGTATAACACATTCATACATTTTAAACCAAATTTCATATTTTAAGTTTATAATATTATTGTTTTGTCATAAACTTGACTTGATGACAATAAATATTTACATGCGTATGTAAGAATTATCACAATTATTTATATTACTGGTGGGGAATAAATTTTAAGTTGTTTCTCAATATACAACAATAGTGCTACTTACATATTTGGTTATTGGAGTAATAAGTATTTTTTGAAACATTGGTCTATATGGAATGAAATAACATTAAATAATGTTTAAGCACTAATATGTTTATCACTCAGAATTTATATTTAAACCATCTTTTCACTTTATTAATTTTTTTATTGTACAATATGGGCAGTAAATTCACAATTGCAAAATACAACACTGATCAAAACGTTTTGTCACATTTTGATACTGAGATCCTATAATCTAATAATATGAAATGGGTATAGCATTAACTAAATGACTTTCAGGCATGCATATATGATTTTTAAACAGCCTTTTTCTGTTAGAAATACTTAAAAAAACTAGTACATTTATGACAAAAATATTTAAATTATGTATTATAAATAATTATAATATACATACCGTATTGACAAATGATACATTTTCTGAATACAAAGATCAAAGAATAATGTTAACTATGCCATAAAAATAATAAAGAATATAAAGAAAAATATCAGTACACCAAATATTTTAAACATAAGTGCCCTATTACCAGTGATATTCTGAAAGTACTTGAGAATTTCCCTGTGACCTGCTTCTACATTCATTTCAGCTTCCTGAATATTAGCATCAATTCTACCTATTGCTTCATCTTGTTCTTTGACCATATGAGCCAATTGTTGAAATATGCCACCTAGTTCAACAATAGTACTTTCAATATTATGCATTGTTTCAGCTCTTTGTTGCACATATGTGTCAGTTTCATCTCTTAAGGCTAATTGCTGAGTTTGCAAACTAGATCCTTCACCTAAATCTATACTGATTTCATCAGGTTGCAACAATGTTGGTACTTCTTTTATCACTGGAGCAGTACTTGAAAATTGCTCTCGTCTATTATTTTGATGTTTCAGATTTTCTGATCTAACTTCCAAGACCTAAAAGAAACATGTCAAAAGACAAGTAATTTAAAGAGATATAGCTCATTATACACATAATATAGGTAACTAATCAAATGGAGCAATACCTGCTTAAACTGATTACTCATAGATGCCAACCTAGATTGCAAAGCTAGAACAACACTTGATGAATGACTGTGCATACTTTTACGACCTCTTGGCATTTCACCCAATCTAGCAATCTGCTGATTAAGTGAATTTAAATCACCTTTAATTATATATGTTAGTTCATGTATTTCCATTGGCCGATCATCAAATAAAGACTTCTTTTTTGCCACTGAAAATAAAATTATATTAACAATTATAATTTACAAATTATTAATGGAGAATCAAGCAGATTAATAAAATCTAAAACTTACACATTGCAAGCTTTTCTAATTTAGCATAAGTACTTGTAATATTTTTGCTTATGACTTTTGCCATGCTCATAAATTGTGAATAAGTTGCTAGCACAGCTGCTTTTCTTTCATCTTTAACTACTGGTCTAGCCAAAGTCCGTCCTTGAAGACTACGGACTGTAGACACAAACTCTTGAGTTCTATCCCTGGATGCCATAACTGGTTCAAATATAAATTCTTCCAAAAAGTCAAATTTAATATCACTTTCTTCTATTCCTTTGTAAAAAGTACTTTCAGGGTTATATGATATAGGCTGCTGGAATACAGATCCGTTTTTGTTTAATTTATTATAAGGAATTAACTCGTCCGGTGATAGCAAAGGTGTCTTGTCTGACACACCAACCATTCGACGACGAGGGAGCATTGCATTCTAGAGTAATAACTAATGTAATAAAATTGTCAGAAATTTTTAATTTTTCCCATATGATTCCATCAGAAAAGATCTAAAATAGGGCATGAATATAAGTATATGTATTGATACATAACAGGTATAACAAATTGAAACTAATAGATATTCACTACAACTATTTTTCAATATTTAGTAAGTATGCACTATACCAATCTTTTTATAAAATATTATTTCGATGTCTAACTTATTTGACTTTTTAATGAAGTAATAAATGATGACGTTGGCATTTAATGTCAAAAGCAAAAATATAGAATAACAAACTGAACAGATTAAAATATTATGTGAGACGAAAATATATTTTATGACAGACGAAATTAAAGCCAATTCATTATCAATCCTCCAAATTATCAATTGGCCATTCAGTAGAGTAGTCTATGTTATACACTATATTATTAAATGATAATGACCTCCCGACCGACCGGCCTTAAGGCGGCCAGCAAAAAGTATGTAAGAAGTAAGAACTACGTTTTAGCAGCCTGTCTCATTGAAACTAGCCATCTGCGCAGGAGATATGGGTACGCGCAGACACAAGTGCACTCTATTTCTGTTACTCTTATACTCCAGTGAGACGACTACTCGACATGACCGGTAAGAGTTAAGGCGCAGGACCGATGGCTTTACGTGCTCTCCGAGGCACGGGGGTGATTTCACCGCCAACTTTCCAACTCCGGGCTTTTACTGAAACTTACTAAACAGAAAAACTCATTAACTAAACTTGGCCCGATCCGGGACTCGATCCCAGGACTTCTCGATGTGGAGCCATACTTGCTAGCCACTACACCACTGAGACAATTGTATTCGGCCCTTTTTAACGTCCCACTGCTGGGCACGGGCCTCCCTTCAATACGAGGGGGATCAGGCCATAATCCACCACGCTGGCCAAGTGCGGGTTGGAGGACTTCACATGCCTTTCGAAAACTTCCTAAGTTCTCTCAGACATGCAGGTTTCCTCACGATGTTTTTCCTTCACCGTAAGGCAAGTGGTAATCATGTTAGAAATGATTCGCACATGAAAATATCAGAGGTGCGAGACCCGGGATTTGAACCCGCTTCACTCGGTTTTCCAAGCGAGCGCGTTACCACTGGGCTACGACTGCCACTACTACTGAGACAATTATTAATATTATATACAGCCTACAGAATACTCAATACACTAATATACAGGTTGTCGTGTTAATAGTAGTCTAAACGAAATGTGACGAGAGATGAGATCGTGCTCTATGAAAACAGCCGGACAGCCACAAATATTTTAGTAAAACTATTACAGTTAAAACTGTAAAAGTTTTACTAAAATTTTCTGATTTTCATGATTTTATTACCATATTTATAATTGATGAAATTTTATTGAAATATCGAAAAGTACTCTTTTATTGAATAATATTTTTGACTAGATGTGTAACTACGTATTTATTGCAGTTTCCCAACAACATGAACAGTGTCTTTAGAAAAAAATATTAGCGTTACAAATTTCTACAATACAACATTTTTTATCAAAATTTTAAAGTACTGTGGTGTACATATATATATATATATATATATATATATATATATATATATATATATATATATATATATGTGTGTGTGTGTGTTTGCCTATGTTAGAACTATTTTGAAAAGTGCCCAACAACAAAGCGGAAATCTTTCTTTCCTTGCTTACCCTGTTGAAAATGTCCTATAGATTCCGTTAAAAAAAAAGGTGTATCGAAATTGTGCTTTTGACGCAGTAAATCCTTATACATTCCCATACTAACCGACTGCCCGATACGAAAGAGAAAAATTCGACGGATGTATGGAATTTTATTGGTACGTATAAGTGTAAAGATTTCGTAAGTGGACATCCGTGAACAAATGATGCAAATTATATATCGAAAAGTTATGGTCGGATTTCCTTACCACTTTGCAAATATTTATTAAACGATTTAAAAGAAGCGACTGCATTCAATGTGGATTTCTTGATTGAACCTAGCTTATAGTTTCATGGATTGATTAAGGCGTTCCCTTTAGAGTTAGCAATTTAATTCGTTTGTCAATATTTATTAAATAATTTAAAATACGCGATTGGATTTAGTGTGGATTTTCTGATTGAACCTAGCTCATTGTTTCATGGATTTGAGTATTGAGAATTTCACAATCAAACATAAACTTTTTTTATCAATACATTTATTAACATTAATATCTATTCGAATAACAGCTTAGGAAAATTTAAGTAAAAAAAATAAAGGATATATTTCCATAAAAAGTTAAAACTAAAAAATTTAATATTTTTAGGTGAGAACATTATTTTTAGTTTCTGTCATAATGATAAACTCCTACACCTACAGTTTAGCTAATCAAACCTCCAGTGTTTTTCATTCAAATATCAAATTTGACGTCAGTTTTTAAAGAACTTACGAGTTTTTTAGGGTCTCGATCCTCGTCCGATGTTTCGTGGTCATCCCCAGATGTTTTTGAACCGTCATCAGATCCTGAAGAGAAGTCTGTTGAAGAGTCCACTTTCTTTTTCGCCGTTTCTTTCACATTATTTTGGGCCGGTAACTTGAGTAGTGGAGTGATTCCATTCACGAAGTTTGATAACTAGTAGAGGCGTGGCTTTTTTTAAAATGTCGTGAATAAAAATCTCCTTAAAAAGTTTTTAATATTAACGATTAATTTAGAGTTCTGTCAAGAAAAAACTTAGCAAAAACTCCTGTTATAAGTAACTGAATGCCTAAATTATATGATTATCCGTTTAGAGGACTAATTTTATCATAATATAAGTAATACCGGTTAATTTCTATTAAATTGCAACTTCCACATAAACGCATATCTATTCTTATAAATGTCGTAATCGATTTCATATTAGGATCGGCTGAATGATCCTCATTTTCTATTGTGCTTATTACGCAGGAATTCCAAATTTATTTTTTTAGATCTCATGAATATGTAATTATCGGCGATCCTATTAGAATCTCTTAAAAAAAAATCCGTAATTGGTGACTTCCAATACGATGTTGACACATTATTTACTGGAAGGTCCTGATAAATCCCGACATCTTTTGTTTTGATGATAACCAATAAGAAACACTAGTTTTTGGAGTTTAGATATACAAGTAGGAACCTATCAGATTTTCTAATAGAAATAACGTATAAACTTTTGAAATTGATGCAGCTCCATTTAACTAACATTAAAACCCTATAAATAATGTCCATATTAAATCCATGCACTTGGATTTTTTTCGCTCCAGTTAAGCCTTTTAGAAATCCATTCAATCCTTATCGTTCTGTATAAGTTTTTATTGGACATTTTCAACAGGGTAATTCACCATCTTACTCATAAGACTTTTGGCGCTATGTTTTGCATTTATATATATATATAATTTTTAAGTATTTAATTATTATTTAATACTTAACGGCTCACCCTCGCTTCGCTCGGGTTCATCGCTAGGTACGTTTTATTATAAATAAAAATAGTTATAAAATAAATAAATATAAATAGTTATTAGCCAGCGTAAGCCATATAAATTTTAATTTTTTTTTGTTAATAATATTGACAAATATTGACATTAATATTTATACGATACTAATGTCACTCAATTGTTTTGTTTTCCCGGAACCTCTCCACTAACACTTAAACTTTACGGTATGGTATTAAAGTTCAAATTGACTTTAAGGTATTATTAAGAATCTTTTGTATGGGAGTAGAGAAAAGTGTTGTTTTTAAACTTTTTCAGTAATTTTTTAAAATTTTTCCCCCCGTAAGAACCATTCTCGTACTTTAAGGAATATTCTAAAAGAAGAATTAGCAAAATCGGTTCAGCTGCTCTCGGGATTTGCGCTTAGCAACACATTCAGCGATTCATTTTTTATTATTTAATAATAAAATTAAGATAATTTAAAGAATGTTATTATGATTCCTTAATCATTTATAACAAATTATTATACCTAATCAACAAATTCCGTGTATTCTTAAAAGTTTCAAATAAAAATCAAAATCAGAGCTTCCTGCGCCTATTTTTAAAACTTAACCCCAATCCCTTGTACTTAGTACTTTTTCATTAGCTTGTTTCGAAGTCGGTGCCAGCGGATAATATTTTAAGATATGAATATCTAATAGGTAAATATGTATTTTACGTATCAAAATATATTAGATTTCCTATGCGTCGGCTGACACCGACTTCGAAAATATCTGATTAGGTATCTATACTAAATGAAAACCCCCGTTTAGTTATTTTTTACATTTTAGTGCCTGGAAGTCAGTTCTTATTTTTTGTTAAAAAGTTTTTTATTTATTAAATAAAATAGTTAAATTTATAGTAGACTAGCGGCTCACCCTCGCATCGCTCGGGTTCGTCGCGAGGTACGTTTTAAATAGATATAAATAGTTATTAGCCAGCATTAGCCATATAATATTTTTTTCGTTAATAATATTGACAAATATTGACATTAATATTGATACGATTCTAACGTCACTCAATTGCCATCAATGTTTTGCCTTTCCGGAACCTCTCCACTAACACTTAAACTTTATGTTATAGTATTAAAGTTCAAATTGACTTTTAAGTATTATTACGAATCTTTTGTATGGGAGTATAAAAAAGTGTTGTTTTTAGACTTTTTCAGGCAATTTTTTAAAATTTTCTCTCCGTAAGAACCATCCTCGTACTTCAAGGAATATTCTAAAAAAAGAATTAGCGAAATCGGTTCAGTTGCTCTCGAGATTTGCGCTTACCAACACATTCAGCGATTCATTTTTATATTATAGATAATAAAATTAAATTATAAGTTCTCATTATTTATGTATTTTAATTTTCTATCATTGTGCCATTTTTGTATTGCGTAATTATGCTTCTATTTTTGTAGGTTACTAATGTAGACCGATCATTCATTTATAGTTTTAATTCCACATTAAAGCTGCTAATTTTCAAAATTACCGTCAAACTCATTCGTGTCTTTCTCGCACTACGTGACACAGGCGGAATGTATTAACGGATGCGTCCGTTAGCGCAACTCTAAGCCAATAGAGAAAAAATGTTATTTGTTGCTGTCAATGTGACAGTTGAATATTTAAAAATAATCAAAGTTTTAATTATCAAGTTCCTAGCATAAACTTTACGTGTATGTACTTGTTCTTAAGTGATACAAAGATTTCTCATTTCATATTCATATTTGAATTTTGAGAATTGAGGAATGAGGATTAACAATCGAAAAGACAGAAGTACCCATACCAGAATATATTATTAAATGGGAAAGAAAGTAGACACCACAAATGGTATTTACCGAATAATCTGTCATTTGTATCATGAGTTTAAAATATGATTACCTATTTAGCCAAGTTTGTCAACATCTTAGCATCTATATTTCAGAATGTCGTCATTTTTACATCATATATTGGCCAAGTGATTGTTTTGTTGGTGACAATCGTAACTTCTTTTATTTATAATGCTTTTAAATGTATCTTACTATTTTTTCAAATAGTTTACGAGGACAATTTAACTATTTTTACAGAAGATCTGCCTAACTTGACAAATAATTTCTATGATGCGTTTTATTATCATATTTACTATTTGTGTAATGTGTTGACAACAGTGGGAAGTGAAATTATTATAAAAGCTAATTTAATTACTGGTAATATAAAATGGTCAATTAGCACACTGTTTTTTATAATTTATGAAGTCTTATCTTACCTAAAGAAGACAATAATTTTCTTTGGTGATACATTATGGCTTGTGCTTACATTTGTGCCTGTACATCTTCCAGATTTAACAAAGGCTTTATTTAAATGCATGAAAGATTCTATTGTAAGCAGTGTGATTGACGCGTATATGGCATTATTGAGAATCACAAATTTCTTGTCAGATGTACCTCTGGAATCCTTTATGGGTATATTAACTGCAATGATAATTGCAAGGTCTTGTATACACTTTAGAGAGACAATACAGGTTCAGATAATGAACATATACTGGTTTCTAGTAAGAAAAGTGACATATCTATATCATGTGGCATATAATTATTTTACAGACTCTGAAGTGAGAATGATAACACAATTAGTAGGGGGGCAACCAGTAGTTTCAAGAGATATTGATTTCCAATTAGCAAATGATAATGAAGGAGATCCTGCAAATGCTGCTGAAGCTTTGTGTGTAATTTGTCAGGAAAGACAAAAATGTGTACTTACCTTACCCTGTCGCCATGTTTGTTTGTGTACTGAATGTTGCATGCGCCTCTATGGTTATCAACGTACTTGTCCTATTTGTAGAACTTTTATTTATCACTCAGTGACTGTATATTTGTGATATTTATTGTGTCTTGAAACTTGATACATCATATACAATATTATTCTAACAAAATAATCATGTGGTTACAGTCATTTTAATTTGAGTTTAAAATATTTTTGTAAGGATTATAGATATATTAAAGAAAATACAAAAATTTTGATACTAAATATATTCATTATGTTTACTACTGTCTTTAGTTTTATTAATAATTGTTAGTACTTTGTTAACTGTATTGTTTTAATAAGTGCATATTTTATATTATAGGAACAGAAGTATAAATAATTTACTATAAATAATAATTAACTAAGTCTTCTTAAGTTACTAAAATCAAGATTTTCAAGATCTTCAGCATCATAATATTGTCTAGATATATGTTGCCTTGAATAAAAATTTAAATCTTTAAATGTGAAACTTACATCTTTAAAAGCATTTAAAGTAAAAACTGCAACTATTAAAACAATGAAACCAAAAATACAACCTAAAATATTGTCAGTTTTCATATGCTCCCATTCCCTATATAAAATACTTGAGGCCATTATCACTAGTACTGTAAACATTACATAATACACTGGTGTAACAATACTCGTATTGAATATATCTAGTGCTCTATTTAAATAATTCATTTGTATCATTATACAAATAATTGTTAAAACCAAAAGTAACCAAAAGATATAATTAGAAAAATTATTAACTTCTTCCCTAATACTTTCTCTTATGCCTAAAGCTACACCTTTACAAAATACTACTGTTAAACTACCTATAGAAGAACATATTAACAAATATACAATAACATTGGTATTACCAAATCTAGGGATGAAAATTACCTTAAGTATTAAAGTAATAACTAGTATTGTTACAACATATGTTAAGAAAACATAATCTGTTAACTTATCACACAAATCTGAAAATTTCTTTATTTCTTCAGCTTTTGGTGAATGAATTACAAAAATAATTGAACCTACAATACACAGAAAACATCCAATCTGGAACAAAATTAAATTACATTAAAAAACATCTATGTACTATTATGATAATTACAAAAGTTGGTGTGTGTATGAAATTTAGCACTTGGGCACACAGAGCAATGGTAAATCGCTAGTAATTCATAATAAATTTTTGAAATAATTTTATAATTCTGGGAGACTAGTTTTAAATTTTTCAGATACACCTTAACATTAATTATATAATATGCTAGTATGTTAAACTGTGAGTAACGTTTTACTTACAAGATTGTTTCAATTAAAATAAAATCAATTGTTTTGAAGACTAGGGATGATACATTTATTTAATTTTTAGGTACTAGCTATTCTTGCAATGTATGCGATTTGTTTGAAGCTTACCTTTCCAATAAAATTAAGTTTTTCATGAAGAAACTTTGAAGACAGAATTGCAGCAACGAGAACACTTAAAGCACCCAAAGGTGTAACTAAAGATGCAGGAGCAAATGCATAAGCTAAAAGATTTGCTGCTTCACCTATGCCCACTGAAAATATAATTTATAATAAAATTCTTTAGCATTAGAAATCAACCATGGTTGTTTTAAATATAACACAATTTACTTGTTATTAGGCCTAACCACCACATCCATTGTTTTAGATATGCATATCCTCCTGCAGAAGCTCTTATGTTACCTGTTTCATTAATCTTTATAAGGGCTACTTTTTTTATAATAAAACTTGACCCAATAAAAACACTTGATGATATCGCAAGACATAGTCCTATTATAAAAGACTCATGGTCATAATCTTGTCTTGACAGCATTATATTATTTATTAACTTTCAATTTTTTAGTATTTACTAGTATTTATAATAATGGTTCTACTTCAAGAATCATAGATAAGATAGTAAATGACTCATTTTTATACATAATATAATACACAGTCGTTTAATAAATTATTAACATGCCCTTTATTACAGGTTTTCATTATTATCACAGACCAGGAACACCGAACAACAAGATTATTATCAGTTATCACAACACTTTTACTATAAATCGCTATAACGCTATCTATAGTTTGGTTTTTTTTCAATACTGTTGTCACTTGTCAGTGTCAAATGTCAATAAACAATTCAATACTTTTGCTTAAGTAGCCTGATTTCTGACGCTACATTTACACGCTTGGCAAATCGTATATACCAATGTACTCTGTGGCAAATCTCGACAAGCGTCCACAAACAAGCGTGTAAACGGGGGCTTAGGCTTGACATGCGTGAGCAGCGGGATGTTAGATAGTGGCCCAGTAAACCTGCATAGAGTAGCTACATATATAAAGTAAACCTGGTACAGATGTCACCTTAGAGTATACATAAGCTATAAAGCGCGCGCTAGCATGTATGAACTGTAAGCACGGGTATGACTATGAACTGTAAACAGTCTCGAAATGTTAAGCGACGCTATTAGTCACGAAAAGTCCATCGCGCTGTTTCTCTCGTCGGTATTTATTTAAATTTATGCAGTTCCAAGCTGTAAAAATGATTCACGAAAGCTAACTAAAACGAACAAAGATATTTCTTTTCATCGGTAAATAATATTTTAATCAGAAAACGCTAATTTTAACAAAATTAAACAGGTGTGAGCGGGAGGCGCGTGGGCGGGTCGACACTCGACACTAAGAGTGAGGCGTATATATCGGAACAGGTTAAAAAAACAGGTTTTTAAAAGTAACAACATGGAACTGTTCCGTCATAACCGAAAAACCTGTTCCTGTTCCAAAACGTACCTATTACGATTTACGAAACATCAAACAATTGTCAATACGAATCTGTTACAGATACAAAATGGAACTGGAACACCGTGGAACTAGCCTGTGCCCCTAGTACGAGTTTTTGACAGTTCTCGATTACGAAATATAGTTTCGTTTTCTTCCATACATCTACGTGCAGCGCCCCTAGCGGAAACGTGGTGGAACTAAATCGGCAGTACGAGTTCAATCGAATCATAGTTAACGAACTCGATGAAAGTTTTCGAGCGTATTATTGCATTTTGGCAGTACGAGTTCCCACTTTGACAAGTTACCGATAGTAAACTTTGACGAATTCGAAAACTTTTTTCGTTTTGGCACTCACCAAGTAAATCTCGGTGAGAGCTTGCGACCATCTTTGTTTTTGCGAATATTTTTGAACATTAATTATGTTAGCGAGACGGTATCTTGCGTGGAGATTAGCTGTGGAGGCTGACCATGATGAGGAGCGACAGGAGCTCGTAAAGAGGCGAAAATTAAATGTGCCCAGCCGTATCTCTGACACTCATTTTGTGCAGCGGTATCGGCTAACCAAGGAAGGATTTATGTTTCTCTGTGAGACCTTAAGGGAAAATACAAACCTTAGGGGTTCACAAAGAATATCATTGGAGACTAAGGTAGGTACTTAGATATTTTATTTCACATCCGTATTCGCGCATTTGGATAAGGTTTATCGTATGTACTTATAATATTCTGTAGGTACCTAATATAACCGCTATTTATCCAAGTATTCACCAACCTAGGTGCTTTATCTAAGTAGGTACTTCTTTAATAAAAATATTTTATATTTTTAGGTACTAAGTGCGCTGTTATTTTACGCCAATGGGGACTACCAGAGAGTGGTTGGGATTGCCAACTCTTTATCACAAGAGGCAATAAGCCGTTACATTCAACAAGTAACAATGGCTTTAAACCACCCAAGTATTTTGAACAAGTTCATTAAATTCCCGAATACACCAGCAGCTAGAGAACTTATAAAGCAAAAGTTAGTACTTTATAATCTTTTATCCTTATAATCATCTATACATAGTATTACCAAAGATAATAAGGTTACAGCCCACAGCATAATCCTCATTAATTAAATTATAATTTGTATATACATGAGAATGGTTAAACATTTATTTCCATTTAAGTACATTTCTATTTATGTGTAATGTTCTAATGAATATATATTTTATATCTTCTAGTTTCTACAACAAATATGGTATTCCTGGAGTGATAGGGTGTATAGATGGCTGCCACTTTAAGATTGTGAAACCCAACAAAAACGAAGAACATCTCTTTTACTGTAGAAAACATTACCATTCTTTGAATGTTCAAATGGTATAACTAATTATTTTCTAGAATTACTACCTACATTATGTGTTGAGTATAAGTACATTTAAATGAGTTGTTTTTCACATTACAATACATTTCTGCTGTATAAAGTAAAATAGTTTTTGTTTTAATAATAAGTAATGAATATTTATTCTAGGTTGCAGATGAAAAATGTCACATTTTGGCAATCAACCCTAAATTTGGGGGTGCTAGCCATGATGCCTTTGTGTGGGAGAACAGCCAGCTCAACACATACATGCAAACATTGCATCGAAATGGTGAATCTGTGTGGCTTCTAGGTAAGAAAACTTAATTTTTGAATAGCTATACTTTTATTGTTGAAATATGAATTATAATTTAATCCATTATACTAATGAAATAATTACCAACAGGTGACTCTGGATACCCACAAAGACCGTGGCTTATGACACCATATAATAACCCTGCACCCGGTAGTGCAGGAGAAACTTTCAATAAGTTACACAGCAGGGCGCGTGTAACTATTGAAAATACATTTGGGCGCTTGAAAAATAGATGGAGATGTTTGTGTAAGGATAGGGTGCTCCACTACAAGCCGGAAAAATGTGCCCAAATTATTTTAGCATGCAGTGTGTTGCACAACATAGCACTGGATTTAGGAGTGCCAGATCCTCAGGAACAAACAATAGGTAATCTATGATAAAATTAAAAAAAAATACAATAGGTATATAAGAATTTAATTATTCAAAATGGGACATACACATATTTTGTTTTCCTTGTATTAAATTTATGATTGACTGTAATTTACAAAACATAAATTATAAATAGGGTTCTTTTATTTTACAGTTAATAATCAAGATTTCCCTGAAAATGATGAGGTAGAGGATGATGTTACCCTGTTGACACTAGGGCGCTTATTGCGTGATCGCATTGCCAGTAGGGTGCATGCTGAAGCTGTTTGACAATAACCATGTAACATATTCAGTGACTCTGTTAAGACACGTCTGGCACTTTATTGCGTGGCAACTTTACCATCGCCCACAATGTGTGGTCCGTGCCTAATTAGACGGTCATCGATGTGAAGTGATTTGGATAATCTGTGAGTTCAATAGACAATATAGTGAAGTGACAGAACGTTAGCTATATAAGGCAGTGATTTTATATTAAAATCCCTTATTCTTATTCTGATTCGTACTCATATACCCATTGTTCTTGTCATCATACTCAGTATTTTGTGGCTAATCAAATACAGTAATCCAAAGGACGACATCTTTTATTTCACAATCTCTTCAAATACAATAATTCGTTTCAACAAAAATGAGACGAACAGACTCAATTGCCTTCCTAACCTTTCATTTAAATTCTACATTTTATAAATTATAATTCAAAAAAACTTGTAGGGGTCTATTTGAATAGAGTATTCTTTGATTTGATGTAGATTAATATATTTTTTATTATAAAGCTTGCAGTAGTGTTGCTTAATATTTAACTTTAAAATAATCAAAGTTCAATTTGTTTTTAACTTTAAATGATCTTAAAACTTATGAACTTTAAAAGATAAACTTTGATCAAAATAACACTTAATTAAATTATAAAAACACTTAATTAAATTATAAATTTATATTTTGAATTTCTGTATTATCACACAATATACTGTAACAGGCAGTTTTTCAATGTGTCATGATAATTGTTTTTAATGTGTAAAATTATTGACAATCAGCGATTCAAATCTAACATAATAATTATAAAATTGTACAAGCATTTGAGAGAGAAATAAATGAAATTGTTAATTATCTAATACTGTTTACTTGATATCTTGTTTTAATACATATTGTAATAATAGCACATAATATTATTATATGTATAACAAATATTATAAAAAATTAATAATTATTATAATAATATTGCCATATTTATAATGTTATTTTTGGTAATACATATAATGTATTTTTAAATGCAAATTTAAATGTTTAGAATTAAAATATACAACTTCATAAGGTACTTTGGTATCATTTGGAAATTTTGTACAAGTATGTATATAAACCTCAGAGACGAATGTCAAATATTCGCATAAGTAAACCTAAGAAAGTATTAACTTTTAGTTTTAAATATTAATTAATGACTAATAAAATAAATGTTTGTGACCTGTTTTAATTCTATTTTCATTTAATTTAGCCTCTTTAATTTTATTTAGTGTTTAGCTTTAATTTGTATTCTTAAAGGTAACAACCAAATATATAATTATATTTAATCCCTTAAATATTATACATATATAGCAAATAAAATAAATAGTAAATAACGCAGGGTATCCTATTTACTATTTATTTTATTTGCTATAATTTCCCCTAAATTAATTAATTTGGCAAACAGAGTTTGCCACTGAGACTGCTGCTGGAGCTCCACCTCTCGTTGTTGTAGCTCTCTTTCTCGCAGCCTTACATGCTCAGTGACAAACTGTGTTGCCAAATTCCGCCAGTGCTCGTCGCTATTTAAAAATTGCTCGGTGGCATTAAAGTGCCTCCGAGGAACACGACGACTATGAGGGGGCGCTGGTGCCGGCGAACGTAGCAAGCGGCGGCGCCCACTGATCGCGCGTCGCGGTGCGGTGTGCCGTTGAGGGCTGATGGCGTGGTGTGTTGTGGGGGAGATGGCACTATTATCCACCATATCAGTGTGGAACGTGCTTACTGATTGACCACCTTCCCCAGGCTTGTTCCACTCTTCAATAACTGAAAAAAATACATGTACATACTTGGGAATAAATTACTAAAACAGATTAATGAATTATTAAAATCTAGAATCATATATTTATGTTACTAACATCCATCATTTGCTCTACTATTTTGAATTTGAAAAAAAAATAGTAAAAGAAACTAACTGCTCTCAACTTGGACAACTTGCTCCATTGGTGTGGGTGACACTGCTACTGGCAGAAGGCCCAAATTCGATGCTACGGGTGGCTCAGGTGGTCCAACCTGAAAGATGAAACAGATATAATTAAAAACATATATTTTGAAAATAAGGTATAAAGACAACACAAATGTAAATGGTCCTAGTGGGTAATTATATATATAGGAATCCTAGCTAGGGTATTCTTATGTACATGATTAAGTGCATGTGTATATGTTGTGTATGAATGATATAAAATTAATATATTTGACATGATACATTTGTATAGGCTAAGCAAGCAGTGTCAGAAATGTAGCATGCGGAATTTAATTTGTTTCCTACATTATGTTTCCATGGGAAAAATGTGCATAAATTTAAAGCTAAGGTAATCAACTAATATATAAAAAATAATGACTTCTAAACTAACTTCTTGCACTGAAACTAGACCAGTTGCAGCCTGGGGTCCTATGATGCTAAGGACTCCTCCTGGTCAGTTAAAATTAATTTAGAGACTGGCCCACCACCTGTGCCACCTGCAGCTCGGTGAATTTTAGAAGCCTTCCGCTTAGTGTTATTTTTAAGGTCACTCCACACCTTTACATGCAAAATAAACAAATTAATTATTGCAATTAGTGCATATCAAACAAAAAGTATTAGGTAATGTAACCCAATGTTTTAGGATCATAGTTAAGCAGGATGCACAACTTCAAACAAAGAAAAAACGAGAAGGAACGCAGCATGCTGCATGCATAGCGAAGTAGTTGTAAGGTGGGTGAAACTTACCTTTTTCCACTTTTCTACCGGCTTGGAAGTCCCCGTCGTGTCCAAGTTGAGCGCATTCGCTAGCTGTTGCCACTTGTCAACGGCCCTTAGCCTGCCGCTAGGGCCATCGCTTGGCTTGTTTAAGTCACTATTCCTAAAAAAAATTTGTATGTAATCAAAACAAATTCTCTAACGCATTGGTAGACATAATATAAAGAAAAATATAAATATTATATATAAGATTGATACATACCTCTCCATAAAATCTATCATCACTTCAAACTGCGAAGCACTGGTTCTCATCATTATTTTAATATTATTATAATTTTAGCGAACGCGCTAACGAACTAAGTTTTAAAATTTACTTAATCCAAAACGTCAATTTATACAATATCGAAGGAGAACTTTTGTCTCTTTTAGTTTGCCGGTGTGTAAAAGAGATGAAGCAAATAAAGTGAACTTCGTTCAATCGAGCTAGTCGATGGTCGAAATCGTGTAAACTATATTCGAAAACTTTAACTCGTACTACCGATTACATCGAAAACCATATAGTTCATCGAGCTCACGAAAACTATCATCGTTTGTGTCATTTGTAAACTCGTACTAGGGGCACTGTTCCTCCTGTTCCAAAACGTACCTATTACGATTTACGAAACATCAAACAATTGTCAATACGAATCTGTTACAGATACAAAATGGAACTGGAACACCGTGGAACTAGCCTGTTCTATGTTCTATACATAATACATATAATAAAATTGTACTATGTCGAATCTGTACATTAAATATTTTTTTGAAAATCTTATTGAAATAAACATTATTATCGATACAGAGGCCGAATCTATAGTTTAGTTTTTAGAATATCTATAGTTTTTAGAATTTTTGTGTCTGTCTGTTAACGCATCACAGAAAAACCACTAAAGGGATTTTTATGAAATATGGTATGGTGATAGCTGGTTATCCGGGTCAGCATATAGGATACTTTTTACCGGAAAATATCTCATTTCTGAGAAAAAATACAAAAACTGCAATGTAAGAGTATACTAATAGGTAAAACCTAAGAATTTGGTTTTTGGTCATCCGAACGCGGGTGGAGCCGCGGGCAATGCTAGTCATGCATATGCTAATAGGAACTTAGAAAGAGACAGGTTAATATTGTTCTCATCTTATTGTTCATCTTCCTGTTCACACAATTGGATACACATAAAAAACTATTTGGGAATTTACAGTTGAAAATGAAATAAAAAAAAACAACAATATTTTCGCGTAATATTATTATGTTATTGTGATTTTATTTTAAATAAACTTTAAAATTAAATATTGTTATTGAAATACCTAATTTAATTAATATATTACAATTTAGTTCAATAAAATTAAAAATGAAATTTAGCTACTAAAATTTCAATAGTATGTTTTTACGTGTATCCGAACGGCTTAGTCTGTTAGAAATTAAGTTTTCGAAGTTTGACGTTTGTAAAAGTTTTGCTTAAAATTTTGCGGTGAATTTGAATATTTTGCGGCGAATTTGAATATTTTGCTTTGCTGTTGAGTTAAATGAAAGAAAACTAATTTTTCAGTGAACTTTTCTACTTTTGACTTTTATATTACGAATATATATATAGGTTTAGTTTTGTACATCTTTAGATTTTAGTATTGTATATTAATGTAAATTGTGAAGTGTGTAAATATGTCTTCGAATAAAAAAACTAGTGTCGTGTGGGACCATTTTACGGACATAGGTGGTTCCCGAGGAGTTTGCAACATATGTAAAGTGCAAATGTCGTATAAATCATCCGTTTCAAATTTAAAAAAACATTTACAACGGAAACATCCCACGATATGTATCGTGAGCCGTACCGATGCTGTGGCAGGCGATTCTAGTGCGGTAAATGATGTGTGTATAGCTTCTGTCGCTTCTGGTGGTGGTAATACTAATGTTGCAGAAGCTATTAATGCGGGCACTAACACAATTCCTAATCCTGTTGCAAGTACATCTGGTAGTGGGCAGGCACCTATGCGAAGGACATATGGACTTCAACCTATTACGGACTTTTTACCTAAACGCCGTGGCAATTTAGAAAAAAAAATTATAGATGATAAAGTAATGCAACTTTTCACCTTGGACTTTCAACCATTTCGAATCGTAGAAGACCGCGGCTTTCGTGAACTCATGCAATTGGCTTTTCCCAATTATATTATACCCACTCGCAAATACTTTGCTAATAGCTTATTACCATCACTCTATGAAAAGAAAAAGAGTGAGCTGAGAATTAGCTTAGAGAATGATGTTAAATCTATTTGCATAACCGTCGATATTTGGTCAACAATGACAAATGATTCAATGATGGCCATCACAGGCCACTATATTAGTGAAACAACAAGTGAGTTGAAGTACTGTTTACTTGACTGCATTCCTCTGGAAGAAAGTCACTCAGCTAAAAATTTGGCTAGACTTATTAAGGAAATATGTGACGAGTGGAATTTATCTAATAAAGTTTTATTAGCAGTGACAGATAATGGCAGTAATAATAAAAAATGCCATTGAGAAAGAACTTGCATGGAAGCATTTCCCTTGTTACAGCCATACTTTGAATCTCATAGTCAATGATGCTCTAAAATCAGAAGACATAACGTTAATAATAAATAAAGTTAAAATCATAGTTAAACAATTTAAACAAAGTAATTTAGCATGGCAGAAATTAAAAAAATATCAGGAGCAGGCAGGAAACACACCAAAGCGTCTAATTCAAGAAGTGGCAACCCGTTGGAATTCCAAATACTATATGCTTCAACGCTGTGTAGAGCTACGAGAGCCACTCAATAGTGCTATGATAAACTTAAGCATGGACATATTAACGTCATATGAGTGGCAAGTCTGCACTGAGCTCTGCAAAATTCTGCAGCCATGTGAGGAAGTCACAAAAGAATTGAGCGGAGAAAAATATTTAACCGGGAGTCTAGTAATTCCCATAACAACTGGTCTCACGAAAGTTCTTCAAAACTACGAAAATGAAAACTTAATGCCAATAGTTGACAGAGTGAGGCAAGATTTATTAGGAGGAATAGGGAACAGGTTCAATAACTTAACTCAAAGCCGAACATTTACCAACTGCATGTTCCTAGATCCTAGGTTTAAATTTTATTTTAACGACCAGGCAACAGCATTGGAAACTAAACGGCGTATTATTGCTTTTGTAATACAAGAGCAGAGTAGACAAAATAATGCCACAATAGAAGTGAGCAACCCTCAGGCAAGTACAAGCACCAGCACCAAACTTATATGGCAGGATTACCGGGAGAAAATGCGCAATATCCAGCCTGAAGGTACAGCACACTCTCGGGCTATCGTGGAGATTCAGCGATATTTGGATGCTCCAATAATAGATAGGTCAGAATGTCCTCTAAAATGGTGGAAGATACATAGGGAATCGTACCCAAATCTGTATAAAGTTGCTGTACAAAAATTAAATGCCATGGCATCTTCTGTTCCCTGTGAGAGAGTGTTTTCAGCGGCAGGGAATATGCTAAATGAAAGGCGGACAAGGCTAGGCATAAGAAAATTACAACAGCTGGTATTTTTAAACCAAAATATTTAAATATTGTATATACTGTAAATATATTTTTTTCTCGGTGCATGCTGTAAATATTACTGATTAATGATGTATATAATGAGATGATTAGTGTACATAAAATTATTGATTAATGTACATAGAATGAAATGAAAACTGTTAAATGCGCCAGCTTGTTTCTCATAAGTATTTCTTTTGGCTCAACTATATATTATTATAAATTTATTATTCTTATAATTTTTTATTTAAAATCAAGCTGTCAGTCCTAAGCCTGTAAAAGCATGAAGGATGGTTTTCCTTTCGTTAACTTGTGAAATAATTCCATAGCATTGTTTCTATTATAGCGATGTGTCAACTCGGTTTGCCAACTCGGGTTAACCCGAGTTAGCCTCACGTCGAGTTAGCCCGAGTTCAACGGATTATAATTCGGGTTAGACACCGACACCCCAACGACACATGAACCTCGTTTCTTATAACAAGGAACTTCGTTTCACATTAATTCATACACGAAACGAAGTTAGCTTTCCGAAAGAAGCTGACTTTACCCTTACGCTTACGAATCTTTGCGCGCGAACGAAGTGACATTAGAAATTTCAGTAGGTAGCGAGTCTCCAAAAAGTTGCATTTTTTTTAAATTAAGAGTTTTTAAATATAATATTTCATTATTTCTTATTTTAATTCTTTGTAAAAAGTTTAATTGTGATTTTTTCGACAATGCCGAGGCCAATAAAAAAATCCCTTTTTTTACGAAATTTTTGAAACGCCAGTTCAATGTAAAGAGTGTAAAGTTAAATGTAAAGAGTGTTCTGAATCATATAATTAACTCGGAAACCCGAGTTGGCCCATCTATAGTTTCTAAGGTATTGTTAGTATTGATGGAACAGGCTGTTATTTTGGAACAGGTTATTGGAACTGTTATTTCATTGGAACAGGAACAGGTGTAACAGGTTTCCAATTTTTCCTAGTATGAACCACCACTACTCGACACAACACGTACTTCCGCGCCCCCGCTTCTCAATTTCCCTTATTAAGAGCTAGTGTTGTACCACGTACTACTCGAATATTTTGTATAACCATAGTATTAAAAATTAAGATCCTTTATGTTTGTCAAAAATAAAACCTTTAAATTTTAATGGCACCAAAGTACCTTACAATATTACTTAATTTTAAACATTTTTATAATTTTAATAAGTTTTATAATTGCAATGAATATTATTTATTAATTCATTTTAGCTGTTATTATTATAATTATTTTAATTTTTTTAGAAAACCTTATAAATTAGTCATCATATTTAGTGTTGTCATTATTATATTTATAAACATAAAAAAAAGAATTATTCAAGCCACATTATTGTTCTATGTGAAATAAAAAAAAATTAAAATGTTAAAATTAATTAAGAATATTAATTATATAATAATTACATTATGGGATTTATTTTGAATTTACCTTTAATTCCCGTAGTTTGCGTTTAAGTCCCGTAGTGTAATTATTATATAATTATGGAACGCGAATAGTTAAAGAAAATAATATATAATTTTTATTTAGTTTATTATTATTTAAAAAAATCACAATATTAAGCAACACTATTATTACTACATAGATTTACAAATGAAATATATTAATTTAAAATACTGTAATTTTAGATAATAAAGTCTATATGTGCGTGATTAAATGGTTATGTTGAATAGTTTATGTTAATATACTTCTTTTTTAATTAAATTCTAAAAGTTTTACTAGGCTACCAGTATGTATCAATAGGTGTTTATAGAACATCTGCTTACGTTTCGCATAATGGCCGGTTTATGGCCGGTTTACACGTGTTAAGTTGTTTAGTAGTTAACTAAATTTTAACTTAATTTAAAGTGATTACTTGCGTGTAAACAGACAATTTAGTACCAAGTTGAAAGTTAAAATTAAGTTAACTACTTAACTACTAAATTAGAATGTTTCCTATTTTTTCGGTTTAGTTGGTGGGCGGGGCTTGTCACTTGACACGTTTGGACACTTGGACAGTACAATTTAGTTATAAACGCATAAGTAATTTAGAAAACGCATAAGTAATGACGAGCTAAATTTAATTTTTTTCGTTATTTTTTGTTAAGAAACATATTTAAAAAAATAATGCTTATGGAACGTAAAAAGCATGAATTATCTCGCTTAAAACAAATTTAAGCACAGAATTTACGATTTCATTACGTTGTTGATTTTCCATCCGTCATTACTTATGCGTTTAACTAAACTACTTATGCGTTTATAACTAAATTGTACTGTCCAAGTGTCCAAACGTGTCAAGTGACAAGCCCCGCCCACCAACTAAACCGAAAAAATAGAAAACAATCTAATTTATAGTTAAGTAGTTAACTTAATTTTAACTTGCAACTTGCTACTAAATTTTCTGTTTACACGCAATTAATCACTTAAAATTAAGTTAAAATTTAGTTAACTACTAAACTACTTAACACGTGTAAACCGGCCATAATGGCCGGTTTACACGTGTTAAGTCGTTTAGTAGTTAACTAAATTTTAACTTAATTTTAAGTACTTATGGCCGGTTTACACGTGTCAAGTCGTTTAGTAGTTAACTAAATTTTAACTTAATTTTAAGTGACTTATCTGTCCAAACGTGTTTAGTAGTTAAGTAGATAAGCTCTTTAGTTGTCTTCTCCATTCTACGTGACATTGGCGAAGTAATCTGTGCTCAATAAAAGAATTGAATTGAAGCTCTTTATTTTCATTCAAGATTTATTTATTTATTTATTTGCAAGATATGCCAACAATACATTGTACCTACATTCTAAATTATTATATTATAAGATTACTTATTCTAGTACAAGCATTAATTATAAGCATACACAGTGTACGGGATTTCGGCAGTATTTAAAGGAGTAAAATAAAAAAAAAGTGTTCTTGATGCACTTACAAAAGATTTAATAATTTATTACAAAAAAAAAATACCCAAGAGGTGGGGTAGACACACCATGAATTTTTTTTTCGATATGCAATTTTGCCTCAATAATTATTCAGGCGCTTTGCACGAACATATCTCCGGGCGTTGAAAGCCTCTCTTTCAACTAGAATCTTCTCTCTCAAAATATTCAGGTAAAGGGCAAATCTTGCTGAATGATCTGCGAAGGATACCATTAGAAGTTCTAACATCCGCAACTCGAACAATCCCATCTGGACCGGGATGCACAGCAATAACTCGACCCATCCTCCATTTTAAGGGGGGTAAATTATCTTCCTTCAGAAGTACCAGGGAGTTAAGCTTTAGAGAACCTTTGCATGCCCTCCATTTTGTTCTCACCTGCAGCTCTGAGATATATTCCTTACTCCATCTGGCCCAAAAATGTTGTCTCAGCTTTTCAATGCGTTGAAAACGAGTTAAGGAATTTATGGAGTAGTCTTGAAAATTGGGTGATGGCAACGAAGTCATGGGACGTCCAATTAAAAAATGTCCTGGTGTTAATGGCATCAAGTCTTCAGGGTTAGATGAGATCGGCGTCAGTGGTCTGGAGTTTAAAATGGCCTCAATTTGTACTAAAGTTGTATATAATTCTTCAAAAGTAAGATTACAAAGGCCCAACACTCTAACTAAATGATGCTTGGTTGAATTGACACCAGCCTCCGCAAGACCAGCAAAATGAGGAGAGTAAGCCGGAATAACATGGAACTTAATGCCTTCTTTTGCCATTTCCTCGGTAACTGGATCACAACATGATTTAAGAAATCTCGAGAGGTCGTTGTACGCACCAACAAACGAAGTACCGTTATCGGAGTATATATTCATAGGTTTACCCCGTCGGGCGATAAACCTTCTTAATGCTAAGATGAAACTATTACTAGATAAATCCCCAACCAATTCAAGGTGAATTGATTTTGTTGCAAAACAAACGAAAATATCAATATAAACCTTTACTAATTTGGAACCTCGGCCCTGACGAACGGCTGATTGAATCGGACCTGCATAATCCAACCCTATATTTTCGAAAGGATTACTCGCTAGAAGCCGATGCTGTGGTAAGTAACCCATAGTGGGAGTAACAGTTTCTCCCCTCATTCGACAACAACGGATACATTTTAGATAACACTTCCTAGCTAAGTTTCGTCCGCGAATTGGCCAATACTTATCTCTGATAGATGATAGTAACAGTTGAGGGCCGGCGTGAAATAATCTTTTGTGTTCATATTCAAATAGCAGCACCGTAAATCGATGACTTGAATGAATCAGAATGGGATGCTTCTTATCATAGTGACAATTTGAATTTTGGAGCCGACCTCCAACACGCATAATATTTTGGTCATCTAAGAATACCTTGAATTTACATAACGGACTTTTCTTAGGTAACTCCTTTTTATTAAACAATAATTTATACTAGTTAAAGGATTCGTTTTGAGCTGTACGAATTATTACATTTAAAGCTCTTTGCAATTCATCAACACTTAAGGAACCATCCTTTACTATTTTCCTGCATTTCATGTCAATGAAACGTAAAACGAAAGCTAAAGCACGCTGAAGTCTTAAAAATTTTGAGAAAGCGTTAAAATTAATAAATCTATTAAATTCGTTTTCGCAACTTGGACCAAGTAATGTGGATACATTCGACTTCATTTCAGGCAGCATATCATCGTCTGATCGTAAACACTTAGCCGGCCAAGATGAAACGTCATGCATTAAAAAACTTGGTCCAGACCACCATTCTGTTAAGGAACCTATTGACGTAATGTCCACTCCACGCGAAATATAATCTGCAGGGTTTTGATCAGTGGGGACGTGTCTCCATTCATAATTTCCGGTCTTATCCAGAATTTCTGCAACTCTGTTGCGAACAAAAGGTTGAAGTTTATTAGGCTGCATTTTCAACCAACCTAAAACGATTGTGGAGTCACTCCAAAAAAAGATGCGCCTTGGATGTGCTCTTAATGAGGCCCTAACTTTTTCATAAATACGGACACCTACCAAAGCACCACAGAGTTCAAGTCTGGGAATAGTTGTCGGCTTAAGCGGGGCAACTCGACCTTTAGC